ACCCTAACCCTAACCCTAACCCTAACCCTAACCCTAACCCTAACCCTAACCCTAACCCTAACCCTAACCCTAACCCTAACCCTAACCCTAACCCTAACCCTAACCCTAACCCTAACCCTAGGTTGTCTATAGTATATTTTATACCTCTTTTAATTATATACTAACGTTACTACCCTTCTTCTAATCGTTCCTTTAGCCGTAATATCTCTAATAATAATCTTATATCTATTAAATTTAATAATTAATATATAAATACTAATAATAACGAATACCGTCCGTTCGCAGCTCGGCAAAATAATCGATAAGGTCTATTATTAGCTTAGGGTAACGTAGCTATTTAAGACTTACTTAGTTCTTATATATACCTAGTATATTAGAGACGGCGGTCATAATATTAATATGGCTAGGCGCCGATATATCACGGTACCGTGTCTATAAGTACGTTATTATCTTATTATATATTATAGCGAATTAGTATATTTTATAAATAGTAACTAAATACTCCTTATTAAATATAAACGGTTCTATTATATATAAAAATCTTATAGAAATATATAGCTTATTATATAATAATCGTAAGATAATACGATAATAAGTAATATAAGTCTTTAAAAATAATAAGCTATATTAATTATAATTAAAATTAGATATTATTAAGTAGGTAACTATCTTAGCTACGGCGTTATACTAGACGTTAAAACTATTACCTTTTTTAATTATAATAATAGGCGCTATCTAGTCCATAATTAGTCAAGCCCGCACCTTATTATAAAACTATAGCAACCTAAATTACTATTTTATAATAACAATTTAAAAAATAAATATTTATAACGTCATAAGTATTATAAGCTAAATAAGAAGAATTAATACATATCAGTTTAGTGCTATTTACTTTAAGAAATATCTACTAACTTTACCCTATATAATCTCTATCAACTCTACCCCCCTACTTTCACGCCCCATATTTATTTTATTAGGCATCTTCTATCAACTCTACTACAGTTCGTCGTATTCGCTAGGTTAGGCATCTTCTATCAACTCTACTACAGTTCGTCGTGTTCGCTAAGTTAAGCATCTTCTATCAACTCTACTACAATTCGTCGTATTCGCTAAGTTAGGTCTTTTAATCGCTAATATTAATTAAAAGCGATTAAAACCTTAAGCTATTAAAATAAACTATAGGTCTTTTAATCGCTAATATCGATTAAAAGCGATTAAAACTTTAAGCTATTAAAATAAGCTACAAATCTTTTAATCGCTAATATCGATCGGAAGCGATTAAAACCTTAAGGCGCTAAAATAAATTATAGTTTATTTTTTATTATTATTAATTCTAAATAATTATTATTTTAAAATTTTAAATTAATATTAGCTTTTTATATATAATTAAATGTTTTATTTAATATTAATTTAAATTATATAAAAATTATTTTTTAATTTTTAATTAAAATTGACTTTTATAAATTAATTTTTCTTTTTTTTTTTTAAAACCTAACCCTTCGGGTCTTAATTAATATATAATATACTTATAGATTAAAAGTTTTTATTTAGATTATAATATAGTTATATCATTATTTAATATAGTTTTTTTAATAGAGGGCACTTTTAATAAAAAGGGTAAAATTTCAAATTAATTAAATAAATATATAAATTAAATATATTAATTATAAAAAATAATATCATTAAAAAATAATACGGAAAAGTAATATAAAAAGTAAAATAAATAGTAAAATAAGTATTATAATAAATATATTTTTATTATTATTTTTCTTAAGTAAAAGGATATAGCGAGCCCGTTTATATATACGGGGTCGCTTTAATACGTAACTAAACTACTAGGTAACTATAAAGAAATGTTATATTAAATCGCTAATTAAACGTTAATCTAAAGACTTTTAAATAGCCCCTATACTAGCGTTAACCCGAGGTCGAATTAAGCTTCTAATTCGATAGTATTAATTTTTATAAGTTATATTAAAATATTTTACGCTTATTTAGGTTTGTTTTAATAAATTAAAACATTTACAAAATACTATTAATCTTCTTTACAAATAATATATTAGTATATTTATATTTTCTTAAGTCTTTTATAAATTAACGCTGCTCTTATAAAAATAAACGAAGTCTAACCGTAACTTTAAGCGTTACGAATGTTATACCAATGCTCAAAGGAAACCGCCTTTGTATACCACATATCATGGTAGTTAGCGACACACTCCGCCCTAGTGTCTAGTTTATCTTCCTGAACCATTCTTGTAGGTATCAAGATTTGCCAAGTCCCTTCGGAGTAGTCTTTCACCTGGGCCATCCTGATAGCGTAGGTTGAGGTTTCCCCCTCCTTCAAATGATCCTGCGTATAGGCCGAAATTTTCTCCTCATCCTTATCCCATTCGGAGCGAGGAATCCAGACCTTTGGTGCGGCAGTAAATGGTTTTGACTGTGCCAGAACCCAACACCACCTATATAAAATGTCAGCATACCTGATTAGTTCTCAATCCACACACATGTCCAAGATCATGCATAATACATACCAGTCATTATTATAGGCATTATAGCCTTTCGGTGACAAAGAGAGGTAAACACCAGCCCCAAGCTGGGCTCCTCCATTCTCAGATGCGGCTTTATCATATGCTTCGTCCCGGAAAATGTTTCCATATTGATTGATCAAGTCTGCTTCGGCCTATCTGGTAATTAGATATTTGAGCAGCTTTGCATTATGGCGCGTGCTTGACTTACCCGGCTCACTCGTCGGTAGCCGATCAGCATTTCTGCGGCCAGTATAATATTGGATAAGCTAAAAAGAAGCAAAAGGTGATTCAGAGTAACTAAAACCATGTCTAGCGTTGGAAGTTGGTGCGGGCCTAGGAGAAGCGAATAATTGAGAGCCTGACTTGCGGACAGTTACCTATGTTCTACTTAAGAAGTAAGAACCAGGATATTCTGGGTACTTATAGTTGCTAACTTCAAGAGGTTGCTTTATGAAAAATCTAATCTAATCTACTTTTACTTCTGTACTAATCCTATTTATTGCTTCGGCTCGTAAAAGGCCCGGCGTGACCGGGACTCGGTATTAGCGAAACCTACCTTGTGCACTTTTAAATGAAAGGAAGATGAACGCCACTAGTGAAGATAGCTGGCCCCATTTAATGCATAGATGTAGTAAATGCTGTTTGTTGCTTTAGCTTATAAAAGGCCCGGCGTGACCGGGACTCGTTATTAGCGAAACCTACCTTGTGCACTTCTAAATAAAAGGGAAATGAACGCCACTATTAAAGATGGTGTTTATTTAGTGTAGGATTATTTACGGAGCCTCGGCTATAATTTTTGAACGGCACCTCCGTATTCACTAAACCCTTAATATAAAACCTTCTTAACGGCGTAACCGAGAAAGAGAGTTTCGGTAATTGTGCTCGGAAAGTGGCCTGCTATCAAAGCGCAAAAGGACGTGTGGGTCCACATTATTATTATGCTTGGAAAGTTAAGTTGATCTTCCATTGTCGTTGCGAGGCTCATTGCTTTGTAATACCTCTCACCCGCGAGCTCGATAGTGAAGGTTTGGGATGGTCTGAAGCGAGATATCAGTGCTAAAAGCGTGTCACTGTCAGGCGGCTTCGTGTCAAGTGAAGGGGTCAGCCGTGCACGTAGGGTCTGTTGGTGACTGGTGTTCGAATCTGCCCTTTTTAAGTCTCCTACGCTTAGAATCACCTTTGAATTCCCTTTTTATAGGGATGACTTTAATCCATAACTAGCAGAGCTATGTCTGCTTGTAATTGATTTAGTCGTTTCCAAGCCTAGAGCAAGTCTGCGCCGTGTTTGAATATACTTGTCCGAGCGTGACCAGAGTTTCAAATTTGATAAGCTGTGGACGTTAGGTCATGACTGGTTGACACAACAAAAGGTAATTGCACTGGGCTCAGTCAGCCCGGTCGCGCCAAAGAAGAGGCACATGCTCATGATTGAGACTTAATGGGAAATTGCGATCCCTGCGTGATGAATCAGGCGATTCTCGTACGGCCTTGTGCGAGAGCAATACCACTGATGACAGCCCCAATGACATTTATAATGGCGTTGAGCAGTCCACCCAAAGTGGTTGAGCGACATCAGCTTGACGGGAAATGACAAGATAGAAGCGAGGGGAATGACTGAGATCAAATTTGCAAAAACATTCGTGGGGCTCCAGGAGTGAATACAAGCGGTGATGCCAATAGGCACTATGAAAAGTAGAATTTTTACTGGCGCAGTCTTGTGTGAGTAAGGCATTAGGTGATTAAGATATGTAGTACATCTTTGGCAGCAACAGAGGGGGGCAGGACAACACACTACTTTAATTTATCTCGTCAAGGCACGGCAGGTCCGTGATGCAGCATTTCCAGGAACACCAGAATTCTCAATTCCAGAAGTCGATATCGAGTCGAAAGTCATCAATATACTGCCACGTCTATCGTTAGTGGCTAATATATAATTGTCGACTCGGGTCGCCTAAAGTACAATGAAACCAACTGCTTGGCAATAAAATATTTATACATTCCCGTGTCATACATTCATCCTGAATAGGAGCTAAAACTAACCTCAGAGAGCCAACCGTGCAGTTTCCGGACCAAGCCAATGCACGTTAGGCTTATACGTTGTCCATTATTCGTGTACGCTGGTAAGTCACGTCTAAGAGGTATGGAGCAAGGAACAAATCTCTAATAACCGAGTCAGGAGGACCAAGGTCTTCGGGTTCATGGTTCGCGCGTAATTTCAATGTGGCTAGCCAAACCGTGTCCTTGATCCTTCTATCCGGCTCGGAAATCTTAACACTCTCCGTACAGGGTGCATAACTCTTCTCAAAGTGATGATGTATCGTCTGCATCAGTGCAGTTGCATGTCGAGCACTTCGCTCGAGTCAGGGTCACCCGCATCGCGTTGTGATCCAACGTCAAATAGAGCATCTCTATGGCGATCATCTGATTAGTCTCAACGATGAAATAAAGACTTTCCAACGCGTAACGAAAACTAATTTCTTTTATCCCCCTTCAAGTAAACTTGACTGGCTTCGCCTTAAGACCCCCTCAGATGTAAGGACCAAGATCAATATGACCATCGCCATCGAGGAGCTGGAATAAGTTGAGATCCCCGAAACTATGATCCATTTCACTCCTTCCGTCAAGTATGGACAAATCTGGTGTTCTTGGTAAAGATGATGAGAGGCTTAAGAAGGATGCGTCCACGTCCGCAAAGGACGGCGACGCCAGTCCAAGAAAACCGGAGACGGGGTTGACTGTCTTCGACCCGAGGCTGCGATCCGTGTTTGTACTCAGGTTGACATCATTAGCGGGAGATTGAATGTTGTGGTCGCCGTCTGTGCCCTCTCGCGGGACCAGTCCGAAAAGCTGCGATGAACTTTCCGTTCGCTGAATCCTTTCTCTGAGCTCTTTCTTTTCCAAGTAGTCGAGAGCGGCGCTAAGTAACGACTTCGCAATGAGTGAATATTGAGAGGCGTGTGCATCGATTTTCGCAAAATGTTCGAGCACCATGATGGAGTTGCGTGTATATTTTTCCAGGATACGGCCGAAAGATCCAAGGAGACCAACACCCAGTATGAGCGATGAAGCAAATAACCAGGACCTTAGCACATAAATTAGATAAAGACAACGAAGACGCGTCAGGGTCATCACTTACACGATCAGAGGCATGTGCCCAGTCAAATACCCCCTCTCTGTCAAACCCACCAGAATGTCGACCATGAAGCTTGCTGCATCGATACACGCATCTGCAAGTTTTGACTTGCCGGAGATCAGACCTGAATTCCCCGTTGGTATCTCTGCAACCCCGTCGGCTAGTCGCTTGTGTAATTCATACATAAGGAAAGGCCGTGACACCAAGATGACAGCTGCGTCACATCAGCATCATTCTTATAGGCGCGGTTCTGGACAATTTATCGCCCAGGAAACTGACCGTAGTAGTAGGAGCATAAGATCTGGCAAGCCCCAGTCATCCTGCTTTCTTCTTGCTGAGGCGATGAGTCGGAAACAGTATCCTTTAGTCGTTGCAGCCAACGGATTGACCAGTCCCGTAGCTGTCGTGAGATGCCTTCGGTCAATTGATAGGAAACCTTTCTCCTCGAGTATACTTCCACGACGATGCCTTCAGTGATTAAGAATATTTGCGCGGAAGCATTGAGTAAATCAAACGTTTCTTGACCCTCTTCATCCAACTCTCTGTAGGGCACAGTACAATCGACATCAGATGTTGCCGGTGGCCGGCCCATCGACGTACTCAAGAAAAGATCCAAGACACGTAGACTCTTCCATAAGCGATCACTATGTACCAGGCGTGATTATTAGTCAAATCCTCTAGTATCAAGTAGCAAGGGGGGCGGGGCTTGTACCGCTGCCTCTGAACGTCGGCGCCAAATCGAGAGTTGATCTCAGTGCGGTGAATCCCGATGGAGTAGGCCGCTCTCACCGAAATACCTGTTTGTTGCATTTAGCATGAGCCAATTCCATGACAAGATATCTATTAAGAACATACCGAAGAATAGAAATGCCCCGTTCATTTGGCATGAACCAAGCATGTAGAGAGTAACGAGTATGAAAGTTTGGATGGTAGGAACGTTGATATTGCCACTGAGGTTTGCGAGGGCGATACTGCGTGCATATTCAAAATACGAAGAGGCAAGATCTTCCTCGGAAGACTGATAGCCTATAGCAAGAACGAGGTAATAAGTGGCAGATGCTGCGTCTTGCGGTCTATGGTTCTGCCGAGCCCAACATCCCAGTTCATTCACGAGCTGGGCATGGCCGAAAAGATCAACGAGTCCACTGGTCTGTAAGAATATTATCGGTGGTTATCAAATGTGGTCACCCTAGAAAAGATTCATCAGGAAATCTCACCACAGCTTGATATTTTGAAATGGCACTAGATATGGTTCCAAGATGAAGAGTTGGCTCATCGTTTCCGGAATAGTGAGCCGGCGGTCGGAAGGGAGGATTCTCAGTCTGGTGTGCGAAGACTTGCGAGTCGACGCGTGTGTTCACCAGCTGTCGGACGGTTTGGAAAAACGACAAGGGTGCACAATCGCCGATGAAGACTTGATGGCGTACACATTAGGTGAGGGTTAGAGTGATGGTGTTTTAAAAATGAACGTACTTAACTTCCCTTGAGCATCGCATAGAAGACGAGCTTCCCGGGGGACTTCTGTTTCCTCTTCAGCCAAAGCATCATGTGCCGGCCCGGATGTCCGGACTCCGGACCGAAGATCCAGGCCGTTATGTACAGACGGAGACGGCGTTCGCAGAGGGGGGGCCGGCGCTCGTCGTCTCTGCTGTGGAGAGTATCGACACGTGGAAGGACGTTGACGTCTCAAGCAGTAGCTGCATGGCAACTTTCCGTCGCATTTGACTACATCCAATGATTAGAAGTAAGTTTAACCAGCAAGCCGCGAACCGAGAGGATGCGGATGCGCGCTGAGACTGTACAGGCAGTCTAGAAGCTCCGCCGACTGCAACCCAAACGGTGCTCAAAGTAAGGACAACCAGCCCCAGGGACTCCTTAACAACTTTCATGAACAGAATAGGAACTGTACCTTTGCGGGCCTTACAACTGTCACAAGCGTTGGCAACTCTTGTGCGGACATAGGTATGCGGCGATGGCTCTCGCCCCGAGACATCCTCCATGGTGCTACAGCAGGTATTACCTTGTCGCTGTACAAACACACATGCGGAAGAGCGAAGGTCGGGACGCGGAGGGAGAAATCCAACAAGTGCCGAGGTGGAAGTTTTCCGAGAACGGAGTTTACTCGACGCTAGCCTTGGATAGCTAGCTTGGCACAATTTGTTGAGCCACGATATACAGTGCTTCCGAACCCAGCAACTGTGACGGATGCACGGTGTCTTGCCGATGGCGTCACAAGATCTGGCTCCGACGGACGGAACCACCGCGGAACCACTTCGAGAAGCCGCATTCTACTCTGAACCCGTGCCTCGTCATCACGCTTCCTTTCCTCGAAGAATATCATGTGTGGAATATAGCGAGATCGCTTCTCTGAAGCAAACCAGTCGAATTACAAGGGACCATGACGCTTGAGCCTACATAAGGTCGTCGCCGGCACAGAGTACTACACTTAATCAACTCCCCAACCCGTTGTAAGGCATTGTATATTTAGAGTATTTCGCAGCTCCGCGAGTATTAGTCTTAGTTCATGAAGCTATGATAGAATACTCCTAGATCTGATAATCTTATCTGAATTGTAATCACTATGCCCTTTACCACGTCTAATCATGCGTTGTTTTATTTGTTCGTGGAACGTGCATTGCGCTGTTCGTTCTCTTGTTGTCTTGTCAAACTGTACCCTGCCCCAGTAAATCGTCACGCACTTTAGCGGTCGCCAAGCAAATTATTACGACAGAGGCTGCGGCAACACATATGATTATAGTCCATACTTTATCTTTAGAGAAAAGTTTTGTCGGCAGAAGAGTGGGTGGTGGAACTACCTTGAACCCATTTCACGGATCACTAATTAAAGGCATTGGTCAACAACGAATCTCGCACGGTAACTCTTTCTAATAAGCATGCACTCCTAGGTATCAAAAATTCAATGCACCGCGCCGCGGCAATCAACAGCTTTGAGGGCAAAGGAAGCATGTGAAGCCGGGGGTAGGGTGGTCCAAGATCTTCACTTCGTAGCAAATGAAGAAGATATTCGCTACCGAGTTTCTCATGTCAGTCAAAAACGAGCACTCCTCCAGAGTTATAGAAATGGATTCTCCAAAGGACCGGCGATGGCTGCCTGCCAGCCCTAAAACTCCCCAGGCCGCTATGGGAGGCTTCGAGTAATTTCTTCGCTCAGCCACGCTGCGATCCGAGATCCGCAGTTGCTCTTCCGCTCCCGCAGGCGAAGGGATCGGATGGTCCACCCAGATGCAACTTTCCTCATTTGTGGACCCGGCTTAATGTGAATGGATCATCAAGGTTACGCGCGGAAGCTGGTTCTTGTTTCCCCTGGCATTAGTCTAGCACATGTGTTATTTGCACCTTGTTGATGGCATCTACTGCTCTATGGATATCATGAATTGACGCATCAAAAAATCACCTCCGCGGTCCCTTTTCCAACTGCCCCGCCTGCAGAGTCTCGTCCCTTGTTTGCTTGAGAAATGGCATTAATGCCGTTCCACCAGTTCCAGTGAGTTGCTCGTCCTTCACTGAAGATGCGCTTGCCAGATCTACTTTCGCACCACTGTACATCTTTCTAGAAGGAAGCACGATGTAGCGGGTTACAATTTGCAAATGCTTGTTACGGAACTCCGTCATCGTTTTGATTGCAGCTTGGTATGCATTGCAAAAGTCTTCCTGCTTGACACTGGAAACAGGTAGTTTCGCAAGCTCCCGGATACTACCCATGCGGGCAACGTGTTCGAGAAAACGTTTGTGTGGCCCTGGCATATAACTGCGGACTTCTTCGTGAAATGCGGGCATTTTTGTTTGGCTGGGATTGGTTTTGCTGGCATGTGGGTTGCTGTTCCCCTCCGATGTATGCTCAACCCCCAGGACAATGTCGAGAAATTGGATGAGAGAGCTTTGGCCATTGCTTCCTCCACGGAGTTGCTGCCAGGTACCCTGACCATCGCCTTCGTCGTAGAAGACACCTTTCGGTAGGCCCGCTGCTGCCATGTTCTTGCTACCAGCCAAGAACGGGCGAATCTCGTAGAAGAAAACCATGGGATCGCAGTTTTCATACATCCGCTCTAATAAAGCGCCGATCTTTCGAATGTTTCCGGACAGGGCTTCCAATGCCCGCGTGATTGTTTCGTAATTTCTTGTTTTAATGGACTCCAGAGCATCGAGCATATCGGTCATAATTCGAGCACCTTGGGCTTCCATGGCTACTGAAACCAAGTAGAACCAAGCTTCATCTTTTGTGCCCGTGAATGTGTGCAGGGATTCCAAAGAGTCCAGGTCGGTGAAGTCGTTGTTTGTTGAAAGGAAATTCCACAAATTCAGGCCTGCGTAAGTCGCGACAGGCGGAACTTCAAGATGTTCGGAAACGCGTAAGAGAGGGACAGCAACGGCTCGGGGTAGAATCTGTAGCTGTGGTGAGAAATGCTCCTCGGAGTCAGAGGCGAGACAGTGCACTAACCTCTTGCGCCTGTTCTCCGCCCCAAATGTAGGCATGTGCCAGGAAGATCAAGATCACATAAGCCCGTCTCCACTCAGCTTCACTGCGTAGCTTATTCGTCGACAAAGGAGGAAGACTGTCGACGTCACGCCGCAGCTTGCCAGTCTTTAGAAGCTCTGGGAGGTGTTGAACAATTGTTTCCCACGGCAAATAGTAAGGATCCGTAAGGACTTTGACAGGTGCATCGGCAGGAAGAAATCCGTTCTGTGTAATGGCGTACTTCTTCATCAATGCAGAGACATTGGCCTCTTCTGTGAATATGGATAGCGCGTGAGGAGACATCTTGTTCCAAATTGAACGTTCAAACTGTGAAAGAGTAGGGTTGGTGTAATGAAGTTGATATTTGCGAAGGCTCTAGGTGGCAGAGGAAGTAGATTGAGTCGGTATGAGGGCAAAACCAAGCTCAGGTCAATGCGAGTCAGGGTATATTAAGATAAAGAAGTAGTTCCCGAATTTACTGTCCCAGGCCCTTTGTTTCCGTGCTGCTCGCCAACATGTACGCATCTTGCAAACACACGCTTGTCATCCGATGGTATAAGTGGACCAAGCCGAAACCCGTCGCTTACAGGCGGAAGCGCTAGGGCTCTGACGGAAGCGGATGCCGGATGTAGGCGGGGCCGTGTGGGAAGTTTTCGGAATGACGATGCGCTATCTCGAGTTAGATGAGGAGGCGACGGGTACAAAGACGAACAAGATGCCCCGGTTCTTCAGCGTATGGTACCATTTCTGAGGATATCCGAACCATCTAGTAAACTTGACATTGTTTCTCATACGATCTAAGATGGAATTCAACGCCTTTGCTGAGCAGATCCGATCTGGCCGTCAGGCTAAGTTTCCCACCAACGCAAGCACCCTCTCATTTGCGCAGCAGCTTGACGCCCAAGACAAGCTAGCACATTTGCGCGATGAGTTTATCATTCCGACCAAAGGTTCTTTGAAGAAGAAGTCTTTGTATGGAACGCTCCCTAGTAGGTCCTACCAAAAATTGATGTCACAAGATTTGTGGCACAGCAATCATCACAGATCCATTGCTGATTGCTCAAAAAGACAATCAAATTCTCAACGGTCATGTAAAAGAGGTCAATGGCACAAACGGAGTTCATACATCAACTTCAGATGACGAGAAGCCATCAGTCTACTTCTGCGGTAATTCATTGGGAGTTCCACCCAAAGCAGTCAAGGATTACGTTCATGCTCAATTGGAGACCTGGGCATCGATTGGGGTGAATGGTCATTTTCAGGGGCTTGAAAACTCACCGCTTGTATGCTGGCAAGACATGGCAGAGGATGTCGCGAAGAAAAGTGCGGACATTGTTGGCGCTCTACCAGAAGAGGTTGTCATGATGAACACTCTGACCGCAAACTTGCATTTTTTGATGGCCAGCTTCTATCGACCGACGGAAAAGAAGCACAAAATTATCCTTGAATGGAGGCCATTTCCAAGTGATCACGTAAGTCCTGTGCCATTTCACCCTACTCGTAGAACGAACTGACGAGGATAGTATGTTATCGAATCTCAGATCCAGTGGCATGGATTGGATCCGTCCAAGTCTATGGTCCAGATCCAGCCCGATGAGAACTTCTACATCTCCACCGATCTCATTATGAAGACAATTGACGAGCACGCGGAGGAGACAGCCCTCATCCTACTTCCTGGTATACAATACTACAGTGGCCAGCTCTTCGACATACCCCGCATCACCGAATACGCTCAGTCCAAGGGTATCATTGTTGGTTGGGACTTGGCCCATGCTGCTGGAAACGTCGAGTTACGGCTTCACGATTGGAATGTTGACTTTGCCGCATGGTGTACTTACAAGTACCAGAATGCTGGACCGGGGTCAATGGCCGGCGCGTTTGTCCATGAAAAACACGGAAAAGTTGACACCAGTGAGGGTAAGCCCAAGTTTCGCCACAGGCTCACCGGGTGGTACGGAGGCGACAAATCGGTGCGCTTCAACATGGACAACAACTTCCTTCCCACTGTTGGCGCTGGCGGTTTCCAGGTCTCAAATCCCTCGGCTATTGATCTTGCCTCACTCTCAGGCGCTCTATCAGTATTCAGCAAGACGACCATGACCGACTTACGGACGAAGTCTCTGGTACTAACCGCGTATGCGGAGCATCTTCTCGATGGCATCTTGGCAGACGGCACGGGTAGCGAACCATCATTCAGAGTTCTTACGCCAAGAAACGCTCATGAGCGAGGTGCTCAGCTGAGCGTTCTGCTCAAGGATGGCCTGCTGGAACATGTCGTGGAAGCTTTTGTTGATGAAGGGATCGTCTGTGACAAACGCAAGCCAGGAGTCATCCGCGTTGCGCCAGTGCCATTATATTGCACCTTCCAAGACGTGTGGAAGTTCATGGATACTCTGAGAAAGGCGATTGTTTGAACTATTTGGTATATGGTGCCCTTTCAATAATCAGACCCTATTTAATGTACATCTTTGATCATATGCATTAACCAGACATGACTATTGAAGGGAGAATATCAACTCATTACGTATACACGGTCACTTTTGAAATTGACATGCTAGATTACTGTAATTCAGCTGGGTTTACTTTGACCATAGATTCAAGGCCAGAAATATGTAATAAGTGTGGCACGTCAATGCTCCGCAGGAGGATGGTCATTCAGCTCAACAAATCTTCGCCAAGTGTGAACCCAGTCACCGCGGAGATAAGGCGTGATTTCTATTTGTAAACCTAACGACTCAGGACATTAAAGGGAATCAAACCACCGATCCCTTGCGCTAGAGTCACTTCTGGCATTATGTACCTGCTGGAACTACTGAGGTTTGATTGCTGGCTGGATTTTGCAGTTTGACATACCTGCAGCTAATGCAATAATGGATGGCATACAAGAGGACCAACGGCTAAGATGCTTGATATTTTGCGAAAATTTGATGATGGTATCCAAAACTGACGCAACCACACTAAATGCCAGGAGCCTAAGCGGCATACCTCGGCCGCACATAAGCCGCGCTATGGATACCAGGATGTGTGCAGATGGCATTGGAAGGTGTTTTGATAAAAAGTAGAATACGCTGGTATAAAGTCGATAAACCAGCATCGATATAACGAATCCCATCAGGGACCCAAGCAGCTGTCCGCAGACAAGAGACATCGGTGGCGCGTTCACTAGAAGGCTCATTTTGACTCGTCCATCAATTTAGCCGCTTGCCATACACTGGCATCAACGATACCAGCTAAAGCTAAGCTGAATAAAATGAAGTTCGGGTTCGATGAGGGTAATAGGAGACGAATATGAATTGCAGAATCTTTAGCTTTACATGTTAGAAGCGGTAAACACTAATTCCCATTGTAGATGTCATGTATCAATGTAATCCGACCTCCCCGTCCACATTTCTTTTCAAGAGCGGATATTAATCTCTGCGCCTGCTCCTATCCCTCATAAGGGCCAAATACTCAGTATTGCATATCAATTTATAACACGCCTACAGCATCCGCTGATTGCTGGTTAACACCTCCAAAGATTAACCTCGAGATATTAATATGTTAATATAAATTAGCGGTAATATTATTAATGCTACTGAAGTAAAGCCAGTATCAGCACAGAAGCCTTAAAAAGCATAATTATAGAGGCGAAGCATGAGAGCAGTTCAATTACTATTCAGATTAGACAGGCTTTAGTTATTAATTTGTCATTTTGATAGGTTAAGAAGTTAAGGATCTAATCTGGGACGATGCTCAGGGCCGTGCTAGGTGTTAGGTGCACCGCCACTAGGCAAGAGTCAAGACACAAAACTGGCCCAGAATTTGAGCTCTATCATCAAACATTGAACGCAACATGACTAAAATTCATGGAACGCCATAATCCAACCTCTCGAAATGTTGAAGTATAACCGAACCGCAATGGCAACAATCCTCATCGCCGGCGAATTTTCATGCCCTAGGTGGGTCTGCCGATCTAGCCTGTGCTGGCCCGGGACCAAGTACTGCATCGCCTGCACCTTCAAAGCAAATAATAGCCAATCAGCGAAATTTATCTGCATCTCAAGAACGCCGTACGCGTTGGCAAGACAAAATGCCATGCACTATTTGTGGCTTTTCTGTGTTCGCCCGCCGTTAGAGTGTCAGCAGAGCATCTACCACCTATCATTCTCCCCGTCTAAATTTCGCAGGATCTCGATGAACCGGTCCAGGCATAGCGCAAAGCGCGTCTTGGTCAGACGACCCGAACAACTGACGTCACCTAGGTCACTGCCATGCGGATATTAATGCCACTGCGCTCCCACGTGAAAAAACCACTGTCACATCGTTCTGTCTTATTATCAGTATCCCTCCACCGACTCCTACCTACATCACCTATCAACGCAACTTACGTCTCACCACACCAGAGCCTCCCGCTGTCTTCACCATCTTCCGCCCTTGCCCGATAGCACCCAGCGACATCATGATGCACAACGCAGTGTTGACCAACTTCCTCTTGCAGCTATGCCTCGCATTATTGGCCGTTGCCGCACCTGCGTCTGACCCTGTCGTCGGCGCCGCAGCTCACGGCAACACCTGGCAGTACGGCACTGGTGGCGGCATCCTTGGATTCATAGTCCTTGTCTTGGACATCATCGTATTTCGTAAGTTTGCTTTTGAACAGTGCTTTTACCCGGTTATATTTCCCGTCTACCCATAGACATCGTATTTGCTTACAACGCCACGCGCACAGTTGAGGTTCTGAAGTCCGATCGACCTGTCAGTCACAAGGTTCTGTGGTGCTTGGTTGTCTTCCTCTTCCCGATCGTCGGCATGATCATCTACTGGCTATTCTCGAACCGCGCCGCTCACAACTCTCGTTCTGGATACGAGGCCGTTGCGTAAACGTTGCTACGACAAGTATATATCACAGACTGATTGGCCCAGAGGCAGTTGAAAGGTGGTCAGCTATCGCCGTCAGGGAGACATTTTGCCACTGGAAGTTGATTGACCATGCATGTGGCGACCGATTGTATTCGACTGGCACAGCAGCTATTATGGGCAGCGATGATGTCATTCGTTGAATTTGGTAATGGCATATGGATGGCTTTAGTTGACAAGCATGGGTTGTTTGCGGACCGTCGACTTGCAACAACCGAAATCAGCAGCCCTGTCTTGCTAAATCAAAGCTGACGCAAGAATTTGTGTTCAGAACCACTAGAAGAAATGGAAGACTGGTCGAAAGAAGTTTCTCTTGCTTCCGTTGGGTTCCTCCACGTAAATTGAATGAAGATATAATATGCCAGTGATCACCAAGTATACTCGGTCTATTCCGCTAAGAAGGGTCCAGACGGGATGAGTTTCCATAACGGGTCCTGTAAACAATGTATGTCCTCCTGCAGTAACTATCAACTTAGAACATGTGAACAATGGGTGACCCATGATACGACCTCAGCCAGGGTGTTCATGGCTCGACACTTTTTCTCCAGTAGGGAAGGCTCCTGAGCTTTCCCCTGGTTCTACATTTGCGTCTCAATCGGGTTTCGAACACGATTGAGTTCAGACCTTGCCGCCTGACGAAACTGCTTGAATGGTGCAAACATGGGACGAGCGCCATTGTCCATTTGGGTCTGAAACGGTAGTGGCTACGTTGTGACTGACTCATGAAACGCCCGACAACGAGAAAACCCCTGGGTTGATCTGCCGTCTTAGGTCCGGTTCAACATCTATGCAGCAGCACCGCAATTTCCTATCCTCCAAGACGCCAACAATAGCTGGCCCATCTTATTGACCGCTGTCGAGAACCGAACAAATTCCTATTGAAAGAAAAAAATTCAAATAGCATAATGGAGTCCAAGAACGAGGATCAACAGCCTTTTCTAGGCTTTCGAGACGACCCCAATAAGCGAGACTCGACGGAAGACGGAGCGATAGAGAGCGACAGCTCTCTTCGACAGCAACAGGCGCTGAGAGCTTCACGCCACGGCAGGCTTATACGAGACGTTCTTGTTTGCCTCGCAACATCTCTACTATGGGTCGCTGCATTTTACATTCTAGTGCCGAATTCTCTCAATCGACACGAGGGTACCAACGTTGACGGTGGTAGTCGAACTCCTACGTCGAGTGACTACATCGCAACGTTCCACAATGTCACCTCGAATGCCAAATTCATCTCTTGCGGGAACTCTACGGTCGAGGCGAAGCAAATGGATTGCAAATACGATACCTTGCTAAACTTCTGGGTCCCGTCACAATGTTACGACCGAGAGTTTGAGATGGAATACAAAGATGACGGTAGCTGGAGTGCCTTCGCGGAGTATGTCAATAAATGCTCAAAACGTAGCGGATGACGTCGTTACTAACACTTATGCTGCAGCCAAAACTTGACGCAGCCCATAGCTCTAGAAGCAATGGGTGATCAAGAAGTTTACTACACTTCAATTCGCGACCACCTGAATCACTGTTCTATGCTTTGGAAGAAGCAATTCTGGACCCTTTTCGAGGAACGAACTGTATTTGATGGCATCATTGTGAACGGATTCCATACCGAGCATTGCGCCGACTTTCTCAAGGATATCTACGGATCAAACCGAACTGATGCCACGCTCGTGAGGGTTGGATTTTCGGGGTGCTGGGTTCGAAGTAGTAGTGACGATCTGTAGTAGAACAATGATGTTTGAGCCTACCCAGACTGGGCTGAACAGCATAACACATAATATTCCTAGTATGAGATGATGTTTTGCTGAGTTGGCGTAAGCAGCAATATATTTAACAGGCGATGGACTACGTGGCCACTTCTATCCATTGCGTTGCAGGAGGTTAGTGATCTGGTCGTAGAGCTCAGACAAGTCAGGATACTCGAATGAGATACAGCGGAATCATCGAAGCTATGAAAGCTGTGGTTGATTATTACGATAGTTAGTACCACAGCATCATGAATAAAATGAAGACACTGTATTCCACTACGATGCTGAGTTCCGGAACTGACCATCTCACAAGTTAATGTTGTGCTGAGAATGCTGTGTTGTCAGCACGAGCCGTATCTGGAAAGACAGGGGCAGTCTTCTTAAAAGTCCGACTCAATGCCATCATATCCTTGCATAAAGAACGTCTCGTAGTTGTGAGTATTTCTTTATTTTCGGGGGATTGATTACGACGTTTTGGCAGATCAAATGCTATTGGGCTACGCTCCTTTGTTTTTCTCATCGACACATTCCTCCTACAACATTTGAATTCCCACAGTCATCTCAAAATACACTCAAGCTTTGCCAATCAATATGCAAGTCGCTATCGTCAAACTGTAGTTCACTCCAGTTCAATAAACCCCCGTCGACTCCTGGCCAGACGTCGAAGGATCCTTGGTCAGTCACTTCCCTCGTTGGAGCCCAAGACGGCTCATCTTCCACGCTTCCTTCCTGATTGTTGGTGCTAACGCTTCCCAGACTTTCCATTTCGAAAAGCCTTGAAACATATCCACTCCTTTCAACGGGGTTTGATTTTGACCGACGCTCTGCGATGGCGTTTGCCAGCGATGTCAAGATCTCGAGATAATGTGCAGCTTGGGGACTTTGGCTAGCAAGAAAACTTAAGACATCCATAGCTCCTTGGAATGCTCGGTCGGTATCAAGATCTATGATGACCTCTGCGAAACATTCTACGCCAAGTATTAATCCAGCGGAAAATACTAAAGCTCTGGGGTTTTGTTGTTAGTACAGTTTTGAAATGAACTTGCGATATGTACGGATAGAGATAGTAAAGGGACAAGCCAGGTGATCCCAATCTTACTTCAAAATGCACATGCTTCGCTGAAGCAGTCCTATCTTGAGCGCATCGGCACAAGTTTGTGCCAGATACGCAGCGGCTTCAATACAAGCCGTGGCCAGTGGTGGATGGCGGATCTTGTTCCCCGCCTGGCTGTTGAGGGAAGAAATAAAAGTCGGCCGTGTCGCGAGCGTGACAGCAAAGTAATACAAGCAAGATACGTGGATTTTGGCAATCGCCACTCGATTATCCTTGATTGGATCCTTCTGAGGACTTTGAGGCTGTTCTGCACACCCAAGGGGTATGAAGAGATCTCTTTTCCAGCCATCAATATTGACTAGTAGTTGTTCCACGACGGAAACCTTGATATCTTTGCCGCGGTATAGTGTATTGTTGATGTTATTGATGATTTCAACAATGCCGCAAGTCGCATCAAGGTACTTTGTTCCGTAGTTGCAATCTGGTGCTAAGCCTCCGATTACTGGCCTAGCATCAGTGCCTGCTGTGGCGGCTGGCCGGCCCAGGAGAGAGCTGACAAGCTTGTCTAGAATGCGGACACTTATCCAGACTCTCGATCTGTACGATGAGGTGAGTATGAGTAACCTTTGATCTGTGCGAGAATTCATTCAAGGAATTTCGACATCTCTTGATAAAGAGACTTACTTACCTAAGAACGTCACACTGATGCGACTTGGGCTCACGTGTATAAATAATTTGACTGTGAAGTCCCAGAGCCAGTGCAGCCCTTGCAGCGATGGATATGTACATGTAGGCTGTATTTCTGCGACAATTTCCTAACATGTAGAATGCCATGAGCAGAAATACCCTCACCATGTCCAAGTCTGGGTCTTCTAACAAGCCAGAGAAGGCTTGACGCTGTGCTTTGCGGAAAAAGGTAAAGCTGTGATGTTGAGCTTCTGGTGCGCTGCAGCACTGCGCCCCAATTGCCATTACCACGTCTCTGATGGCATCTGAGGAATGAGTTGGGTATTCTGATGCACAAGTGGCCTTGTAAACGGAATTGTTTTCGGCTCTAGAAGAGTTTTTCTCAGTAGAAATGTCGTGAGTTAAGCATTGCAATCGCTTTTCATCATCAGAGTCCAGGACGTCGATGAGACCTTCCGTCTATTGCAGGAGACTTAGTCATGATCTTGATTGAAAATCTTGAATGTCTTACAGTTGTATAGTAAAAATTCGAATAATCAAGCCGTTGTTGTGTACCCAGATCTACAGTCTCATCTCCTGAGATCGAGCGCCTTGCCTCCGGAGACTCGGCTTCGAGCATCATTTCCATTCCATCATTGTGGGAAAAAGATGAGGGACCGATTTGTCTCACAACAACCTGACGAACTGTTTGAAGGAATGAGATTGCTGCAGCGCTTCCAACAAATACTACCCATTCGCGGTCAGCGAGTTTACCAAAGCGATCGACCAAGGGTCACTCGACACCTGACCACCTACCTTGTTCACCACGCACGCTACGCAATAATCTGCATCGGTTGGCCAGTAATGAGGACTCTGCTGGAAAATCATCGCCGATTAGGGATTCGCGAGGAGGCGTCATGGGACTTTGGTGCGCACCGCTTCTGGGTTCTCCGAAATCCTGCCGAGAGACTGAAGGAGAGATTGGAAATGAACTTGAGGTCTGTTCCACGTCATTATCATCGTGGCGTCGCGACGAAGTATTTGGTGACCCGACAGAAGTAGTTGACCTTGTAATATATCCGTGCTCGAAAGATGCGCGTGATCTCCGTCCCACAGCATTGGTAGCTCTGGCATTCGAGTTTTTCTTTGTCCTTGAGCCGCGTGGTAGATATGTCATACGGCAGTCTGGCTCGAGCCCTCGACGAACACATTGATTACAAGGTGCGATTCCGCTGCACTTCTTCTTGGCTTCACGGCAGAATCTGCAAGCCTCGGCAGCTCGCTGGCGCTGGCTTTCGGGGACTTTGGGGCGAGGCATGACACTGAAGAGAATGCAATGTTGCCAGCCGTCGTTGAGAGGTGAAAATGTAGGATGTGAGGCTTTCGGGAGACGAATGTCAGCCAGAATCGACCCTGTACATTACTAGGGGGACTATAGGGAGCGCGGGTACGGTCAAATGTGTGGAGCATCAGATAAAACAGAGTTCCTAAGCGCAGGAGGCACATCGGTAGCCGGCTCCCGGGCCCTGCATCCCAGGCCCTGCACCCCGAACCCCGCGTCCCCACCCCCGCTCACAGTGCCACTTTCGGAAGTTCCTAAAGGCTTCCGATGCCCACGTCACGAGTAACATGTCAGCTACTTTTGACACCACAGCCTCAGGTTCGCCATGTGATCTCTCTCCAACACGAACTATTCCATTAATCTGACAGTCCTATTCCCGGCGATCAACTACCATTGTCAATCTCACGTCAGCCTACCTAGTGTCCCCTGGGGTGGTAGGGGTTGCAGGGGGTCAAATAGAATGGAAATTCCTTGGAATTTTCATGATGTGAAAAGACCAAGAATTCAAAAGGGTGAAGTTTCAATCTTGTAACAATTTCTTGGAAATATTGACCGGTCACCATCGAATAGGAAAAGGTAGTCCTCCTAGTCTCGAAAGGCTACGACTACCTAGCTTCCATAGACCGCCTACTAACCATCGGGGTCATCGTTCCCTTTCCCGCTTTGAAGTCACACTTGCACCCCATCCTAGGTAGGAGTCGCAAGCGCTTTTTCTACGCTACGCTTCACAGTCCTTGAATCCCGGCAGCTTGAAGAGTTGCTTGGCGTTGTCCCGACCGATTTTCTTCTTGTCATTTTCGTTGATGGGAAGGGCGTCATACCAATCGCAACCATCTGAGAAAGACTCGAAGGGGTAGTCAATCGAAAACAATATGCGATCCGCACCTACTTCAGTCATGCAAAACTGCAGGGTCGTGGTGGAGAAATGCCCGCTGGTCGTGATCCACAGGTTGCTTGCAAAGTACTCGCGAATTGTTCGCTTGCAAGACAATCCCAGTGGCTTCTTGACATCTTCGAACCAGTGATTGATGCGCCACATGTCGAATGGAATTTTCTCTCCTAGGTGGCCCAAAATAATTTGAAGTTTGGGATGACGATCGAAGACGCCATTTGTGACCATACCAAGGACGTGCAGACTGACTCCCTGGGCAAAGCTCAGGGGGGGTCCGATGAGCCACGAGCGTTTCGCCCAAAGCTTTTCGTGGATTGTTCCTGTGGGGTTTCTTGGGTGCAGATAAAAAGGCACATTAAGTTCAGTCACCGTAGACCAGAAAACATCCCACTCGGGACCGTCATAAAAGATCATGTCATCCCCGTCAGGACCTGCCCGCTGAGTATCGTTGACCAAGGCGCCCAAGAAGCCGAATTCGGTCACGCAACGTCTCAACTCTTCAGCGGCTTCCTTGGGATCATGCATAGAGAGGGTTCTGATATATGATTAGCTCCAAAGTGTTTGTGATTCCAAGGTAGATGACCTACGCAAAGGCACCAAATCGCTCGGGGTGTTTCTTAATCTCGCGGGCAATGTAGTCATTGATCTCGTTGGCCAAAAGCTGTGCCTCATCCGAGTCCCATATGTCTTGAATTCCAGGTGCTGTGTACGATAAGATCGTGAATCCGACCCCATGTTTGTCCATATAATTGAGCCGAATGTCCGCGACATCGGAGATCTCAGCCGCGTGCTTTTCAGGGTCGATGGCAAAAAGTCCTGCCCACCAGCGTGTCTTCTCTTGGAACCTTGGGAGAGCAAAAGCTTCCTCGAGCGCGATTTTCCCAAGCATAATGGAAACCTTTGAGGTATGATAGGTAGAGGAATTGGGTATTTGGCGACTAAAGAAAATGGGTTGAAGAGCATCTGGTACAGTGAATTGATTTTTTTTGACGTCGATTGGGGCCTAGACGAGCGTTTATATCTGAAGTCGGGAAATGTACAGGGCCTACAGAATCGTTTCCATCATCACTAACAAGCACTCTGAGTCCGCAAACCTAGATCAGGGTCTCGATCAAAGCGCACTGTCGCGTACCGGGCCGCGCAGATTCATACCACCACCCGCATCGGAACAGAGTGTGAGTAAGCACGGCATTCTCCCACTGCAGGTAAGTAGCGGATACGTACGTTTGAGAGACTGTTTTCTCCACAACCATATCGTAGTCGGCACAGTGCGCAGTCAAAGCGGATACGACCTACCACACCTTCTTCCGATGGTGAATGCGAGCGCTGACCTTTGCTAGCCGAGGCGCAACTTTCCCTTAGTCCGTAGCCGACAGTTCCGACATGCCCAGCATCTTTGCGGAATGGTCTCGTGTCGTGGCATCTCCGTATCTAGCCAGCTGCATGCTAGGTCATAGAAGAACCCCCCGCCCCAGCCTCCCCGACACCGTTGGATAGCGCACTGGGGCTTGCTCTCTACTCCTTCAGAGAATCAAGTCGAACTCGGCTCTCTGTTAAATCCATTTACGCCATTCTAAGTAATACTGCCTACTACTAGGTGGTACAGCGCTGTAAATGGTTCAACCCAGAGATGGTCCATCGAACCGCTTCAGTCCACGTGTAGGTTAAGTCAAGGATATCACTAGGGATGGCTTACAGATTGTCTTTTTCTGGCCTTCAAGAAGCTATTGCAAGGCCTTTAATAGTTCCCAATATCTCTTTCATACGCGGTCGAAGGTGCAATGCCAGTAGAGCTAACGGGTTTTAAAAGTAGGTTTCTCATATCATTACAGTCTCGAGAGTTATTAGCAATCTCCTAATATATTCCAAGGACCCGAATTCCAAGTCCGAGCATTGAGAATTTCAAATAGTGGGAATTTTTGACATCCATACAGAAAACTATAGAAAGACCCATTATTGTTTTCAAAAAACCATCCAGCTCCCCTGAATTTTCTAAGAGGCAGCATACCTGGGTGAAGTTACCGGATTCCAATATATAGGTAACAGGGTAGATGCAATTAACTTCTATTGAAAGACATACCGCTGAAGGGCGAGCTTTGGTCGACCTTGTCCAGTGACCAGTCGCAATTAGCCGCAGGGCAGTATAAAATAACAACAAAAGCCCCATTTTTATCATTTGCCAAGACAGATAATATGGACTAGAATTTTAACTACAGCAGAATATCAACAAGGGATATTCTTGTCGGCTATTCAAAGAAGGGTAAGATTTTACAAAAAGGTCTAACATTGCAAACCACTGAATGCGCTACCTGGGTGGGAGCTTGTATGTTGCCAAGGGGATGAGAGGCATTATCATTCTTATTATAAGAAAGTATACTGCTATTTGAGTGCACCTATGTCTCAAGAACCCCGTGGTATTCGTATTATAGATTCAAATTCATGCCACTTTCTGGTAAGTTTGAGTTGCTTACCACCGAGCTTGAGGTGAGACACTGACTTCATTCTGGTGCATGCCGTTCGTGGCAGAGATATGCATTCCCTGGGTGTCAAATTACATCATGAGGAGAGCTTGAAGGCATAGGGATGCTTTGCTCATCAACTTTCTTCTCTCAGGGCCAAAAAGTCAAGAGGATACGAAAGTTAATTTTGTTGCCTGTGAACTACTGCCTGAGATTATCCAACCGAGAAGCATTTCATATTGTGCTTCAGAGGGTTGCCGCTTGGCTTGGTGCGTGGGTTAACGCAACTTGCGTTATTAGAATGCAGCTGCCGTTGAGAACAATGAGAAGCGTATGTTGGATGACACGTTTGAGTTATACGCCTATAAAGATTTGTTTGGATCCTGGCGCCGAATCGGGGCCCGAGGGGATTTGCTATTTAAAAACTATCTATTAAGGTAACGTGATGATGGAAAGGAAGCGATCTACATGCTCATCCACATCGAAAATTTTGTGCTCCTGATGAAGCGATAATTATTCAGCTTTCTGACAGAATTAACCGGGCTCAGTTCTCTTCTGTAGGAGAAATCCGTGTCACCGTGAAATTCTCCTGAGTCAGCCGTGACCCACTACGGTCTCATCTCCTGGGTTAATTGACTCATTGTGAAGGCATATATGAACATTCTCTGGCCTTTTGGTTCCAATCTATTTAGCTTGTATCAAGATGCTGCGTCGGTTGACTCGCTAATAGGGTCAAGGTAATTTGCCCTGCTAGCTGCTTGCTGGATCAAATCAAGAGCCCCTGATCTTAGAAACATGATCATAGTCACTAGAGTTCTAGTTATTGTTGTCCTTCAATACCCAAGGTATACAACCATGTCTAGGTAGGAGACGGAGTGACTTGAAAAATTACCAACGACAGAGAGGCACTTGGATTGCTAATTAAACTTCCGAAGCTATGTCATGTGTTGAAACTTTAGTAATAGTGCCCGAAGAAATGCATTTGGGATGTGTCGGCAAATTTAGAGTTAAATTCGGTCGATTTGATTGACTCAAGGTATTTCAAGAAATATCGCATGCCTCAAGGTTGGCCGTAGTACGCTCGGGAACGCGACCAACGCGACTAGTTGCAGGACCTCGACAAATTCAAAGACTTTTCTTGTTTTTCTCATCGGGAGCAATCAATGAATAATTCGAATTTGTGGCTAGTGAAGTCTCACTCGCCGGTTACGAGACGTACAAGCGCGCTTTTAGCAATGGGAGATGCACCCAACCGACTAAGACATACCAAATTGGATGCAGTTGTTGAACTGGAGGCAGTATTCAATTCGGTGGCTATTACTCTACGTATAAACCTACCTTGTTGCTCAACTCTTTCCATTCTGGCACGGCTGAGCTTACAGGAAGTTATTACTCGAACCAACTTTCCACGGAGAAGTTATTATAGTGTGAATGTTTAGTCAATCGTAGATATTCCAAGTGCTTGAGCGCGGCTTTCTGTCCTCTCACTTGCCTGTCTGACTCAACAACGAATGGTTTTATGACGTTGCGGTGCATCAATACTTCGGCTATCGCCACGGTCAGTCGTTAGGACCCTGTAAACGTCGCTGCCCGTCCTGATGTTTATCATGAACTTTGGGGGCATTACTACTTGATTAAGTAATTGACCTGACGTGGCGTTGACATTGAGCTAAGCGGATCTAGCATAGTCGAGATTTAGTTTAAAGAATCAAGGCGACTGGAACTTTTTTCAAAAAATACTTTTTCATGTTTAGGTACTGTTCATTACATGCAGTGGTGTCTCCGGGGACAGATCCGGAACCGAAGGTGAGGACCATCGGCAACGCTAGTGGAAGTAGGTACGGAGACAACGTCTTTTCTGGGATCGCATCCCCGTTTTCTCCCCATAACCTTGTAAGGGCCGTCGAATCAAAGGGGTGCATTCATCACGTGCCTGGCGATACAAATGTTACTCTGCCCGAATCGGCACAATGGCCCACGGGGGGACGATTGAATGTAAACAATGTGATAAGAGCACGTGGCCGGTAATGACCGGGCCGATGTCTCGACACAATTTGTATATAATGAGGAACTGGTAGCCTACATTGATCTGGGGAGAGCTCCTGACCACGTAGGGCAGAGACAAAGATCGCAATGGCACCCATCACGCTTGGCTTGCTTTGCCTCGTGGCAACCCTGGTTGACGGAAGTTCAAGACTTCTTGCGCCAGCTCAGGACATCTATCTACCGGCCAGCAAGACTGCCAAGCACCCACTGGAACACCTGGGCGCGAACGGACCCTGGTTCGCAGGTACAACTAGTCGACCTCAATTTTGACTATCTAGTTCCGCTCACATTATATTTTCAGGACCCGATGTCAATGGCATATCATCCAAAATTCCAGAAAACTGCTACGTTGACCAAACAGCGTACATTTCTCGGCATGGATCAAGATATCCCGATCCCGGCGCGTACAATGGTTGGGTTTCGATGCAGGAACGAGTCAGTCCATCTCTCTTTCATTAACACGATACACATTTAGTGGTGGCTAAGACTTTGGTGTGCAGTTCCAAGCTGGGAACTACACTGTTTCTGGCAGTTTGAGCTTTCTTCCGCGATGGAAACCGGTTCTGACGAATCCATCATCTCAAATCGCGAACTTGAGTCCGACGGGCTACAAAGAGGCTCACGATCTCGGATACACCTTGAGAACTAGGTTAGTCTTGTTTAACGGCATCCAAGGACACGTGATGGGGGCTCTGCTAAATGTGCCAGATATCCTGATTTATACACCGAAGGCGAAGACTTTATGGTCTGGGCCAACAACTATTCTCGAGTTTTACAGACTGCAAAGTTATTTGTTCGCGGTTTTCTGGGAACGAATGCCACTTTGCTCGGAGATGTTGTTTCCGTCACATCTCGAGGATTTGTCGCTGGCATTGGCGACTCATTGGCACCTTCCGACATGTGTCCCGCTTTTCAAGACACGGAGGGAGGTGACTATGTGACTGCGTGGAACGACGTCTACATCCCTCCGATTCTGGCTCGCCTACAAGCACTCATCAAGGGAAACCTCACGCTTACACAAAGTGACGTGTCGCAAATCCCCTACCTCTGCGGTTTCGAAAGTCAGATTACCGGCCGACTCTCACCTTGGTGTGACATCTTTTCCGATGACGAATTCCTCCAGTATGAGTACTTCCAGGACTTGCGCTACTACTACGGAGTTGGTATCGGTACCGATATCCCCAAGACCATGATGACGCCTTACCTGAATGCCTTGATGGACATTTTCGCCCAAGGCCCCTCGGTAACCGGTAAACGCGAAGACGGGAGCGCCTTCAATTTGCCGAAGATTCTCGTGTCATTCCTCAACGACGGACAGCTCAATGAATTGGTGGCCGCTTCCGGGGTGTTCGAAGAGCAACAGCCTCTGTCCAATACGCAAAAGGATGATGGCCGCCTCTTCGTCACCTCTCGCTTCACCACAATGCGAGGAACTATTGCTTTTGAGAGACTGAACTGCGCGAAGCCTGCAAATGGTAGAAATGGCAACTCCACCAGTGTTTCTCAGCGTTCTCGACCGAACAGGAAATCAAGTTGTACACAACCCTCACCCCCGAATCATGGGTCTCAGAATTCCACGTACATTCGCATCCGTCTTAATGATGCTGTCTACCCGATCCCTAACTGCATTAGTGGACCTGGCTCTTCATGTCCACTGGAGGACTACAAGCAATATGTCGCTACGAAGCTTGAGACCCAGGGTAATTGGATTCAGAATTGCAAGGTTACCACGCCGGGGGCACCAACACAGGTGAAAGGTGCAAGTTTCTACACAGATCTTAGTAGTCCTTGGTTAAGCCATGTTGCTCCTTAAGAAGTTGTGATTCGGAGCCAGAATAGCATATATTCTCTTTGCTTGGCTTTCAGTAGGATGCTTTCGATTCTGTACATTCACTGAGTTGCCTGTGCGACACCACTTTGGACATAATGTGATTTTCCTTTTGCGCTTATGTCGACAAATTCGGTACATACTGCGATTGTTTTACTGTACTAGTCTGGCTGTATTGATGGGCTTGGGCACTGATCATAGACCAAGAAATTCCAGAATAGATCCGATGTCTCTAATTCGTGATAATACACAGCTACATTCTCAATAGTCAGCAGCCGCTTTTTGGCCGCTCAGCTTGAGAGAAGTATGGCGTACATATCCAAAAAAAAAAAAAAAAAAAAAAAAACCAAAAAAAAAAAGAATAATTAATTGTGAAAAAAAAAAAACCAAAATTTAAATAGGTAGGCACCCGCTTTTGGCCGGTCAGGTTGAGAAAAGTATGGGGTAAAAAAACAAAAAAAAAAAAAAAAAAAAAAAAACCAGTTATGATCATTGCCATGTCTTTTTGCTGTTGAATTTCCATCGGGCTATGGCCTTGACCAAGAAAATTGATACTGGACAGATTCCTTCCTCCGATCAAGCTGGTAAAGGTTCTTGCTCTACATTCGCCGCTTGCCTCTCAAACCAGCTGACTTGCTGAAGTGGAAATTCGCATATATACATGTAGTCAGTCCAGTCCCAAAGCCCGATTCATGTGCGGTGTGCTCTGGCCAAATCATACCGGGAGCCAAGTCAAGAGCTGGGTACGTTACCACTAGACCGGTCTTGCTGAGCCCCAAACTCGGTTTGAAATTGGTCTTCGCCAAAGAAGAAAGTGACACGGACGATAATCCCAACATCATTGCTTTCAACTCCTTAGCTTTGACGTAATGATGTCTATACGGTAAGGAATATAGGTCAGATTCCTATGTTACAAGATTGAACTGGTGATCGTGATTAGTGCGGATTGTGGACATTAGAATAACTTACAAAAACTTTGATTCTATAGATCGCTTTCGATAACAAAGGGAAAGTGAAGCCTTCACAACTATCCTTCTTGTTCTCCTTCTCGTCAAAGTAGAGAACTTCACACCTCAAGGTGTTGGGAATTGCGAGGGTCGACAATGGGCCATGTTCTGGTGTCCGAGCTAGGCAACGGCACATGGATGCAAACATCCAATGTGCTCAACTTCATCTTTTTTCCTTCATGTCTAATGCCGCTTATTAATTTAAACCGCACCACTCTGGTGTATTTGGACTGCATTGATAATTCAACGTGAGTGCTGAGAGAATGCACGATTACGGTACGCCAATGTGCTGATGAATGCTGTGCATTTATTCAGCCATTAATTGTGTACTCAGGTTTGCCCTCTTTCCGAAAGGTGCTAAAGAAACTGCCAGGTTCCCACCCAACGTTCGGTATGCTAGCATCCATTCTCCACCACGAACGATCGAAACTATTGGACAAAGAAGACAGAACTCATAATTCTTATCCACTTATGTAGTGGCCAGGAGAAGTACCACACTATGGGATCGGATTTAATAGACAATTTTTGGGTGTGCAGATTCTTCCTCGGAAATTGGAGCTGGAGCTGGACTACATCTTGGAACGCAGCGCTGACAATTAAGTTGGTATACCCCAAAAGATGTTTTCCCCGATGGATTCCTGATGGCAGACCGCAGTAACGAGATTGGCGGTGGTGGCAGATGGATACGAAATTCCTATGAAAGAGGAGAATGTAGCACTGCTTGTATACCGTCGAGGAGCGGCTATGAGGTAGGGGCCGGGGCGAACTTAGCTGTGGGAACGGACCACGCGACGGACCGGCCGGGGACATGTGGGGTCTTCATCGGCGGCGCCTTCGAGACACCTGAAATCAATGACGTAAGAGATTTTCAAATAAATACTACAGCCGCACTCACAATACCCAGCGAGTCCGCGTCATGAACTTATAAGCCTAACGAGATTCTCCGGGCGTCGAGGATCGGTTCTCACGGTACCCGAGCTCATTACACTGACGCAGGGTGTCTATCTGCAAACGTCATGCGAAAAAGCCAGACTTCAATCCGATAAGAAGACCTCCGCAACCATATTACCGTCGAGTTGGATCGCGTCAAACTTCCATTCTGCAACACTGCTCGTAGCATCCATCGTATCGAACTTTACCAACCGGGATACTCACGAAATGGCAGTCTCACTCTCTACCGCCAAATGGCTGGCCCCATTGTCTTTCGCTGTCGACTTTGCGGCTCAAAGTTATGGCATGCTCAGTACACCCAACATGAAGTCTGTACATGATGCCAACCTCTCATTTTGGTCGCCTCAACCTTTCTTTATTGCCGGGTTCTTCTTTCCCCAACAACTCTTTCAGCTTGCGTGGCTTTACCGGCTGTACAAGGCAGATCCAAAAATAGAGCCCATGGCCCCCGATATGGGTACAATGGTTGATTTTGCGCCTTTCTATGCCATCGGAAACTTCTGCATTGCTAGTAAGCAAAAATTTCAACTTGTTGCTTCTAATGGATGTGCTAACTGTCTCCGAAAGCATGGATGATTTTTTGGAACAATTCTAATCTGAAGATCTCGAATATCTTTGTCATTATTAACAGCCTTGCTCAACTGTACTACATCTTCAACCGTCTTCCGCCTATGAATACCAAATCTGTCAACTCTGTCCTCACTCATGTCGTTGCCAAGACATTCGCTGGCCTCGGCGTCTTGGACCTGTTACATAACGGCTCAGTTGCATACTTCGTGCATCAGCAGCCAACTACCACCGTCAAGGTCCTTACTGGCGTAGGCTTCGGATTGCTATCGACCGTTAGCGACTGGATCTTCGGGGGATGCCTAATCTATGACTTGATAGCACTATCAGTCGGCCAATCTGCCTACGGTAACGCTGGTTGGGGTAGGCTCCTAGGAATTTACGCCGGCGGAGCTGCCGCCATTGTTGGCGCCCGGAACTTGATGAGGTAAAGCCTTGACCAGAACCAGAGAAGTAGTTTTCACTGACTTGTGCTAGGCCACCATACGTCAGCCAGATCACAGCCGATTATCAGCCTCTTTAGAACATCAGGTTTGCCTCCAGCTTGCCATCACGCACTACGTTCTACCGCACTCGAGTCAGACACGAAGGTGACCATAAGGGAGCTTCTGATTCTCTTCGATATTATGGTACTTCTGGTAGTTGTTTACGCCTCCCATTAGTTTATTGTACATGTAGTCTCATTTGTGGGTAACCATGATCATCTTATTGCGATGCTGAGGAACCAACATCCTCCCCTGCGTGTCTATGTGGTATCAACTATGCTGTTTACCTGCCAACACCCTTGGATCGGCCTCCATGTGCCTCCCCAAGATGCTGCTTGCCTTTTAGTCATCTCGTAGGCGCCCAATTGGCCAGCCATTCTCGCGCTTTATCCAAGTCCCCCAAGCTTGCCTCGCATGCCGCAACGCACCATTCAAAGTCCCAAATACCCTCGCCCGCTAGCATTTCTGCTAGTTTTCTCCGTCGTTGTGAAGCCTCATCGACACAGAAATGCATTGGCTCTTTCAACTCGGAGATACTTTGCACGAGTGGCTTAACAAGCGGGAGAGCGGCCTGAGCGCTGCCTCCCTTCGCTTCAAGTCCAAGACTCGTCCTCCCTGATTTGCACCACTCGTTTCCACACCATTTCCTCCCGCAGCCGGTCATCAACTGGCTGAGGTATCTCCTTTCAATGCGTCGCCGGAGAGCTTTGCCTTCTGGGTCGTGCATGCTGACGTAGAGGGGGCCGAAGCAAAGGGGGCAGAGACCAAGGTCATTGCCAGGTCCCTGTCCCATCGCTGTTCCAGCACCAACAGCTCCGGCAGATCCAACACCATGTACGGTTCGACCACAATTTATGTTGCGGCAAATTTCGGGCTTTCTTCGAGAGACTTTGTCCAGCTCATGGTGCTTCATATGAGCTGACATATCTCTCATCCGGACGATCTTGCCACACAAGTGGCAGTCGGTGGTTCTCGCACCGTCCGCTAGCTCATGCGCAGTCAAGCCGGACAAGATTGTTTCTGCAGATGGATTGAATGGATCACCCTCTTGCGGTACCTCGAGGTGACAGAACTGACAGAGAATTACTTTGCCGGGGCAGACACTCGTGCGGTGAAGTGCCAGTTCCACCAGAGACGGGGCAGTATAATCACAACCAGGGCATTGTTGTTCGGTATGGCGCACGGCATCATGCTTGGCCCTACTCGCCGATGAGTCTCCAAATGCATCCTCATGCTCGCAGTGCCAGTGAACCTCCCACTCAGCCGACCCCTTCTTGAAGACACGTTTGCACCTTGGACAGGCAACGTTATTCCGGAGGCAGAAGTTCTGATGCAAGACCATTGTACGCTTGGGAATCCATTGCAGGCAGTTTTTACACTGCTCCTCCTCGGGAGATCTAGACTCCCCGTGTCCCAAGTCAAAAGGCATACGTCTTGACCCTTCCTCCACCTCGGCTCTGGCCCGGAGTCGAAAAGATACTGGGCTTGGGCCATGATCATTGCCTGCGAGCGGATAGCAATAGACTGAAATAAGAAGTTCTTCGGCAGTCTCCAGCTCGACATTGGTAGGTTGTATAGTGATAGACTTGGTCCCTTCTTCAGAGGGGCTGAAATTGCCAAAGACATGCTCAGAATCCCGCGGTTGTGCTCGCTGTCGTGCTGATCTCGGACTGATAAAGAGGTCAATCCGATCGGAGTGGGGCAGCTCGGAAAGCTCAATGGTCAAGGGCCGATTCCGGTCCCAAGAGGGTAGTTGGTAATCGACGTATTCCCTAGGTAAGACCTGGCCCTGGACAGGCTTCCATACATCGATCTCGCCACCCTTTGAGCTTCCATTGCTAGTGCCAGGCTGAACCTTGGCCATGATCTGGCGCATAGTCTCACGAGCTTGCTCCTCATTCAAGGCCTCAATGTCCACTTCCAAATCTGTATCGACCACGCAAATACCGTCGCCTTCTGGCAGGAATTTGTCGACCAAGAACTTGAAAGCTTCGCCCTTGACACCGCGAACAGAGAGCACTGTATCCTTTGTGAGAGTTGTGTAGCTTTCGCGCAGCTGTCGTTCGAGGAGCGGCTTCCAGTCGTCGGGGTCGTAGCCGGCTTCGAGAGGCCTAAGCCGGACGTAAGTACCCTTAGGTAGCTGCTTGGCGTGCACCGTCAACCGTGGGTGAGCATCGAAGACTACGCCAGAGGTCAAATCGGATGGCTCTTTGGTTGCAGAATCGTCAGCAAAGACGGTTGGATGTAACCCTAGAGCTTCCATGAGATATGGGCCCAGCGTTATTTCCCCTTCCTCGGCCGAAAACTCGCGGATGCCGGCGTACACGATGTTGCCATTCTTTGGGTTGACCAACCGAAACATCAAGGGATTCGGCAGTTGCTGGGACGTTTCATGATATAGGCTCTGCTGCTGTCGCGCGTAGGGATTCAGGGGATCGTAGGAAGTGAAAGTCGAGCTAGAAGGCGGAAGTTGCCTCGGGGACGCTGCTAGCATTTGTTCGAGGGCGGACTGGGGAAGCAGTATCTTGTCGCCGCGCAAGTCTTTGAAGGCGGATTTTACAGGATGCACGACGGCAAATGGCGCGGACCACTTCAATTCAGATTGTTCGTTCTCCATCTCGGCTTGCTGGATTGTGGTCCGAGTGGGAGTCTTGAATAGTTCTGGCTTGTTGTTCAGCGCGTCGCTTGTCACTTGCGGTAAGGTGGGGTGGAGGGGTAATGGCTGAGTTGTCTGCTCGAAGGGCTGTTGATCGGATTGCGGTCGCTGAGCATGACATGACCGATAAATGGATGTTGAGGTGACACAAGCTGTTAACAAAGTATCTGCAGATGACGAGGAGACTCCAGGACTGGATTGCGTTATCTTAGGTGGACAGCATTATGGCGACGGTCGCGATGAATCAGCAGGCTGATGGGATTCTTCGGGGTTCCATCATAAATCAATAAAGGTAAGGCATCCGTAAGGTAAGGTAGCGTACCTTACGCGTAGTTCCAGATTGACTGACGACATGGGCCACCTCATGGAGATTGCCGAGGAGCGGGTCCGTTCCGGGACGAGAGCGCCACACACCGCCTGTCCCTTTCTGGTCAGCTCGCGCCACAGTCCTATCTTTCTCACCGCCCAAAGCCCAGATCCACCTAAGGTTTATTAGCTAAGGTAGAGAAGCAAAGCCGGGACAGTCGGATCCGGGGAGAGGTTAGGCCGGGGGCCGAGGCCAGCAGCGGCGCTTGGGTTGTGTGGAGATGAGAGGAGCGCTTACATACGGACTACTACATGTAGGTATGAATTAGATACGTACTCAACACCATTCACAAACCCACAGAGGTGGGTGATGCGTGCGCCAGCTTTCCCCATTACAGCCCATGCTGCATGCTGGGCGTTGGCACATTGCTGGCTCGCTTTTCTACGCGCGCCCTTCACCTCACTCGCTGACAATCAGTAAACCAAAACAAGACAAATAACACCCAATCAAGGCTAAATAAAGCTGAATCATGATGAGCAGCTGCCAAGATGCCTCATGTCCCGAGTCACCAGCACTTAAGCTGCAAGTACTCGACCACTGCAATGCAACCTCACACCTGATACTTCCCCATCACCAAAAACAGCAGAAACAAATGTGGCCAAAACTCCCGACTCCGCGACTCCGGACTAACACTCCGTGCCCCCCGGAGCAGGGCATGCTAGCGGATCAGCGCGCCGAAACAATGCCCAAAATAAGCATGGGAAACCCCTCCTCTGCGCCTCCCCCCCTCAATTTGCTCTATTCAACGTCTTTGCAGTACCGAGCAATGGGGCAGGCCGCAGACACCTCTCGACGCAGAGGCACGGATGGATGGGCACAGTCGCTCCGCTGCGAGGTGCAGCTTCAGGATGCGGCAGCATAACCCGAGGTGCGCACAGCGGATGCAATGAGATTGGCTAGTTCGAGTCAAGCATCGGCCAAGGAACATCCCACCGTAGCGGAGCGCTATCTACTCGGTGTGGTCGACAGTCAAAAGTCAAAGGCGGCACGGCACCATCGGAAGAGTGTGTGTGGTCACTGATGAGACTGCCAGAGTGGCAGCGCAGGGCGACGGAGCGGAGCCTGTCCAACCCTACGAAAGATTTGGTTGGTGATGGAGTAGTGCAACAAATACAATGTATGCGAATCTGCCGTGGAAGGTCGGAATAGCACCTCTGGCTGGCTCAACGACCTTACGGTACATTGAGGACCCAAAGCTACCTCCGACTTAGCTTTCGCATTTGATTCGGCCAGGAACACCGAACAGCGAACCAGCAACAAGCCTGCGCTGCTGCAGTCGGGCACACTGATGATGGCGGGCGGGCCTGCCATTGCTAACCTGGAAACACAATCTAATCAGCCAGTTCAGCGATCCCTGGTCAATTTTGGCAGGTTTAAGCGGTTGGAGCGGCTAATTTGGTCATGTAACGCTTTCAATACATGCCCAGCTCGAAAACCTTCATTTCGGATCCCTTAAGTCCTTTCTCGCGCGGGATGGAGCCTGACGGTGCGCTGACGGGGCGGGATAAGACGAGAGTGCTATCCAGACGAGGCAGTCAGGGAACTGCGCTTGAAGAGTGATGCCCAGCAGAACCGGGTATACCTGCACCTGTCTCTCGGTAGCCGTTCGAATGTCAGGCAATCATGACAGACCTTCCCGGTTATCTCGGACGAGACTTCGCGGTTATGCGCATCTGGGCTCACTTAACTAAACCCAGTGACAGACATTCTCAGATCCGCAGTCTCGGTGTTCGGTATACTCTAATGATGAGAAGGGTCTCGGCACGCCCGACTTGATGGAGCAAGTCTACCTCATCTCATCTCGTCTGGTCTCGCCAGACCTCAACACCACACCTGAACTCTGGTCATCACCCCCCAAATCCCCCCACCCCTTTGCACTAACCTTTGGGCCTTCACCCAAGGTTCAAGCAGTTCCCATACACATTATCCCCGTCCAGTGCCTCACAGTTCGGTCCGCACCTCACGGATATTGGCTTTCCTGTATTCACCCAAGCTGCCGCGCAAGTCAATATGGGCCCATATGTACGCCTGCATGCTTGGCACGGAGCAAGGTACCGAGTACGTAGCATGCCTCAGAGAGATTCTCAACATCGAAGTCAAGGTGCCAGCGCAGCGGGCCTTTTCTGTTGCTCTGCAGTTGCCAAGGCCGCACCAGGCGGCGGGTTGAAGCTCTTTCGTTTCAACCGCACTATTCTCTGGCCCCCGTCTGCCCAAAATGGCTCCATCGACTGGACACGGCCGATCCTTTCTTTCAGGGTCCGACCCAACCGGACCAACCCCAGATGCTAATACCACCCACGCTACCACCTCCTTGCAAGCTGCTAGGGAAGTCAGAGGCTGTGTGACTCTTGCGTCTCTGCCTCCCTTCCGCCGTATGTACCTACTTCGCTCTGCACTCTGCGTCAGCCTCTACGGTGCGAAGGCCCGGATGGGAGAAGGGGACGAGGAGGGACGGTGGCGTGGGTAAGTATGGGGACGTGGATGATGGCACGGGGTATGTGGGCAATTTGGACGACCGTCCACTTGGACCTTGGACCGGTCTAGCCTGCCCAGCTCTAGCCTGCCCGTGCTGCATTTCTCGGCGCATCTTATCGACTGTACGTACGCAACGGCTGACCTGAAGGTCCCTTGCTCGATGTACGGATACACTACATCTATTGCTTCCCTGTCTCGCCTTGATTGACGGGGTACCTCTTCACCGCGAAGCTAAGGATAGACACTCACACGTTTCTCGTCGTGCCCGGACGCTAGGTATACCGCCCACCGTCCGCTCTCTTGTACCTGGCAGGGTTCGATGGTGTAAATATTTAGACCGACACGTCGTCCACCCCAAAACATCTCTGGGCTGGATCATTACCACGCTGCACGCCGAAATCTTATCTTCCCATGTAAACAGGGAGCATTATCAGTCTGACACCGATGTCCGATTGTGATTGCGCTTACGCCTGCGCCAGACATTCCACCCGTCCTGTTACCTAAGTACCCAGCTTCCTGATTCTCGACCTCGATATCTTTCACATTATATCACCACCACCACCTCTCAACCTCCAGACTGATCGCCGCGAACCCTCGAGGTTTACGGCCGTCGCGTAACACCTCATCTCTGCTCCCACGTTTCCCCCTTCGCGCGCGTTCGCCGTAACATGCTCCAGGACGTCGAGGACGCCTACACGCTTTACGAGAATCCGGTCACAAATCTCCTCCATCTCCTGTCCAATCCTCTCATCCTCGCCCACACAGCTCCTCACCTCTCCGCTTATGATCGCCTGAGTCTTGCATCCACGAGCCGAGCATTCCGAGAACTTATCAATCACACATCTGGTGTTTTCCGACACCTTGATCTGACCCACGTCCGCGCGGCGCAGTTTGAAATCGACGGCATTGATCGCGGTGGCGAAGTCTGGCGCAATGTCCAACTCGATGAGAATCTGACCGAAGATGAGTGCGTCCAGTCTACCCTATCCCACCTCCTGCCATCATTGGTGACAATCTGCCTCCCACGGTCGCGGCGAGTTAGTCGCCGTGGGGATGCCAGAGAGGGCCGACGGCGGTGCTGCCAAAAGGCGACTAACGCGCCGACCCCAACAGCTTCTACTCTGGTCCGCTGAGAGGCATCTTCTCTAGCATCCGCCGACAGAATATCCTTCAAGATGTGCAGACACTTATCCTCGACGGCTTGTCCGTGACGGCTGAGCTCTGCCACGAAATCATCCTCAACTCTGCCTACAGCGTGCGATTCCTGTCCGTCCGCGGCGCCAAAAACCTGAACGAGCGCAAGCTGTGCGCATCTCTTCAATATGCCTGCAGGCCCTCACGACCAGAGGGCATACCCCGGCTGAAGGGTCTGTACGTTTTCGGTGCCAAAGACACTCCTCTGCTCCCGTTGACGACATCCGGTGTACCGTCTGGCACCCCTTCGCACGCAGCGCAGATCAGCGCGGGATGGAATGCAAAGTCGCAGCAGGCGTTGTCGACTTCGCTGCGAGGCGAGGGAGAGGACTGGTACCACAGAAAGGGCCGAATCATCGCACGTCCGCTGGTTGAGGAGTGGGCCAACACTCTTGTTGACTGCCACGGCATCATTGCATTCGATGCCATTGCGTGCACCGGGCCTCATCACATGAACTCGCTTGCATATGGCAAGGTAAGAACCCCGGCGACAGCCCGGCATTGGGCCGTGGCAACAGTCGCTTTGGGCGGCTGTGCCGGGTGCGGTTCTGCACCCGAAGGCATGTCAGTCCACAACGGGACTCCGGCGATTCAACGCCCTCTCCTGTCACCTCCGCCCCTTTTGGCATCGTCGCTCAAGGCCGCAACGGCACCGCAACTCTGTGCTGCATCGGAATCGTCCTTCGTCGCTCGATGCATCGACTGCCTCCGAGAGCGATACTGCGGAGGCTGCAACAAGTGGTGGTGCGAGGAATGCTACCAAACCCCCAGCGCCGTCACCGAGCTGGCCGACAACGATGTCATAGTCGTCGACGCCGAGGGCGGTGCTTGGGTTCAACACCAGGAGCACGAGAGCCAGCCCAAGATCAAGGTACGAAATGGCGCCTGCTTCCCGAACTGCCCCATGGGCGAGGTCATTGATGCGCAGAGGGTGATGCTGGGCTGAGTCGGACATCCTTTACTGTCTGGCCTGGCCTGTTCCAAAGTGTATGCCAGAATGCTATCCATGTCCCCCCTATTCATATCCCTTGAGCTCTGGTATCCAGCGAGAGCATGCGTGACAATCAAGGACTCGAAGATGCTGACAGAGACCACCTTTCTAGGCTCGTATCACCAAAAGCTGCTGGGAGTGCGGTAGCAATGTAAGTGGTGATTCTGGACCCAGTGTTGTTGTTGTTGTTGTTGTTGTTGTTGTTGTTGTCTATGAGACTCGATCTGACGGCAAGAAACCACAGTGTCATGACTGCATTGATCGTACACAGAGGCTCTGCCGAGGCTGCTGCGGTGGCTACTGCTTGGTTCACAACGAGGGGTCAACCTCAACTTTTGTAAGGCCGCCCGCCTCTCCCGAATCGCATACTGTGACTTGGCTAACATACTCAGTGTGATTGTTCGAACCCCGTCACCTCGCCGATACATTCAGATCGCTAACTCTTTTGGTAGGGTGCTCCAGCCGTGGTCGCTTCTTGCGACACCTTTAATGAGGTGCCATCCAGGCGAAACGATAACTGCCGATCGTCGATCAGTTACCGCAAGTCGCGTGGTTTCAAATCGATTGAAGCTGAAAGTTTTTGGGAACGTCCTTGGGATTGAAGACTCCTAGGACAATTCTTCACACGAGTATCATCGGGCAGTGCAAAGTGTGGTTCAAAGCTCCCATGTTTCTCATTGGCCTGGAGGACAGCTTGTAGCCTGCCTCACGTTGGGCTCCTGTGCTGTTTGATTTTGACACGGCCAACATTGACAAAGTCGGCGAGCTCTCGTCACGTCACCCAGCGCTTTCATCTTTTGTGAGATACCCTTGAAGCAAAGCGTTTAAAGCGTTGATTGCCGATGATTTAGCGGTTTTAGATAAATTTGACCTCAATCTCAACTCTCTTATCCAACCCCTCCCGTATATCGTCATCGAGTCATAAGTTTTCATGTCGGTGACACCCGTGATGAAGGGCGTTGAGAGGGACTACCAGAACCCAATTGTCATCGTTGTACATGACCGATACCGTGACTATTTCCGTCTCGTGGCTAATTAGCGTCTTCACCTCTTTAAGGTAGGTAGTTGTCAGTCTCAAGCGTTGTCGTCCTCTTGATTCATTGCCCTGCTGACCCGAACAAGATTCCCAGGATGATGTATAGCATAAGCACGGTGGCCATTCCTGAGTACGGAGATCCCGGAGATGCCTTCAACACATTGCCTAGTGATACAATTGAACAGTCTGGTCTATGGTAATAAGCATCTCATGTCAAAGGTCCTTTGAACAAGAGGTTGCCTCAAACTGCAGTCACCTTCATGAGCCACGGCTCTCGGACCATGCGTAGATGCTTCCGTTTTAGTCTGATCAAAGTATCAAGTCATCACCTCTGCAAGTTCGGTGCGATGTTGGTTGTTCATCGTTGCCCGGGTTGCGGGCTGAGGCAGACCCCCAACCCCTCCGTAACATCGACTACGATGCTCTCGAGAAGCCACGCATGACTGCGAGCAAGGGACAGGAACCCGCTCCCCGTATCACCCTACGAGTGGTCATGGTCGAGTGACCATGCGAAACGAGGAGGCTATACGATGCTTTGAAAGTCAAGGTAGGGTCTTGTCGAGGAGAGCAATGAATACACGGGAAAACCTATAAAACGGCAAAGCTTAGGGGCTCACTGTATCATCACGAGCTTACTAGGGCTGATACAGCAAGGCTGTACCTCGGCTCTGCTCTTTCTCGGCCGCAATACTGTCATATGAAGGGGCTTATGGACACTTCTAGTCACACGTTGAGGGGAAAGCAGTCGTTTGTGGCATTCCCTTGCTGAAGACATACCCAGATATGGACGAGGATCAGAAGGTCGATTGGAACTTTCGATGGAAATGAGACTGTGACTGTGGTTATTCTTTGTGTTAACATGCCAAGTCTGGAAATCCTCCACGCGAGTTCCCGGTGTACTGTAAATCACTTATTCCGTCGTGACAGGTCGTAAAATTTAACGCTGGCTGTTAGTGGCGTACTCAACCGCTAGGAGCCAGAGGACGTAGCAGGTCGCACCGTCCTTTGAGGTAGCACAGATTGTCTAGGGTTCCTGTACTTTCTCGAGGCCTTTCTACCCTCGGGACGCTCCTTTCTTCCCATTACTCTCAGCTTAGACGACATGTTGGTATTGCCGATCGTGCGCCACCAATGGGGCAGGGGGATGGTTCTGAGGCGCGTACCCAAAATGGCGACTTTGGCTTCAAGGTAGGCGAGAGATGACCCGAAAAATGATCTGCTTTCCATCTCCGCTCCATTCCATTGGTCCGTACTCCAACCGGAGACCGCCACGGTGTATTGGTAGTCGCGGAGGTTTTGTGGTGCCTCTCATGGGACGGGGCGTCCTAGCCACCGATTTGAGCCCCATGAACTAATATAAGTTCGCCTTATCCTGGTTCGCGAGAGGGAGGACGATCGATCTAGAAATGGCATCCTTCAAGATCGATTCGGACGCCTTTTTGTCGCCTTAACATTATTCACCTCGTCCAACATGGCCGTTTTCGCTATGTCGCTAACTAGGCTTTCATCCCTCCTCCTGTTGTGTCTTTTTGCAGGCTTCATCAACGCCACAAATGACACCCTGTACCCAGATCTTGTTAGATCACTGAGGACAGGTCCGACACAGCTCGATAAGCTTGATATTCTCCTAGAGAACAAAGCCTGGACGTTCAACTACGTCGCCCACGAATTCCACACCAATAACCCCGGGGGCGTTGTGAACGCCAACGCCGCCACATTTCCAGCAACTGTTGGTAAAGGCATGATCATGGCTTGGATCGGCCTCGGCCCCTGCGCTATGCTGCCACCACATTACCACGCTCGTGCTTCCAATTACGCCCTATCGGTCGAGGGAACTACCGAGACCTGCATGACGCTGGAAAATGGGGCTCGGGTGGTGAAGACAACTTTGGCGCCCGGGATGATGACAATTTTTCCCCGAGGTAGTTTACACACGATGCAAAATACAGGTGAGCGTCATTGTATACCTCCATCTTTTGTCCCATACGCACTGCTCCAGGATGCGACAATGCTACTCTGATCTCGGCTCTAAGCTCAGAAGATGCTGGAACTCATAACGTCGCGAATGGGCTATTCGATCTTCCTCGGGATGTCGTGGTAGCAGCATTCGGCGGGAACCCACTATCGGCAAAGTTTGCGCAGCTTCGGTGTGATATCCCAGCAGTTGAAACTGGCGCAGCGGTCGACACTGCAGAATGTTTGAAGCGGTGTGGAGCTACCGGCTCCAAGTAGGTTGTCTATGGTATGTCTACAGCCAAACAGACATGATCGATGAGGATGGTCGATGCTGAAAGCTCCAAAGACAGCCCATATCGCCAGGGGTGACATTTCTTGTTCGGCCAAAACTTGTCGACGGGAGCTGGAAGCCCAAATACCCGTGGCAGATGATATCATGGGCCGGCTTGTCTGATACAGACAAGTAATATTCGACTGTTCAAAAGCCGAGGTGGCGGCTGATTCTGATTTCAGAGACTCTTGCGATACATACCCATAGGGCATACACGGATTGGAAGATTCCAGGGCTTTTTGATAGTGACCGACCGCTCTGGTTGATGTTCGGAATAGTATTCATTCAGTGACCGGTGTTTCCAGAGCTGAACTTGCGAGCGACCCATGCGGCGCCGTACTCCTCGTACTGCTCTTTCGTGGCAGACAGCTTTTGAATGTCAGGATGTTTGGCCAGGTTAGCACCGCCCTGCCAGATGCTCGTGATGGGATCAATGGGATGCGCTACCCTCACGATACATGCGTCGGGAACCCTCTTGACAAGCTCCTTCTCCAGCCGCTGAATAAAGCCGGGAAATAAGGCGTTGCCGCCAACAACCACAATATTAGCCAAGAGTCCGGGCCAAAGTCCAATGGGCAATTCGGAAAGAGACTGCATAATGACATCCGCAAGCCCAGGCTGACGGAGCCCTATATCAGATGGCTGGAAGAGCAGCTCGGGAACAGAAAAGCGCTCGTTTCTGAGGGTTAGATTATCCTCGTCGTTATTAGCGGCGCGTGCTGCCATCTTCCTTGCCTTCGTGTGCATAGCAGGGTCGTAGTCTCGAACGACGCCCTGTGTTTTGGTATGAAAGTCGGGCAGGACGTAGTCTTTAGCGATGCCGGCTCCCGTCACATACGCCTCCCTCTTCTCGCCCCTTGTGCCCTTCCAGGTTTTCTCGAGATCGCCATTGAAGTCGAGTGAGACATAACTGGCCTGCTCCTTGATTTCGTTGACAATGTATGTATCGTTACGCATGTCGTAGTATCGCAGGGAAAGTAAGCGCGTCAAGTAGTTCGTCATGAGCTTCCCGCCGACGTCAAGCCTGCGAACAGCGGAATGCAGGGGCTTGCCATTGAGAAGAGGCATGACGATAGTATTGGAGTAGCCGGAGTCAATCAGAAGCACGATCTCGGCTGGAAGCTGGGGCATCGAACTCGGGTCTCGGGGGGTCTGGAGGATGCCTTGAATATCATGGTACGCGTTGAAGGAGGCTCCTATGAAAGCAGAGATTAGTCGAGTCGATGGCACGTGCAAGCAGTGAAGCCACGGACCAATACCACGAAAATAACTGGCAAACTGATATTCCTCGAAAATGATTTGGTCACAATTAGCCTGCAAAATGGGCAGCGAATTGGGCTGTTCCGTAAGCAACAGTCTGGTCTCGGAAGGGTCGCACTTTTGCGGCGCCTTGTCGTCGAAAAACTCGTGGTCCCAGATCTCTTTCTGAGCTTCCCAGTTGACAATATAGCCCTTTTCAACGGGTCGCCGAAATTGAATCTCTCCGAAGTCGTGGCACTTGTCGAGATCGGACGCGACATAGACCTTCCTTGCCCTGTCTCTGGCGATGCAATTGGGTATCACTCGGGGCTCGTCGGTATACTCCTCGGAAACGAAGCCGGCTTTGATGGTAGACGCGCCATTGTCGAGAACAAGCGTCCGCGTCGGAGAGGCAAGGCCCGTGGACTTGCTATTGCGGCCACCAGCCATCGAGAAAACATGCGCCGGTGCGGGTGCGTTACAGGTGAGGAGGACGGAAGCCTGAACTTTTGCGCTGGTACGGAGTAGTTCTAGAACTGGAGCTTTGACATATGATAAGGATTCCTATTGGGTGTCCTTCAACTTGGTCCTCCCAGGTCGGTAGTCGGCCTCTCTGTCGCCGATGTTGCTGCTGACATAATGCGAATCGGAGAGTCACAGGATGCAACTCTCGCAGTCCGAATACCTAAGTAGGTATTTGAAAAGCCAACATGGCCAGCGCTTAGACTTTAAGGAAGTTCCTCTGTAAATTTATAAAACACGTGAATCTTTACTAAAAAGGACAGCCCAAGATAATAAATATATTGCTACAACATGCGCTTCTGCGAATTCTGCAGGGCACTGTAGCATAGTATTCTTCCATTTGACTCTTGAAACATGACTTTAAAAAGTCTCGCGACATGCATTCCACAAGTAGAGGGAACTCTGTGAGTGTGTTACGTGCAAGAGGTGCGTCGATGTTTGGATGGCAGTTTCCTCAAGTCGGGCGTTTGGCATCACCGCAAATCATTTGGGTACCTCCAGGTTCGACATCGCCCTTGATCTTCCTCTTTTCCTCGTTGTCTATGCGTAGGTATCTCGTACATTGAAGAGCCGATCTCGCGCTAGGTGCGTCTGAGTCGTCAAATATCTTCGGTTTACCTCACTATGATAGTTTGAGCCGTAGGCAGCTACAAAGACGAGAATGACCTCGATGAGATGAGGTTGCTGGTTGAAGCTGCCATTGTGCGACGTGGGGTGCAAATGGCGTTTTGACGTCCTCACCGCCGCGAACATGGTGGGATGCGTGTCTTAGAGCATCACGCGACAGTGTCACGGTATTGGTTACAGAGATAAGGCGGCAGGCGGTCGGGGCTTTTGTGATGTAGAGGGTGCCTGACAGGAGCTCATGAGGCACCCCATGAGATGATGCGCTTTTCTCAACGCATGCTTATAGTGCGTCGAGTCAGTCCGTTGGACAATACCACAGGCAAGCGTGAAGGCACAGGGTCGGATATCGCGTGAATGTTGCAGTTTGTATGTTTTGCATTGTAAGGACCAGGAAGCGACACATCCCAACTACCTTGATTTCCTCAGTCTAATCTGTGGTGCATGCACCTCATGCTGAGATCTGTGTGTCGTCCAACCAACCTGATAGTAGACATGATCGAAGGCTCTGGGGCATGAATCGCAGTAATCAACGGTTAGCGTGTCATGGCAAGACTCGAGGTACATTGAAGAGCGGCAAGTTTGATTGTTTTTTTTTGGGGAGGGGGGGGTCCGTTGTTGAGGTGCATTGCATGGCGGTAGCGATTGACACGTGGAGAAGCATAGATCCTAAGCTGGTGGGTTCGACCTTTGGTTCCAGCAGGTACGATTACTGTGGGCGCAACAGGCGCTCAAGCCCGTGAGGCATCATAGCTCTGCAGGATGAGGTGTTGCGAGATGTCGGGTGCATGAAGCTCTACGCGCAAGAGCCATGGATGGAGGCGGGAGACGTCCGTAGGGAGCCTTGAAAGGCACTTGCCGCGTTGGGTTGGGATCGGGAGGCATTAGATGGCAAGGGGTGCCGCGGGGGTGATGGTGGATTGGATGAGACAGGAGAGCAAGATGGAAAGGAAGTGATCTGTATCCGTAAGGTAGTTTGCGATGAGTTGTTCAAGTGCCGAGCGGAAAACAGAACAGGGGGAAACCGAAAGGTGCTCACTCAACAACGCTATTGACGGTGTCGATGAACAATGGGAGGGACATTATCGACGTTCCTGATCGACTGACTGGTTGCGGAAAGACCGGAAGCAGGGTTTTCCAGCTCTCACCTCATCAGTCTCTCATCAACCCCTCATGATGAGCAGTCTTGCTTATCTAATATGAGTGAGGAGGGGAGGGTGAGCGTGGAGAGATCTCAGGTGCCCAGGTCCCCTCCAAGGCAGTGGGTCAGGACAAGCTTTTCTAGAGGTCTCAATTTGTAGTGTACAGGAAACAGTGCCGTGTCCATGAAAGAGGCATGAGGATGGGTGACTGGGTTGATGCTGTGGGCGTCCCAAGATAACATGTAACGCTGCGTGGGGAAGAAGTGCAGCGAATGATACCTCCGCACTCTCGGTGAGGGTGAGAGTGCGAGTGCATGTTGGATGTCGGGGAAAGACCAAAGTCAAAGGAGGGGTCCCGCCGATGGTGCAGGCTGCGGACGAGCCCCACCTTCCACGGCAGCCTCTTGCCCCTCTGTGCTCCAAAGTCTCCTTCCTCCCTTGGTATTGATGAAGCGGCGTAAGTGGAAGGGAGGAGCGAGGTTGTCGGCGGGAATGCATCCGGAGTATCTAAGTGACTTTTATCACTGTGGTGGAAAGAACCCACAGGTTCCGGCGGCCTCCTTGCCATATAACACTCAGCTAAGGTAGTGTAGTTAGGTAGGTACCTTACCTTAGGTCCTGTGGCACTGGTGAGTCCACTTCCTGCCTTCCAGGTTGCAAGTGCCCCCCGAGTCCCAAGTCCCCAGAGTTAAGGATCTGAGGCCAAGAACCAAGCCGGGCCGGTGCAGCCAGCGACTTCGGTCCAGGCTTTACCTCTCCACCTCACTTCCAAGTCACTTCTGAGGCACCGTGACCTCACCAGACCTCATGGACCCAGCAATGGACCAGCAAACCGCCCCCAGAGATAGGTATCTTGGGAAAGCTACTTTCCGTTGGGCTCAGAGAGCCGGCCCATTAAGGTACCTCCCCCCACCTCTGGTAACTTAACCCCCCGGCGGTTGACGCTTGGAAACACAATACTCGAGCTGCACACCCGCCTGCCGCCTCGAGCATCTTCCAGTCTTTCTGGGACTCTCCACTGGGTATCCGGATTTCCTCCTGGACCCTGCCTACCTTGATTCTTGGCCTCTTACCTCACTTGCACAATTTCGTTGTCCTCTTTCACCCCTTTCCTCTCTCTCAGTTATCACATCTCCCTTAGCGACGCCATCAACATCAGGGACAGCTAGGTACCTTACCCAAGGTACCACCTTACTTACCTCAGCCAACATTGAAGCCTTTCTTCTTCATCTGTCATTCAGTCAAGCTTGCTTTACCCTTCATCAAACATTGTCATCAGCAGCTAGGTATCTAGTAGACGTCCCTTGCCTTGTCTCACACAACCAACGCTATTACCCGCCTTACCTACCTAGGCACCTAAACGACCGACCGGCGAGCCACTCCATCTGCCTGGTACCTTGGTCTACCTACCTTACCCGGTACCTACCTAACCTTACCAAGGTAAGGTACCTTGCTTTGCCCGCCTTGGGGACCTTGCTCTCCACTCCACCCGACAACCGTAACCGCTCCCCCCGGCCCTCCGCGCCCGACACCTGGCACCTTACGCTTTCGTTCCTCGTCCCTACAACGATCACACTCGGACTCGCCTCCTCTGCATCTACCTACCTGTCGCTATTATCCTGCCATCTTGGCTCGTTCTCTCTTTTTTTTTTCCCTCCCTCCATCCATCCGCTTGAGCCAGAGTCGCACTCCGCCCTCTTCGAAAGCCGTCTCTCCACACGCCTGAAAACCTTCTGACCGTGGCCCGCCCAGCGTCCAGTGCCCAGCCACGCACGTACGACATCCACGTCGTCACAAGCTTCCCCGACCCGACACGCCCGTCCGGTCCCCAACCAAGCACCACCCAAACACAACATCCGCTGACTGCGGCCCCTGGACCATCACCTTGCTCTGCCAACACTGTCTACCATCACCGGTGCCGATATCACCGTCCTCCAGCAACCCATCGCGCACATTCGCACCCATCCTACCTCTCATCCGCCTCCGACATTCCATAACATCACCTGCCTCCGTCTACCCTCCTTGACAATGCTTGCAGCTATCTGCCACTTTGTCTGAAGGGTGCGTTGTCGATTCGACTTGACTCATCCCCAACCATACTGCGGCGGTACCTCACCCAGCATCCACAACACTGCGACCATAGATCGGCCACGACGGCAGCATTCTCTACCGGGCGTAATCCAGCCGGACGATCTATCCTCGCATAGAGTACTGCTGTGATTGACTTGAATCTATTGCCGCCGTACTTGCGATTGCTGTTTTGATTGAAACTGGCTGTCAACCTCCGGCCGGTATCCGTTCAGTTCAAAAGAGCCCAAACTCCACGAACTCCCAAGTAATCCCGCCAGTCCGTACCATCGATAGCCAAGATGGGTAATTCTAGCACCAAAGAATCTCGTCCGATCGACCCGGCGACCGATTATCGCCAGAGTCAGGCCGCTTACCTCAACCAATCGACCTCCAGAGAGGCCGTAAACGATCATGCCAGCTCTCGAAGGCAAAGCCGCTTTAGCAGAGCTGACTTGAACCTTTGGGGCCTCGGAGCCGCCGGTTCCTCCAGTGCCGCCGGCAGAGAAGATGCGCCTTACGAGCGGAGAGAGACAAGACAGGAACGGGAAGCTCGACGACTCGAGAGGGAACGCGTCGCTAGAGAAAAGGAGCGTGAACGAAGTCTAAAGGAGGAACACATTGACGGCGGATACCTGGTGACTCTTGGTACATACACTGGTCCCGAAGATTTTAGCAAACCCGTGGTGCGGCAATTGCAGGTAAGATGTTTTGCAACCCGATCAATGTTTCGCGGCAAAAAGCTCACAAACGTGACCCCGCAGATTGAAAGACGACTTGCGCCATTCTGGAGGGGTCTCAACGACTACTCTGACAACTGGACCGAATACCAGCTCATCTGCGCCGGTCGCGGCCTTCCCATCCCAGCTGCTGATGAACAACCTCCACCCGAATTCATCCCCCAGTCTCACACGTCGGCCTCTCCGACCGAGTCATCCCAGAACCTAGCCAACTTGACTGTTCCAATGGGCCCGAGGTCTTTGTCAGTCGGTTCGGACCGCAGCAGCTCAATGCCAGGCTCCGGAATATCTTCGCCCAACGCGGCTCAGCAGCGGAGTAGCTCGCCCTTCAAGCCTCGTGCCAAAGCCCTGGCAGCAGCTTTGAGCGGGGGTTCACGCAGTAACTCGTCAAGCGACGTTGCTCCTCGTGAGATTAGATTGCCTAACGATCCGTTGGTCAACGGACAGCCGCTGGAGGTTTTTCTGTACAAGGATGCCACCGAATGTCCTATTTGCTTCCTGACCTATCCACCCTACCTGAACCGCACCCGTTGTTGCGATCAGCCCATTTGTAGCGAATGCTTCGTGCAGATCAAGCGCGCCGATCCGCATCACCCCGAGCACCACGGCGAACCGACCACGCAGCCTCCTGGTCCGAGCAACCCGGAAGAAGCCCCGGAAATGCTGATATCCGAGCCCGCACAATGTCCCTACTGTCAGCAGACGGAATTTGGTGTCACGTACGATGCTCCCCCTTTCCGGCGAGGCCTATCGTATGCCATTGGATACCCATCACAAAATACCGCCATGTCGTCCCAGAGCTCTTTGAATTCAACCTTGTCGCCTACATCCCCAACTTCCGGCAGACGGCGCGCTCAGAGCTTGTCCGCTAACGCCCCAAATGTTGTCACTACTGATCGGGTCCGACCCGACTGGTCTACCAAACTGGCAGCGCAGCGAGCCCATCAAGCACGCAGGGCTGCGGCAGCAACTGCTTTGCACACAGCAGCCTTCCTCATGGGGAATAATGAGCAGCAGCGTGGCTTTGCCTTCACAAGGCCTGGACGTTTCAGTCGGAGAAATACTGGGAGTCGCACCCCCTCTGGACCTTCCAACCATCAGCCAGAGGAGAGCCCGCACAGCAACCCAGAGGGCGAAGCTACTCAAGCGGGACCTGAGCCTGGGCCCCGGAGCTCCTCCGGGCGTGGAGCCCTAAACAATAGGAGAAGTCGTATGGAGGAGCTCGAAGACATGATGTTCATGGAAGCCGTCCGTCTTTCTCTTGCAGCCGAGGAAGAGCGAAAACGGAAACAAGAAAAGGCAGAGCGAAAAGAGGCCAAAAAGAAGGAGAAAGAGGAGCGTAAAGCCCTCAAGAAGCAGGACCGCCAAAGTGTGTATGGGCCTGGTCAGAGCTCTGCTAGCGGAAGTAGCCTCTCCCTTGGCCTCGGACGACGTAGGGGAAATAGCACAACCAGTAATTTGCGCGTGGAGGCAACACTTCAGGGAGCGCAGACGAGCTCCGCTGTGGGGGCCAGCGCCGAGATTTCTCCTGTAGCTTCAGCAACATCGACGGGCAACACGCTGTCTCCCACCTCAGCACCTGGCTCAGCACCCAGTTCAAAAGGCAAAGCTGTCGAACGTCCAGCCGTCGAGACGCAGTCATCCGAGAGCAGTTTCCAAAGTACTTCTTCTACGCCCTCGTTGCCGATTCCAACGACCAGCCGCGGCCCTTCTCATCTGAGACAGATGAGCAACGCATCTTCCATATCATCGTCTCTGGCTGATAGTGCCGCTGGAAGCTATAGCAATCAGGCTTATCTCGACCCCCGAGCGAGCGAACTCAGTGTTGGCAATCGAAGCGAAGAAGGTGATCGAGACAACACGGAACCGATGTTTAACTTCCGAAGCCTGGCTGAAATGGTGGGCGTTGACATTGAGAATGGCGAAGCCAACCAGGGCCAGGACAGCGCCACAGGCGAGAGCCGCACTGCCACCACGAGCAAGAAGGTCGAAGCGGAGGATGAACCCGAGGCTGAGCACATGGAAGATATCCACAGCGAGGAGCCTGTACAGACCAACCCTGGTACATTGAAGCCACCGCCAACGATTCTCGAAGAGCCCGTTAACGGCGGCAGCAAAGGCGACGTGTCCCCAGGTCCCGGCAGCGGGGCAATTACCCCAGAAGTTACGATTACACCTGAGACTCCAGCCCCCATCTCGGATGAGGACGCTGAATCGAAGAGGTTGGGTCACGAAAATATCGTGGAAAGCTCAACCGGAATTACGCAGTGATCGGAGTGCCGATCGATGAAAATGACGACGGGATGATGAAGAACTATGATTCTGCCGAACTTGATGGCAACTGCTCAGCGTGAATACTTGGGAGGAAGACTTTTGCATATACTCTGGGGGTTGGGAACTCCAAGACAGTCAAGGCGTTCAGCGTGAACTTTGGGGGAGGTGGTCATTAGACGTGATTCTTTGTATTTCATTCTACTTTTGTTGCCATGTGGATGGCGAGCGCTTACTGTATTCTACCTACCTACCTCGGTATCTGAGAAAAGCGGCTGACACGATGATAGTCTTAGCAGCTGGACAATACCTTCTATTCAAGCAAATGCGCCCTATTGCTATATGATGTTTTGAAAATTGACCTCTCGTGGCTCATTATCGATGGAATGAATTTTTCACAAAACCGCTCGAGGTTTACAAATGTGGCACGGCAGCGACAGCAGGAAGCGCAGCATCGATGGCGGCGACGGATGGCTGGTTAACAAAATCCTCACTAGGACTGGCCCAGCTGTAATTCCGCCATTCGCCCAAGGCCGGCCACATTTGTTCCGTGACCAATCGCTGGATCTTGTCACGCCGACTGGCCGGGGCGTCAGCGGAATTTGGCGTATCACTCTCGGCCGCGAGTTCGCGCATCATGCCCTGCCAGGCAAGGAACGTTTCCTCCAGTTCGGACACACATGTTACACCCATGACGCTGACACCGACCTTGGCGGGTCCATTGTACGTGGGCGGCAGGAGCTCGGTTCCAAAGGCGCCTCCAATGCGCGCCCAGTTTGCCATGGCCCAGTACAGCGCGAGCTCTTCCATCTTCTCTCCCGCGCCCTCGGCGATCCCAACAAGACTCTTGCATAGCTTGCGCAAGGGGCTTGGAGCCGGATGCCAACTCGCCATGGGACCGTCATCGACGCCGCGGGTCGTGAGAAGACCCATGCTCAGCATGCTCGCGTTGGTCACGACACCGACGCCGGCATCTCGTAGTTGCGCGAGGATCTTATCGCTGCCGAGGGTGTTGTTCTGGATGCAAAAGTGCGAAAAGGACTGGACGGCGTCGACGGGTTCGCCTGTTTCGCGGAGGATCTTTTCGGCGAGCTCACAGAGCACCGGGACGGGATAGCCGCAGATACCGACGTAGCGGACGAGTCCCTCGTCGCGGAGACGACGCAGCTCACGCACGGCGGCTACGACCTGGTCGGGGGAGACGAACTCGGCGTCGTGGGTATAGACTAGATCTAGGTAGGTGGTATTGAGACGCTCGAGGCTGCGGAGGACAGAGGCGCGGATCCAAGGCGGGGAGTAATCGAACTCGGTGGGGGCAATGCGGCCGGCCTTTGTGACGAGGAAGTACGAGTCGCGGGGAGGGGAGAGGGTGCGCAGGGCGGCGCCCAGGATGGTCTCGGAGGGGCCATAGTAGGGGGAGGTGTCGAAGGCGTTTACGCCGAGGGAAAGGGCGCGGGCGACGATGTCGACGGAGGGCATGCGCGAGGGATCCGAGACATATTGGTAATTGAAGGTTGCGGTGCCGAGGACTAGAGGCGGGAGGACGGCGGACAGGGGCCGGGCGGTGATGGTGGTGGTGGTTGCGCGCGGCGCCGCCATTTCGGACGTGATTTGAATGCTCTGTGAATCTATAGTATAGATGGGTTTTTGAACTTTAGCTTCGGGGGAGAGAGACAATTGATGCCCCGTAGCTGCGATTCACCACTGTGTCGAATTTGCAGCTACAGCTGTGTTGCTGGTTGTGGTGAATGGCGCATAGTTACAGCTCAAGGCCCAGCGCCGCAGAAGATATCTGGTCAAGCACGTCAATGATTGATAAGGTAAGGTACCTAGTCAGGGTTCCCCCGCGTGTCCGAATCCCCCAACGCGATTTGCCCCGCCGAAAAGGTGGGGGAATCTTTTTCTTCTCTTTTGGTCTTTCTGCAATCGGACTGGTGTGGTTCTAGGCTCTCCGGATACGACCGAATAGACTGACGCGGAGCCCAACTCTAGATTGCCTTTCTCGGATGGGGTTCGTACTTTCCAGTGTGGTGGTTCATTGGGTAGGTTTATGTGGCAAACGCTAACGCTAACGCCAGAGGGGCCAGAGAATGGCATACTTGGTGAGTTTGTTCGGTGTCTTGATGATTTTCATGCAACCTCATTCACTTGAACGAAGCTGCGACAGATTTCGTAACGACTGCTCCCTCTGCCGGCGTTGCGGGGCTTCAGAGAGACGCGGGATTCTGGGGAGACGATGGGGCGTCGAGGCGTCTGGGACTACCTGTACCATGTTTGCAGGGAGGAAATCAAGGTAACGCGTATAAATGAGGTATCTAAAGAGTCTGGGACCATTTGATCATGGCGGGCAAGATGTTGCAATGATTGAATTCGTGGAAGCGTTCTCGGAGAGACCTGAAACTTGATGGATTTAGCGAGGGAAACAAGAGATGCTCCCTCTCCCGCCGTTGCTGCAGGCGTTGCTGCAGGCCAAGCTGGATCGCTTGTTCTTCCGGGATGCTTATTTTAATGGGCTTATTGAGGTAAGGTACCTACCTTAATCGAGGATATCGTTATCTTATCTTAAAGCCTTATCGAATACAAGTAGGCGTTCGAGTTTCGTCCAACTGAGGTACCTAGGGTCAGTTCACGATGTTTCAAGACATAAATAACTTCAACGACATCCCCTTCCAGTTTCATTTTCTTCCAGATATTCCTCTGCGTTTATTTTTTTCAAAAAAAGAAAGAAGAAAAAAATGGACTGAATCGTCATCCCGAACCTTCTGAAACCGTCGTTACCTTATGCGATGGACTGCCTCTAGCAACAGTGATGGATGTCGAAATTCTGCCCGAATCCCGCCGTCCAGTGACGAGCGCATCCATCCTCGGACAAGCAACCTATATTATCGGGTGGCTAATACCTGCAATTTCAAATGATTAGACTACTGCCGCCTCAGTTGGTACCTGACGCTCATTACAAACCCAATCCCTCGGATTGGACAGTGATTAGCCTGAACATCCTGCATGTGTCCGGCTCTTTGCACGAATCCTCCCTCGCAACCCTCATAGCGGCTATTCACATCCTCGTCTCCTTCAGGCTTCAGTTCCCATCAACCCGTTATCTTGTTCCGACCACTAAGCCGTCAATGCCACTACACCAAATTGACTCTTCTTGGTTTTCAACCATCACTCATTCGGCGGCTTGGTCAGCCGGCCTGCCGCTCGTTTGGTGAATCTGCTCTCCGCAATAGATAATAGTCTCACCGTTATTGTACGGTCTGCCCGATTTAACCTCTCAGATAATCGTCTGCTTTGCGACCATGTCGTATGAACCCTAAAAACTTTCATCGTTCGCATTTTACTACTCTTCAAAAGTCAACGTGACAATGCCTACTGCTTCCTAATTTCTAAACCCCCTCTAAACGAGTTCAATCATCACTTGCTCTGGTGTCCAGGGGCCATGCCACCCATCGATGCATCTGCCGTCTCCCAAATGAAGACCCGTGATGATATGGGTCTGCTTTCTTGTTCCAGTCTTCAAATTGCGCTAGACAGCCGCTGTCGTTTTCGACCAGATATCCTCAATGGTGAACATTGCATACGGGGCCAATATCCCAGAGACATTCATCCGCCTTGGCAATTCTATGGCGTCTGGATCTTCATATTGGCATGCATCTTCAACTCTCAACTCGTACCATGTTTTGCGGCAGCCTTCTTTCCTCCCGTCTCTTGTCGGTGTGTCTTGTCACATTTCTACCTCATACACCCATACGATATCGCGTCCTCTTTCGTCACTGCGGAAGTCTACGCATGGAGGATTGCTCCGAGCCACTGCTGGTTATGGAAAATGCTGGGGTCAGCCGTAAGCAGGAATTCACTTAAATGCTAAGAGCACTGCTCCTGAATATGCGTTCTCTCCGTGTAAAAATTTGCCTGGACTATCTACACCTCGTTTAAAGACAGAATAGCGAACCAGCCCGCGAGAGCAATGCGTTGGTTTACCACTACCCTCAGTGCTGTGGCGCTCATCGGCTCTGGTAACTTGTGTGTCCACTGATCTCTCCTAGATCCATACTGACCGGCAGCATTGTAGCGGGGGCCCAAATTCAATCAACATACTGCGACATCCTAGGTCGTTGCTTTGCTTCTTATACTAACGAGGGCGGCATCATTTACGGCATCGCCATACCTGAAGGTACTCCCACGGGTCAGCCGTATGAAGCTATTGTACAGATAACCGCCCCTATCGGGGTGGGCTGGGCTGGCTTAGCCTGGGGAGGCTCTATGACATATAATCCCTTGACCATCGTATGGGCCAATGGTAACGATGTGGTTGTCTCCTTTCGGATGGCATTGTGAGGACTCACTGCAACCCATGGAATTGCCATCACCACTGACCAACTCTAGTGGCTACTTCACTCCTCCCCCTTACGAAGACACGGAGTACACAGTTCTCCCTGGGACTGTTGTCAATGCTACACACTATTCCGTCACGGCTCTTTGCCGTGGGTGTACATACTGGGCACCATATGGAAACGACCCAACATCTTTGGACCCCAACGGAGAAAACTACTTGGCGTTTGCTTACTCTGGCGTACCTGTTGATAACCCAGCAGCCAACGACACAACTTTCGGTATCCATGAGCGCGTGGGACACTGGATGCACAACTTTCAGCCGGCACAGGCAGTCGACTTTGAATCCTGGGCAAGAGACGGCGGTGATGGCGAAAGTCCTACCAGCACCATCACCCAAACTACTCTGTTGACAACCTTCTCCACATCCACTTTGCACAGTACCACGACCCTCAGGACTACTGTCACCAGGACGGGTGTTCCATCCAGCAGCGCAACGGCCACTGTCTCATCTTCGCGTACCACTGCGACATCGTCCTCCATCGTGACCAATGCTCCTGTGCCTCCAGTCCCCAGCTCATGCGCCGGCGTGAGCGCCTTCAGATTCGGATATCAGACTGTGAGTGGCTGGAAGGCCGTCAAGCTCGCTGGATCTTTGACCGGCCCTCGCGGGTTGGCTATCGACTCTGAAGGTAACCTACTCATTGTGCAGTCGGGAAAAGGTGTCACGGTTCACACCTTTGGTGCCGACGGCTGCCTCTCTTCCACAAAGACCCTGATCAGCAACCCCTCACTCAACCATGGCATCGGCCTCACACCCGACGGTAAGACTTTGTACGTTAGCTCAATGACTACGGCATGGTCGTACGCCTACGACGCAAAATCTCAAAGTATAAGTGCGCAGACTGTGGTTGTCAAAGGTATGCAGCAGGGAGGTCACCCGACGCGCAACCTCATTATCCCGCCGGCGAAGCCGCACCTCCTCGTCATACAACAAGGCTCCTACAGCAACTTTGACTATGAATCGCTCAATAAGGCAGTGGCGCGTGCTGTAGTCAAAGTGTTTGACATGCGTAGTGTGCCATCTGGAGGTTACGCGTACGCCTCCCAGGGCTGGTTCCTTGGCTGGGGTCTGCGCAACGAAGTGGCCCTCGCAGCGGACGGAAACAGTGCGTACGTAGAACAGTTTCTGCCTTTTTGGAGCAAACTGACAATGATTTTCAAAGGATTTGGGGAGTAGAGAACAGCGGTGACGACTTCGCCCGCACAGTCAACGGTCAGAGCTACGATATCCATAACGACAACCCAGCAGAAGAGCTGAACTTCCGTAAGTCCTGGTCTGCCGTGTGGGGGCTTCAAGACGACTAACGTTTCACCCAAGTCGGTGATCCTTCTCAGCCGAATGACCAGTGGTATGGGTACCCGACGTGCTTCTCGGTCTGGGAGCCCTCCGTCATCACAGACAAGAGCTTCAAGGCTGGCCAGCAATTCGTTGTGGCCCCAAACAGCACTTATAATGACGACACTTGCGACCAACGCTCTGTAGCCCCCAGGCTTTCGATTCAAGCACATAGTGCGCCCATCGGCGCCATTTTCGACAGCACATTTCAAAATCTGTACGTCACGCTGCATGGCTCGTGGAACAGGTCACCTGCTACGGGCTTCAAGGTGTCCGTGGTGCCTTTTACCAAGCTCGCCAATGGTAGTTATGACCCGGTTGCAGCAGCAGATTCAAAGACTGGTTACACGGATGTTTTCTGGAGTACCAACGTCGGTAGCTGCACGGGGTCGACTTGCTTTAGACCTTCCGGCATTGTCTTTGATAAAGGATTCTCGAGGTTGTTTGTAGCTAGTGACAACACCGCGGAGGGAGAACTTTTCATGCTTGTTAAGTCTTGAGCCAAGTACTAGTCACATTACTTTTGTGATTTTTTGAGAGTTTTCCAGTTTGTCATGGCCGTCTTGTATATAAGCCTGTGACAGTCGTAAAATCAGTAATCCCTGGCCAAGTATTCTTATATCGAGGATAATCGAAGCCGAATCAATACAAAATGTGTTTGCGAACAGCCTGAATCGCCGAAGGTGCCGAATTGACCCATTCTGCCCGATGGAATGAATGGGTTATTCGGCACCAACGGGAGGTCAATATCCAGGCCTGCAAGAGGAGTAGTTGCCATACTTCGGTCCATGTTCACAGACACACATTCCCAAAATAAGAGAAGAAATTCCAATGATGCCACGAAGGATCCAGCTGGCGAAGCCAGATTGTACTCTATGGTACATCTGACATGGCTTCATGCTGTGTGGACATGAACTTGGATATTACAAATTCAGCCAGAGAGCTTTCTGACCGCGATGCTCAAAAAGCAACGGCTAGTCTCCTATTCTTCGGGAAATCAGGTCACTGAATAATGCTTGGTTCATGGCCCTGGTTTCTGTTCGTTTCGGGTGCCGATTCTATAGAGTCCCGAAAAGGCGAATCATCTTGCAGGAGGTGTTCAGAAAGGCCTAACGATGGATTAGAAATTCCAGTCTCGCGGAAGAAGGAAAGGTTCATCCTACTATCGAAATCGCTACGTCGAGTTTCAATAGCGCCGAAGAGTGCGTCCATGTCCTCCAGCTCCCGGCCCTTGGTTTCGGGAAAGAAGGCGTATATGGCCTACAGTATTCGTCAGCATTTGAACATCCATAGCCAAAAGATGCAAGAAAGCTATACCGGAATGCAAATGATGTTCACGGCCATGAAAATGAAATAAATATTACTGCCCATATATCCGATACCGGCAGACCACACCATGGTAACGATAGAAGAACCGACAGCAGCACCAGCGGAAGCGAAGTTCAATCCGCGGGCTCGTACCGAGGTGGGAAAGATCTGTTATCATACCAAGGTAAGCGTTTGGCTCACATAACGGAAGAGAGTACTGTTATGTGGTACCTCTGTATTGTAGACCCATGCGGTTGGTCCAAATCCCAATGAGAAGCCAATGACATATACAAAGATGAAGGCCACGCAAATGACGTCTGTAGCCGGACTTTTACGATGAGGGTCTAACAGAGGCACGGCTCCATTGATCTAGGTAGACGCTGTTAGCATTTGAAGTTCTTTCGCAAAACTTCCTCCTTTGAGTCCTTTCACGTACTAGCAAAGAGAAGGCCATGATGACACAACCAACGACGAGGCATTTTCTCCGTCCAAAACGATCAATGATGAACATTTCGAGAACAGTAAAGCCTATTTTGACCGTGGATTCGATGGCGCTGATCAGCAACGTCGTGTGGGAGGATATGCCATGTTGTTCCAGAAGCCATGGGAGGAAGTATTTGATGGCAGTGGCACCACAACTTGAAGCCATGAACTGTAGCAAGGTAGCTCGCCATAGACGGGCAAATAGTGGCTTTTTGCGGAACAAAGAAAGCCAGTTACCGCCGGATTGGTGATACTCGTCGACGTTCTTGATGATGGCGGAGAATTCATGTTCAATCTCGTCATCATCAAAGCTACCCTCGCGAAGCCAGCGAAGTGTCGAACGGGCCTGATCTTTCCTACCATGTTCGACTAGCCAACGGGGCCTATTGAGTTAGTACGGACGGTCTACCTTGGATTCAAGTACCAACGTTTCGGGGACCCATGGCAACCCGAGCCCAAAGATCATTGCGGGAATTATTTCCAGAAGAATGGTCAATCTCCATCCGTAGAAAAGGCCTGCATCGGAGGACCAAAATCTCATAAAATAGCCAACCCTGATGTGGTATCATTAGAAGCTTCTCAGATCAAGGTCGATCAGATTCAGATTACCAGAAACCCAGGGCTATGCCAGCGATGAAGCCGACATGATTGAGTGTTACAAAATGGCCCCGCTTGCGTGCTGGCGATATCTCACTAGCACAGCAATCAGTCTCTGAAGCTTTGAGTTTTTTTTTTCCCGCAAGACCTCACGCTTGGTATAGCGGCACCGATGTTGACACAACGGCAACCCCAACGCCGCTGATGAGTCTTCCAGCAAGCATGGTACCGCGAGCTGCGCTTCCGCCGCTTGTGGCTTGTAGGATAGCACCCAGACAAACGAAACCTGTTCCCGAGAGAGCAGCATAACGACGTCCAAGCCAATCAGTGATAGGGTGAGAAATACAGAGGTAGCTGATGAAAGTTCCGGTATAGTAAATGCTGACTATAGTTCCAATCATAGCGCGGGTTGGCTGCTGCAGAGCATCGCGCCAGCCTGAACTGACTATCACTGAAGATAATATTCCAATATTGTATCTGTGCATAGTAGAGTAAGCTTCGCTACCCGAGCTAGATGAACTACTTTGGTGGTATTCCTGACACGACTCAAGGATATGTTGTGATATCGGTCTCTAGCCACATCATGTTCAAGTCAGTGGGGGGAGGGGGAGACGACCGACTCACCCCCAAACGGAAGCGCCAATGCCAAAATAAATGCAGAGAAAGTAAAGGCGCGATTCGCCGGCAGGCAACGAAGCGCCGGACCAGGTCATGGTTATTGCAGAGGGTAAACTTTGGATACGCGGCTAGAGGGGGTAATGGGCAATTGTCCAAGGTAGGCTTGAGCGCGCTCTGGCCTGTCAGAATTGGAGCGCAAACCCTACTGAACTATCACACCGTGATGTCAACGCGACTGTAGGCAGAAACAACGCTGGTTCGACTGATCTTTTGGATGGTGAGAAATCGGAAGTCAAGCGCGGGGTCGCTTGGCCAAGTCAGGTTGGGGTGTCTCGTGATTATGTAAGGTATCTTCCTGCGGCGTGGGATTCGCCAGCTAGCTTCCTTTTTTCAGGTCATGGAAACAATGTTTCGTTCTCCTTGCGTAGTTTGCAAATTCCCTGATCCATGGTCTTCAATAGCCCTGGGTCCTGAATGATGTTTGACGAAGTAAGCATCTGTGCAACTCCTCTTGTGGACCAAGTCATTTCGACACATGCATTGAAAATTGAATTCTGAGTTTCCACCAAGTTATTTTCAAGACTCTACTTTAAGATTGCAACGTCCTCAAAGACAACCGCTTGGAGACGATGTGGTGCAAACTGATGACTCAAGATCTAATCGACCGGCAATATAACGTCCAGCTGTTCCTTCAACAGCGGTTCTCGTCTTGAGTCATGGGGACACATGCCCACCTACACGGTGTTCATCATTCATACATTAATTTTACAACGTGGCTATCCTTCCTAACAATCACACACTCTACCGAGGCACGTACCCTGAGAAGTCGTATATCCCATTATGATCCTGCAGCCCCGCATTCCAATCCAGGAACTGGGGCTGCCCATTCGCGTCAATCACTGGCGCGTACATACTCATCTGACCTGGTGATGGTACTGAGCTTGGCACTACGTTACCATCACGGTAGCCCCATAGTTGAGCAGCCATCTCCGGCGTAATGCCATTCGCCATCGGCAAGAATTCAGCCTGGTGGTCAAACATTGGCGGCTGCTGAGGTAACTGCTGTTGCGATGGTGATTGCTTCTGCAGTGGGGGAGAGCCTGCGAGACCGAATTCGGATGCGGGCGGCTGTTCGATCAGGGGCTGCAGCGTTCTCGGCGGAACAGAGCCTCTGAATTCCTCAGGGGTCGATGATGCTCTCCTGACCGTCCGGACACTATCCGAATGGCCGAGCATGCCCTGTCCGTCAAATGGGCCTCCAGGGAAAACGGCGACAGACTGGCTGTCTTCAGAGCCCTCGTCGACATCTACACCAGAGTCTGGACGAGGGACAGTGCGAGTCAAGTGGCGCGGGGCCAGGAGGCGTGACGGCGATGGCTCGTTCTTTCGGTTGCTTCGATTCGAGTAGGGCATATTCTGTGCATTGGCGATGCATTGTTCAATGACCTGGATGAACTGGTTGCGATAGATGTTTCCAATGGTCTCCAATGCTTGTGGGGTCATTCCCTTGTTTCGCAGACTGTCCTCAACATCCTTCAGGCTGTTCATGAACTGGTTTTGCAACTCGAAATGCTCGATGACAGGGCAGAAGTCTAAAGTGGCCAGTATGAGCAAGCTTTGAGAAGAACACGTGAAAGAACAGAGTTGACATACCAAAAGGTTGAACCCTGTAGTCATCGTCGTCAGGGAACAACAGGTTCCAAATCTCTTTCCATTGTACTTCGGTGCTCATGCCGCTGGCTCGCTTCCTGCTGAGAAGCTTCGTCATTGTGGGGCCGTCGATGCCGGACTCTGGGTCATGGTCGGCGACGTCACACATCTGCTCCTTTGGTAGACGTTGGTGGTCTCTGAGATCCTTCTTGCTGGGGAAGTCTCGGTTACAGCGGTCGCACATGAAGGATGACGGGTCGTTGCGCTTATGTTGCTTGACAATGTGTTGTCTGTCGAGCGTTAGGACACGGTAGATGAGCTTCTGGGGATGACTACTAACCTCAGCTCGGCAAACTTGGGGAAGTAAGTCATTGCACACGAGTGATGCTCTCGGACGTTGAATCTGTGCGGATTCCTCTTTCGAAATGGACAGCTCAGTCGCAGATTTTCCTCTGCTTCCCGCGGCGTTGGCCTAGCCCTCTTGAACGGCACGCTTGAGTCGCCATCATCATCCGTCAAGTCATCACCATCATCGTCACCATCAGCACGGCCAGTATCGCTCTTCTTGCGCTTGCCGTTTTGGGACCCTCGACCTGATCCTGACCTCCGAGCCAGGGCCATCGAGCCATTCGATGATGTGGATTGTGTGTGAGTTAGTTGTGTTCCAGCAGGGAATCCATTAAAAGCAAATCTGCCAATGTCCTGGATAAATCTGAAGACGAAATGACGGAGGAAGGCCGGTGGCATGGTGACCTCTTCCAGTTCCACACCGTAGGTCACTTGCAAGACATAGTCGAGGATGGCATCGGCTTCCTCGTTGGAGAAGTCAATGGGTGTCGGTGTAATCGGCTCCCATGCACGCGAAAGACGATCGGAGCCGGAGTCAAAGCTCATTCTTTCATTCAGGGGTCGGGGCGGCAGCCGGTCCTCGCGGGGCGACTCGGGCATTTCGCCCGGCGACGGTGGCCTACTGTCGGCATAAGCATCGCATGTGGAATGGCGCCGCTCTGACAGATCAAGATTTACCTTGGGGTGCCCGCCGCGTGAGGCATGTCATTTTGCCCGTCAGCCTCCGGCTCACTGATGTCCATTCGCGGCAGTGGATCCTCCTTGTGCCCCGCGCCGATGCAATCCGGATACGCCGGAAACCTCTCGCCCATGATGGAATCTACAAAGGTTGACCCCGAATCGCATGACTCTCTGTAACGATGTCCGCTTGTGCCGGAACGCGATGCGAGAAATGGCGTCGGCAAGCGCTCAGGGCCGTCGATGTCGGGAGTTGTGGCCCTGGTGAAGGTCGATGAAGTGGGGGACATGGGCATTGAACAGGTGGTCGCTGAGTCTGGGACATGCGTTGAGCTCATGGTCGATGAGGTCGGCGACCGGTCGCGAAACGTCTTTCCATAGACGCCTGAAATTATCTTGAGGCCCTCTGGGCATTTGGGCTGGTGTTGCTGAGGTTGCGACAGGCGGAAATGGTGTTCAAATGGTGGTGAGTGAACCACCTCCTCGATTTTGGCATGCGAGGCAAAGGTCGAGTCGCGATGGCGTGGCTCCCGGGGTCGAATCGGGATCTCGACCGTAAACGACTGCTCGTCACTCATCGTAAATGGTGCTCTTTCTCAAGTCGAAATGAGGCTGGTCCTGAGGGATCCCGACACGGTTTCAGTGAAAGCTGAGCCCAGAATGACACCTGTACCACCCGTTTACTGGGTTGCCCTGGGTTTTCAGTTCTCGTTGACTGCCTTTGCTCAAGAAGCCCTTTCTCGAAACCCGTCCGTCACTTGTTGTTATTATCGCGATGAGAAATAGGTACTGGAAATGATTAACGAGAGTGATGGAAGAAGACAAAAACCGAATCGAATCGAGTCTCGGGGTGCGACGCTCCAATTCCCCTGGGTCATGCTGTTGCCTCCAGACTCAGCCCCCAAACTATGCGGAGTACTTAATAGAATGCGAACCATCTCAGCATAACAAGGGTGGGCTCAGCTGGAGGCCGTGATTGGATCATGACGACGACCGTCGTTGGCGCAAGAAACAAGTTTCTACCATTGGACAATGCGGGCGCGACGGACGAGGATGCCTCCCCTATTTCTGGCGCGCAGCTTGCAACAGGCCGGCATACCCCCTTCAAAAGACTTCGATACCTGATTTGCTTGTGGCCGGTGCCGTTGTGGTTGTCTGGCAGCGGCGGGCAGGCAGACACAAATGTTTCTGCCAATGTGGCTTGTTAGGGATGGACTCACGATAAGCCGAGCCGCAGGCTGAGAGCCTCACCAGTCATGGTACTGCCTTAACAGCCATAATCAAGAGCGGCATGCTTCGTCCCAGGCGTGAACCCCAGGCGTCCGATGTATCCCAGCACTTGGCACCGTCAGTGCGTCTGTCCAACTACCAAAACCGGTCATCAGCCCTATGAGGATGGCGTCTGTCCAACATTGCAATCCCATTAATGCACGCCATCGCGACCCGTTGGAAGTCGACACCTACTCCATGGCGTCTAGACCTGAAGCGTTCCAGCTTCAGTTGGGATTAGATAAACGAGAGTGCCCTACGGCTGCCCCGTCGCAGGCCGGCCGCCGGTCATTCGAACACGCGCTGCTATTGGATAATGGCAGCAGTTGGTCCATTGCGCATGCAGAGCGCATCGTCTGCTGAATGTAAGGTAGGAAACGGAGTTCACATCGACAGCATATCAGTTTGGCTCGTTTCGAGCTTCGCCGGCGTTCGTATATGGGATGCTCTGAGAGCAATTGAGCCTCAAAAATTCATTATGGAGTGAAATATAAAGAGAACGGGGGCGGGGTGAAGATCACGGGGAAGAGATGAAGCCGACTTTGGTCAATGCATCTGCAAGCAATAAGAAAGACGATTCAAGCCAACTTGCATCAATTTCCAGCTCTACAACAACCACAATCAATTGCATCGCGAGCAGAACAGGGTAGTCCTATTTGAACGGCTTGGTGACCATCACAGAGCACTCAACCCTTGATCCGATCCGAGCGCGAATATGTCACACTCTAAAGCCAGCTCTAGCCAGAGCCTAGTCAACTGTCCCACCGGGTAAGCAACAGATTCATTTTTCCACATTTGAGTGACCGCACTGACAATGACATATCGCCAGATCTTCCCGTGCTGCGCCTTACAATGTCGATCGTTACATGGCCGAGTCATCTTCCTGGACAACTTTCAGCCAAAGAACTGGCACCCCCCGCACAACCTATAGCGACCTCATGCAATCGGAACTCGACAGTCTGTTGCGGCAAGCGAAGCAACAATCTCAGACAACCTCGAAGTGAGGAAATAGTGAAATGGATTTAACGATTACACGATGCTACATATTTACCTGGCTCACGTGGATATTGCGGTGAGCATCTTTATGATGCATATTTGGTGGCTTAGGCGATCAGAGAGCGATGATGTCGCCGGCGGCGTAGTTGGTAATGGAAAGGTACGGGAGCGTCGGGCCTGTTGTGGGCGACGCTCTACGAACTGGAAGTCACAATGTTGCAGAGCCTCAATGACACGCCGTGGTGCAAGTAAAGTCGACAGGATTGTCTTGACTGAGGAGGTGGCTGGCCACCCCACCCGATTATGTAGACTGCTATTTGCAGAACTATGTACGATGAAGCATATGTGCTGTTGACCAAAGCTTTTCCAATATGTACTATGAAGACTCAAAGGAAGTAGTTATCCACGCGCCTCAACCCCGTGCGGAATGCAACGCACACTCTGCTACGTGGGCAGGAACCAAAAGAGCATGGGCACTGGATATGGGCCGGCGTTTGTTTACCGGAAGAGCTCCACGGTGTCGAAGATCTGGTACATGAGTTAGCATAAATATCCCGTATTTGAAAAAAAATTCACCTGCAGTGTCAACTTACAACACTGGGGCTCAGGTAAGTGTCACCACTGCTGCCGGAGATGACATTTATGGTGATGGTGTTGGCTCCAGAAACGAGGGTGCCGGCAGGAACGCTGACGTCGTAGACTTCCCCGAGACCGCGGTAAGCACCTCGGGTAACGCCACGGGAGTCGATCTTGGTGGGCGCTGCAGGGGCCGGGCCGGTCCAGCTATTCACCTTGGCCTGGGGGCGGCCGCTGGCAAAGGCAAGGGTGGTGGCGATGCGGAGAGTGGCAGCGCCGGGGGCGGAAGCGAGGTTGAACTTGATGGTGACGGGGTTGTTGACGGCGGTGAAGATGGCCATGGGGAAGTCGCTGACGGCAGAGGAGCCAACGGTGTAGGTCAAAGGACCCCAGCTGCTCATGCGGCTGTCAGAGGGGTGCATGCGGAGCTGCTTGTCCGCGTTGCGGAAGCCGGTCGGCTGACAGTCGTACTCGCCGATCTTCCAGAGCGTGGTGCGAGCGGCGAGGGTGCTGGCGATGTTGGCAGTGGTGGTCTTGCCGGCGGCGACGGTGACGGAGCTGGTGGCAACCTTGAACTCGGTCTGGTAGAGGACCATGGTGTAGGTGCCGGGCTTCATCAGGGGGGAGGTGAAGGCGCCGTTGGACGAGGCATAGGTCCAGTACTGGGCGTTAGCGTTGTACCAGTGGACGACACGCTGGAAGCTGCTGGTGATGCCGGAAGCGGTGCCGGAGACGGTGCCGCGGCCGGAGGCGGCAACATAGCCCTTGAGGCCGAGCTCACTGTAGAAGTCGTAGTTGAAATCGGTGTTCTTGGGGATGCCAGAGCGGGAGAAGGACTGGACGTAAGGGCCGTGCAAGCCCATACGGTAGGCCTCGGTCTGGGCGTGGTTGCTGTTCATGTAGTTGTAAAGGTTGGTGGAGTCGCCGGCGTTATTAGAGTTGATGTCGCGGAAGAAGGGGCCACCGGAGGACAGCTCGAAACCGGTCTTGGGCTCAACAGAGACACAAACGTGGATCTCCTCGGGGCTGGTGCCGTAGACGCATCGGACCTTGTCATCGATGAAGCGCTCGCTGGAGTAGAACTTGGATCGGGTCTGCCCACTGACGACGAAGACATCGGAGCCCTCCACGGCGGAGCTAGAGCCGGCGGTGGTAGAAACGACGCCGAAGGGGTATTCGCTGGGTAGCGTGTCCTTGTTCAGACGCGAGATCCAGCGGAGCTCGCCAATGTCGGGTTCGGCAGTGGTGTAGGTAGCCATGTAGATGTTGGCCTCGCCCTCCTTGACAATGAGGTAGTGGGTGAGGGTCGAGGTAGTGCAAGTCACCTTGATGACCTTGCCCGTGCTGGCCGTGACCGTGGTAGCTTCGACGGTGGCGGTTCCGAGACCAGAGCTGATGTGGCTGCCCTTGCTGGCATACTGGAGCTCATTGCCGCGGTACTTGATCGAGTTGATATCGCAACTGGACTTGGAAACTTGGAAGACGAGGGTGTTGGATGAGCCGGCATCGACAACGAAGTTGCTGCCCGAGGTGGTGACGCCAAAAGCGGCCAAGGCAGAGGAGGCAAAGGAAAGGATGGTGAAGAAGAGAACCTGAAGGAGACCGTTGAACGCCATTATGGCTGTAAAGAGGTATTGCCCTTGCCTGGCGAAGTAGAGAGGGTAAGAGGACGAGGTTGGAATAAGATCGAACAACAACAGAACAAGAGAGCCTCATCAAAGGTTTCTAGAAGGAATATGGCTGGCTTTATTACAAAGTAAAGAGCAATCAGTCTGCACTCGGCGCTTAACATCCCGCCACCGCAAATCTTGGGATGCCATGACAACTCTTTGCCATCCTGAGAGACTATGCCCCTTGGTCTTTTTCGGGGATTCCAAGGGCGGGTGTCCGCCGGAGAGGCTGCCTCTGGCAAGGGCCCGTGATATATTGCAACAGCTTGTTGATTGGCGGAATGATTGTTTCATGGGCCGACGACAAGGGCTTCCTCGTTGTGGCTGCGCGAGATAGATCACGAAGGGTGAAGCGGAAAGGGTGAGGAACAGGGCCTGAGGGACCAGGGTTGACCCAAGTCCCGCTCCGAACGGGTGGAGGAAGGACAAGGAAACGGCATGATTGATGGGAATTCGGGACTACTTGGCAGGAACCCGCTGCGGCCGTGTGCCGGAGGATTTACATAACGACAGCGTCTCTGATATTTGCTCGATTGAATGGCGGATCTGGGAATAAGCATTCGAGGCTACAGTGACCTTTGTAACTATTAGCTGCTCGGGCCTGCAGTAATATTGACACGGGGGAAGAAGTGGTTGCGGGGGAGTTGACGCTTCACTACTTCAATGCTCAATGAAGCTCACTCGAAGGAAACAGGCGATTGTCCGACCAAGGTGACTTCAGCTCAAGGAACTTTGGTCCTGGACATTGGTCTTGACACCCCGGATAAGACGTGCTCGTCCGGCGGATTGTCCTCGGTCGTCTACTGTCAAGATGAGGGGATAGGCAGAAAAAGAGACATGGCCAGGGGCCGTCCGCTGCAGGATGCCCGATGGAGCCGGCAGATGGGACGAATATTCAGACAACAACGGCACCGTGAAGAACAGACGAACCAGCAGCGGGCAAGGCGCTGTATATCCCGGAATCTCGGGGCATTGGAACCCAGATTCGCACCGGCAGAAGGTGCAAGTATCTGTTGACTCGGTGCTGCAGAGTGCCAGAGACGGCAGAGGAATTGCGGAGACTTGACCTCGGGTTATGTTGCTGCTCGGCTTTGAGCAATTTGGATTTTGTAGACATGTTTTTGCATAAAGCTTAAAACATTAACGAGAAGGTACACCGGCACTGAGGCTCGTATGTGAGGTGGGAAGATGCGCAATCCTTGCTTGGTTCGTGAGGTTATGTTTTTTTAAGATTTTTAACCATCTCCTCTTCGTAAGGTTCCGATGGCGACCCATGAGCCGAGAGACACAATGAGCCATATGAAACTAGACAGGGACTCCTTTTTCCTTGGTGTCGGGGGGTATCCGTACGAAGCCCTGCTCTGGGTGGTGTTGCAAATATTCTTATTCGTACGGATACCTAGTCAACTTTCAATAGAGTCGGCACCCGTACGGATAGAGGAAGTCCAATATCCGCTTTTTCGTCCGGATCTAATAGATGCAAGGACCTCTTGACTCTCTTCGGAAGGTGGGCAGCAGTGGCTGCATGGGATGAGAGATGAATCGGGCATGAAAGTCGGAGCATTTGGGGGCGCAAGGAGTTGGCCAGCGCTCCGCATCAGCATCTACACAAGGTGGGCAGACAAAAGGAGGGCAGAGATGGGGCAGGCAGGCCGCAGAGATGGGGATTAAAAAAGAGAGAAACGCCGGGAGAGAGAGAATGGCTTGCCACTTGCTCTACCTACTACATACGGAGGCTGCAGAGGAGACCCGGAGGGGAGCAGGACCCACTGCCAAGCCTCCGTGCTCATCTGACATCACGTGGAGGCATGGGTGCAGCCTAACACATGCCTTTGGCGAGCTAGGGTACCCACTAAGCTTAATTCGTCCAAACGTCTGTGGCGCTCCTATCAGATCCACCACATCGCCCATCGCATCATCTGAGCCACTTTATTCCACTTCACTTCGCTCCTTTAGGCCTAGCTCTTTCCGGAAGTTTAGGATGTAGGATGTAAGTACGTACCGTCTCCAGCCACGGACTCGATGTTCCGCTCATCGGCCATCCCCCGACGGAAGGGCAACCCACAAACTCATCCACAACCCTTTGCAATTTCACCATTCCAGACTGCCACGACTGCCTCTTACCTCACACGTGCCTCAGTCGTCGCGCTTACTCATCGGCGTACATACTCCATCTCTATTCCCGGACCCCCGCGTCCGCTTTTGGGTCCTTACCGATACTTCCCTTTCATCGAATCTAATATTAATTACTATGTTTTGTTTTTCTCACCAATTGGCTTTCCGAACGACACCCTGAGAGCGTATATCCGTACGGATACCACAATTCGATTTGTTATAATAAAATGAATCGTCCCTTGCGCCCTTATTTCAATCTTGGAGGAAGATGTGCTGGCAACCTACAGAGTCCCCGACAGTTCGCCCGATGGCTGATAGGCGCCTGCTGCTCACAAGCATCCGAGACGCCAAGCTTCCCCTTGACATAATCTGGGCCGCACTATTGGTGAAGACGCACGTTGATTTACGGGTTGTTCTTGGCGGACAACTTTGGAAACTAGCATAAATATTCTGCCGAAGCCTGACTTTGAGATCATCTTCGACATGGCGGTCAGCTCTCAGCGAAGCAATCAGCCTTTATCCAACCTTTGTTATTTTCCAAAGCTCGGGAAAACTCCATTTTGGCCTCGGGTGGCCTCTTTATGCACTGCGTTGCAATGTACAGTGTCGGCACAGTCTTGTCATTCTGACGCCATGGGGATAGCTTCATATGGGTCGTGTAGTGTATCAAGATGTATTTATCGCCGGGAGGGGGGGGGATATGGCCAGCTTCATCAGCCTTGTCGCATTTGTTATTGGTCCGTTTTGGCCTTTTTCCTTTTTTTTTTCTCTTAGTGCGATGCGTGTCCTTGAGGTTCTGACTATAGCCAAGTATCAAGGTAGCACTTGATAAACAACTTCAGGGTATAAAATGGTCAACAGAGCCCCATTGTGCCTTCAGTAGTTCACAGGCTCATGGACTGTGTCACTTGTGTGAACGTTCATCAAGTCATTGATGAACCAACTGCCTCTATCTCAGCAAATATCGGCGAAAAACCAATTCTGTGAGAGCAAACATATTTGCCAGGGAATACAAACGAAGCCTTGAGTATGACAAATTCATTCCGGTGCCAACTTGCCCATGAGGGCCCAAACACTAGCTAGTCTCACCTATCGACTATTCGGGCCCCCAAGATCATGGACAGCCAAAAATGTATTGAGCTACTGTGCTAGTGGGCTACGGTTGAGGGTTTTGCCTGTGCTTGCGGGAGCTAACATGCCTGTGGAAGTTTGTGATTTTCCCAATTGACTCGAATTTCAAGCTTTGCTCAACTCCAGTGCCGCACTGCCGGTGAGCCAATGACGTCTGCTCGATCTGTCTTGATGCCGATAAGCATGGAGTACAGCAGCCTCAGGAATGTAGAGTTGGATGATGTCTTGCAAATGAACGCTTCTGAAGGGTGGGCTCACGAACACGAACCAAGGAATGCAAGACTACGACATTGCCATGGCATTACTGATACAAAGAATATGTTGCAACCTCGATGAATTCGCAGCCCCTGGTGTCAAAACCCCAGTTCTGTATAATAGTCGGGACGCAATCTATCAGTCCAAATGTTCCTCCGTCTTCCAACTGACTGGAAAGCTTTCCGCTGATCAACTGAGACGACAAATATCGGTAACGAGCTGACCCGAGGGCCAGTTCAACTGAAATGGAGAACATGCAAACTATGATGGGACGTGTTCGTCAGATCATTTCCTTTGTTGACATGCCACGTAGGGATCCCAATGACAGCAACCTGGCGGCTTCCATGACGCTCCCGGCCCTCGGGATTCGGATAGTTGGCTTAGACTATCCGGACAGCTAGAATCCGGGGCTTGAAAGGCTTCAGCCATCCAATGGGAGAAGCCTTAATTCCACAGATGTAAGCTGCTATCCCAACGTGGACATTGTTCTCCCCGGATCAGGGCTGGCCCGGCGCTAGTGCCTGGCAATCTACTAGCTCTAAACTCTTGGGCACGGCTATTACTGAGGCTTGACAAGACTATCTTTTCCTAACTGGTGTCATTTGACTGACATTCTTTCAGACCCGATTGATAGAAACGGCAGCCATGCAAATGATAGATGACGATGATGGAAGTCGGCTGGCCTACCGACCTTGTTGACTCTGTATTTAAAAGCAGGCCATCGCTCTTCCTTGATCTCCTGCCAGCCATGATTGTCCCCGATTTCTCATATTAGCAAGTGAATAATCATATTCAATCATTTAGTCATTATGCACTGCAGAAACATCGCAATTGCCCTGGCTGTGGCCACAGGCGTCACTGCCCAGCGCCCCGCCGACACTCCCATCTGCGACTATTATACTACGGCTTTGTTAAAGAACAACACTGGTGCGAACCAGTATACGCTCTTGACACTTTTGGTAAACACTGTTGTTATTGGAAACTGTAAGAAACATTGCAAGAGTATCTTAAACCTGTCATCACTAATACGAATGCAAACAGACACAATGCCCAACGTCGGTATCAAGGTCGATGGCATTCTGGCACCTGGAATGTACAACGGAAGCGAGGTCAATCTTCTGCCTTATTTCAATGGAGACCTGGCTTCATCAAACCGAGGCGGCAGCTCCGGCGTGTCAGTCAACTTCTTGGATGGCGGCGGTGCTGCGCCCTTGATGAAGAACATGCCTGCCAACGACGACACGTCCAAACAGTAGTGAGTTTAGCCCACTCGACTCTGCCGAATGCAACAAAATCTAACATGGCTCTCCGCTCAGCTTCCTCCTGACTCACCTGTACCAATTCTTTGGTGCCCTTCTCGGCTGCTCCCAATACGGTATGACCGGCTTCCCCAAGTATAGCGGCTTTGCTTCCATGTATGAGGTACATAAGTTTATGGACCTGGACGAGAACGAGTTGGGTTACTTCATCAGCCAGGTTGCCATGGCTGCCGCCTCCTTTGGCGTCGCTCAGGATGACTTGAAGGTAGTCGGCATGGCTTTGTATCAATTGTTTGGCATGCGCTGCAGTCCGCCTGCCACAGCCATCCCAGAGCAGGGTCCTCAATTGCAGGCAATCTGCATCCAAGATAGCTGCCCCGTCTCTACCAACGCTACTTGCGCCAGTTATCAGCCCGCCATGGCCCCAAACAATGCAACTGCAACGGGAGGCATGAATGCCACCACAACTGCAAACACGACTGGAGCTACCACGACCTCGACAATGGCACCCAGCACTGTTCCAACGGCTGCTGCTGCGATTCAGGGCGTCAGCTTGGCTCTCATCGCCGGGTTCATGGCTTGCCTCATTTGAAAGTCTTAAACATGAGTGCATAGTCAACGTAGTGGGAATGTAGTGATGAGAATGAAAGATATTAAAGAAAGAATCCAATCAGACTCTTTATTCGCTTATGTAATTCAACTCATTTTGAATCGTTGTGAGTGCGAGATTGAGAACCTGTGTCTTCAACTCCCAGGTATCATTGGCAGGTAGCATTGTTGCGGAGCAGTTTCAATCTCCCTATTATGGATTTGAGGTTGTGTCAATGCATGCATTCTTTAGCTTCGACCCCTGTCAACCAAATTCATTCCCATGCCATATCTTGACGACTTGTCCCATATATCTAATCCTGTTAATGATGAGTGTCTTTGCCAGGTATACATCAGCCGCAGTAGGATGGAGGAACATCTTGTCGAAGAGAAATGTGAAAGAATCCAAGGCGGCAGAAACCTCATCAGCTGCTATACCAAATCGAGTGGTATGTCGACCAAGGGCGTTGTAATGTGGTGGCCGGTACTTATGCAGCGGCCGCGAAGATGAATGAAAGTTTTTAAGGAGCGCACGACATTTTAGAGGTCGTCAATTACATGGCCTAAGCTAAGGACAATATAGAGGGCCTCCCATGACTTTCCGGAGTCCTGGTATTCATTTGGGCCAGAGGCCTCGCTAGCATTGACAATAATGACAGAGAGTTTCTTGCTGCCAATGTCGGGGGGAAATGAACGTCAAAAGAATAGTTTCCTGTTCCACTTGCTGATGAAACTTTACTTTGATTCTGTGGCAAGAAAAGGGTGTATTAGGCGTTAGTTGCTGCCGGCAATTAACGGCGTCGTTTTTGCGACAGATTCTTTATTAAGTTATATGGAAGAGAATTGATTTGAACCGAGTGGACTGAGTCCGTATTAACATAAAAAAAATCGCAAGTTAGAAAGGAATTTCCCGGGGAAAGGGCACTCATGAAGGGTTGGTAATTCCTTCAAGGATCCGGTGACGAGAAGCGAAAATGTCAGTGTGTTGACTATTTAGTGATTTTTCATTCATACTAACCTGAAAAAATGTGGGAATAGGAAGCCCAGGACTAAGGCCGAGGTGCAACCAGCTAATAGTAAAGCATCAGAGCTTTAGAAAAAGCGCTGGCGTCATGGTGAAACTCAATGTGTGATGAGCGTTGCAGCGGCTCTTTTCCAGCTGGCCGTCACTTGATTGAGGAAACTGGAGGCAGTGTCTGAACAAGGTTCAAGCAGCAAAACTCGAGTTCCCAGATTCAGCAAGCCGAAACATTACACAAACAGGTGAAGAAGCTGAGGAGGTGTAGCATCTAAAGCACCATTCGTGTCTGGAAAAAGAAACTATAAGGAAATAAGCTAGCTTATTGTTCTTTGAATCAATTTTTAATGTGGCTGGTTGTAATTATTCCGGTAAAGCTTCCGTGTGGAGGAACTAGCTGATTCCACTGGACCGTGATTTCAAGGTTGCCCGCCACATGACCTGACACTGGAAACAAGCAAAAACTTGTTGTTTTGCAACTGAGCGCGACATCTCAAGGCACGCGAAGATGAAACACTATACGGCGAAGGATTCGACGTTTCAACCTCTAAATCTGCAGGTGGAGTTCGATTGCTGACAACGATGCTTCAAAGATGGGGCAGCTCATATTCATTGTTGACGCCTGAGCTTGGCAGAGTTAAAGGTCGCAAACAACCTGCAGAAGTCTCCCGGTCGAACAACCAAAGTTTGGCGTTGATTAAAAACAAGAATTGCCAATTGGAACACAACAATTGTGTAGTACAAGTGGCGTAGAATTGTTCAGGCCTGTTCATGCTTGCACACTGTCTGACGTGAAAAACACCGCCCACCTAATTCGTGCAAGATTGCTGGTTTTGATTGGAGGAAGATCTGGATATTGACCGCCTTATGAATTAGCCAACAACCGAAAGAAGGCGCCCTTGTCTGCTGACCCAAGCTGGTTTCATCAATCAGGAAGAGATGGAAGACTACTCTCTGCCAGTCTAGGTATCCTGTAACTCCATAATCATCAGATTTTACATAGGACATGTTGAACAATACTCATTTAAAAACGTTTCACCACCATTCGTACCTATGCGATTCCATCTTTGGAGCAACTAGGTCGCAGTGAATTTGAGCTATATTGAACTTGAATGCCTGGCTTTGAGGCGTCCTGACTGCTCCATCTAAAACATCCGCCATGAGATCCAGGGTCTTTCAAATTGATGTTGTGCTCCACATAAAACTATATGCTAGCCACGTGCCGCTTTGAATTAAGTTCGTGCAACTTCGTGGACCTATCCTAGAAACAAACTCGCGTTACACTGCCTGGATTTGACTTCTAATGAATCACACAGATGGCTTTCTGAATCAGAAGGCAACCGATCCGGGTCATGAGAGTCTTCTTTGTGAACAGACAGGGAACTGTCAATGCAAGTAGTGGAAACGATGCAGACATCGCCCAAAGCCACGATCTTGATGGTTTAGTCCATTGCCACGGGCAGATATGGTCAACCAGCACACCTACCCACTGGGGCACCGACCTAACCTTGAGGTTGTTCATACGAAAGGGACGTAACTACAAGTATCTGAGTTGTAGCTTGATTTCATTTCAGTAGTACGAGATCAACCCGGACGATGTCTTATGGACCTGGCCCGTGACAACGATTCTGTCTGGAAAAAAGGAATGGGTGAACAGAAGACTTTCTGTTGAGGCGGTAAATGAGGGACTAGTGCTTATGTGAATTTCTGGTTCAGCTTTTAGATGTTTGGATTCTGTTCTCGGCGATACGGCAAGTGCAGAGAGAAAAGTATATAAGGGGCTACGATTTCCCAGCTCGATATGCAGAAGCTGAGCACGCATCACTACAATCCAGCCAGAGCAACTCATCATCTGATCTACTGCAATACCTCTGCTTCTTCTCAACAACAAGATTTCCACCATGTCTGTTCAAACCTCGACTTCGGGCGGTGGAGGCGGCGGAAGCGGCGGCGACGACCCTGGCCGTCGTGGTGGCAACCGAAAGTTGCCTTCTGATCTACCCGACTGGTTTCAACGAATGAGAGAAGCATCACCGGAATCTCAAGCGGAGTATGAAGCCAGGCGCAAAGCGGAAACATGGGTGAGGGAGTCCGAAGGGAAAGACGAGGACAACGACTACGTTCACGGCTCTAAGAAGCCGTACGACGAGACAAACACCGGCAGCAAGGCTAGTGATGGGGAAAGCCCTTCCACCTCCACTCACGCCTGGAAAAGAAGCACAGGCGCAGCTAGCGACAAGAAAAGTCCTGCTCCCTCCGCCGATGAGGGGACAAGCAGCACTGCCGAGACCGGTCGCTCGAAGAACCTTTTTTCCTCAAAGAATGTAGGCACCGCTGAGAAGAGTGGCTGAAAGTGTTCATTCACATGGTTCCCGCCGCAGGGAAGTTGTCAAGTAGAGTGACGACGAGTCGTAAAGAAACGGAAACTTAGTTGTCGCCAGCAAATAAAACAGACAGCTAACGCAGTGCACTGAGTCCAAACAGACTGATTGATAATGATTTGCTAAGAGCCACAAACTAGTTCGGAAGCCATCTTGTATGTTAGGCCTATGTCATCGTTGGAGCATGTATGCGCAGTTGCCTTCACACCTAAATGTATGATTGTCGCTTCGAACTCCAGAAGGCCTAATTCCGTGAAGCATCTCGCTAGTATCATCCTAATTAAGATGTTGGAAAGTCCCATGTATTTATTTCTGTCAGATTTGGATCATTTGACCACTTCGGTCACGTCCGGCCGAAAGAAACCCTAGGGCCTAATGATCTTCTAGAATAATGGTGGAGTCGAGCTCGATGTCATCCACGGGGTTCGAACGTTGCGTCTAGACGTTTGTTGATTGAGAGAGCACAGGCATCTCCTCGGGTTTCGAATATGACATGAGACATGGCCATACTGACCACCTGTTAGGGCGTGTGGTTCACAAGTGAAGAAGTCAGCACGAGGGTCACTTAACGGAGGTATCTCGAGGTAGGTATCGGTAGATGGCAGCATTCGAATCTGGCTAGGCCCCTATTAGTCATATTAGGGATATAAACCCCTTCTATCAGAGCCACTTAGGGGCCCACCAGAGGGCACCCTTGTCAGGCAACTGACACCATCGGCGAAAAGGTCCCTTCCCCAAATTCGAGAGTCTTCACGACTACATTATTGGTCCTAATTCTAAGGGTAAGCTCGTAATACAATAGTCATAAAATATTTGCTAAAGAGCTAAAGATTCAACTTTCACGCAAGTATCACGATATAACCCAAGCCTATGAACCACTAAAGTAAGCCCAGCCTACCTCTACAGAGCTTCTCAGGCTCTTCAAAGACTCGGCTGAAGACCAACAGAATACCCCTTGTCATATTCACAAGTACGAAGCGGTCGTACAATACTACCTCTCTGCCAAATGAGACAAGTGTGACCTCCCCTCAATCACTAGCAGCAGTTACACGGCAGTGCGGTAGGACCATTGCGGTTAGTGACACTCCCAGTTGTCCGAAGGCCGAGAGGTGTTAACAGCACCGAGCCGCTCATAGCGGTGATATTTTGAATAGTCCGAAGTGTTTCACAACTATTTCTCCTCACGGTAGCAAGTGACGCGCTTGACTCGGAGCAGCCAATGGAAGCCAAAAGCTGGCTGGTTCGACCACCGCCACACGGGTATCGGCCCCGAGTCTTGACGTCACCAATACCAGAGTGCTCTTCGTAAAGCCCGAAATGGATGTCGGCTTGATTATAGGCCACACCCATCGCCGAGGAGTCGCGCCTATCGATGTCATGATCGTGTCCATCGCGACGTATGTCGAGCCCGACGTTTCAATCCATACCCTATGTTATAGATACCTTTCATTACCCAGTAGGTTACACTAAGAATTTTCCTTTCACCAAGCAAGCCTCAGTCTAATAATTTCTGCAATCACTCCCATCAGCAGGCCAATCCACTGGTCAGCTCCGTTACTCCCAATCAAATGTCTTCCCTCAAAGTTCTCATCTCCGGTGGAGGCATTGGCGGGCCGGCCCTTGCATTCTGGCTGGCGAAGCTCGGCCATGATGTAACCATCCTCGAGCGATCCCCTTCTCTTCGCGTTCAGGGCCAACAAATCGACCTTCGCGGCCAAGGAATCGCTGTTGTCCGCCGAATGGGCCTTGAGGGTCTCATCCGCGAAAAGGTTGTCAATGAAGCCGGCGTCAGATTTGTCAATGGCAAAGGGAAGACACAAGCAACCTTTCAAGCAAACAAGTCTGGTGTTGGCAAGCAGGGCCTTACATCGGAATTCGAGATTATGCGCGGCGACCTGGTTCGACTCCTTTTCGACAAGACGACAGCGCGCGGTGTGAAGTACATCTTTGGTGTGAAGATCGAGTCGTTCGACCAAGATACAGACTCGGTGACGGTTCATCTGTCAGATGGTACCACGGACACATTCGATCTGCTTGTTGGAGCTGATGGCCAAGGATCCAAGACAAGACAACTCATGCTCGGCCCCGGCGAGAAGGACCCGTTCTATCCTCTTGGCGTGCACATGGCCTTTTATACTGTCCCCAAATGGAAGACGGACGACAACTACGCCACAGTCTGTGTGTGTCCCAAGAAGCGGATGCTTTTTTCCAGAAACGACAACCCGGAAACGACTCAGGCATACCTTGCCGTGTGTCCGCCAGATAAGGAGACGGAGAAGCTTCTCACCGAAACCGAGAAGAGCCGCGACCTTGTGCGGCAGAAGGAGGTATGGTCAGAGCTCTTCAAGGGTGCAGGATGGCAAGCAGATCGATTTTGTGACGCGCTCAACGATGATGGGGTCTCCAATGACTTTTACTGCGTCGAGATTGGCCAGATACGCATGGGCAAGTGTTACAAGAACCGCGTGGCCCTTCTTGGAGATGCGGGATATGCACCCAGTGTCTTGACCGGTCGTGGCACAACTTGCGCGTTCATCGGTGCCTATGTTTTAGCCGGCGAGATTTCAAAACACTGCTCGGAGTCTCCGGGAAAGGCAGCTGACGGTATTCCTGCCGCCCTCGAGGCATACAACAAAGGCATTTTGGAACTCATGAAGGAGGTTCAAGATATCAAGTTCAAGCCGTCTTGGATCTATCCTAACTCGGCATGGGTTATTTACATCCTCTACACGATCTTGTGGCTGGTATCAACTTTTAAAATTGACAAGATTCTCCAGAAGCTGCAATCAGATGATGTGCCGGGGTGGCAGCTTCCTGAATATCCCGGGCTTATGTACGACGACGAAGCAGAAGCCAAGGAGCTGACTCATTAAATCGTAGTGGGAGGGCCTCCTTGAAAGTAAGCACGGAATGATGAGTTTTGACGCATTATGACTTTGGGTTAGGCGTTTGGGAGTAGGGCGGATTGAAGTTTATGTACGATTACTTAATGTTTCGGACCATCGCAACTTAACTCAGACCACATTTGCCATACTGTATAGAACGAAATATTAAACTCTTGATGAAGAAAGCCGAGTGGAGGAAGGCAAGCGAAGGTTTTTCAGAGTTGAACGTGCGAGAGGCGTATAGCATGGTGCATTTACTACATGAACCACAATGGCATGGCGAATAATGCCACCAGACTGTGTCCAACGCAGCTTTCCGAACTTCTCGGCACCGAATAGACTGCTTTAGTAAAATAGCTTGTTTCCCGTTAAATCTTAGTCAGTTGCTGGTGTTGCCGACGGAGCCTACCTCGCTCCAAAGCCTCTGGGAGGTGTTGAGCTTCTTCCACGGTCGTTTTTGTCAGTTTTCCGCGGAAGCGAAAGGGCTGCCGGCTGCCAGGTGGAGCAGATTCCCAGCCAAAACCAAAAAAAAAATTATCGAACCGTAAATTTACCCTATGACTAGCTTCACAAGTAGCAAAAACAATGTGAGGCATTGAACCACACCCGATTTGAACGGATAACCTTTCGATGACACCAGAGCTGGAGTCGAACGCGCTACCGTTGCGCCAGCGGTCCTTGTTGAGTTCTTTACCGGGATAAAAACCTAAGTCGCTTCAGACACCGAAAGTGGGGACAGCAAGCGGGGAGCACAGGTTGACTCACTGGCACCTGTGTGGGTCAAGAACACAATCAAGGGTTTATTTAGCCAGGGACTCCTCTATGATTTAATTCTTGAATTCTTTTGTCCATGTGTCTTTGAATGGCATTCTTCCCCCAGGAACTTCGAAGCGCCAGAGTATTGGCCAAGTTGGAGCTTGTGAAACCAGAGACAAGAGGTAAGTAGGTCACCTCAACAAAGCCGGGTTTGCCATTTCTCTTCCTGCTCTGTTGTTTCCGAACGAAGCAAGGCCACCTCACCTTGTAAGCTGTGAGCTTATGAGCTCTCGGACGTGGCAGTCCACTAAGTCCTGCCTCGGCACTCGTACTTCTTCCTAGAAGGCTGTAGGCATCATGAAACTGGCGCACAGTCTCGTGTCAGTCCAAAAACTGCTTAATACCTGAATTTTTTACATACAGACGGCATTGATTCTCGACACAACTCCCAAGACCATATTCTCGATACCGTTCATAGAACTATCTATTTAGAAAACACTGTCATTTTCATGAGGTATCATCATTGAATTACTTACTAGCATTCATCATCCTTTCCCACAAGTCAAATATGTCGGATTTAGTACCACCCACAACTGCAGATATGCGATAGACATGGTTGAGATACTGTTTGGATTGCACAGCACCGTTGAATACCTGGCAGATTTTAGTCTCATAACCACCAAGTCGAATGATATGGACATGATATAACTCGATGTCGTATGACATATATGGCCCTAATTTCTGTCCGCAGTTAGCTGCGTCGGTTTTGCGACACTTGGAAAAAAGTGAAAAGGGATACTGTTGAAATCGTGAGGATCTCTGACACAGGGAATGACTAGTAGGTTGGCGGGACGGGGACTATGAAGGATTTCAGTAGTAATCCTTGCTGGGCTCAGTGACCAGATCTCTATGGAGGCCCGATCAATTATACATGTGAAGATTGATGAGAGACTGTCTAGTACATGAAGAAGAGTCTATTTCTTCCTTCCCAGGGATTTCGACACTCCCTTCATGACGGGGGCGGACTAACACGCTCAACCATGATGCCACATAAACAATACTTGTCCTGGCGGCGGCGACTGAATCTTGTGTGTCAATGTAATAGAGATACTTGTCAAGTAGGATGTCAAATCATGATGTTTGAACATTTGCAATAGAGCTATACACCAATGGCGTCAAAGAGCACGTGAATACATTGAGGCCGATCGGCCTCCAATCAAACTACGAGAGATATCCTCTAGCCCTGAATGCCCGTTCAAGAATATCGCGGATCACGTTCTCTTTCCTAAAGTTGTATTCCATCACGGTCTCACCCAACGAGTTGCTGACGCCTGCAGCCTCCATCTTCGTCTTCGCATACAATTCCCGGTCATCTTCATTTCCAATCAACCACTCCTTCATGATGAGATGCCTCGCCAACTCTGCGGTCCCAGCCTTAAAGACATGCAAGTTGCAACAATACGGCGTGTGCATGGCGAAGAAGCGATGTTCGTGCCACTCCGGCTCCCGTATGAGAAATTGGAATCCTGCCTTCTCAAGTGCGGGCGCATAGGCGAGCTCATCCGTCGGATTCTCAACGGCGACATCAATGTCGATGACGGCCTTGGCCGGGAGATTGGGCACAGATGTCGAGCCGACATGGGTTATGCTGAGGGCTACAGGGCCGAGCGCAAGCTCTATGAGGGCCTTGATGCTCTGGAAGTGCTGCGGCCACTCGGGGTTTGGGGGCTCGATTGAAAGCGGTGGTTTGAATGTTCGCGTTGCGATACGTTGAATGATTGTGGGATCAAATTCATAATGTTTGACAATATCTTCTATAGAGCAGGACATGATTTTCCTCTTACAAAGCCTGGTTCAATGAGATTAAGAGTTTGGGTCTGTTTGGTGAAGTGTCCCAAGTGCTGCTTTGATATACGTTCGGGCAATCTTGAATCGTCGCCAACCAAGGTGATTTCAAGGACGGCGTGAGTCATTCGGCGAAGGTGTGGCTTGTATCGGATGTAGCGTACCTGCAGCAGCTCACCCCCAAGCCAAATCCACATTTCCCACATACTGCCTGCCATGACGGCACTCGGAAGCATTTAGGGATCCTCCAAGTCAACAAACCGATATGCCCAGAACGCGCACCAGATGAAGGTGATGCCGCACAAAAAGAAGCTGATGAGGTAGAAGACGGCGGCCTGGTCTTGTCAGTGTTGCTCGTGATCGAGAGCGGATCGGGGGTGGGGGGGGGGGAAACCTTGCTTGCGCCAACCCATCCCTGGCCATCATACAACGGCGCGCAAACGTAAACTGTCAACCCGCCGAGGAAGCAAATTGCCGAGTACGCCATCAACATCATTGGCGCCTGCCACGTGAAGATCATATTCCAGCGGACTTCCACAAATGGCATCTCTTTTGGGATCCATCCTCCCTTCTTCTTGATCTTGATGGCACGGATCTGCGGGATGGGCGGCACCTCTTCGAGAGGCGAGTGCATGGGCTCGACGGCTCTGCTGCGGCGGATGTACAGGATCATGGCGAGATCCTTGTCGACGTTGCGCGGCGTTGGAGATCGGTGCAGCGTCTGAAAGATGAATTGCTCCGAGGCGGCGAGCAGAATGGAGAAGAGCGAGAAGGAAATGCTCGCGTTCCAAAAGGCTGGGCTGAGCCAGTGCAGTGAGTCGGGGGATGGCCAAGAAAAGCAGCCGATGACGGCGGCTGAGATTAAGGTGCTCTGCAGAGGATGAGTATAGGATCGCGCAAAACGAACGTGTTTGAGACGTACAGCAACCTGGACAAGTTGAAACTCGCTCAACTTTCTATCTCGCCATCGCTTGAGTTGGGCCGATATCTCCTCGGCAGATTCACGATCCTCGACGGCCTTGGCAATGGCTAATATCGGTAGCAAGGTGTTCTGTTGATAAAAACGGTTGTATGGAAGGGTCAAGATGTTGGTGGCGATATGCGCAATCTTGCTGCTCAGGGTCACGGCAATGATCTAGACAACGGCATCAGTCCAAGTCAATCGCCTCACAGGGAAACATGAATGACGTGAACCGTACTGCAATTCTGAGACCACGATCGCTTTTAGGCACGCCTGGCGCGTTGCCTGGTCCATCTTCCGAATCCATCTCTGTCTGAATATCTTGTTTCTAATGTTCATCTCTGCCTCAGGGGTCGAGCGACTTTATAAAGGGTGTATCTAAGGTGTGCAGGAACCAGGCAGCTAACTGGCAGGCCATGTGCATTATCAACATAAAGCAACGTATGACTGGGCGTCTTCTCGTGACCGCGCCGCTCCCCCACACCAGCAGGTGATGTTTCCCCTCAAAGGCTCCAAGCCACCATGTCTTAGACTGGTACCCTCGCGACGGTCAGCTTGGCGTCAACTGACCAATGATAGTCTTGACGCAGCTGTGAAGTAAGGCGAAGTGAATCTATGTCATCCTCGTCGACCTGACGCTCATAGGACACGATGAAATTTTACACCCGCGTGGGTGTGGCGGATGGAGAGTGAGGCCGCGCTAGCTCCCGCAAGTATCTGAATACGAACCCATGATAGGGCTAGAGCTGATTCGAGGCGGCTCAGCCCTTCTTGATTTCAGCCTGGAACTTGACAACCCACTGAGAAAACTCGTCGCCTTCGCCAGTCCAAGGTGCCTTTAAAAGGTCCGAAAGAGCAACAATCTCGTCGAAGCATAGCTTCATTACTCGATCGATTTCGTCAGGTGAGAGCTCGTAGAATGCGCCGGCCAGCTCGTCGAACATGTGCGGTAGTTTCCTGAGGACATGCATCGACTCATCAAGGCGCTTGGGAATATCGGAACTATCGGCAGGAAGGGAGGGTAGCGTCTTCAGCCGTCGTTTGATGATGGCTTGGTAGAGGAGCGTTGTTAGTCTGACGCGCTTCAGACAGGACTCGAGACGGTTGCGGATCTTGTCGGGGTCGTCGCGAGGAATCGTCCCCTGGTTCGACATCATATCGTCAATCATCTCCTGCGCTGATGGCATCATGGAGCCTAGGGCCGAGTCGCGGTCCAAGTCATTAACGGCATCGTCGTCGTCTTCGTCATCATCCGGCTCCTCCTCGCCCCACTCCTTGAGCTCTTCCATGACATCCTTCAACGTCGCCCTGAACTCTTCAACCTTCTTGATGAAGCAGCCGCCGATACCACCTGTGGAGAACTGCACCAAGTCGTCGCAGGCAGACCAAACGACACCGGTGGCGGCCATGCTTCCCTTGCCTGGTGCACCCGTGGAGCCCGACTTTTGCGCCGTTGAAAGAATCTTGCCATCCCTGGGGATCTTTTCAATCAAGCCCCGGAGCTCCTTCAATACTGTGTAGCATTTCCAAGCCAAGTCCTTTCGAACAGTAGTCGTATAGCGGTCGGCATCACAAGCCTGGCCTGCGGTGGCGATGCCGGGAATCGGGCCGCTGACGAGTTCGCGGAGGACTTTGACGATGGCCGAGGGTGTGAAGGGTTCGTTGATAATCAGGACGGATATCTTGGTCGAATGCGCCTTAATCAGCGAAGCTGAGTTACGGGCGAGGGCGAAGGCATCGACGGAGGAGGTATCGGTCTGCTGGGGGGTGTCTTTGCCACTGTTGATGTTCTGGAGAACGGCCTCTAACTGCTGCATCAAGGCGACGGCAGTATCTGACAGAGCATTCAGCGCTGCTGGCGTGGTGGAGGAGCTTGAGGAAGCCATATTGCTGAACGTAAATGTTTCGGAAACAAGTTGCAGGCTCGGAAGGTGGCTAGACGGATGTTTGAGGGCTGCTTGCTCCAATCCTCAAGATCCCATTGACTGCCACAAAAATTCGAGGTGACCCCAAAAAGCAGCAAAGTCGTTGTGCCCCGCGATGGAGGGGTATTGAGGTACGTACCTCCATGACGGATACGTGCCGCGCTTTGCCGACCGTCAGTGGCCAGTGCTCCTCCCTCAAAGCTGTCACCTTCCGCCAGTTGACCCAACGGCAGCCTCCAATGTGATAAAAGCTGGTGGGGAAAGTGCCGAGACTCTGCACGTGACTGCCCCTGCAGGCTCCAGCTGTGCCAGCCGGGCAGTAAACAGTCTGCAAAGCTCTACGGACGGGATAAGGTACGAAGTATCCGTTTGAGTACCTAAGGTACCTACGGATACGGATACCGGTAAATGTCCCGTCGCCAGCTCCGACACCCCTGTCAGACAAAACCCACCTCAAGCGTTTTGGGTGAGGTGGAAGTTCCACGAAGCAAGGTAGCCCCGTACCTTTCTCTCCGTACCTCACCTTTCCAACTCTCCAGACTGTCACTTTCGATTGGATCTGGATAGCTTCACGACCACAACAAATTCCACAACAACGACCGAAATATACGCATTGATGACCGCTTCGATACCCTGATAACCATCAAGATGCGTCAAAGCTATGGCATGGTGCTTTTGGGCACCTTTGTGTCTGCTGCTGCGCCCGTCTCTGCAGCTAGCTTGCCTAGAGGTGTCGGCCCTGAATGTGAGTACCGGTCGGCGGTCTGTCGTTCAAGTCTGATTGAACTAGAGTACTTGGACCGTTTCAAACTACGCAGGATCAGAGAGAAATTGCACCTCTTTGTCTGCATTTCTACTGCCTTTGTTACTCGTCCAATGGACCGGAAGCTTTGTCTTGAGGTCCACGATCTGTCACTAACATGATTCCTTGTAGTCGCCAAGTTCTTTGAGGCCAAGGACACCTTTACTTGTATAGGACACCCCGAGATCAAGCTGCGCGTTAGCCAGGTCAACGATAACAGCTGCGACTGTCCTGATGGTTCCGACGAGCCTGGCACCGCTGCCTGCGCGTCCCTCGACCCTCTCTCCCCTCAGCAGCCCTTCGCTGGTTCCCTGACGGGCACGACCAATACCTCCAATGCCCTCCCTGGCTTCTGGTGCGCCAATGATGGTCATATTGGCTCCTATGTGCCTTTCATGTACGTCAACGATGGCCACTGCGACTATGACGTCTGCTGTGATGGGAGCGAGGAGTACAGCAAGGTTGGAGGGCTCAAGTGCGCGAACAAGTGTGCCGAGATCGGCAAGGAGTACCGTCGTGTTGAGTCGGCGCGAAAGGACGCCATCGACAAGGCTGGTAAGAGACGCAAAACGATGGCCAAGGAGTCTAGAGAGCTCCGCCGCCGCGTCGAGGCCAAGGTGAACAGCCTGAAGGACGAGGTCGTTGGTCTCGAGACCCGCAAGGAGGAGCTGGAGCAGAAGCTGCACGAAGTTGAGCGCTCCGAAAAGGGCAAAATTGTGAAGGGCGAGGGTTCCGGTGGAAAGCTCGGCACTCTGCTCAACCTGGCCAAGACTCGCGTCACCGAGCTCCGCGAGACCCTTGAGGATGTCGTTGCCCACCGCGACGAGCTTCAGAGCAAGGTCAAGGAGCTTGAGGGCATTCTCAGCCGCTTCAAGGAAGAGTACAACCCCAACTTCAATGATGAGGGAGTCAAGCGCGCGGTCAAGGGCTGGGAGGACTACGCGGCTAACCTTGCCAATGACCCCCTACCTGACGGCCTCGAGGCCGACATCAAGGAGGTCCTTGTCGAGGACAACGAATCTTCAGGCATCAACTGGAAGGACTTCGAGGAGGACGATGTTTCTGACACTGACATCCGTATGTGGAACCCCTAACCAAGATCCATGGTGAATAAACATGACTGACCAAGCCTAGTCTACAACTTTGAGGCCTATCTCCCCGAGGGTATCCGCGAGTTCCTACACGGCAAGCTCCTGTCTTTCAGAGTCTGGATGATTGAGAATGGCCTGATCGCTAATAACGACAACGCCGGGACCGAGTCTCGTCTGGTCAAAGCTGCCCGGGAGGCTTTCGACTCCGCCAACAACGATTTGTCGGACAGGAAGCGCCAGCTGGAGACTGAGCAGAAGGATCTCGAGAAGGACTACGGCACCGATGACATTTTCCGCGTCTTGAAAGACAAGTGCGTCAGCACCGAGATTGGCGAGTACGAGTATGAGCTCTGCTGGATGGACAAGACCAACCAGAAGTCGAAGAAGGGCGGCGGCCACACTAACATGGGAAACTTCGTCCGCATCGACAAGGAGATGGCAGATGACGAGGAGCGTATTGATGGCAAGAGTCTCGGCAAAGGTCTTCGTATGGTCCTGCGGTACGAGAATGGCCAGGGTTGCTGGAATGGTCCTCAGAGACGTACCGACGTCTGGCTGGCCTGCAGTGAGACGGAGGAGTTGTGGAAGGTCTCAGAGTCGGAGAAATGCGTCTATAAGATGGAGGTGGGCACTCCCGCCGCCTGCGACGAGCTTGAGCCTCCTGTACCCAAGGGCAAGGATGAGCTATAAAGGCGGCAGCGGCACGCCATGGGTGTCTATGAAGAATTCAGCATTGGGTCTGCTTAGCTTGGCGTCAGGTTCGTCTGTCTTCGACCGAGTAGAAAGGATGCATTAGGAATGGCCAAAACGTGTTTCAGTACTTGCAAATGGTGCTCTCAAGATTGCCCAAGATGTGGGAACTTGGAATAGCAACCGGGGGTATCATTTTCATTTGGTCATTCGAGTTACAACTTGACGTCTGCCGGCTGACACAAAATCAACTTTTCGACGATGCCAACTTCCTCCGCCGGCTGAGCTCCTCTTGTTCAGCCAAGACCTTTGCCGTTAATGATGCAGCCATGGCATTGTTAATGTTGCTCTTCTTGCTCTCCTTCCTTGCAGCCTTGACATCATCTGTAGCTCTCCTCTTCTCGAGCATTTGGCCATTTCCATCTTGCTTGGCATCATCTTCTGCTTTGCGCTTCTTTTTGCCTCCAGCCTTTTTATCCTTCTTCAAGCCGTGTGTAAAGCCAGCAGCGGTCAAATCGTCCATCCTTTGCACCAGTTTCCTGAGTTCTCGCTCCTCGGTTGGCAGGATCGGCACCACGTTCTCGCTTTCAAACTCCTCACTGCACTCGGGACATGCTGACTCTTGAATCTCTTTGATAGCAACCTCGGCAAATACATGACCGCATGGTACCAGATAGACGGACTTGACTTGGGGGCCAAGCTCCTTGAGAGAAATAGGGCAGACCCAGGTATCCTTCTTGGTGCCTGGTGGTGTATGCTTGTGGAACTTGAGCTTGACAATATCGCGCAATGACTTGATACCGGTAGACGTAAATGTGAGTTCTTGGGATTCGGGGTTGGACGGTGGCGAGTCGGTGCTGTCGTTGGATGGCATGAGGCCTTGGAGAATAGATTCGTAGTTGTATAGACGGCCGCGCCAATCTGACACGACATTTTCCTTGTCGAGTGGCTGATTTGACAAAGGATCGTTGCTCCACGCGTGGCCAAGGGACTCGAGAGCGTTTGCCTTTAGCTCGCTGACTGTGAGGGCGCGGGCGGATTCCTTGACCAGCTCGCGGCGTTTGGGGATGGATCCTCCATCGTTACCCATGGCGAAGATTGAGCGAGCGAGGTGGTATGATGGAGTGGAAGATTGGTATGGGTTGGACAAGGTTCTGTCAATGCCGAGTACCGCAGTGACCGCGATCCTAAGAAAAGTGTTTTTACTGCCTGGGTCTTGCGGTTTGCTTTTTGCGGTAGATGTTGGCGAGTCGTAATGTTACGTTATGAGGTAGTGTCTCGATGGAGGAAGACGTGACAGAAAACGCCTGGTTGCGCATTTCACTTGCTGGAACGATAAGATAAGGAGGGGCCTACGGAGCAAGGTACCTAGGTACCTACCTTACCTTGAGGTACCCGACCTCGAGACTGAAGAGCTGCAGGGGTGTGTAGCACCTTCTGAGAGGTCAGCTGGCCGAGAGACGCCCACCCATCCCCCCATTGCAGGCTGCAGCCGCTGAAGCTCTCTTCAGTGAGGTGGTTTAGGAATGAGGTGCCACAGTGGGGTTGAGACTGGTTGAACAGTGCGAGTCACTGTGGACTAAGGCCATTTTATGGCGACAACCGTACAGTGTGGGTACCGTGCAACAAGGTACCTTCCGTTTTTGTGCCGTTGCTCCCATGGTTGACGGTTGACCCTCCATTCCTGTGTCGCACTTTCCGTCACTGCAGACTACTGCCCTGGCTTGGTCAATCCATCCTCTGAACATCGTCACTTCCATCCCAACGACCTCCTTCATCACAGGGCACCTTTTGTTCGTGCCGCCACACTGCCTTTCTTCTTCTTCTCCTTTACGACTCTGAATCAAAAGGAGCGGTGAGCTTTGGTGCCGCTGTCACATTGACAATTCCCTCCTTGTGTACCATTGCGCGACTCCTCGGTAATCACAACTACCAACGAATACCAAACCACGATCGCAGAACTCGGCACCCCTGGATATCCTCGAAACGATCCGACTCCTCCTATACCCAGTCGATGTTTCTCTAATTCTGATACTCGAACGCTCGGGTGCGCCAGCCAGTGAGCCATGGCGACCCAACAGCAGATCGCTCTCGAGCGACTTGACAATCTTGTCAGGGACTTGAGGTCTCGGTATCTTCCCTTCTCCCATCTTGGACGCCTAGCCATGAGCCCCGTTGCGCAGCTTCTAACCAACTTCAAGGTCCTCAGACGACGTCAGGAAACGAGCAGCGCTGCAGCTTAGAGAGCTGGTGCTGGTCTGTCATCGGGGTAAGCCATCCATCGCCCTGGGCACCATACCCTTTGCGCAACAGCATGCTGACAGCCCACCTTTGCAGACCTCCCCCTCGACCAATTCAACACCATCTATGGCCAGGTCAACAACAAGATCACACAGCTCATCTCTCACGGAAATGACTCCTCCGAACGCCTGGGCGGCGTCTACGCCCTCGATGCCCTCGTCGACATTGAAGTCTCCGAGCAGTCGACGAAAATGTTTGCTCGCTTCAATCAGAACCTCAAAACCATCTTGCGCGGGAAAGACATCAACCCCATGCAGGCCGCGGCGATTGCTCTGGGAAAAATGTGCCGACCAGGCGGTTCTATGATAAGCGAGCTGGTCGAGTCCGAAACCCAAATGGCCCTCGAATGGCTGCAGAGCGAAAGAGTCGAGGAACGCCGATACAGTGCCGCTCTCGTCTTGCGCGAATTGGCCAGGCAAGCGCCTACACTCATGTACAACTACGTGGGTTTGGTATTGGATCTCATCTGGAACAGCTTGAGAGACAACCGCCATCTCATCCGCGCCACCTCCGCAGAAACCGTCGCCGCATGTTTCCGGATCATTAGAGAGCGAGACCAGGAACTCAAGCAGACGTGGATGGAGAAGGCCTACGCCGAACTTATGCGCGGGCTGCAGCACGGCACCGTCGAGTACATCCACGCCTCTCTTCTTATGTTGAAGGAGCTCCTAGAACAAGGCGGCATGTTCATGCAGGACCACTACCCTGAAGCCTGCGAAATTGTCCTGCGCTACAAGGACCACCGCGACGTCACGATCCGGAAGACCGTTGTCCTTCTCATCCCCGACCTTGCGAGCTACTCTCCCGCAGAGTTTGACCGCAGTTACCTCCACAAGTTCATGGTGTACCTCTCCGGTATGCTGAAAAAGGACAAGGAGAGGAACGACGCGTTTCTTGCTATCGGCAACATCGCGAATTCGGTCAAAAGCGCCATCGCTCCGTATCTTGACGGTGTTATGACCCACGTCAGAGAAGGGCTCAGCTTGGCAGCTCGCAAGAGAGGCTCGGTAGACGCAGTCTTCGAGTGCATAAGTCGCCTCGCCGTTGCCGTTGGCCAGACGCTCAGCAAATACATGGAGGCTCTCCTCGACCCCATCTTCGAGTGCGACCTGACACCAAAACTGACACAGGCCCTCGTCGATATGGCTTTCTACATCCCGCCGGCCAAGGATACCATCCAGAACCGATTGCTCGATATGCTCAGCATGGTCCTTTGTGGAGAACCTTTCAAACCCCTGGGAGCCCCACACCCAAACACCCTTACAGCTGTGCCCGCTGTGCCAAAGGATTCAAAAGATCCTCTGGCCTACGAGCATCGAAAAGCCGAGGTCAAGCTTGCACTCAACACCCTCGGCAGCTTTGACTTCACAGGACATGTACTCAACGAGTTTGTCCGTGATGTTGCTGTGAAGTATGTCGAGGATGAAGATCCAGAGACGAGAGAAGCTGCAGCTCTGACTTGCTGCCAGCTTTACGTGCGTGATCCCATTGTCAACCAGACCAGTTACCATGCACTTCAAGTTGTTGGCGATGTTATAGAGAGATTGCTTACTGTGGGCGTATCCGACCCTGAGCCGAATATTAGACGGACAGTCCTTGCCGCCCTCGATGAGCGTTTTGATAGGCATCTGGCCAAGGCAGAGAACATCCGCACCTTGTTCTTTGCCCTCAACGATGAAGTTTTTGCCATTAGAGAGGTTGCGATCTCTATCATTGGTCGTCTTGCCCGATACAATCCGGCATACGTCATCCCCTCTTTGCGCAAGACCCTCATCCAGCTTCTTACTGAACTCGAGTTCTCTGATGTCTCGAGAAACAAGGAGGAGAGTGCTAAGCTCCTCAGCTTATTGGTCCAAAACGCTCAATCACTGGTCAAGCCATATGTCGACCCAATGATGTCCGTCCTATTGCCCAAGGCCAACGACCCCAGCGCAGCTGTGGCTGCGACAATCCTCAGGGCCATTGGCGAGCTTGCGACTGTTGGAGGAGAGGAAGTGTTGCCGTACAAGGGCAAGCTGATGCCCCTCATCATTGAAGCCCTACAAGATCAGAGCTCGAACAACAAGCGCGAGGCTGCATTGCACGCCCTGGGCCAGCTGGCCAGCAACTCGGGCTATGTCATTGAGCCTTATCTAGAATATCCGCAGCTCCTGGAGCTTCTCCAGGGTATCATTCGCACAGAAGGCCAACGTGGCCCTCTGCGACAAGAAACCATCAAGCTGATGGGCATCCTGGGAGCTTTGGATCCCTACAAGTACCAGCAGGTGGAGCAGCGTCGGCCAGATGCCCAGAGGCGTGTTGAGACGACGCAAATGACGGATATCTCACTAATGATGACTGGCCTCACCCCATCTAGCAAGGAGTACTTTCCGACAGTCGTCATCAACGCGCTTCTGCAGATTCTCAAAGACACCTCCCTCTCAAGTCATCATGCATCTGTCATTGAGGCAATCATGAACATCTTCCGAACCCTTGGCTTGGAGTGCGTATCCTTCCTTGATCGAATCATTCCAGCTTTCCTGGGCGTCATTCGCGCCGCGGATAAGACGCGCCTTGATTCGTACTTCAGCCAGCTGGCTACTCTGGTATCCATCGTCCGACAGCACATCCGCAACTTCTTGCCTGAGATCGTCGAGATTTGCCAGGAATTCTGGAACACCACCACCAACCTGCAGTCGACCATCATGAGCCTGGTGGAGGCCATCTCTCGGTCTTTGGAGGGCGAATTCAAGATTTACCTTGCGGGTTTGCTACCTCTCATGCTTGGCGTGCTTGAGAAGGACACCACAACACGGCGCATGCCTTCTGAAAAAGTTCTTCACGCATTTCTCGTATTCGGATCCAGCGCCGAGGAGTACATGCACTTGATAATTCCTGTTATTGTCAGGACGTTCGAGAAGCAAGGGCAGCCCCCTCCGTTGAGAAAGCAGGCGATCGAGACGATTGGCAAGATTACGTATCAGGTCAACTTGAACGATTATGCTGCGAAGATCATACACCCCCTCACCCGAATCCTTGGCAGCGGAGACATCGCCTTACGAGTTGCAGCTCTGGACACGCTCTGCGCCTTGATCCAGCAGCTCGGAAAAGACTATCTTCACTTCATGGGCACTGTCAACAAGGTTCTCGCGCTGCACCAGATCCAGCACCAGAACTATGACCTTCTTGTCAACAAGCTCCAAAAAGGCGAGGTACTGCCTCAAGATCTCGGCGGCGGCGACCGATTTGTCGACAGGGTTGACGATCAAGCAGCCTTTGCGGACTTGGGTGCAAAGAAGTTGGAGATGAATGCCATTCATCTCAAGCAGGCGTGGGATACGAAGGGTAAGTCAACCAAGGAGGATTGGCAGGAATGGCTTCGTAGATTCTCCACGACCTTGCTCACCGAATCTCCCAACCACGCGCTTCGTGCGTGTGCCGCCCTTGCCAGCTCATATCTTCCGTTGGCCCGCGAGCTATTCAACTCCGCCTTCGTGTCCTGCTGGAGCGAGCTGTACGAACAGTTTCAAGACGAGCTTATTCAAAATATCGAGAGCGCCATCAAGTCCGAGAACGTACCCCCCGATCTGCTTGGCCTGCTGCTCAACCTCGCCGAGTTTATGGAACACGACGATAAGGCCCTGCCCATCGACATTAGGGTTCTTGGTCGTGAGGCTGCTCGTTGCCACGCCTACGCCAAGGCCCTTCATTACAAAGAGTTGGAGTTCTTGCAGGATCAGAGCAGTGGTGCGGTTGAAGCTCTTATCGTGATCAACAACCAACTTCAGCAGTCCGACGCAGCCATCGGTATTCTCCGTAAAGCACAGCTTTACAAAGAGGGAATTCAACTTAGAGAGACGTGGTTTGAGAAGCTGGAGAGGTGGGAGGAGGCCCTTGCTTTCTACTCGAAGCGCGAGTCGGAGGTTCCGGAAGACAAGCCTGTCCCTGTTGAGATCATCATGGGCAAGATGCGATGCTTACACGCTCTCGGCGAGTGGGAAGCCCTTGCTGGTATTGCCGGCACAACTTGGGCCAACTCTTCGCCCGACGTTCAGCGCCTGATCGCTCCTTTGGCAACGGCCGCTGCGTGGGGCCTCTGCAAGTGGGATTCTATGGACAATTATTTGCAGTCCATGAAGCGATATTCGACCGATCGTTCCTTCTTTGGTGCCATTCTTGCTCTGCACCGCAACCAGTTTAGGGAAGCTGTCAATTGCGTGCAGCAAGCTCGAGAAGGCCTCGATACTGAACTTAGTGCGCTGGTTAGTGAGTCGTACAATCGAGCGTATCAGGTCGTGGTCAGAGTCCAGATGCTAGCGGAGCTTGAAGAGCTCATCGTCTACAAGCAAACGGACGACAAAAAGAAGGCGACAATGCGGCGCACCTGGGAGACGAGACTCAAGGGATGTCAGCGCAATGTAGAGGTTTGGCAAAGGATGCTCCGTCTCCGCAACCTGGTCATTACGCCGACAGAGAACATGCACATGTGGATCAAGTTTGCCAACCTTTGCCGCAAGTCCGGTCGCATGGGCCTCGCTGAGAAGTCTCTCAAGTCGATCATTGGTGTTGAGGCGCCTCTGGAAACATTGATTCCTTATTGGAACGAAAGGCAGCAGCCGAACGCTGCCATGCCGCGGAACATCCCATCACAGGTTATTTATGCCATGCTCAAGTACGAGTGGGAGGTCGGCCAGCAGCCCGCATTCCGCACCTCTGGCATTTCCGAGCGCACCCTCTACTGCCTGCGCAAGTTTACAAACGACTCGGCGCACCGCTACGAGGCGACCAAGGCTCACCTCACGGCTCAAGCTCCCAACGGAATGGATCTGTCGAGTGATTACGGATTCCCACATCAAATCGACCCAAGCCTGATGAACCCTCAGACACAGAAGGCGCTCTATGACCAGACTGTGCTGTTGGCCAAGTGCTACCTGCGCCAGGGTGAATGGCTCATTGACCTGAACAAAGAGAATTGGCAGTACGAGCACGTTCAGGATATCTTGACTTCGTACTCGCAAGCCACCAAGTACAACCCGCGCTGGTACAAAGCTTGGCACGCTTGGGCTCTGGCCAACTTTGAGATCGTCCAGGCCTTGTCTACCCGAGGCGAGAGGACCGATCACATGGTTGTTGAGCATGTGGTTCCGGCTGTCAGAGGCTTCTTCAAGTCAATCGCCCTGTCTGCGGGAAGCTCTCTGCAAGATACACTTCGCCTTTTGACGTTATGGTTCACGCATGGTGCCAGTGCCGACGTTAACGCGGCCGTTACTGAAGGATTCACCAACGTCAGCGTCGATACCTGGCTGGAAGTCATTCCCCAACTCATCGCTCGAATCAACCAGCCGACGCGCCGCGTGCAGCAGTCGATTCACAGCCTCCTTGCGGATGTTGGTAGGGCTCATCCGCAGGCACTGGTCTACCCGTTGACAGTAGCGATGAAGTCCTCGCAGAACACCCGTCGTTCGAGGTCCGCTGCTCAGATTATGGATAGTATGCGTCAACACAGCGCCAACCTCGTTTCCCAGGCCGACATTGTCAGCCACGAGCTTATCAGGGTCGCGGTTCTTTGGCATGAACAATGGCATGAGGGTCTCGAGGAAGCTTCGCGACTGTACTTTGGTGACCACAACATCGAAGGCATGTTTGCTACTCTTGAGCCGCTGCACGATCAACTCGAGCGCGGCCCAGAGACTCTTCGTGAGATCTCCTTCACACAAGCCTTTGGCAGAGATCTCACGGAGGCTCGCGAATGGTGCCGTCAGTACGAAGCCAGCAGAGACGTCAATGATCTCAATCAAGCTTGGGATCTCTACTATCAAGTCTTCAGGCGCATCTCACGACAACTGCCCCAGCTTACCACATTGGAGCTGCCCTACTGCTCACCCAAGCTATTAGCCGCCAAGGATCTTGATCTCGCTGTGCCTGGCACTTACCGCAGTGGCCAGCCCATTGTCCGCATCATGGAGTTTGAGGGCACGTTCACTGTTATCAACAGTAAGCAGCGGCCTCGCAAGCTCAACATCAGCGGTAGCGACGGTGTGTCATACGCCTTTTTGCTCAAGGGCCACGAGGATATCCGCCAAGACGAACGAGTTATGCAGTTGTTCGGTTTGTGCAACACCTTGTTGGCGAATGATTCGGAATGTTACAAACGCCATCTCAACATCCAACGGTACCCGGCCATTCCGCTCTCACAAAACTCCGGTCTGCTGGGATGGGTACCCAACAGTGACACTCTCCACGTGCTAATTAGGGAATACCGTGAGAGCAGAAAGATTCTCCTTAATATTGAGCATCGCATCATGCTCCAGATGGCTCCCGACTATGACAATCTCACGCTCATGCAGAAGGTTGAAGTCTTTGGCTATGCACTTGACAACACGACGGGTCAGGATCTCTATCGTGTGCTGTGGCTCAAGAGCAAGAGTTCAGAGGCTTGGCTGGAGCGCCGCACCAACTACACACGCTCTTTGGGCGTCATGTCGATGGTTGGATACATTCTAGGTCTTGGTGATCGTCATCCGTCTAACCTCATGCTCGATCGTGTGACGGGCAAGATTATCCACATCGACTTTGGCGACTGCTTCGAAGTGGCTATGAAACGCGAGAAGTACCCAGAGCGTGTGCCGTTCCGACTGACCCGCATGCTCACCTACGCCATGGAAGTCAGCAACATCGAGGGAAGCTTCCGTATTACCTGCGAGCATGTCATGAGAGTACTAAGAGACAACAAGGACAGCGTGATGGCTGTCTTGGAAGCGGTAAGTCCTTACTCCGAGTCCTTGTGTCCACTTGGTAAGACTAATCGCCTCTTAGTTCATTCACGATCCTCTCCTGACCTGGCGCCTTACGAATGCTGCCAGCCCGGCGGGGCCAAATTTCCGATCCGAACGCGAGACGTCACTCGCTGGCCCACAAGCTGCCAGAGCCCGTCGTCCTTCAGTCCTCGACGCAGACGTGGCACCATCGGAGCTGCTTGCCACGGGAGATCCCGGTATGCCCGGGGGAGCCGTCGCGCGTTCCCGATCGAGAACGAACTCATCAATGGCTCACGAGGGCAGCGTTGTTAATGGCAACAACGGACCTGACCCTACCGAGATCCAGAATGCTCGGGCCGTTGAGGTGCTAGACCGCGTCTCTCAGAAGTTGACTGGCAAAGACTTCAAGCCGAATGAGGAGCTTGATGTAATCAACCAGGTCAATAAGCTCATCACGGAGGCGACAAAGCTGGAAAACCTTTGCCAGCACTACATAGGATGGTGCAGCTTCTGGTGAGCCCAATGTTGTCCAGCTTTTGGTGGGCGATGGTGCTCTCGTGGTGAGCAAAGGGCTTTCACAAGGATATGAAGTCGTTAGGCTTGTGGGAAGGGTTTCGCTTATTTGAGCGGCCGCGGCGGCGTTGGCGGTATTTCTCTTCGATGTGCGATGAACTTTCCTGGCATGTTGTCAGGCGATTCTTTTGGTCTTGTGAGTGTATACCAGGTCATGGGCTAAGGGCTTATCAGTATATTTTGGACTTTGCACGCGGCCTCTTTTTGTTTCTCGAGTTATCATGGCAAGGCGTCTTGGTAGACAGAAAATTTCGGGTAATTCAAACCATCAATTCAAGTCTAAGTGATGTGCATGGTCTGTACAAGCAAAGATTCAAGAAAGCCCTAATCCCCTACAATGTTCTCTCGTGTGTAGGTTATTACCAGGGTGGTCCAAGGCCTAGGATCTACACCTTCCTCAGGGTGACGCCGAACGGTCGTGGAGAGATGCTCCTGGCCGACCCATCCTCTGCGACCGCGACTGTAAAATCGTCCAAAGCAAGGTAATTGTAGGTCTTGCGATCAATCAAACCCCATGTCTGGCAATCGCCGTCGGGGTACAAGATTCTGTCGCCGATATCCGGCTCGTCGTGATTCTTGTACACCGCTCGCCACGACCACTGGTCGCCCACCCTGATGTTGGTGGGATAGATTCTGCCGCTGACGTTGAAAGCCTGGTTCTTGGAGCCGACGCCGTAGCTGGGGATATGAGAGAGTACGTCAAAACCACGGACCATGTAGTTTGTCAGTGACAAACCTGGGCCGTCATCGATGGCTAGTGTAAGGGTCGAGTTGGTCTCCTCGTCGGTGTAGTCCCCTGCAAAGGACGTGGCGGCGTATTCCTTGTTTGCCTTCTCCAGGGCCGGGATGAGGGCTTGAATGACGGGGGAGATGACCAGGGATGGAAACTGAAAAGTGCCCGCGGCTTCAGCGCCGGCGGTGAGGATTGATACGACGAGATCGTAGTCGGGGATAAGGAGGAGGACGTTGGTGTACAGGCCAAGGTCGCCGGACTTGGTGTAGATGCTGATGGGCACGCCCGAGTCGAGGAGTGTAGAGGTGGTCCAGATCTCCCAGGGTGCGCCGATGGAGTAGCCGCGCGAGGAGGTGAAGGCCCGGGGCTTCAGCCAGGAGCCCGTGTCGATGCCGGTCTTGTCGGACAGGATTGAGGTGCCGAAGGCGAGCATGTCGCGGGTGTTTGTGTAGATGCCGCCGGCGGAGGCATACGCGCCGAGATCACCGCCCCATGTTGGTTCCTGGAGGGGGATGAAGCCCAAGCCCTTTGCTGGCGTGGAGATGGAGGTCATGGTCAGGCCGAGAGGCTTGAGAATTGTCTCGGTGAGTAAGGTTTCGTATGTTTGGTTGGATGCTGCTTCAACTATGAGGGCGAGAAGGGCGATGCCGATGTTGGAGTAGACAGGGGTGGTGTGTGGGCTGAAGACAAGCGGTTTTTGGTTGAGTGCTTGGAGAAGGTCTGTATGCTGTCAGGGGTTTGCCGTGGTATCGTACAGATGGGGATAATGTTGTACCTTTTCCGGAGCAGGGCTTGGTGCCAAGGAGGCCGGAGCAGGTCGGCTTGGTATCGTTGGAAACGGGCGGAAGGCCCATGGACGCCCAGGCACCCGGGAAGATGGCGAGGTCAGTGGCAACTTGAAATTATAAGCGGAGTTGGGATGCGGTTATAAAGAGCAACCTACTGTCACCACCTAGTCCGGAAACATGGGAAGCTAGGTCCTCTATGGTGATGTTGTCCCAAGGGATGAAGTTGAGCTGGCCCTCATTTTTCACGGCCTCGGTCTTGAGTTGCGGGAGGTACTTGGTGACGAGATCGGTCCCCTTGATTTGCGAGTTCTTCAGGGCCGTGAGGGTCGTGAATAGTTTGGTGATGCTTCCGCCGCGGTATAAGGTGTCGGTGTCGACTTTTGCAACGCTGCGATTGTCTGCGACAGGAGGCGTATAGTGCCAATCGACGAGGAGCGCGTCCTCGTGTATGGACCTTGCGCCAATGGAAATCGCGGTGTAGTTGAGGGCCGAGGTGAAGTTGACGAGCCCTTCCTGAATCTTCAGAATGGTTTGTTGGACAATTGTTGAGTTGCTTGGCGTTTTGGTGGATGGCAAGGTCGGTCCTAGTGGTGGACAAGGGTTGGCCTGAGAGCCGGTGATGAGGGAGGCTGCCGCGATAGCAAGAAGGGAGATTCTGGAGACCATCTTGGGATGTCCTGAATCACCGATATGACGAGGAAAATCGATGCAGATGAAGAAATTAGATGGGTCGTCAAAGAGGAGAACGAAGTCATGAAAGATTGGCGTTGACCTAGAGCTATTTGATTGAAAGAAATACAACTCAAGTGGCACAACAGAACTCAAATTATGTCATTTCTGCAATACAAGAAGAAGTCCCGATTCCTCCTTGGTGGGTACGTTTGAGGAGGCTATTTCTAGGTCTGACACTGGGGTGAAAAGTCCGCCACAGGTACGCGACATGAAGTTGCAGCTATAACTTCGTAGCTAAAGCTCGGGACATGACCTCTCAAAGTCCGGCATCACCAATCGGGGCTCGTCTGACAGACGATCAGGGCCATAGCATCTGTCCGCTCATCCTGCAAGACACTAGAGGGGAGGAGGCGCCAGCTTATATGGCATGGTATGGCATGGCTCTGGTCAAATTAAGGTTAATGTTGTTCTGTGCAGCCTGGGCTCAGCCACCAGCTTCCCAACCGGAAGAGGAAGAGTACAAACCCCTGCCGCGAGTCAGAGAGCTGGGATGACGGGAGAATAGAGAGGCGGCAACAAGGCCGTAAGTACCAAGAGACCAGGAAAAGAGCCGTTCATCTGGATCTGGGCTGAAGAATGGGGACCGCGTCAAGGCAGCAAGGAACAGAGCCAGTCAGGTGGTGGCCTGGCCGGTCTTTGCTGGTGACGATATGTATGATGAAATGACTGGGCGTGGGAATGTTGTCGTGAAGTCATCTGGGATGGCGATGGGTAAGGTACTCGGTGTTGCGTGAGAAACAAGGTGAGATACCTACTACCTCATCCGTTGGGAACGGGATCAACGGGCGCCGCCCCCGAACCGCTGAACCGAGAGGGATTCTGCGGGAGCCGACTCGGAGCCCCACTACGAATCAGCGATTGGTCTGCTCGGGAATCTAGTCCGAGATCTGGGACGAATCACCGACGCTTCGCACCACTGCCCCGTCCTGAGGCCCTCAGGTGCGCACTGCTCCTGCCTTGCTGCTGCCCTGCTCCTTCTCAGTACCTTATGCGCGGGTGTGGCACAAGTTGCACCTCAACGGGGCAGCTGCAGTCTGGAATTCTGGGCTGAGCCGCTTCCTCCCATGCGCACATCACCACGCGTGCCACGATGGGACGCTGCTTGGCTGGCTGCCATGCGGCTGGGCCAGTGACAGGGCTGACAAGGACACTAAGCAGAGTACCCAGACTATCCGGATTACCAAGACGGTAGACCATCTCACCTTGCCCATCCTCGATTTGTATGATTGTATCCGCCGTCCCCATGTCGCGACCGTCACCGTACCTCCAGGCAGAGACATTCTCTGCGCCCTCATTCGATGATTGCTGGAAGTCCCGCGGGATTATCTCTACAAATTATGAGGCCTGGCTCTACTCCGTACAGATACAGAGTACCTGAGTCGTATTCGATCCGCGTCTACACCGGCTTGGGCGGGAACCTCCCTTTTAGCAACTCGACAACTCGACAGAGAGGATTTTACCGCTTATCATTGTTCGCTGTAGGTCTGGCTCGCTGCATGGTGGGCAGAGACTGCTTCATGCGGTACAGAGGACAAAAGTCGCACATCTCACCACAACAGACTTAAAGGGACCCTTGGTCGTGATTGCTTCCCTCGGACTTGACACCTCGGATCCAGCCCTGACATTACTTGACCCAACTACCAAAATACCCGGGAGGGGCCAATACCAAAGGCCCAAACACGTCCCAACAGCCTGGAACAAGCCCAGAGGCATCCTATCCACTTGTTCAACCCTACCTTGCCTTACGGGAGCTCGGCATCATGGGCACGCTAGACGACCCGCAAATGACTGACCCAGCAAGCGCGCCGCCGGCGTCATTGCAGGTCCCCTCGGGCCGGAAGGGCACCAAGAAAGTTCGGACTGGATGTGTGACCTGCAAGTTGAGTCCGAGCCTCCCTATCAATCTCATCACTACATCTGCCATCCCATCTCCCGCCTCGTCATGTCTTCGATTCACTTCATCTCACTACTCTCCACCTTTCTTGCTAATCCCGTACGTTCGGCATCTAGGATCCGGAAAGTCAAATGCGACGAGACCAAACCCGCATGTCTTCGATGCACCAAAACAGGCCGGAAATGTGACGGCTACTTGCCGGCTCCCAAGCAGGGGAGCAGTATAGATGGCAGTCCCGGTTCCGACGACAGCAACTCACGCTTAAGCCCGGCAGTCTCAATCTTTGCTGACTGGGCCGGCGGCTCCAGGGAACAGCGCGCCTTTGACTTCTACCGCAACTTCTCCGCCCCATCCATCTTCAGCGACGGAGTGGCATCGACCCTGTGGAAGAAACTGGTGCCGCACTTTTGTCATGCCGAGCCTGCCATCCGGCATGCGGTCCTTGCCATCAGCAGTCTGCATGAAGCGCTCGCGCTGCCTCGAGATTCTGATTCAAATACTGAAGAAGCAAACGGCCCTCGTGTGATCACCAATACTTTTGCAGCGGAGCAATACGGCAAGGCCTTGAAGTGTCTTCAGGAGTGGAAACCAACAGACTCATCGCCAGCCACGGTGCCGCTGCTGGCATGTCTGCTGTTTATATGCATTGAGTTCATGCTCGGCGATGAAGGCGCATCCCAGTTGCACATTAACCAAGGCCGCACTATTCTCTCGCAACTTGAGCCCTCTGCCGGTGTGGACATGATCAAGAAACATTTCGTGCCCATCTATAGTCGACTGGGCCTCGCATCCTTCCTCTTTGGGAGCTTCCCCGCCGCTATACCTGCCACCCTTCAATCGAGCCCCGCGACAAATCTATACTTTGCCACCATAGACGAGGCCGAAGTGGCCTTGTACGAGCTGATCGATGACGGCTTGAGATTCACGGCGCAAGCAAAGAGGGCCGTATACTCCTGCCAGCCAGACGACCCGACACTACTGGACTTGGCTCACGAGCAAGACGACTTCCTCGCGAGGCTATCACGATGGCACATTGCCTTTGTCGTCATCTCCGCCACCGGCCCCGACGAAACGTTCAGCAAAGGGAAGCTCTGCATGGTGTATTACCACGCAGCCAGGATCGCCATCAGCACAGCCATGGACCACAAGGAGATTGCATTTGATACGCACGTGACGGCCTTTGCGTCCATTGTCAGCAACGCGGCGGACTTTGTACAGGCTACACGCAAGGCGGCAGCCCGTGACCCGTCCGAGGCTGCCAGGTCGATACCCAAGTTTGTCTTCGACACCGAGGTCATCCCGCCGCTGTACTATGTCAGCATCAAATGCCGACACCCGATGCTGCGGCGAACGGCCGTTACTATGCTCAAACAAGATGCCGTGACGAACCGGAGGGAGAACCTATGGGACGCCCAGATGTTGGCCGAGATCGGCAAGCGCTGCATAAGCATCGAGGAGGAGGCAGCTCGGTATAGAGAGGAGGCGTTTGATATTACAGCCGGATGGGATACAGCATCTTGGGAGGGGTCTGATGGAGTGCCGACTGGCCTCTTCCCGGCAGAGATAGAATCCGGGATGGGGTGTGATTACCCGGTGCCTCGCTTTCAGTATCCGCAAATTCCCAAACTCACGAATTCGCAACAAAATGAGGAGTACGAGAGAACAAGGATTCTTGTCAACGATCTGATGCTTGATAAGAACTTGACACCCGGATCTGTGTCCACCGGATCCACGCCATCCTCGGGAAGCATCGGCAATTTTGGCGCCTATCGGCTCGAGCCGCCCTTTGGCCTGCCCGAACACTCGAGAATCAAGAACGCGCTGATTGACAATGAGCAGAGACGAGGTAGCTGGGTGACGATATTTATGGATCCAGAGGAGGCCGGGGCTGCGAATTGGAAGGTTACGAAGGAGTTCATCTCAAGGTGAAGCATTGCTCTTCGACCTTGGTAACAGGCTACATGGGTAGCTCGCCGGACTGTTTAAATCTGTGTTTGTGACATGTTCGCTCAAACCATCAACATCGCTTCCGGAACACTTACTCAACATTCTCTGAAACAGATATTGACAGTCAATCAGCTCTAGACTATGTCTGAATAGAAAGCCGATGGTTAAATATGAACTCGTGTGAGTAATGCACACAGTTTACTGAGAATGCAAAGCTCCAACCATCTGCGGACCAGCATATGAACCCCCTATCCTTGATGTGCCGTTTCCAATTATCCCAAAAGCCTCAATCAGAAGTGCTTTATCCGGAATCTCCACATTCGTTCTTGAATTAATTGTGCCACTCGCCCGTCATGTCGTAGCAGCTGAGAGCGCCGTCCTTGTTGACCCAGATGCCCTGAGCTAGAGCACTACGGTCAGCTAGGTAATAATCGCGACGCATGCACCCAGTTTCTCACAGAGATTGATGTAAGACCACTTGTAACCCTCGGGGAAAAATCTCAGTGGCTTGCATTCTTCGCACCTCAGACCGACAAATGCGTCTGGACTGTTGTGAAAGACGCCGCAGTCTCCACACTGGAAACCGCCTCTATGAGAAGTACCATTGTCAGCTCGCCATTTTTATCATCTGAAGGATGGGAGATGGACAACTTCGGTCCAAACAGAAGTCTGAAGGAATCATACCTTGGCGTCCATTCCAGCCGGCCATCCCAGTTGGCGATGCAGTTCTTGAGATTAAGCTTGGTGTGGACGTAGGTCCCTCGATTATTCTTACAGTCAGCAACGAGATAAAATGGGTCCCATTCCTTCCCTCCTATGTAGTTGAAATTTTTACAAAGTTTTTGCATGCAATCAGACTCGAGGGGGCATTCTCGGTCTAAGGCGGCAATGTGAGTTGTGAAAAGGCAGATGGACAAGAAGGCGATGATGATGGATGACTTCATGACTGCGGTTGCGCTGTGGTAATTCCAAAGTGTGTTTGACAACTCGAGACTTTGAGGCTGGATTTCATGAAAAGATTCATAGAGGGAGGGCATACTCAAAGCTTTTATGAGTCCAGTCTCGTCGGGATGGCTCATTTAGCTCTTCGGGCACAAAAAGCCATTTACTTGCAACAATGCATAGGGAATATCGTGAGTGTAAATCTGACCCTGGCTGGATTTCTTTTGGTCTGGAATCATATACAAGGAATTGTCTTTTTAAATACTAGATCTATGAAAGGACCTGTTCCCTTGCGAAACTTCACCGGCGTATGCGTGCCCCTACGTACCCTTGAAGGGAGGCTGCTTTCTTGTAAAACGAGATATTGTAATTTTAGGACGAGCAATCGGAGCCAAAAACGATTGGGGCACGCCTTGCAGTAGATTCTGATGGAAATTTGGATGTTTTCGGCTTGATAATGGATGGCTGCGTTTTGTTATTATGCCGCTTCCTTCCTGTTTATACTTTGTTCGTCCATGTCCCCATCACAGAACATCGTTGACAAAGGGGCATTGGTAGAACTACCCAGGGGTCATGAGTTATTTCTTAGCTATGTTCTATTCCTTTTGATGAAATGAGTTACTAGCATTGCATTCCGTTCAAACTGCCCAAATCAATTTGTGCTAACGAAAGGAAGTTTGAAGACTATAAACAACTTTCTAGTCTTGTAGGAGCTGATATATTGTATAAAAAGATGAAACAATCTGTCGAAAGAGGTATTATGTGGCTAAAACGAAATTGGAGATTGAAGGATGCGCTTGGTCTTGCGGTTCCTGTACCTACATCCAGCGATATGATCCAGCGATGTGTACAGCGTGTCCAAGTCTGTCGGCCCCCGGCATGGGAAGCATAGAAACACGTTAAGATTTTGAATTCCGCGGCGATACTTGTGTATTCAACTCCCGGAAGTATCACCGTTGTTGATGTTGTGGGGCGGCTGAATGGGGGCAAAGCGATGAGGTCGGTGCATGGATCGCAGTCCAAAGTCTGATCAGTCAAGAGATTGTGCATAGGATATTGCTCGATCTGGACAAAAGAGCAAGGATATGGTCACAGTGTTTCTCGGCCATGCCAACGCGAAGATGTTCGTACGCACAACAGCAGGATGAAATCCTATGGTAAGTCGGTGATGAGAAACATCGAGGACGAGCGAATCAACAAAACATCATCGTTGCTTAGTGAACACTATGGAGACGTGCAAGACTGGGACTGCGAGGCTGTGACAAATAGGGGATTCTTCACTGCAAGCACGGGTATGAAAGCTCTCCTTCCATGAGCAAACAGGGCTTTTGAACACCTCATCCAAGTACTGGCACACTTTTTCGCAATTGCATAGCCCATTTCCCTATTATCGTCCTTCAGAGTTCTTGGGTAAGATCCCGGCTTACCGGTTGCCAATCTTACCATATCCTACTGGCAACTTTAACTTCTAGAAGGAGTAGCTGACCATCAGTCTGAACACTTGCCAACGGAGGCGGACATTGTCGTTGTAGGTCCGGGGATGTCAGGGACCATCATTGCTTGGCATTTTCTCAAAGAAAATAACAGCACTCGGCCGCTAGGGATGGCTGTGATGGGGGCTCGCCAGGCTGGCTCCTGCACCACAGACAGATGTGGCGGTTGCATCAGATCGTCGTCTATTCCGAGTATGCTGATGACAAGGCGACATTGCCGCAATCGGAAGTGGCCAAGATCACGGGGTTTCGCCCCGCCCACGTGGGCGGTCTGATCTTTGCGGCCAACCCTCTTCCAGGAAAGGGAAAACTAGCTGCAGAAATTCGTGTTATTGGTAAGATCGACGCCTTCTTCGAGGATCAAGTGTGGAAGACCGCTATCGACCAGGTCAAAGCCCTCAAGTAGGAGGTTCCAGGTGGAAATGAAGGAGGTGTGATTTGGCCGTATTGCTTCATTACCCATGCTTTGAAATCGCTGCTCGATAATTACCCAATATCCCGGTTTTACTTTGAACACTAACACAGCGGCCTTCGGCATCTCCGCTATCGATGAATCAATCAACCGTTCCAGCTTTGAGACACACACTTCCAGAGGAAGCACTCGAATCAAAGACGTTGTAGATGTAACAGATGCTTGGACGCCACATCCCGTCCCCGTCTTACAAGGGATCATTCATGGGGCCCGCTGACACCTAGCTTGGCAGCAGTAGCTTACCGAAAGCCGGGAAGTGGCCATCGTACCCCTTCACCTGTCTGCCTCATATCTCAACGGGGCTCTCCCGAGCCACTTTGGGTACGACAATTGGGGTTTTGGGAGAATCGACTTTCCGCAATCCTCGGATGACAGGTCCTGGAGCGGTGGCACGAAGCGCCTCTGGGTCGGCATTGAGGGGGGCTCGGTTGACCCCAGACCGTTCGTAGGCCGTACCCCACAGTCTATCACAGCTAGATCCGCGAAGATTGCATCGGTGGGGAGCGAGTGGGTTTGAGCCTCTTTTTATCAGGAAGGGATTTGCTTTGCTTGGCTCTGTGGCCACGCACTCAATCGAATGATACTGAACGAACGCTCTGGAGCAAGTCACAGCAATGAAGGTGCGAAGGTTCCCGAATGGTCCCTGGAGTCGTTCTTGGTCACTGGAGAGCGTTTGGCAAGGAGAAATGCTACTAAGAGGCAAGCACGCCAAAGATTGCACCCACGTATGGCAACGGTTTTGCAACGGAAGTGGTGAACCTGTACCTTTTACTTGAACAAGTATGTAGTTGTCAGCGACAGGCTTCAGCGTTTCACAATGTAGTGCAAATCTTCTATCAGAGCTGGGTCATTGATAATATGTGCGTCTTTAGGAGCTTGAGCATCTTTACAGCTCTCAAACACCCGCTAGTAGAATTTTCTACCCGTGATTTAAACAAGTATGGTCAATTCCCAAGGCTGCCAAGTCTAAGTACTTGATGAATCTACCGATGACTACCTATGTCTATACATTATACGTAGAGTTACCAGCGACCATCTTTCGACGGCTTATCAACATGCTCTGGAATCACCGAGCCAGCGATGTGCCAAATATTACAGAAGAAGAAAATCATTATAGTTCAAGAGCAAAGAAAACAGAAAGCAACGCTACAGACTCGACACTCACAAACGGCAAACCATTTGATTAAACTCAGATCACTATAACACTCCCATGTTATCCGACTCGCTGCTTCTTTTCAATTTTCGACGATGGTAAATCGGGCGCAGTGCATCATTAGTTTCCAGGCTCCTATCACGGCTTAGAAACCTCCGACAAGGTAGACATGCGGTGTGCATTTTCCCACATGATCGGCATAACATGCTCCATCAGGGGGGCTCAGGATTTCTTGTCTGCGACTAAGTCTCTTGAGACCACTCTCAAAGTAGAATATTCTCCGTTGTGATATGAATCACCTCGGCTGCTCCTCCAAACTATTACTCAAGAAGTTCTCAAATTTGCTGAGTCAGCACATTTTTGCAAGCACGCCATGGTTGCCAAGTTGAGATCATCGAAGCTATCCACACAACCCTCGTCGCTTTTTACCTGCATACGTAAGTTGCTACCATGTTATCTTCAGTTGACAGCGGAGGTGACCGGCAATCACCTCGGCTGTCCCCAACATCCACCCAAAGTCTGGAACTCTCTTGGTGCGACAAACGCGGAGATGAAAGCGATGCCTTCAATCAGGGTCTTAATTGCGTGCTCTGCATGCAACCTCGCGCATCGCCCCAGCAACGTGGGAGCGGTGTTTCCCATAAATTCTTCCCGGCAAGGTTCTGTAAGCTGCTGACCTCTTCGCTAAGGAGCTTCTGGTTTGGGCAAATCTTTTCTCTTGAAACATTTTGCTGTCAGCGAGTCAGTGACTCGAGGTTACACATCGAGGGCATTGTAACTACTTGAGACAAGACAAAGCTCTGTTCACGATGGCCGAAAAGGCTGACAGCGTCTCCGATGCGGCGCAGCCCGTGGAGCAGTCAGGAACAGTCAAGGGTAAGATAGTTCGGCGCATCATTATTTTCAGCTACTGACGTCCAGGCAGTGAAGTGGTATCGCACCCCCTTCTACAATGCCACGATTCTTGGCATGTGCAGTTTTGCAGCTCCCGGTCTTTGGGGTGCGATGAACTCTCTGGGTGCTGGTAAGTCTCATTCTTAGCATAACAGTCCTCGTCCAATGAACATGAGTATCTGACAATGCTGCAGGTGGTGCCCAAGAGCCATACCTCGTCAACACCGGGAACGCGCTTACTTTCTGCCTCATGATCATCTCATGCTGGCTTACAAGCTCTGTTGTCAAGTACGTCGGCATCAAGGGTGCCCTGGTGATTGGCACAATTGGATTTGCTCCATATAGCGCCGGCCTTTATCTCAACAATCGTTACGGCGTCGAATGGCTCGTCATCCTTGGTGCTGCCTTTTGTGGCGTTTCAGCCGGAATTTTCTGGGGCTCCGAAGCTGCCATTGCCATTGCTTATCCCGAACCTCACAACAGAGGGCGGATGATTGCTTACTGGCTCACTTGGACTCGAGTTGGTCAGATCCTCGGCGGTGTCATTAATCTTGGGCTGAACGCCGACCGCAGTGGAGCTGGCAAGGTGTCATACAAGGTCTACCTCATCTTCATTGCCTTGCAAGCTTGCGGACCCTTCGTGGCGATGCTGCTGAACCGTCCACAAAAGGTTCAACGAGCCGATGGGAAGCCAGTCCAACTGACTATTGCCGATGACCCATGGCAAGAGATCAAGGCCACAACGAAGACCTTTCTCACGCCAAAGTTTCTGCTTCTCATCTTGTGGATAGGCCAGGGCGTTTACTCTGAATCCATCTTCTTTACATACATCGCTCTTTGGTTCTCTGTTAGAGCTCGTGCCCTCGGATCACTTCTCTCTGGCATTGTCGCAGTCATTTCTGGCAATCTCCTCGGATTGTGGCTCGACCAGAATCAGATCGCTCTGAGAAAGAGAGCTCGTTGGGCGTTTGCGGTCATTATGACCCTTCAAGGTGCCTGGTGGCTATGGCTGACTATCAACGTCACCGAGTACCGTCGCACTCAGCCCATATTTGATTGGAGCGACCCAGGTTTCGGCAGAGGCTTCGGGGTTTTTATCTTCTTGGTCGCTGGCTTCCAGCTAAACTACAACTTTGCATTTTTCATTATTGGGCAGATTTCAGAGAGCCCCCAGCAGACCATTCGCTTGGCCGCACTCCTTCGAGGAACGGAGTCAGCCTGGCAAGCAGTCAGCTACGGACTCAACGCAATCCCGATTTTCGCACTCGTTGGCGGGCCGTATATTAACTTTGGGCTATGGTTCGTGTCGATTTATCCAGCTTGGCTGGTCGTCAGACACCTAGGCAACGATGCGAAGGAAAATGATGCAGAGACAGTTGCTCAGTCGGAGGCAGTCCACGAAATCAAAAGCTGAAGGGGTTGCTAGGCCTTCTGGTCTTGGACAGCACTTCCAAGTATATAAATTCCATGTTAATCTAGACCTTGGACGAATCCTCTGGCCATCGTTCACAAAGCTGTTGTAGGGTTCATGGCAAAGCACTTGAATATGCATGCCCTTTGTAAGACAGCTTGCAAAAACAATGCTTACCAACACTTGCATGGAAGCATCGACGATGCAATCGAAATTTGACAAGGCTTCGTTCAAAAAAATAAATGAGTTGTTTTGAACTGCTTCTATTTGTTCTCTGGATGCAAACTTACATAGGCTGAGCAAGATATTATACTGTTCGAAACTTCATTGGTGTGACTATGTATGCAAAGTAGTTGGAGCTCCTACCTTATCATATTGTTCAGAAAGTAATTCAGTCTGATTTAAGATGGTTTAAATCACTCACTCTGTATCAAATCATGTTTCTCCAAACTGGTCTCTCATAAGTCAAATCGGTATTATGATGGCATGGCCATTCGCATTCATGAGAAACTCGATATCTAAAAGAAATATAAATGCCCATAGCGCAATAGTCTCGGAGAATGTTTAAACTAAGTAACTTCAACTCAAACTACAGTTACTCTTGAACTCGTCGATACGAAAAGGAAGAAAAGGAAAAGTTCGTTGCAACACCGCAAATCCAACAGTGAAGCCTGAAGACCGAAAGCACCATCGGCAAAGATGGGCACATATACTCAAGAATTGGAGCAAAGTGCTTTTCTCCGACTACCACGAGAGATACGCGATCGCATCTACGACTTCTCCGAGCTTGTGCCTGTGAGATGTGAGCTAAATATTTGCGAATCAGTCAGCAATCTACCATGGGCCGCAGCGTACCCACCATCACCATCACCTCTTTTCGAAGTCTGTCACCAAGTGAAAGCCGAGGCTCTAGAGCTTTCTTACAATCGAAACCACTTCAGATTCTGGCTCAGACGGAACAATTGGTGTGGAAACCAAGCTATGCATGGCCTTCCATGGTCTCCAGAGTTTTATGGTGGTTTGTACGAGCCTCAAGAAAACCAAGGAATTGTGTCAGATTATACGACGGCGTTCACAAATATAGAGGGCTATGTTTGGACCGTTAGAAATTCGGTAGAGCGATGGCATCAGATGTTTGTTTCAAAAGAAGGCCGGGTTTGAACCTCAGAGCTGTCGTTGGGCGTGCAGCTTTAGACACTGGTAACGTCTTTGCTTGGTAACAATTCTATCATCACAGCGAAGGGAGATAGCCGGCCCCCAAATCTAACAATACTCAACTGTAAACAGATGACGATTTACATCAAAAATAGACAATAAAAGATGTAATTTGCAAGGAACGGCGCTGATCGCGGTCATTTGATATGTCTCCGAGCCTTGGTACAATCCTGTACCTTTTTGATAGACGGCCAAGAATATGAAACTTGAGAGAGTGTCGATTCCAATTTTGGTGCTCAAGCCTCTTCCTTTTATCGCTAGCCTGCAAGTGATACGGGTACACACCATTAGCGATGATTACAACTTTTTCTGGGAATCTTCAGTGTATTCATGAATGAAACCCGATATTTCCCATAACATGTGGCTGTTGTCTCTGATGCGAAGAACCAAAAAACATCGCTGATTACTATGCGTAAAGGCCGGGGAACCACCCGGTCTGCTGATCTCCCCTCTCCTGCATGAAGGCATCCAATACACAGAGATATGCGGGCTCCCTCGTTAAGATTCCAATGAACGCTCCTGAAAGCCTGAAGAAGCAGTGTTGTGTGCCGGTTTAAGCCATCTCTGCCGAGGCCTGTACCCGTGTCAACCCATCGTACAGAGAAGGATGTCACCTCTGGTGGATTTAGTGGGAAGAAAAGGATGCGAAGGCAACTAGGATTGGGTTCGCCGCATACGCCGCTGCGCAAACCTTCTTTTGGACTGGTATCAATGGCATTGGCTACGTGCTCAATGTCTTCATGGCCGATACATCCACTCTGAAGAACCGGATGATCCTTTTTGGGTTCACTTCGACGCCTTACATCTCGAACACTTTCGCTGGACCTGCAGCCGCCCAGGCTTTTCTCGAGACAAGCACTTGGCGATGGGGATATGGTGCTTTCATGAAAATTATCCCGGCCGTAGTCGCGCCCCTAATCATCATCTTCACAGTACAGATGAGGCGAGCCGTTAAGCAAGGTCTCTACATCAAGAAGAGCGAGAATCGAAGCTTTTTGAATTCGTCAAATACTGGATTATTGAGCCTGATGTTGCAGGCATGTTGCTTGTCGTCGCTGGTTTCTCGCTGCTTTTACTTCCTGGAACATTCATATGACGCTTATCGAAACAGGGCCGTAGAAGCATTGCAAAGGTGACGCCCAGCTCTGTTATCCCATGAGCCCGAAATTTAGCCAAGTCCGAGGCAAATGCGGAGGAGTCCGGGGTAGATGTGGAGCTCGGGGACGGAGGCGGAGACTCGGGAGGGTAGCCACTGCCGGAATGGGCTATCGATTTCCCAACCAACAACACCAGGATGGTAAATATTTTTTCTGGCGCCCTGCTTATTAATGATAAATTGTTGAGAAAGTGAAGAACCAAGGATAGCAAGGGAGCGATATGATCTTAGGCTGATAGTAGTCGTTGTTAATTGATGGCGACCTGGATATGCTATCCTAAATGAGGGTTCACCAGGTAATCTATCTTCGTCTTCTGAAATTCTCGCGATCACTCAAATCTCCCTACTTTAGTGTGACCTCCGCAAAAGCGCTACACTCCAGTGCTACCCCGGATATGCAAGTCTTCCGAGTCATGCTCTCCACGTACCGGTGCTACCAAAGGAGGCAGTCCCAAGCATCTTCAAGCTACCGAGAGATGCCGAGTCGACGTGGAAAGGGCGGGGAACTGGGAGCTCCCAGTGCGCTAATCTAGTGTTCAAAGGGAAGTTTGCGTTCAGTCTTTCCGTGCCTTTCTCAAACGGACACGCTTAGAGTATAGACTCGAGAAGATCACCACCTCCCCAGATGAGCATCCTCCAGGGCAATGTCAACCTCGGAGGGAAGCGTCATTAAGCATCTCGAATCAGACTCTGCCCTACGCAAAAGCTCGCGGCTCGCCATGTGGGTATAGTTGCCAATCAAGATGGACAACAAAAACGAGCCGACGGTTCAGCATGATGACAAGCTGAGGGCCGAACAGCTTGAAGATGCGAACATTGCCGCGACGACTGCGCTGCCGACGACGTAGGCCAATGAAAAGCTCGGATTCCGCGATTTTTAAGAGAATCTGCGCGTTTAAGGCTTCTGTCAGTTCTTCTGAACCCGTTGATCCTAAGAAAATTGTTGCAACCTGGCCCTTTACTTTGGCCCGTTAAGGTGCGCGGTGTTTGCTTTATCCTGGTGAACACAATAATTAAATCTGGCTAATGGCTCAACTAGGCGACGATACTAACGAGCGATTTTTATCACAACTATCTGTCTTGGTGGGTTCCCCTGAATACCAACCTCATCTCTCCTGGACTGCTAGCCTGCTCCCCCACGGTTTGGTCTTCTTGCCCGAGTCTCTTGGTTGGCTTCTCATCAACAGTCTTCGTGAGGAAGCTTTCAAATCGTACAAGAGATTCAACGGCCCAAACTTTGATGCGGATGCTGCGTTAGTAGTCACCACTGTCGCCATTGCGAAAGAGCAGTAGGACAAAAAGGAACAGGAACTAGCCCGTTGGTGACTATTTCACCGGAGTCAACCGCAGGCGCACAGCAATTGTCTTCATGGTCTATCTCTCCCAGCATGCCATTGATGTAAATTTTGTCTACGGCTACTTTACGCACGGCAGTGTCTTGGCAAGTCTAAGTATGTAGACTGTGATTAACAGGTTCCAGATAATGACTGCTTCCGTTTGGTTGGGATCACAAACCCATTTACAATCGGCCAAGCAGCTTATGCGATTCATTTCGTCGGCAACATGTATTCCTGGCCACTTGTTGACGGATATGGAAGACGTCCTTTGACTATTGGCGGCGTGTTCACCATGATAGCACTTTTGCTTCTCGTTGGCGGCATCAGCACCATCGGTACCCAAGCCTCGCTCGCAGCAACAGTCGCTTTCAGGGTCATCGGGGTATTACCTGTACCAGGCGACTTTGGGCGGCGTCACGTACTCAGTTGGAGGTGAAGCTGCTGGGTGAGTTTTTGAATTTTCCGTGACTCCCAAGTTCCAGCTTTCTCGGCCTTCAAGTCCGAGATTCAAGCCATCAGTTGAACCCAAGTTGTCTTGGCAATATCGCGTGGTGTTCTCCCGGAAGACCGGCTAATGGGCCATGAAGCCAGGGATCCGCAGATAAGAAGAACAGGGGTATGCCTTGCGAAAAAACAGCGTACTATGTACAACTGCGACGAAAACCCCTTACAGCATCAACATCATGTGCCGACCGCGCCATCCTGTTTGATATCGCAGGTGATGCCCTTCCTGCTGAACACGGACCGAGCCAACTAGGGCGGCAAGATTTGCTTCATTTTCTTCGGCCTCTCGTTGCATGTGACATGTGCGTGTGGCTTTACTTCTACTTCTCCGAGATGAAGGGTCGCAACTACGCCGAGTTCCAAGAAAAGATGGGCAATCGCGTGCCGGCCCGCAAGTTCAAGTCTTATGTTTGTGAGGTAAGCACCGGGGGTGGAAGGGGGGGCAGGCTTGAGAAGAAGAAACTGCAGAACGAGGGATAAAGGGGCTTGTGGTGGATACTAAGCATGTAATCTCTACCACAATATGGCTCTACTCTGCAACTAAGTCTAGTACTGATAAGGGTGCGAAGCGTTTGCAGAAAACCTAGGAGCCATAGGGCTATATGGATAGTCAAGAAGCTTAAATGAGGCACACAAACCGTTAATGAGCACATGATGCTCCGTGCGACCATTGGGCGCGCTGGCCCTCTTTGCGCATCTCGGTTGACTGGTTGTCGAAACCCGGCCGAAATGACATGGGGCTAATGCAGCGACGATGACTAGCGACGTCTGGAATAAAGCAAAATAACGCAGTGGGCCGGGATCATGATCGGAAATTAGAGTGATCCTGACTGGGATTCTTGCTTGTCCGAGTTCTTTGCTTGACACTGTTGACATTGTTGTCAGTCTCCTTGGACCGCGTCCACATTCTTCTCTTAAAATCTCCGCTCGCCACGATGTTCTCCGGATCAGCATTTCTTTTAGGGGTCTACTGTGACCAAAAGACATTTTGCACAGCCTCAGTTGACAGTTGATCCGTCGATCGCGAACCCTTCAACGTTACACTCATTTATAACAACGCTCCCTTAACAAATAACCATGCTGTCTCAACGCCTCTGGTGGCTTGGTACCACTCTTCTGGCCTCGTGCTCTCAGCTTGCGAACGCCGAGTTGCCCGCCGACGCCATCGAGCTTGATCTTGTCTTCCCTCGCAGCGATGGCAAGTATGCCGAGACCACTAACGGCTACCCGGTCCTCCTCAATGTACAGAACCCTGATGTAGCCTACAAGTACGGGTACAACTTTGTCTGGGACATCTACTCGAGAAACAAGAATTCATACCTGCGCACCGCCGCCCACGGCACCATGGGCGCTTCCATCGGAAACGGGAGCACCTTTGGCAACGGCCCGCATCTTGAGGTTGGCAAGACAGGCCACCTTGCTGCCGGCGATTACACTTTTGCCTGGGTCTTTGGCATGGGCGCACAATGCGAGTTCACCGAGCAGCCCGACTACAGCGAGTTCAACCTGAACCCTCGCATCGCCAACGGCAGCTTCGACTTCACCGTCGAGACCAGCGGAAAGGAGCCTACTTTCACCACCTGTCCGACTGCCATCGGCAGCATGAGCTACGCTTCCACAACGACGTACAACTCCGAGGCCACCAGTGTCTGCGCCGTCACCGCCTCCGTTACTCACGATGCCCAGCCTTGCTCAGCTACCGTCGGCAACGACCAGGCCACCAGCGTGTACAGCGAGCTGGGATATGCCCGCGCAACAGGATCGTCAGGAGCCGCGTCTCTCAATTCGAACTTGCCCTCGTCTCATTTCGCACTCTTCGCCGGTGTATTCGCCGCGGTTGCGATTTTGGTATAAGCGCGGTAGATGACCTCCGTCGCAAACGCTATCACAGAGACGCGCCAATGATGTTACGAAGAGCGGCAGCTGAGTGCGAAGGGCATTACGACCTACCCGATTAGCAGCCCTATGAACACTCATCTTTCCTTCCTCCCTCCACGGGGATGGGGGGCGGAGCAGCGGCCGCGCATGCAAACTGAACCGACGGTGTCTTAACAAAAGCTTGCTGTGCCGTTCACGTATGCATTGGACTAGTCGTATCGTGCAGATGGCAAGTCTTGGTTCCCATCCACCTTGTTACCCCTCGCAGTACTATGTACAGCACAGCAACCAAAATAAGCCACAGATCTGCAATGGGCGCAGTCCGGGACTGATCTGGCCTTGCGGGAGAGGCTTTGGGTGGTCAAGTCCAATGCGGGTGAGGGACTGGAGCAACGGATGCCGCTTCTAAAGAGAGACATGGCACCCAACCACCAAAGTCTCCATACAAGGGTTGGACGGGTTGGTTCAGCCCCCAATAGCCCAGATCGCTTCCATGTTCGGTATCTCGCATCCTCAGCCAGTGATGCCGGCCAATGATGAAGCACCTCGGCTGACGTTGGCATTCAAAAACCTCGAAAAATACAACAGCATTCGTCGCATTCTCTAAAGTTCCCATGTATGTATGTGACATGCAACATTCCAGTTGGGCCGTACATGTAAGCACTGCAGGCTTCTGAATCATGTAGGTGGCACACAGCCAACGCCCAGGCTTCAAGAATCGCTCAAGCTTTCTCGGCGTATTTGCCAGTACTTGAGACTCCCCGGTCCCAAGCCACCATGCAACTTTCCGTTTGTTTGCTTTTATTCAGTCCTATAATCCTTCTTTCATGCACTGAGCTTCTTTGACAGCTGCGACCTCGATCGGGACCCGGCAAATGGAAAACATGTCGCACAGACAACACTCGCACAATGTGAGCACAAGCTCGGCTGACACAATCTATGTCGAGCAGCCCACGAGTCCTTTCATCCCCGGTTCCGACAAGAGACAAAGCCTGGGATCCTACAAAGCGTACCAGTCGACGTTTGTTTCCGTCGATGATGTCCCTCCCAGTGAACCTGCTTTGAGCAGCAATGGAGACTCCAGACGCTCCGTTCCCTCACGCTGGAGCAGGATCTCCGAGAAATCACACATCAAGTCCGAAACGTTCTCGCCATCTGGCTCTTGGACTTTCGAGATTGTGAGTCTTTGCGTGGCCATCCTCGCCGCTGCCGCCATTATCGGTGTCCTTGCAGCATACGACGGGAAGCCTCTAGCGTCATGGCACTTTCAAATCACCATCAACGCCGTCATCGCCTTGCTGGCCACCGTGGCAACTGCAACCATGGCAGTTGTTCTATCAAGCGGTATCTCACAGCTGAAATGGATTCACTTCAAGAGGCGCCGTGAGCCATTGTCCGATATGGAAGTGTTTGATGATGCCAGTCGAGGAACTTGGGGAGCTCTCATGATGCTCATCAAGCTTAGAGGAGGGTAAGTAGGACACAACTGCCTATTGCTTTCAACTCTCTGAATAATAGCTAACCCAGAGTTTTCGTAGCTTACTTGGTTCCTTTGGCGCGTTCGTTGCCATCTTGACCCTTGCCTTCAGTCCATTTGCTCAACAAATCGCCACTTTTCATGCGCGTACAACCAACTCTTCCGAAGGAGCCATCAATCTACGCGCCGAGAGATACTTGATTGCTCTCAGCAGTCAAACTGCATCTGAGGGGTTCATTCCGATTCTTCCTTTCAAGGCTGCTGTTTACAATGGTCTCTTCGCCGAGAACGGCAAGCCCTGGCTGAGTCTTCCCGTCAACTGTCAGACTGGCAACTGCACCTGGGAGCCTTTTGAGACTCTCGGTGTGTGCAACACCTGCGTTGACATGTCCGAGTTCATGACCCGATCCTGCGAGGATGGATCGACCCCTGTAAGCGACATGACCGAGTGCGGCTGGTCAGTTCCTGTTGGCGCTCGACTCAAAACGCATGCCGACGTGTTCAGCATGACACCCATCTTTCCTCAAGGCCTAGGAGACATGTCTTACTCGACCATCATGAAGCTCGTCTTCATGGGTACTGAAAAGCAAGGGGGCGTTGCAGGCGCCCTTGTACCATGGGCTCGCCAGTGTACCCTCCAGGCCTGTGTTCAGACTCTCGATTCTGAGATCGTCAACGGCGAGCTCAAAGAGACTATTGTCCACACCAGCACTAATGATACGGTCGCTGTGGCAACTCAGGACACTCTCGAGCCCATCTACATCTCAGGCCAGGCCAACAAAGAGTCCTACCCGATTGATATGAAAGTTATGATGGGTGTCCGGTCGTGGTTCTCGGACCTGTTCCGCAACGGCTCGGCCTCGCGTAACGAAGAGGTTATCAACAAGAACATCACAACGCCAGACAATGTCATTGTCAATCTAACCGTCGGTATCTCGAGTGGTGAGACGTTCTTTGACACCGACATCGTCCAGGCGTTCTACTGGAACTACTACGAGTATCCAACCGGCATCGACATGCTCATGGATGATCTCGCGACCAGTGTTACCATTAGTTTCAGAAGTTTCAACGGTACCAATGTCACAGGCATAGCGCACACCGTTGAAAGCTACGTTCACGTAGAGTGGAGCTTCTTGGCTGTACCGCTTCTCACAGTCTTGTTGACTACCCTTTTCTTCAGCGCCGCGGTGTACCAGACGTACCGCCAAAAGGCCAGTCTGTGGAAAAGCAGTATGCTAGCAACCTTGGTCCACGGCCTGGACGGAAATGCCAGAGAAAGACTCGAGGACCTCGGTAGCTTAAGAGAGCAACGGAAAGAGGCTAGATGTGTGAAGGTGCAATTGGATGAAGACGATGGTGGGCTCTTGAGACTCTCAAAGTATGATGACATTTGAGTTTTCATTCAAAGAAACATTTCGAGGTACCTTGTTTGGTCGGCTTGGTAGAAAAATAGGAGGATCGCCTCCTAGGTTGGCGGATTTATCCACACGCTCTTTATGATTGCAATGATAATGATAATGGCCGAATCACACGCGGGATTTGTTCTTCATAGTCTTCAAAGAAAAGAGCACTCTGATGCTACTGTGCTCTAATTTGCACAAGTGAATATGCGGTCCAGGCTGTTTCTAGACCATTCAGTTATCCGATCGTCAATTAATAGAAACAAGATCGCAGACAAGCTTCTTAGTAGTATCGCCGGGTTTTAGCACAAGGTTGATTCGCTGCACGCAGCCAGATCGTCCCATCTCTCCGGATCGACTAGTGATAACTCGCAGTTTGTGAGTGCACAGCGGTCCTTTGACTGCGTCCACCACGTTACATTTAGATGACGCTCGAGAGGAAGGACAAGGAGGCGCATAATCAGTCTGAGTAGGCATTCCAGTGGCTGGGTGAAGAAGTGCTCAAGAACCGTGGTCGATACATTGACCTAGTGGAGTTAGTCAAGACCCAAAAATGGCATGCATGTCTGCTGTTTCCGTTGCCACGCGTACTTTCCAGGATCAGAGATATACTGTTGCTTGATTTTGCTTACTGATTCCGTTTGTTTCTTGTTTCCATTCAATCAATACTGGTTGTTTAGAGACTGAGCAAGTTTTCCTCAGCGAAAGGTATGCCCTTGTCAGGTATTCCACCACCTAAATTCAACTACCACATGCAGACATTAGCCATCTTGGCTTTCCCTTCCTTTCGATTTCTTTCCAGAACTAGGAAATATCAGCCCAAGACAGTGCCGAAGTGGGATGATTTGGCTAGCATCTGTACATTTATCCTCAAACACGGAGCGTTCGGTGTGCGCATTGGGCCAAACACTGTTGAATAGCCTTGGTCTGTGATTGTCTCGTCAAATGGGAGGCTTTCCAAGATGCTAGAATATTTTATTTTCGCGATTGTGGGATACCCCATTGAATATCGATTCGGTTTAAAACAGCCCGTTGTGTTCTTGGCCCCTGAGCAGATACATGTCCTTTCAAGTCTGGCACATCTGTCTGCAAAGCAGCGGCTAAGCCGAGATCCATACCTCGCGGTTTCGGTTTTCGAGACTTGCAATACCTGCAGCAGACTACAGCGAAGCAATCCGGCGCGGGTTCGCTATTATGGAAGTCGACATCTCCACAAATAAAGTCTATAGTTGTGATCGGTTTGTCAAATAAGATACAACACAGTAATTGTAGTAACTACAATCACCTAGTAAGCAATTCTCCAAGCTCTAAACCGGCGGTAGCGTAGCGTCTGTTATTAATTCCTCGCCCAAAGAACAGACAACCTAAATGATCTAATTGGGCAGCAGTACAGTACTCCTACTTCAACTTCGAAACAACATCCAAAGAAACGAATCTTAGAACGCCGGTCGTAGGCAAGCAGTTCAAATACTGGAACACTGCTTCTCCTCTCTTGAGCACTGAAACTTCGTGCCAGGTCCGGAATTTCCTCGATTCTCCCCAAGTCTTTGCATGTTTGATGGCTCCGATATATATAGCCAGATGCGAGCGATGCTTTTTAGACCACTCTTCCAGGGAATGCAGATCAGTGAAGAACCCAGCACCGCACGTCTCCTTTTTTGTGTAGCCATCGAGGTCTCTGTTGCCCAGGAATCGCAATCCCATGGCGCCTCCTTTCTCTCTGTTTTCCCAGAGGTAGCTCAAGCCGGCCTTCAAAGTCGGCTCTAGCTCCGTCTCGTACGACTTTGCCTCTTCGGGGCTACAATTCTCCCAAAACTGCCCTGATCGAATGTGAACCATGTTATTGTAATTCTTTCCAGTCAAGTGCTGCCCAAGTCCATTTGGGATGTCTTCTGGTCTTGCCTTGTTGGCATCTTTATCTTTTTCAAAAAGGTCATGGGCAGATGCTGGAATCCGGTCCCTTGCCGCACCCCAGTATGCTGAGAGTTGATGCTCCCTCGTGTCAGTCATTGGAAGTCTAGCTAGGCCAGGGAGGTAGTCAAGTCCCGAATAATTCGTTTCCAGACGCGATATGGGCGTTGTGAAGCTCTCCTTCCATAACCCAACTGTCATTCGATGTTCTGGCGACAACTTAGCGTGAATAGACGCAAGTTCGAGCTTCTGCAGCTTTGTTTCTCCTTTATCAGGATCATCCCAGTAACAAACCCAGACAGATGTACCTGGAGCATCATCCCCATCCAGATGGTTGAAACTCTCGGTTGAAAGCGGCTTATCGTCTGTGTCTGCAGCGAGCCAGGCTTCAATTGCCGCGGTAGCTTGCTTGACTGCTGTTGAACTTTCGTCGGCGTCGCGATGATGTTGTATGCCGATGTACGCTGTGAATACTTTCTGCACATCTTTGCCGAGGGTAAGTTGCCACCGCGGAACTGGCGGCTGGTGGCCTTCTGGTCGTCGAAGAGGATAGGTCCGCATGGCTGAGGGTAAGGTTGACAATAGGGGAGGTTCTTTTCTAGTAGAGGAATCCTGACGAGCTGCCAAGCCAGTGAACGCACTTCGGCGCTGTATCTGTCTGGTTCTGAATCATTCAGAACTGACGGCGCAGTTTTAATAGGCAAGATGTCTTAGTCACGGCCCGATACGGGCAAGCGATTACTAACACCAAACTTCATTGGCGGAAGTTCCGGATGCTATTTCTAGCCCCGACGATTGGGGACTACCCTACGGGCTCAAAGGGGCTGCACACAATCAAACGTAATGCAGCTTCTGGTGAAATTGAAAAGCATTCCGGCACTTGGGAGGATCATGTTGGTAAGTCCATGTGAATTCTAAATACTTCAGGAAAGCCAATACAATCACAACAGGAATGAATTATCCGTAACTAGAGACAAATCCGTCGTTGGCTTCTTGATAAAATACACGCTTCGAGAGAATGTAATTGGAGTTCAAGCTGCGAAAAGAGCTAACCTATCCTGAAGTGAATAGATTCTTTAGAGTCATTGCACACATATGTTCAGTTTGATCTTTTCAACGAACATTTGAGAAAATGATAGCAGTGACATAAATTTGAACGGTACTTGTTGGATGAAACACAAAATGTACACAAACATTTTACATGTGAGGTGAATACTATGTTGACAGATAGCAAAGAACATCAGTGGGATATCCTATTGCCAGTAAACAAAGACTTCAATAGCTTCTTTGGTTGAAATACAAGCCCCCTGAGGTATTTAAAGCGTCCATGGTCCGATACCACTGCAATACTCTTGCAAGAGTTCGACTCACATACTAAATCGAAAGTAGCACAGATCATTAGCGACTTTAAATTTCCATGCAACATCCTTTCCATATTTACCTGATTCATTTCACTGTCATCAGAGTCGTTCTCCCCACCAAAGCCTAGGCAGCAATATCTTCTCCAGGTGCCATGGAATCCATCAAGAAGACAACTCGTTGCAGGCCAACCCTCAAGCTTGATATTTCGGCCGCTCTCAAGTTGGAAGTAGCGCAGACGCCAATTATCATCAGAGAGTATCAGAGTCCCATCCTGTCTCTGGAATGGGCAAAAAGAGAATTATCCAAAAACCCTCTCCCAGAATATGTGCCCGACATGGCGGAACGGCATGGGAGATCACGAGACCAACTTCAGCATTCGGGTGATGCGGGATGCCATGACTACCTTCATTGGGCTTTGCACCATCCTGGCAAGCAACCACTCAACTCATGGGATTTGTGCAATTGTGACCACGGCAATAGCGAGATTGACTCGGTCGAGTCTGAGCCCATGACCGAGAATGAACTCGCCCAGAGACGGCTCAGACTTCAGGAGACCCTCGCGGATTTGGAAGCCTTTACACCAAGTCCGATGACCGTCCAACTACAGTTTGAAGAGTTGAATGGGGATATCACAGAGGCCATAGATGAGGACCTCTCCGATTTCCCATTTGTGATAGAACACATGAACAGCGGCGACAGCTCTATCCAAGATCCGAACGAGGGCCAAACGTATGAGGATGCAATAGAAGATGTTGAATTCCTGAATGACTTGCAGATTGATCTGGACAACGCCCCTTTTGTTTCAGAAACTGGTCAAGAAGTTCAGACAAACGATAATAATACCACTGCGGCTGAACAACCCGAGCTTGGTCATCGTACTTTGGATTCGCTTATTGCACCACCATTCCGTGTGAGCTTGGCCGGGCTTGCTGGAACGCATTCTTCTCTGTGGGGAGAATCTAGTGGTGAAAGCTGTGCGAATTCTTCTGACAATGATTCTGAGCAATTTTCCTCTTCTTCGCGGCACAAGGGTGTGTTCATTCCAGCTTGGTTGTGGTGTGTCTTGTGGTCAACTCTCATCGGTTTTCTCATAGGCTTCTTCATTATGATGAGTCTGTTCATTGCGTACAGGAATGAGGGCATGCTTGACGTTGGAAAAGCTGCTCCTTGTAGTACGCCCCGGCCATGCGAATGTGATGTCTCTCCCGAACCCTACCATGGTGGACATGGCATGGACCACCAAGCGATGGCTGCCCACCAGATTTGATTTCAAGTGTGATGCAGCATTGCAAACTCTAGAAATGCCATTTTCCAGCAGATAAATTGCATAGAGAGCAGCCACTTATGTCAATAGGAAAAGGAGTTTGGTCTGTGTTTCATCGTGGTCGTTTTCATCTTCTTGAGCTTGGCGTTGCGAGAAAAGGCCCAAATCAAAAAGCGGCAACCAAAAAGACTTCTGAGAGTCATTGGTCCGCAATGCAGTAGCAATCCTCTATGTATATCTGATCTAGTGTAGTAAAATACAATGATCCTTGGGGATCTGCAGACACGCGCGTACACAAGCTACGCCATGACTAGACCTATCTCAGCTTCACGGCATCTAAGCCTATGTCCATTTCAATTTCAACATTTGACTTTTGTGCTTAGGAGCTCTGTCATTTTGACTCATTTTGGACGAACAGGATTATCACTGCCAGGATACGAAACAACTTCACTCACCCTCTCGGCCGAAAGCTCCCGACCTATGAAAACTCATGCTTTGCAGGAAAATTGCATGATTAAGCTCAAGCCTCTGGCTAATGGTTTCTGAGATTCACTGAAGTATTCAGACGAAACATGGTTCGGGAACGTTAATCAGCGTTTCATGCCGTTTCATGGCATCTATAGCCCGCACATAAAGACGGCGGAATCATTTGCACTTGCGTGACTATTTACGAAGCATTCTCATGATCGTGATTACCCACGAGGTTATTGTCCACGATTCTCGCACAATCGGTTGGGATAATCTTCAATATTTTAACAGCCCCATTAGAGCGCTGATATGCTGCCCGTAAGATTTTGAACATTCTCCGCGCCTCAGGCTCAAGGATTCCAACTCTTGCTGATTCGAAAAAAGACTTTGCTTCTGAGCTTCTCTGCTCTTGTCAGTGCCTGCGGGCTTTCTGTGCGAGACTCCTCCATTTCTTTTTCAACTCCAGGGTACGTCAGACTGCGTCTTACAAAGCTAATCTATCTGACAAGTATCTAGCGTCGTCAGTAGGGCTAGAGGAGGAGATCCGCTACAGAGCCTCCGGATTCTCAACCCTTACCCAGGTATCTTTGCGTATTATGATGGGCGGACCGGAGAAAGGTTCGCCTCTGACCAGCCAAATTGGCTTGACGATGGCGCGTTCACCTTAGGAGTTGCGACATATTCCATCATTGACGGAAATGAGGCCATCATCTATGACTCTCACATCACTCCCGAGCATGCAGGTGCTGTGATGCGACATGTCCAGAGCCAAGGCGTCACCAAGATGTCGTTGGTGATCAGCCATTTTCACAACGATCATATCGCCGGCACTGAGGTCTTCTCCAAGGGGGGAGCCACAATTGTCGGACACGAGATTACGGCCCGGGTAGTGAAGAGGAATGCGCAGAATCTTGCGGCTGACAGCCCGTCCATCAACGCTATACCTCCTACCGAGCTCTATACTGGGAAAAGGGAAATGAAGGTTGGAAACCTGGCCGTTGAGTTGCATAACTTTCAGGTCCACACACCTGACGGAACTATTCTCTACATTCCTTCAAAGCAGCTGATCTTCGCCGGTGACACTGTGGAGGATACGGCGACCTTTATCGCTGACGCCAAGAGCCTGCCAACGCACCAGAAAGAGCTTCAACGCATGGCAACTTTCCCGATCTCGAAGATCCTGCCTGCGCATGGAGAGCCAAACCGGATTGCCATGGGTGGCTACAGTCCAACTATCATCAATGCCACGCTTCGGTATATTGCTGCCATGACGGAAGACGTGCCAGAGCCAGCAGCGTGGAATCAACCTCTGTCTCAGGTCGTTGATGCAGATGTCAAGGGCGGGGACTTGATATACTTTGCGCAGTACGAGGAGGTGCATCAAAGCAACGCGGACGCCATCCGGAGGAGTCGTGGAAGGGGTAATAATGATTAATGCGAATTAGGGTAGAAAGATGCAAAGCACTGTATCAGTGCTGAGCCAAGAGGTGTGAGGTAGTGAAATTGTACAAATCAAAATGAGTGTCAAGACGCACAAGGGAATATGCTGTGATAGGTTTGTGAGCAGCAAGCTCACAGCAGTCAATGCAAAAAATCTGAGTGCTAATCTCAAAAGGCCACGTACCACTCTGAGATTGAAAGCGTACTGCAAGATCCAATGAATGCTGTTACGCTGTTGCGCTGCTGGAAAATGAGCGTCCTAGAAGAATTTTGCCCGAACGTGTACTTTTACATAAACGTGAATACTTATTTTGAAAGCCCATACACAGGTATAGTATGTGTAGGTAGAGCTCTGTCCTTCCTGTATTTCCGGCGCGTCTCATTATTTGATTCAATGCTGCCTTTGCGGCTCTTCGCTGATTGAACCGTCAATTCCCGTAATGAAGCCAAAATACTGTCACATTTCCACGGAAGTTGGGGATCGAGGCACTACGTCGTACGTGTCCAATCAAAGTTCATTGACTACCGTGTCACAAATAGGCAATTCAATGGAAGGCGGTAAGTCCAGTACGAAGCATCAACATGAACAAGCCTTTTCAATCAAAGCCTTGATATCTTATCCCCCACTTCTGGATTCGGGGGTATTCTAATCGTCTTACCCGTCGGCTGCATCAACCCTCTTTCCGTCGTGTAGTCTTTATCTCCGGAACCTACACTTTACCGAGGCAGATAACGCCCACTTATGCAGCTCCATGCAAATGGGAGCACTATGACCAATTGCAGCGGCCTACAGCGCGATAGACAATGTCTCACCGAGGTACGTCAGCTAATTCATACAAGGTCTCTGGTCTGTCTTACCATCTATAGGATAGCAATTCTCAGCACTGCCGCATTATCTTTTTTCAATCGCGGACCGGAACTCTAATCCCTGGCGGAACGTGCGACCTGTCATGTTCCGCAAGACGAATGTGTGACGTCGACGATGAAAGCGAGGGGTAAATTGGCGCTACCTCCAAACCAGCTGAAGTATCCCAACGACGCCATCAAGGGAGCTACTCGTACGAACCAGTACAAAAGGGCAGTAAGTTGTACCTCTCTGATCAGCATCAGCATTGGCTCATCCCACCGCGGACCTAAAGAGACTTTTCTGACTCGACCTTTTGACCCCAATCAGCCGCCGACTAGTACTGAGACCGAGAACCCCGAAGCCAACTGCCGGGTCACTCATCCACCATGCCGTCAACTCACAATACCGCCTCCGATGTCCCGGACATGAATCTCTACAAGCTCAACCGGGTTCACCGCACGCTGGATAGATTAAAGGACAAGACGGAGTGGGAGGCAGAAGACACAAAGTCTTTTGACTGCATGCACTACCTGGGCGACGCTGCCATTGAAAACGCGGCTAAGCAATTGGACCTGCAAGACGGGGACCGGTTGCTCGACATCGGATCCGGGTTCGGCGGGACGGGCAGATACCTCTACCAACGCTTCCATGTTACGACAGCTGGCATTGAGCTGCAAGAGGAAATCCACAACATTGCTCAGACCATTAACGATAAGTCGGGCGCTGGGGCAAATGCGACGTCCATCAACGGGAACTTCCTCGAACTTGACTCTGGCAAAGTGGGCGCGCCGTTTGATCACATCGTCTCGTTCCTGTGCATTCTGCATATTCCAGACCGAGAAGCCCTGTTCAAGAAAGCAAACGGTGTTCTCAAGCCAGGAGGGAAGATGTATATTGAAGACTTCTTCGCCCGTACTCCTTTGGACGCCAAGACTCTCAAAGTCCTGAGGAGCTCGGTTTCCTGTCCAGACTTGCCTGATAAAGAGCACTACATCGCGGAGCTCGAGAAGGCTGGGTTTGAGGTCACGAGTTGGGTTGACATGTCGACCATCTGGACTGATTTTGTGCATGAGCGTGCTGGAGCCTACAAGGAAGACCCGTCAGTAGATGCTGATCTCACAGCATTTTATGATGCCGTAGACGAAGTCTTCACTGGAGGTCAGGTTGGAGGGACACGCATCACATGTCAGAGGAAGTAACAGCTTCGATTGGCTGCTTCTGTCTCCCACTTGGTGTTCTAAGCTTGAGCATCAAATTCCGCATGGGGAGATGGAGTTGTCACAGTTAGCACATATCCATGCGGACTATTTCTCCGTGATGTGGGTGCCATACTGTGACAGATGCATACAGCCTGATATCTCTTCCTGCTCTAGAACTAGACTCTGAAACATAGCTATGGAAAAATGACTAGCAATGGTTAAACGTGCGGTGGTTTTCCTCGCGATAATCCATGCTGCAATCAAGTCTTGGTTTCTCTGTTGGGCACCATTCCTTACCTTGGATCATATAGATAACCCGATATTCCGGGAGAGTACGGATACTGATACACCTAGTCAATGGCGCAAGAAATGACTGGGTCTTCGGCGCCGGGAAATAGCAACGTGCCTCCCACGGTCGCGGTCCACGCACCCCGCGGACAATCTTGGTCAATAAGACCCGAATTTCGTTGAGCCCAAAACGAGAGAGCATTTGAAATCCGGAATTCGACTCAATGTGAATCTTGTGCAGTTGAGCGTCGGCGGAATGTCCAGAATAGCTTGAAACTTTACCCAGACACGACAGGCTACTCCCCTTCCTATAAACACAGGGTGCTCGTAGACGCCGCGCGCAACATGGGATGACTGGCGAGAACCTCGTGGCTCGGCCAAGGATACTGACACAGCTACTGTGGGATCTCCAAAGGGGCACCTCCCGCACTGCTCGGCATCTAGACACGCCGCACCACCCACCCACCCACCCACACACACACTCTCGCACCTTGTGACACTTTGTATTCTCGGGAGCTGCGCAGGGTGCAGAGTTTGGATAGCGGTCTCAACTGCACGAATCAGGCAAGTTTCCACACGGGGAACAATGCCCCAGTTTGGAAAGAGGAAAAAAAAAAGTACACCGCCAATAACTGTACAGTGTTTCTGTCCGAGAACCGATGGCGAGCTTAGTTCTAGCTGCTAATTAGTTTGCGTTTGGGCCGCCTCTTCCCGGGGACTTAAGGCGGATACAGCAAGAAAATATACAACTAGCAGTAAATGCAAAACGTACACGTGTGTTGAAGCTTTCTACACACGTCCCATCCTAGCGAATATCTCGGCATCGGTCCGAGTTTTCGTATACCCAGCCATACTATACGAATTTTTGTAAATGCGCTTGCTAAGCGTAGAGTTTGCTTTTTGAGGATCACTACCCGTGTCATGTCAGCTATTAGTGGCTACTGAGCAAGCCTCAGGAAGGTGATCCTCTACTCGCCGCCCCTCTTGATGAGAACATGGCATTACCCGTCTCTCGGTTGGACAGGGTGGATTCTGATGGAGATTAGTGATCTACGCCTAGTGAGACAGGGATTCAAGTTTGGGACTTTGGATCCCTGACTGTGGTCGGAGAGCTCCGCAATGGCCGATCTTAAGGAGCAGCCTTCGGCGATGATATGGACGCCGGATCAAATCCAATATTGGACTTGTGCGGTGGAACCTCACCATCGCTGTTTCACCAATTTCATGGTGAAAAGAAGAATCGAATTGCAGGTATGAGAAGCTGTAGTGTAGGCCGAGGTTTTCAACACAACTCTACAGTGCAATCAAGATATCAAATCAGGTTATGAGCATCAAAACGACAAGTTTCAATCTGGCATCAAGACAAGCAGGCTCAAACGTCCAAATAAACCTCGACATAAATTCCCGTTGAACAGTAGGCGCAGAACTTGCTACGCAGACACGCTACGCATACACTCACTGACTCATGCTTGCATGACGAGCAACTTGACCGGCTGAGAGTGCGGCTGTTGGTGTTGGATGGCGCAATGCAGGCAGACGGCAAATCAGAGCATCCTCCTCTTCCAGGCTAGTAGTAGCCTGTATTTCCGTATAACCCTACAGCCTATCTGCTTGGCGGTCAGAAGAAGGCACATGAGCTGCGATGAATGCAAAAGTGTGGCGGGTATCCTTTCCAGCATTACTGATTACATGCGTGGCGGACGGGGATTGGGCGGAATGGGGAATAGTGCTCGTAAGACTTGGCCCTGCATTCGGTACATTGAACATTCATGTTTCCGTAAGTAACGAGGCCAAGAAAAGGAAGGAATCGAAGGATTGATTGGCCTGACGGTGTCAACGGTCAACGGCCATTGAGAAACAGAAGAAGAATGCCTAGTCTATTGCAGGGCGTAGGGTCGGTCTCATTAGTCACTGTCGGCCTGCCGCGAAGGCTGGTACTGTTACAGGGTGTGGCAAAAAAAGAATTATGGATTACGGAGAAGGAATTGCGTCGTAGGCTGTGCGTGGGAGCCGCAAGCGTGTGTGAGCGACTTTGCGTTGGCAGGGTGTTAGAGAAAGGCTACCTAGGTAGAAAACAAAGTGAAAAGAGGGGACGTGTTCGCCTCAAGCCTGTAGAGAGGGTCAGGTCCCATCAAGGTTACAGAGTTTGTTCGCTTTCGCAAAAAAGTATCCCTGATTGGACCCCCCCATATTGTGGGATGCCGATAGGTATTGATGGGGATGGTATTCTCGGATTTGTACGACAGTACGAAGTCTCGGCTTATAAGAGGGGTGGTCCCTCCTTGACGCCGAGGACACGGAACTTCAGGAGGCCCGGCTTGTCCGGACTTTCGTTCCTCCACTTCTGGTCGCTTTTTGCCTCTGTGTCTCTTTTCGTGGGTTTCTTGTCTTGGCCCAAGGACCAAGGACCCGTCAGGATGTGGAATCCATGGTATGAATGGCGTCATTTGAGTCAAGCTCTGCATACCAACTGTGCTCCCAGGGGATATAAACGCCTACGGATACACTAGGTATCTCACTACGCACGGCTCACTCAGGTCTCAGGAACGCAAATTCGAGCCATGGCCACCACATCAACTAGTTTGTTGTCAGACTGGACGTCCACAGTAATGCAGGTTCCGAATATCGAACGCTCGTTGGCTGCATTGAACAGAGGTACACGCCGCACGCTCTATCACCTAGTTGCATGGGTAATGGCGGGTGCGTAGGGGTATGTCGGACTGGCCGTCCGCATTAGATATTAGAGTTGCACCACGTTAGAATTGAGTCACAGATATAGACAAGAGCCAAGGGGACCAATATGGTTCAGCTGGATGAAGTTACACTGGGCTGCGCAGAGTTTTGAAGTCAAGACTGAGCCAGGTACAGTAGGTATCGTGAGGCGGCGCCGAGAATGGCACGGAAAGGCTAAAATGGTGACCTGTCCATAAAGAGTTTATCACTGTGCGGACGCAGTATGAACTTGCAAGGTTTGAGGACTAGTAAGTAACCAACAGGACGGACATTGGGGCCTCGGAAGCAATTTAATGTTTGAGAGGGGTCAGCATGAAGAAGTTTACGGGAGCTTGTTGGACGGGTCACAGGCCGGCAGTGGACAGTGGACAGTGGTCAGTGGGAATACTTTCTTTAGTCGGCAAGAATGTCAACAAGCGTTTGGAAGCGTTGTATAGTTAGTTTCCTGCGTGTTGGTTGGGGGTTTGCGCTGCCGGTGTGTGTGTGCGTGCGACGCCGAGAAGGGGGCAGTATTTTGCCCATGTGGTGTGATCGGCTCAGGGTCGACGCCAACGGGCGACCGGGATGACATGTAATAATCAGGCTGCAGAAAAACTACAAAAAACAACATTACGCTTTAACCGTACAATGACAAAATATCCAGTAGTGGCAAAAATAAACCCTAGCAGGCGGTACCTCCGTTTTACAGATCTGTACGGCGGACGGCAGCATAAGAGTTTGGTGCGTGCATGCATTCCCGGAAAAGGGGATGGGATCCACGGCTACGACCCCACGCGGACTGCGGACACGACGAGAGGTTTCGAGTGTGATAAATTATAAAAAGGCACGTTTTAAGTTGGGCGGCGCGGAAATATGGTCCGACTTGGAATAGCGGCATCATCTAATATTTTTGATTCCGCAACTCTCAACTGCGACATGGATGAGTGGGGGGACGACGGATGTCGGACGTGCCACCGGCCGTTGCGCGTTTGTACGAACTACGAACACTTCGTATCATGGTTTAAAAGGTAAATAGAGGCCGAGAGCGAAACTGTATGCCGGACCCCGGGAGCTACTAAGCTGAACAAGGTAAGCTGTCAGCGGGAAACAAGGTGCAAGCTATTGTTTGTCGGCCCTGGACACGATGCCGATCGACCTAACGTCTCCCAGACTGTATTATTGGCCAGTGGCTGATCCAATGTCCAGGACTCCAGAGGTGGAAAGTGCAAATGCGCCGGCAAAGTGATAGTTTGGCAGGGGGCCTGTGATGAGTCGCGTGGGTTGCCGGGCGAAAATTACCAAAAAGGCTCAATAGTGAGCCAATGAAAGACGCTTTTATGAACTGTATCCGTAGGACGACGCAATATACCGATGCCTTGCCTCGCGAGTGGTGCCAAGTCACGGGGCCAGTTGGGCTGTAAAGTCCGCGTAGAAATCGGTGAGTGAGAGAGTCTGGCGAATGTATGATTTGCTTTCTGTCAGACCGGTACGAGAGCCATGGCCAAACTGTGCCTTGCACTTGCAACGTTTGTCCATTGTGTTTGAGAAGAGCCGGACGAACGCGAGTGAGGTACCGTATCGACCCGAGGAATAGGCTTCTCATTAGGCCTGTAATCAGGTCAAGCGCGGCGGCGGTGGACGTTGTGTGATGAGGCGAGGTGAGGCGAGGTGAGGTGAGGTGAGGTGAGGTGAGATAAGGGGGTGAGCACGGAGCAGTGAGCAGTGAGCGACTAGGGCCAATAATAGCGGCATGGCATATGTAGCACGGCGGTAAGGCATGGGTGGTGGTAAGTAATCATGGCCGCATGGCCTGCCTGCCAGGGGCGCAGGGTGCAGGGTGATACGGGGATTTGGCGCAAACCAGATGCCGTGCGGATTGATCCCGTCTCCTTGGAGCCCAAAGAGCACATGAGCAGTTCGCTTTCCCCCCTCTTCAAGGAGTCAATGGTGTCTTGGTGGTGGTGGTGGTGGTGGTGGGGTCGTGTGTATGAGAGGGGAGGGCCACGAGGATCAATTCAATCTTGAGTGTCTTGAAAGATTTTCCGTCTCACGAGAGTGACGAGGTGACGCCGTGACGGGGCCGGAGATTTTGGGCAGTGGGACACAGAGATGTGTGAGCCCGACGGCGTTGGAGAGCGGCGAAGCGTATTTTGGGGTCCTCGCTGATGAGTTCCCTAATGCGACCAGACACCAAATGCTGAGGGCATGTTCGGCTAATCGGATACGTCCGATAGATCCTACGGTCCAATACTTTTAAGATGGGATGAGATGAGATGGGAACTGATGAGTGTGTGGACTTCTTTGGAGAAGCGGGCTTGGAGCCTTGGACTGTGCTGAGCGTGGCGCCGAGCTGAGTGAGAGCTTAGGTACGGATTCGGCCCACCGTGCCAAGAGTGTAATAGGAGCACTGTAGCCATGGAAGGTAATTAGTAGGCGTACAGACTAAGGTTCGGAGTACGAACACTTCGTATAAATCCAACGGTATAACGGACACACGGGTGAGGGGACTGGGAAACCGCACGCCGCACGCCTTACCGTCCATACTTTGTACCTAAAGTCGAGCAATGTGAGGCTATGCAAGGTATAGGTGATGTACCCAGGTCTTTCTGAGCCGGGGATACCCACTCAGCGGAACGCTACGTCCATTTCAGAGTAGGTTTTCCGATAAGTGTTGGGTGGCTCCATTGCGATTGAGATATGGATAATCCGAATGCAAGAACAGGAGTGTGTTTGAGAGAAAGCCAGAGAGCGACGGCGCGGACTTACCTTGAGATACGCAGTCGCAGAGTGTGTACACGTGTAGAGAAACATACGTACCCCCGGTAAGGTACCTACACTAAGGTACCTTGATTGGTAAGGTAAGGTTAGGTTGGCAAAGAACCTAGGTAGGTAGGTATGTACCTATCCCACCTTGCCGTGACCACTGGGCGCAACTCAGATTGGGAATAGGATACGTACCCCAAGGCGCTTGGCCGCCGTAGGTACCTAACTTACGTACCGAAGGTATGGCCTTCCAATCACAGCTGGGCCCGAGAGAGCAATGTATCTCTTGCCGTAAAGGCGGGCGGGGGAGAGGGGGAAAATAGAATAGACATTAAAATCAATTTCCTGCATCAGTACGGAATTGGCGCTGATAAACCAAAAGCGCCCCAAAAACACGGAGCCGTTACCAGCCTGCATGTGCTTGCACACACACACACACCACAAACGCACTCACTCACGCGCTCAATCTCTTAATTATGCTCTCCCACACTCATGCACGCTCCAGCCCAGGCAAAAGATACTGTCTCTACCTCAGTCTAGTCTGGTCCGGTACAAGTAGCCACCGAATGAGCGCTTTTCCTTCCTACATGCACACTGCAAGCCCTGGTCTTGCTTTTTCTTAAAAGTATTCATCATTCTTCTCGGCCCATCCTAATTCCATTTGTCTTGCTACCCACTCCTCTGTACGCTCATGCTCATCTCCCATTCCCCCCTCCAACTACACCCAATCGTAGGACGGGAACAATTGGACATCTCGCCTGTAGTACGGTAGTATGTGGAGGGTCCTGCGTCCTTTCCAATTGGCATGGGCTCTGACAGTTTGCCAAATACTTCCAGGTACGGATAGAACGACAAGCAAATCAGGTACGTACCCTAATTGTCGACGACGAGAGCATTTTGCCCAAGGTACCTTAGGTATCCATACAGTGCCTACTAGGTTCCTTCCTTCTTTCTTCATCTCACTGCGTTACTGCCCGGTCTGGTTTGGTCTTTCCTTGCCTCGTCGTCTATGATGGTAAGAGGAAGCAACGGGCGGCAGAGGTGCACCACCATCCTTACCTATCGTACCCTTAGCTGGCAGTTCTTATGTACCTACCTTAGTCGTAATGTCATTCACTGGGAGGGACAGCAAGCATTGGACTTTCCCGGAAACAATGGACTAATTTCCCTTCTTCCCTTCCTTCCCTTCCTCGCCCTCCCGTACCTTCCCACATTTCGTACCCATTTACCCAACGTCCATTATTCATCGTCCATCTTCCATCACCTGCCACCTTCCCAGTCACTCACTCACTCACTCACTTACTGCTTGCTTGCATCATTCCTTCATACTCTTTCCCCTTTGTTGTTTGTCATCCTTCAACCGCCTTCCTACCGATCATCCACCCTATCTCTTTCTCTCTCTCTTTTACCTTACCTTACTCTGATCTCTCCACCCAGTTCACCCAGTTCACCCACCTTCCCACACCCCCGCCCAAACAACATCATCTCGAGGTACTGCAGCCCTGTACAGCTTCTATTTTCGACCGCCACCATAGATGAGCGGTCCCGCATCTCTGCATCTGGCATCTGGCACCTAGATCCAAACCACTTCTACTCTATTTCTGCCTGGCACCTTATCCTAACCGGGACCGAACAGGTCACACTACGCAGTAACCCCAATAGGCAGACGTCGTTGAGTTGCCACCTACACAACCCCCCGCCGCATTACCACCGCGGCACCTGCCTACGCCTACTCGCCTACCTCAACTTTTACCTACATACCCCCCCGTCCGAGCCAAAGGTCCCCTTATCGCTTGGCTCGTCATCACTTCATTGCTGACGACAATCTTACACGCCGACACCTCCGCCACTATTCACATCTGTCGACTCCTCATCTCGCAAACCCCTTTGTCTACTAGACATCGAGTTTCACCGCCAACTTACCTCTTCGCGGCACATCACATTGTCCAACGCATCGCTTCATTGTCGTTCTGCCGCTGCAAACGATATCTTATCTGTTTGCGACCCGTGGTTAGGAGTCATACCTCCACTCACCGACCAATCGTTGATATTGCCCGGTCATTCGACAGCTCAAAAACCTTGAACTTCACCCAACGTGTTCATTTGGTCGGCTGTTATTTTTGCGGATTTCGATTCCCGCGATTGCCTTGGGAGTGTTGAATAGGCTACTTGCCTGTGTTGATTCGGTGGACAACACTTCCTTCGACCCTAGTCAAATAGAGGCACATCCGTTGTCAACATCCCACCTGGATTAATCGGTATATTCAGCTCCCATTTTGCTTACCCCTGATTAGCCACAGGTTTGGAGTATCTTTGACTGCAGTGTCTAATAGCATGTTTGGGATAGGTTCTGTTCGTGGCTGAGTCTTGGGCATGGGTCGTCCAAACTGAGCCAGTTGGTCAACTTACTATCAGCAGAGGGTCGAATTAATACCTCTTAAAACCTCTGCCGGCCTACCAAGACAGACACCCTTCAGTGTACAGCAGACTCAATCTCGTCGTTATGGCGAGTATCCCACCTTCCGTTACGGCCATGCCACATAATGGTCAATCAGAACTGGAACAGGATCGTAAACGTTGGTTCGCTGAATTCGGAGCGCTCAAAGCCCGCTTTGAGGCAGAAAAGGAGAACATAAACGCCAAATTCACACAGCAGCAGCGTGACGCATGCCACGATCTCGACGATGAGGCCCGTTTCGTCGACACGTTGAATCTGCCCCAGAAAGCTCGCGAGCTTCTCCAAAAGTACCAGCATGAATTACGATCCCATCGATATGCTGCCTGCCAGCAAAGGTGTGACGCCGAGGAAAAGGAGCGGGGCAAGCGCGAAACGATCGCTCTCCGAGATCATCACATTGTGTTCCCCGTTGGCGGCGGCGGCGGCTACACTTCACGCAACACTGTTCACGCTCCGAATTCTGGCATGTTGGGACGTACGCCAACAAATTCGTCGGCTCAGATGGGCGGCGGACGTGTTGGTCCAGCTGCGCGCGGCTCGCCCTCAGTCATGGCGACGAGCGCACCTCCTCAGCAGGCACGCCAGCCTCTGCCACAAGGCCCGATGATGCCCAATCAGCCAGTTCAACAGAGACCGACAAATGGAATACCTGGCCACGGTAGTTCAGCTCCGATGCCGTCCCAGCTCGACCAGCAAATCCGTCAGTCGCAGCAGATCAACCAGGGCCACCCAAATCAAGGACAGAACTGGATTCACCATAATCAGGGCCCGCAGCAAGGTTCGCCTCGCACTTCAACCTTGTATCACCCAACTCGGCCGGTGAACACCCCTGCAGCAAATGGCCCCCCCCGAGTGCTTCCTTCGCAACCTCATGTTCCTACGCTAGGTAGCAATCACTACGGTCCTCCAAGAGCAGGACCTGGACAGCCTGCCATTGGCCCTCAGCCTAACTTGGCTGATCGCAGCAACCGAGTACCTCTGCCACCCACGAAATCTGGACCCATGAGCTCCCGTGGGGACAAACTGTATCCGGGTGATGTCAGCGACATCTCACCAGGCTCTATTTTACGACCGGAAGACATGTTGAGGCTGTCTGCAGACTTTCATTCCAAGCGCCATAAGATGGCCAAGAGGAAGTCCGATGCCAGCGAGATGTCATCTGGAGATGCGGATCCGAAACGTGCGAGAACTGATACGCCACATTCGATAGCCCCCAGGACGATCACTTTTGCCGAAGTTTACCAAAACGGCAAGGCAGAATACAAGCACAACATTGTTAAGTACGAGGACGTTTTCTATATTCTGCGATGCGACGAGCATGGGGTGCATTTCAAGCAGAATGCCCTTGCAGCCGCAGCCAAGCACCTTCACGGCGCCTCGCATGGCCACCAGAAGAAGGAACATAAGTTGGCAGTCGAAACCATTGGATTTCACGTCGTGGACTGCACGGAAGAGCTTGCCGCACTGAACAACGAATGCGTTCGCCTTGCTTTCGAAAGCGGCTATAAACCTCTGAACCAGCTCCACGGCCCGAAGTCTGGTGGTAAACGACAGTCAGCCGTTAACGCAATGGCTCCGGTCAGGGATCCATCAGTTTCCGATTCATCATTCCAGGCTCCCCCTAACAGCGCTGGATCTTACCAGACAAAGCTAGACGCCAGGACCCAGGAGGACAAGCATCAAGATGTTGCAGATTACATCATGAACCCGATTCCAGGCGATATTTATCACGCAAAATGGCCGCGAAGCAACAAGCTCTATATAGTCATGATTCTGGGCTGGACATCACTGAAGATGTGCGGGTGGGATGGCTGGCTCAGCGACACCCAACTTTGCAACAAGAAGATCAGACCTACCTGCTATACGTACAATGAGGATGGCATTGGTGGCTGGGCACCGGGATACCGAGACGGCGAGCTACGCATGTTGGACAGAGACGTTCCGGTCTTGTGGTTTGAAAAGCAGGGCAACACTCGATTAGGCTGGCTTGGAGTCAAGTTTATTCTCAAGCCACTACTGCTTGATGACCCTGATCGACCTACTGACCCCTTGGATCCTTCGAACCAAGCAAGAAAGAAGTATGCAGAGACTCGTGGGTATGACTCGTTCGAGGCAATGCTGGCTCATGTGCAAGGGGGGCAAACGCCGACAGGTGGAGAAGCAGAATCGACGGCAGAGGCGACGGCGACGACGACGACGACTGCGACTGCGACTGTGGCTGCTGCTGCTGCTGAGACTACTGCTGCGAAGCTACCCTCGTTTGCCTCGGCATCAGACTCGGACCCCGTACCTGACGTTGACATGTACGACTTTGGCGACAACCCTCCTCCAGCCGATGATTCGGAGGATGAAGATTACGTGGAGCCGAAAAGCCAAAAAAGCCAAGATTCAGATGACGACATGGCAGATATAGATGACTACCCGACTACCCCTCAGCAGCCTCTGAGGCGAAGCACTCAAGAGGTGCGCCCTACTTCGCGGCTGAGCGAGAGTAGTTGGATGACGGGCAGATCCGGAGCTGCTGCTGGCACGCGTCTGTCAGCTAAGAAAGACAAGGCAGCAGCAGCCGACAAGGAGGATGTGACAATGGACGACGCTGCGCAAGTAACCCCGTCCAAAGATCGGGTCGTGGCCAAAGGAAATGCCATTCCCGTCACCGCAAACAACAATGAAGGCCTCCCCAACACTGCTCTTGAAACACCAGCAACTCTCCAGCAGGGATCTTCGGAGAATGCTAAGAACGCGCTGCCATCTGCTGCCGGTGCGAACCCTCGCACTGAGGATAGCGCTTCTATGAACACCGCATCCCCACATTCGACGGCCGAATCAGCAGCTGAGCGACCCGTGCTCACTGAGATCGCCAAGAGCAACGCGCCTCAGAGGCTGAATGCCCAGGAGAGCGTGCAGACGGCAGCATCGCAAGACGGAGAAAACCATTCCCAGATCGATCATGCGTCAATGGCAAGCTTGGCCCAGAGCGCGATGAAGGCTGCTTCCAAATCCCCCAGCCTGGACAAGAGAGTTGCCCGTGTAAGCCCCAAGCTACAGATCGCAAACCTGGTCAACGGCACAGCCAGCTCTGAAAAGGCAGCTCGTCGACCTCTGCCATCTGAGCCGTCCCCTGACATGCAGCACACTGGCGCAGTCCTCAGTCAGCCAGCGCCACTCCGAAACCCCCTGCCTCAGAAGCCCAGTCAAGGAATCCACCTCGATCAAATGGCGAGGGCTAGCCAGCACCCCTCGCCCGCTCTGTCTACCAAGAGCATCAAGGAGATAGCGTCGCCAGCGTTGAATAGCCCGATTCAACAGCCCCCGCGGAGTACCAGCGCCGAGAGCACTGCTCGCCGACCCGATCCTCGCATGAGCATTGCTAACATGAGCAGCAGCAGCCCTCATGAGGACCAGGAACGTGGGGCCATCAAACAGACGGTGCTTAGTACAGGCAACGGCACTGCCTCGGGTAGTAGCACTCCCAAAGTGTTGACTCACGCCAGCTTGGTCAACAGCGAACAGTGGCGTGCAGTCCGCACATCGGAATCGCCACGCACTACGCCTGCGGCGCTTCAATCGCCTGTCATCGACCGGAGTGCGGCCGCGTCCCCTGCTCTGGGAGGCAAGAGAGATACAGAGAACTTTTTCGACGTATCGGAGTTCCACGAGGGTAGCAGACACTGGGCGCAGCCGGGCAAATTTCTGCGATTCGCTGCCGAGGACGAGTCGAGCAGCATGATGCGGAGCAAAGAAGAGGACGGCATGGAGGCCGTCGTTGATGCCGGCCAAGTCCAGGCAGCGAAAATGACGGGAACAACGGTCCAGCTGGAGCTCAAGACAGATAATAGCGAGAAGTTGGAGCAGAGACTAGTGTTCGAGACCAACTCGTTGACGGGCAGCCAACGCGGGGCAAGGCTGCAAGCTACCAAGTTCTATCGATGGATCTCGACCAAGAACCCGGACATACAACATCTGTACTAGTGTGGGAGGTCACTGAGAGGAATGCAAGGGGGTGGTGTTGTGTATGGATGAACAATACCGCGTTGATGATGCGGATTTTTTTTCACCGCCGTTCTGCTCTGTTTGGGCTCGGTTACATTACTAGACTGGCTATCGCAAGAGGCATGAGAGGTTCCGAGGCGTACAAAGCACGGAGTAGCGATTTTCCCCCTACACGCGGTGCACTATTTAAGGCGTTTTGGGGAATATGGAAAACATGGGTGACGTTGTCAGAGCCCTCCATTGTTCTAATCACTGAGTAGTGTCCTATTTGGGCTCGGTTGGGTGTAGTCCTAATTCATAAGGTTATATCCGTAGCACAAGTTGGGATATTGATCGCCAGAGTTTCAAATCGAGAGTGCGAGGGAAAGTTGTGAGAGAAGATGCGAGTGAAGATGTGAGAAGCGATGGCCACTTTCTCCGTCTGCTCCAGGGATCCATGCGGGATGAGCTGTTGCTGGGACGAATAGTGGACCAATAGGTATCTTCCGTTGGCCGTTATGTAATCTGGGGATGGGAGATGGGAGACGAGAAATGGGAGCTTTGGGCGTTTTGGTTGTGAATTTGCATGTGATTGCCGGGGTTGAAGTGAGAGCCCGGGTGAGATGTGAGAGAGAGAAAGGCTGGGTGAGGTGAGAGGTTGGAGGTGAGCTTAGCCCGAGTGCTGCGTGCAGGAGGTAAGGTGGTAACGTACCTAATTACCTACAATTACCTACATGTAGGTACCTAAGGTACCTTACCTTACTTGCCTATCTAGCTTACCTTAGACGGGCACGCGGGGGGATGATGACCAACGTGGCAAACATCTAGTCACTTTACCGACGACTTCCACTAGGTACAGATACCTCAGCAGCTACAGCTACCTGCAGCAGCGCCCTCTCGTCGCATTTCTTCAGCGCCCAACTTTCCGAGCTTAATCCATTTTCCGATTCTTTGCCATTTTCCGTTATTTATGTTCTCTCTCCTCTTTATCTATTCATATTTCTGCAACCCTCTATCGCAACTCCCGGCTTCAAACCAGTCGGAACCAGTAGTCGTTGCTTTGTACAAACTGTAGCTGTTGTGCGACGTACGGACCCAAAATCCTGCCTGGCTTTTGGGTGAGAAGGAAGAGAGACAGAGAGAGAGGGAGAGAGACCGGACAAAATACAGCCAGTCCGATGCCGCGACGGACACTTTAAAGTGCGACAAGCGAACGACTGCGACGACCTGATCCACGACTGCCCCCAGCTGCGACCGAAACCGATGACGTTACGATCCACAGAGCCAAACAATTGCCATCGAATTCGGCCTTGTGGAGGATATGCGCATGCCATCGCAGCCGGCCTCATTTACTGATTTCCTATAACCCTCCGTCATCCTGCGACACGCGCTGCCCTCTGGTTGGCAATCCCCCCGACCAACAACCCTTGATCCGAGTTAGATCTTACCCTCGAGAAGCACCCGAGAAGGCGACGACGACGACAACGCGCAGAAGCCACAGCGGCCCCGAAGCTCTGCGGAAGCAGTGGAGGACCTCGGACATTGATGGCTGCCTTTGTGAGAGAGAGAGACCCTCCCCGAACCACCCCCACCCCCGACCCCGCCTATCCCCCTTGCCCTGTAGTCTGTTCGTCATTACGGAGCAGCCTACGGATTCCCAGAGCTATCAAGCGCACCAGCTCCGCCTTGTTCCGCCGTGGCCGAGAGAGACAGAGAAGAGAGAGACGTAGATGGGATGTTGGGTGTCTGTCTGTCTGCCATTTGGTTCAGGTCATTAGAGCTGAGCTTGGGACAGCTGCTGGCAGCAGATGGCTAGCTCACAGACAGACTGAAAGACAGACGGACACAGCTACCCTGGCACGCCTGGCTGTCTTGCGTCTCTGTGCCTCTGTCTTTCTGCTCAGCTGCCTCTGCGCTTTGGCATCCTTCAACGCATCAGCCACGTCATAATTAACCTTTCCGCTCGTCTGCTCTCTACCTAGCATTTCTTTCCCATCCTCACACATCACACACATTGCATTTCACCCCAAATGGCATCTTCTCTGCACACCTCATCCCCCCTCCGGCCTCATTGACGGACGCTTGCAACGGCTGCATCCATCCATCTACACGCCCATCTCTTTCAACCTAACGGCCAGGCTGACCATTCTGTTACCTGGTGCAGGATACGCCCTGGCTAGTCCACATGTCGACCCCAAAAGCCCACCGCGGCGCCGACGCCGACTTCGTTAACGATCCCTCCCAGGGCCCCGGCTTCGACGGTACCCCCTCCGGTGCGCCTCCAACATACGCGACATTCTCCCCAGTCACCCTCGCCGCAACCACTCCGAGCCGATCCTCCCGCCAGTCCACCATCATCGTTCATCAAAAGTCGCCCCTCCTCCTGGCGACGCCGCCGCAAATCACCCGCGCATTAGCATACTCGCATCCTTTTCTCTTGCCCCTCAATAAGCTAGCCGGGTTGTTGACATGGACAACCAACGATCCGTGGGAGAGCTTCCTTTTGCTAGCCTCCTTTTGGGCCATTGTCCTCTATGGCGATATTGTTGTGCGCGTGGCAGGACCGATCGTCGTTGTCCTGACGTTGATACTGGGCATGTACGGCAGGCGCTTCAGTCCGCTGAGCAGTAGCGGATGGACAGAGCCGGCTTCCAAAGATCCCACCAGCGCGCAGAGCGCTGGGGTAACAGCCGGAGGCAAGGCACAGAAGTCGACGCCCAAGAATAGTACCGCCACGAGCACGGCCAAGGGTCATCAACGGGGCGAGTCCGAGGCGACGAACACAAGGCACCAGAAGACGTTGGACGAGATTGTTGAGACATTGAAGGAGTTCACGGGACGATGTAACCTCTTGCTCGAGCCGCTCCTTGAATTGACCGACTTCCTGAGCACCCAGCGGACCCCGACGTCTGCCACGACACGGCCGGCCTTGACAACCCTGTTTGTTCGAATCTTGTTTTGCACGCCCATTTGGATAGCCTTGACGCTCCCACCACTACGCATTATCACGACTCGACGGGTAGCTCTGCTTTTCGGCACTCTGCTGCTGACATGGCATGCTAGATTCTTGCGAGTCGCCCGGACGCTTCTTTGGCGGAGCGCTACGATCCGCAGGACGGCGGCCCTGGTCACCGGCTTAACATTTGAGAAGCCCGTCAAGGCTGTTCCTGTCCAAATAACGGCTGCAGGGAATGGCAAGGTGCAGTCCAAGCCAGCAATATCTGAGCTCACCAAGGCCCTGCGCAAGCAGTCTCACAGGCATGGTAACAATGCCACGAGCAAGGACGCGGGTGTAAAGTTCACCTTTATTATATACGAGAACCAGCGACGTTGGGTCGGCCTGGGTTGGACACAGAGCATGTTTGCCTATGAGCGATCAGCCTGGACCGACGAACATAATAACCCCGTGCCTTCGCGAGACACTTTTGAGCTGCCCGAGGTTGAGGATGGAAGTAACATGCGCTGGCGGTGGGTCGAAGGAAGCAAATGGAGGGTCGATGGGGTTCCGGATGACGGGACCGAACCCGTCGACTATGACGGAGAACCTGGGAAGAATGGATGGATCTATTACGACAATAAGGTGAGCTCCGGTTCTTGTGGCTGAGCGCAATACACTTGTGACTAATACATGCCGGCCAGTGGCAAAACGGTCGCCGCGGTGCCGACGGATGGGGGCGTTGGACACGGAGGAGAAAGTGGTACCGCGACGCCGAGCTGGTGGAGGTTTCGGAGGACGAAATGGCACACGAACTGGACGCTGCGCAAGCACCGAATTCTGCCCGGCCCGGCTCGCCCACGTCAGGACCCCCGGGCCCCGCCTTGACGACGCAGAGGTACAGCACGCTCGAAGAAAAAATGGTTTCCCCTACTACGCAGTCTGCGCAAGACCTGCCACTATCAGATAAGGACCTGGAAAGAGAAAAGGACGACACAGCATCGACTCTCTCGACGAGTTCTGGCGGACGGTCATTTTTCAGGGCGCCATCACTGCGAAGGAAGGTTACGGATAAGAGCGTTGCCAGCAAAGCCGACAAAGAGCAGGATCGAAGTCGTCGGGCGAGTGAGGCCAAGAGCGAAGAAGAAGCTGCGGCGCTGGGTCTGAAGTTGAATCTCGCTCTGCAGGGCAAGGAGGGCGGGCAATGGGGGATCGGCGATGAGGCCAGAATGAGTTTGGAGTAAACGGCGACCCTGTCCCGGGTTGGCTTAAGATTACGCACGAACGACCCCCCGCCCCTACTATTGATTCCTGATTGGGACGGTACGGTACGGTACGGCACGGTTTGGCATGAACGGCGTTTGTCGGCTGTAGATTATTTATGATTCGGCAGTGTATGATTTGGGGTATCTAATGAGACGGAAGACGCACGTGTTGTGTGTGAGTGTACCAGACACGGCAGCCTGCAGATGGGTCACTTGTTTTTGACATGTGGTTTGCGAGTAGGCAGGCGGGTATGCTTCCTGTGGGCAACGTACCTTGCGTACGGGTGTGACGACCAATATGCGTGATGAAGTGTGTGTTTGTGTGTGTGTGTGTTGGTCTCCACGTACTGGTCCTAGCTACATGTACAGGTCACTCGAAGTCGGCTGTCGGCTGGTTGGCAGGCCGAGTCAAAGAGGGCGGACGAATGTGAGTGGTGCACAGGCGAGCTGGGCATCAAGACACGGGGTCTTGGGTCCGGGGTAACGGGCCTTTGCTGCGGGGGGAGGGCCAGAGAAGGGCCAAGGTCGCAAGGGAGGGGGCAGGGCAGAAATAAATAGGTAATGGGAACATATCAAAAAGGGCTGAAGGGGGGGATGATGTGAGATGATGGATGGCTCAGGTGCGACGGGACGGGAATGGTGACGGGATCAGGTGGTCCGTCGCATGTCGGAAGACAGGGAGGGCGGAAAGGGAGAGAGAGAGAGAGAGCCCAATGCCTAATCAAGGGGTTCGGTCACATAATTCATGATGGCTAAAGTTTGGGCCGTTTGTCAACGTGTTGGTCCTTGGTTTGTCTACAGCCTACAGGAAGGTTACATCTTCCAGAAATGCCTTTTTCACGCAATATTTACTTCTCTCGTTGCAATTATTCACTTACAGTCGAATTTGTACAAACTTGTGATTGAGCATTAACCGCCTTACTACCTACTCCAACACTCCAACTCTTCAACGGCGGGCATTTCGCATGTCTTCGTTTTTAACCTCGGCACAATCCAAACGGATCAATCTTGTCAGCCTACGTCTACGACACCCCCGATCCCGATGGAGGCCGCATCGCGCCTCGCCTTGATGGCGATCGTCGCCCGGGCCGGAAGTCCGCAACAGCAGCTACGGCAACATCTACAGCAGCAGCGAACGCCGAAGCAGCATCAGCAGAGAGAAGAAAAGCCGGCATCGTGGAACGGGTCGACATGGAAGCAGCATCATCACCCTTTGGTCACGGTCGTCGAGTACGATGTTGAAGCGGGACTAGGGGAAAGGGGAGGGGGAGGGGGAGGGGAAGGCAAGAGATTGTTGGGGAACCACCGTGCTTCGGGACGACGAGGAAGCGCGGGCAGTTCGAGCTCGAGGTCGAGTGAGGGGAGCGATGGCGGAGAGACGGGTGCGATGGCTGCGGGAGGCGGATTAGAGGCGGTTGCGTGGTGGATTCTGATGGGGTTGGAGTGTTGTGTCGTTGGCGGCGTTGAGGGGTGGATTATTTACATGGTGTACAATGGCGGTGATTTTGAGATTTGGAACTGGTGAGTCCCCCCCCCCTCTCTCCCTCCCCCCATCCTCCTTTCCTTCCCATACAGCATCGAGGATCTCAACCATGGAGACATTTCATAGACTCATTCCATGCCATACAAACGAGCCTGGCTAACGATGACGGTACCACACAGGCTATCCGAGTTCGTGTCGCCGGCCCTGATGATCCTCCTCAGCGTCTCCCTCTCCGCGGCCCTCCTACGCGGGGTCGGCTGTCTGAACAGGCTTGGGGATTTGGGGTTCCAGGCGGCCGGCCTGGCCTTGGCCACGTTTTGCGCCGTTGTGGTGTGCGCTGGTGTGAGTGGTGTTGAGGAGGGGGAGGATGGCCGGTTGGAGAAGAAGGGGGTGCGGGTCCTTGTCGGGTTGGCTGTCAAGATGTGGTGAGCAATTTGTTCCCTTTTTTTTTCCCTTCCTCTATTTTTCTGCCGCTTTGTTCCCCATCACGAATGTCTTCACAGTGAGATATGTAGTCCGTTGGAGGCAGGGACAGTTTAATGGCCTGGCTGGACCGGACGGAGAGGATTGACTGACGATGATCTCCCAGGTTCCTCTTCTTCATTGGCCTACTGTGTGCCGTGTTCCAGTGGCACATTGAGGATCGGGAGAGGACCGTATCTATGACCAAGCAGTCGCTGCTGCCGAGGAAAGGCAAGAAGAAGGAGAGGGGGTACGGGACTATCTCTGGCGGATTGGCAACCGTCGACGAGACGTACGAGGGGTTTGTGAGCGACCTATGAGAGGCGCGCGGATGTTCTTCTCCCTTACTGATGATGATTTTTGCGACGAGCATATGCAGGAGCGCGCGCGCGCGCGCGTCTACACTACAAAGAGTTCCGAGACATTCCGATACCCCCTTTTTACCCGGCTCCTCTTCATCCGGCCGTGATTCCTTTTCGCGGCGCGGCTTTCATGATAGATACTACGATTCTGCTATACTAGAAAACCCTTTCTTCCATGTCTTAGTAGGAAATCTTTCCCACTGTAAAGCTACTGATATAAGATTACTTGTACCTATCTTACTGGCTGCTGCACCGCTTACCTCCTCTGGGGGCAGATTGACGTAGGACAACGTATTCTGCTAGCATGCTATCTGATTCGATTTCTTTGGATACCACAGCTGATCTTATCCGATAGCCATACATTAGCCAGACCACTACTCGATATCAGTCATCGCACTGCATTTGCACCCATGCCATGGACTGCAGCAAGCTCGCGTTCTATGTGGCGCGTCGGTATTGGGCCATCCTACTTTGCGAATTTGGGTTCGCTGGGTTGCTTGGCGGGTGACATGGATGAGGCTTTGTCGACTTGAGAACAAGGGGATGATGAAACGGTTAGACAGAGTTTAATCGGACAGCCAGGGTTCGTTCTCGGTGTTGGGCACCTCGCGGGTAATGAGAAGATGATTTTCACAATTTCACTATCCTTCTCATTTCGTCGAATTGTACCCCCCACCTACGCTTGGTGTTTTCTTGACTCGTATCATAATGGCTCCATGGACGATAGCTTCGTCTTTCATTGAGCTATAAAGATGGCTTGCTCACTCCGCTTCTTGTTTTACGTTCTGACTACAGCACGAGCCTCAGTTGCGAGTGGACTTTGGAGAATCTCCTGCATGTGATAGTCGAGGCAAGTAACGGATCCAGGACGCGACACGCTGCTGGCTTGGAATGTCAGAGACACCAAGTCATCGATCGCGGTGATCTGTGGAATCTCCCAAGGTCAGATTGTGGTGGTTCGGCAAAGCATTGAAGTCTGTCGTCTTTAACTTCGTCTGATGATATTGGCCAAACATGGAAGACGACGTGAATAACTGCTGGTCCCTGATCTTGACGTTACCCCTCTTTGATATACATTGGCTCTATTCCTACCGACTTTTGGGCACAAATCTTCCGTGTGGTCTTTTGGTCACCCAGAGAGGTGCTATTCGATCGCAAGCAAATTTCATCACTAACGCCATGCTTACCCCTTTATCCATCTCGATCCCATGGGCTATCTTGGTAACCGTGGTAAGTCCCCTTGTGTAAATGCCCCTAGAGGACACTGGCCAAAGTTCTCTCGTCAGGTAGGAGCCTTTGGCCAAGACGCTCCGAGCCCCGGCGCCCCGATCCCGGGCTACGGCGTCTTTGTCCCACGATGGCAAGTCCCCTCCCCCGACGGTAGCGGAAAGATGCTCTCCCTCCGAGGCACGATTGAGGAGGTGGCGGTCCAGATGCGCGATATACACCCGAGTCTCGACATTGATGACCAATTTGGCAAGATTGCGATGCCGGCTATCGGGAAGCGGGCGAGCTTTGAGGAAAAAGACCGGACGCTCTGTCACAATTTCAGGGAGGGCAACAGGACGGCTGCGCATCTTGGTATCGATGATCTGCGGACCCTGCAGGGGAAGCCTGAGAACGGGGCCGGCCCTGCGAATTGTGGACGGGTGAGTTGTCGCAGTAGCACGGGGATCTGGTGGTGCAACGACGTAAGCTTCTTCCCTCTTCCCACCAGAGTTGCTCATTGAATCTGGTAAGAGTTGTCGGCTGATTCGTTGGTTTTGATGTAGGCCAAAAGCTCCAAGCAGATTGATTCATTCGCAGACATTGCCGATGGCGCCCAGCTCTTGTTGTCAAAGTGCAAGGACAAGCTGAACGCCAACCAAGGAAAGGCCATGACCGTCAGCGGACAGGCTTTCCACAAGGATAACTGGAACGTTGTTGTCCGAGGCGGCGACAACTGTGATGATGCTGGTGTTAACATGCACCCCAAAGGTTCTCGGACTGTTCAGAGCGTAAGCGTCTTGGAGCAGTCTCATGCTGTAGCCTAGAAAAGCTCTGCTATCGCCATGTGGTTTTTGTGAACGAGGTCGTTGGAATGGAGCACAGAAGACGAGGACCCCGAGAGCTGTAGGTGGTTAAATAAAGTCAGAATGACTAAAGAAGTTCAATCCAGAGTTCAAACCCAACCGTTGATTATACTAGTTCACCATTTATCACCATCTGGCGTTGCGAAAATAGGTTTGAGCACGAAATACGGTCTTTGATTTGATATATGTTTCATGTTATTCATCTTCTTTTAATCCCCTGAAGAAGCCAGTGCTCTCCACTTCTCTGTAACCCTCCAGTAATGCCCGAAGCTCTCAAATGTGGGAGCCTACTATCTTTGCTCTTTGTTTCCTCGAGATGATCCCCCAGTAACGCATTCTTCTCATCTGGGTGTATTGCGAGAAGGGCAGGGAGAGGAGAGCCCTTGACAATCTCAATATCTAAGCCGGCAGTCTCAATCATGACAATTACTAGGGTCAGGATAGAGAGCCCGACCTGGGCCGCTAGCAGCGTAAGCCATGGCCATCGAATCGAGACGAATATCTCCTCTTGCCAGGCACTACCGCTGACATTGTCGAACAAGAGCCTGGATGACGTTAGTTGTTATTCATGGACATTGCTATATGTATTCTCGACCACCTACGCATTAGTGAGTCCACTGGCAATGTTCTCTGTAAGGTTGCGAAGGGTCGTGAACAAGGCGTCATCCAGCTTCTGAGATTCGTTGACGGCGTTAATGCCGATTTCGGCTCGGGACAAGGCCGTACCGTAGATTTGAGTCCCGTTCTGGAAATTGTATCCGCCGGTATTGATGTAGGTACCCGACAGAGTCGAGTCGAGAATCTGAGCAATCTCGCCAGGACCCATTCCGTCGGCCACAAATTTCTTGCCCGGGTTGTCTGGCGACGTCAAATAAGTCGCGTTGCGGGTCGTGTTGTAATTTTCCACAAACACTTCTCCCTTGTTTGGATTTGTGTATGAAGCCACCCTTTGCGTAACGGGAAGATTCTCCTCGACCGTGACCCTGTACGTGTTCACACACCAGTGCAGCATAATTTCGGTGGCACGTAGTCGGGGGCCGTACAGCACGAAGAAGTTCCAAATCTTGGCTGCCATGATGTCGGTGTTGTTGTACGATAGACTCGGGCCGCTGGAGATATTCAAATTGCCGTACCCATAGCTCCGTTGCAGAGTCAGGCCGTTGGGGAGCGTGGAATTTGTGCCCTCTTCGAAGGGGTCTCCATCAGTCTTCAGTAGGTCTGTGACATCTGGGACAGATTAGTCAGATGAGCAACAAATATAGTGGTGTGGCAAGCGACCCTACTCTTCATGTCGACGCATACGGCAAGCGAGGTGAAGTCATCCCAGGTACAGTTGTTTGTTCGGCAGCTGGCTTGATAATACGGCATTACCTCTGTAGGTGGGGTGTAGAGACTTCGAGGAATAATCTGGTTGATCGGGAACATGATATCTCCTGCCAAAACGTCAACGTCGAGGTTTCAGGTATCAAATGAGCGAGATGACCAACTTTGAGCATTGCCGTTGGCAGTCACCCAGAAATACTCATTATTCCTCAGAGTGAGTGCGGTTTCGTTGCCAGGAATGGCAACTTGACGAGTAGGGTAAGTGACAACGGATTGTGTCAACGTTGAAGTCGCGATTCCAGAAACCAGGATCACAGCTGAGAGAATCCCCACGAGTCTGCAACACCTCGACTCATCAGTACTCCGCTGTTCAATCACACTTCCTTGGCTTTGGTTGGCCCACATACCGGCCCTTGGTCCTGAGCAGCAACTTCAAGCTGCCCCATGGCCCGCGGCTGGCTTCGTCAAAGACCGCGAAGTCGCCCAGTGGTCTTGGCGACTTGTACCAGTTCCACTTGTACTGCGATAGGCTTTCAACCACTGGGAGAACGTACGAAGTGCGACAGAATGTGGAGATGAAGGCGACGACGGTGTTGAGCGTCAGACCGAGGGGCCAGTTCGGCAGCGGCTGGTTATCGTACGACCTCAGCACCGTGACGAGGACGATTACGCAGACAATGCTGATCATGCACCATATAATCTCCTGCCACCACCCTTTCAGCAATTGCCATCTCCGTCGCGGAGGTCGTCTTGTGTTGTTCCTCGTCTTCTCGGCGCTGAACATCTTTACCAGCTCGTAGTCCGTCTCACCGCTAGCAAAGGTCGACTTGGAGGGCAAATCTATCCCAACCTGTGTACTCTGCTGTTCGTCGGAGGTGCGCCTGCCCTCGGGCTCGTGATCCCAGTCGTAGACATGCGTATGAGCGGATGAGAGTAGCAGAGCCTCGTCGTACCCAAGCGGCGGAACATATGATGGAATCGGTTTCCGCCGCACTTGCCGCACATCGCCGTTCTGATCTCTCGGATCCATCACAAAGAATCACCTGCCACTTTGCCGCTCCCACGCATCTGGATGGTCGGCGTCTTGGTGTTGCCCTGTGCTGCAAGCTTACTATGTGTATCGAGATCGATCTGAAATTCTAACCCCTCATCAGAAATTCAGGTCTTGGGGGGGCCGGGGGTGTTTCTACTCCCTTATTTAGACTTGAAAGCTCCCAGAAACCGTCGTATTTTACCAACACGAGGGGTGCCTAAGTGCGAACTTGTGGAGTAAGCACTTCCCCAAATTAGTGTAGATCACCCACGCACTGTTGGATCCTTCATGCTGCGAAACATCTTTAAAATAGCTGCCTGGGCGAGCTGACAAGCTGGGTCTTATTGCTCGCCACTCGCTACGGAATAGCCCGACTAGCGCGGGGTACAAAGCCACTTAGAAAGTGGCTGATTGTCACAGAGAAGTCGACATTGCTTATAGACAGCCATTCCGTAGGTCTTCCGGGGCGTCATTCTTCGTGGGATTGCACTGATTTTACGATGGCTCGAAGCCTTCTTATCAGCGGCATATCTGGGGACAAAATAGACATAAATTGTTGCTTGAATGTAGTCCCTGTTCAACGGTGCTGTGGTCGAAAGTGGAGACCTAATTCGCAGGGAGTATCGTTGTGGGATTTTCCTTGATTTGGTGGCAGCAGTATGTTTGGCTACCTTACTCGTCGCTTTCTATGAGCACTTATCTAGCCTATTTATTTACACTTGACAAGCTCCTTCTTGCGAAATCTACGCAAACTTGACACCGTTCCTGGGGGTCCCGATATTAGTGATAGTGACTTCCACCTGATTTCCGGGTGTAAGCCATTTGGGAGGCTTTAAGCCTGCACCGACACCTGCCCAAGCCTTCAAGTCAGTCATAACGAGAAATCACCGGGTGGAGGCAGACCTCTTACCTCCTGGGGTACCTGTCATAATGACCGAGCCCTTTTTCAATGTCGTTCCAGACGATAGGTATGAAATGATGTAAGCACAGTCGAGGAGAAGATCATCAACACCCTGACTTTGCCTCAGTTCTCCATCAACCTTTGTCTCAAGATGGAGCGATTTGGGATCTCCAACAAGGTCAGGCCGAACAAGACAGGGTCCCAGAGGCGCAAATGTGTCGAATCCCTTGGAAAATCCCCACTGCGGTACGTTTCCTGCGAATACAGCATCGCGCTGTAGCTTTCTTGATGAAATATCGTTACCACAAGTGTACGCGGCAACATAGTCCAGCGCATCTGATACCGATACATCCTTGGCGTCTTGTCCGATGACAAGGCATAACTCGCCCTCATAGTCGGCCTGGTCATCCTGGCAGATCTTGGGAACGACTACATCTGCCCCGTGGTCTAGGACAGTGGTGCTGGGCTTGAAGAAAATGAAGGGGAATGGCGGGGCTCGCGGCCGGCCTCCCGGACTACTCAAACAATCAAGATCATACTTCTCCCGTCGTGCATCAAAACTCACTATGAGTAGCATAGTTTAAGCCAACACATCTGATGATGGGCACGTCTTCCTGTGCTAAGGGGCCGAGAAGAGTTTTCACTACCACAACCTCATCGGTGACCTTGGTTTTCCCAGAGGTGTCATAGATGTCAGACCCTTCAATAGCTTTTGCCTTTAATTTTGTCTCTTCCGTAGTGTTCCCCAAGTCAAATTCGGCATGAGGAAGTATGGGCTCTCCTCGGAGTACTCTTCCATCGCTTGCAACGAATCGAATGAGTCTTTGCCACGCTACCGACATTTTGACGAGGTGCAAGGAAGAAGTCGTCTAACAATAAGTGGACAAGGAATTTCATAGATTATGCTGATGCCCACACAGAAAATCAAATCGGTTTTGTGACGATGATACTACGCATCCCATTGTGCCCCGTGCTATCTTGGTGTCGAGAAATGCCGTCACGCGAGCCGCTTGATAGTGGATTGGAATCGGGGATAGAGAAATCTCCCCGCTAAGATTTGCAGCGACATTATGACAGTTAGCCTATCCGCCTTTAGGGACGATTCCGACATACTTCAGCCGGGAATCATTACAGCATGGAGGTTTGTGGGGGAAGATCACCAAATGCGGGGATCCGGGGAGTTGAGGCATAGTTTATCAGGGAGATTGCCATCTTCATCCCATAGAAAGGGGCACGGGACGCAGCCGACGTTTGTTTGTAAAGGCTTGAAGCTAAGGGGGCCCTTTCTCATATGAACCATCGGTTGCGAGCGGACTCCCAATGAGGTAGCACGGTGATTAATACTTTGAGTCGAGAAAGATCTTCCCGTCTGCACATTGAACCTCGCTCTACCTCACCTCAAGCTATTTCAAATGCCCGCGGCAACGGAAGTCAGCTGGCCTGTCTCGCAGAACCTGTTTGTTCGAGCTCATAATTCCGACAGCGGGACTGGACAGCCAAACGGCCATCTCGGCGAGGAGCCGAACAGCAAACAGCACGATGGACGCCCTGGCCACCAGAGACCACTATCAACATCATATCCTTCCAATAGCCTCAATTTCCTTCGAGGCACAGATTTCAGAAAGGACGAACAGACGTCAGAGAATGGCCAAGCAGCATTGATGACTCTTGAAATCCTCGTTGTTGGAGCCGGCCTTGGGGGCCTTGCAACCGCAGTCGCTCTGGCTAAGAGTGGACATAAGGTTACCGTCTTGGAACAGGCTGCCCAGTTAAATGAGGTAAGGTCTTCTGCAGCCGACCTCTGGAACATTGATTGAAGCTAGCGGAATCATCTTCTCATAGTGATAGGTTGGTGCTGGCATCCAAATCCCGCCAAAATCGAGCAAACTCCTCCAACGATGGGGGGTTATGGACATCCTATCAGAACAGGCTGTGCGGCCCGACGGCATATCATTCCGTCGCTGGGATAACGGTCTACGCATCGGCTTCACTGATCTCTCAGAGTCTTTCATCGAGCTCTGCGGTGCGCCGTACTACGTCGCTCATCGTGCTCACCTGCATTCAGCTCTCTATCAGCGAGCAAAAGATCTTGGTGTTGCGGTCCGTTTGGATAGCAGGGTCTCTAGCTACAACCCTCACATACCATGTGCAACACTGGCCAGCGGTCAGACTTTTTCAGCAGATCTCATTGTTGCTGCTGATGGTGAGCGCACCTACTTTAGTCCCTGGATTAACGGGTTTAATCAAGGCTAATATTTGGTTGTGACAAAGGCGTCAAGTCCGTGGCCCGAAACTTGCTCCCCTCCAACCAAGTTGGCGGGCTGAACTATACAGGGTTCGCCGTTTACCGAGCTACCGTGGATGTCGGCAAGATGAGAGCAATCCCAGAGATTGCCTGGATTCTCGAGAAGCCCGGATTACATGTCTGGTAAAGCTATTAGCAATCGAATTCACTGCATACAATGAGCTAATAACCAGTGATAGGATTGGCGAAGATCGTCGCGTCATGACTTACACCATTGCTGCCGGTGAATCTTTCAACATGGTGTTATCTCACAAGGAATCGAGAGATTCCTCTACTTGGGAGCAAAAGACCCAAACAGAGATTCTTGAAGAGATGAGGGCGGAGTTCCGAGGTTGGGATTCGCAGTATGTCCCAAATCCAAAATGCATTCACTCAAATTGCTAACACGTCATAGACTTACAAAAATTATTGAACTGATTGACACCACTATCAAGTGGCCTTTAATGACAGGCTTACCTTTGGAAAACTGGGTTACGGATTCCGAACGTCTTGTTATTCTTGGCGATGCCGCACATGCGATGCTTCCCTACATGTCCCAGGGAGCAGCCATGGCAGTCGAGGACGGCGCCGCTTTGGCTGTTGCCCTCAACAAGATGGCAAGTCTTGAACAACTCGGTCTTGCTCTTCGGATATTTCAAAAAGAAAGGAAAATAAGAACCTCGATGATGCAAGAGGCAAGCATGGTGAACGCTCTGTTGTGGCACTTCAAGGATGGCCCCGAACAGAAGGCTAGAGATGAGGCAATGCGTCCTGAAGTCGAGGGTCGCAAGTTTTCGAGCAGTCCAAACCAGTGGTCTGATCCCCTTACACAGTCATGGGCTTATGGTTATGATGCAGAGAACAAGATGCTGGAGCAATGGAGACGCGAAGCTGACGCGTGAGAAACTTTGTCCTGGAAACACTTCAAGGTTTCGTATTACAACAGATTGTGTGGAGAATCTGGGCAGACAGCGAGAGTATCAAAGGAAACTTTCATTGAGATGTAGCGTATTTCGAAGTCCAGTTAGGAAGAGAGACGTCCTTTCAACTTTCCGTGTAAGCTACATGTAAAATACCAAGGTCTATTGACACTTAAATTGAACACTAGCTGGGGAATCCAAAGCTGTACTAAGATGGCTTTGAAGGACTTCAGGGCGACTGGCCCCTTCTGAAGTATGGGTGCATGAGTCGTCCTCAAGCATATCCACGTTAATAACTACAATAGTAATCCCTCTGATGACTCCAATCTTGTTATGAGAGGGAAAGACTTTCATTCGGCCGCTGTGCAGATTTTGAAGCAAACAGGACACTTAATTTGCAAGAATGGACTTCGTAATTCAAGTGACCAATACCAAGTGTCTATTGGCCTACCAAAACAAGTCTCCTGTAGCAAAATCGTCCATCAACTCGGACATTGAGAAGTTTGCGCTAGTGTTGGGGAAATCGTTGAAGTTGGGAGGGAAATGGTTCATCAGGTTTGAAAAGGCTTCATCCGTTCCTGCATTCGACGGTATTTGCGTGGCCTGCGTATTGTTACCTTCATCCGAAGGAATTGTATGGCTTGGTAGCATGTCCCGCACTTCCCGGGAGGCATCTTCACGTCCCGGAACTTCGCTGAAGTCAGTCTTTGCATCTTTCCTAAGCAGGCCCAGTCACTCACTCATTTGTAAACTCTGTACCATGAAGATCAACGTTGCTGTAAATTTTGCGCACTTTTCCACCATCGGGTTCTGGATGTCTAATCGTGCGATGCAACTGACGGCGTTTTTCAGTATTTCATCCAGCCGTATAGCCGTGCTTGTGTAGCCTTGGTCGAAGGGCATAGACACATATTTGTCCTCAACCAGCTTCGTCGCAACGATAGTCAAAGAGGCATTGAAAGCTAATGATGAGATCAGCCAGTATTCTCGCAGAGTCTCAGGCATGCGAGCAGCTCACTAAAGTACAGGCTGAACCACCATGCTCCAAGAAAGGAGAAAGCAGGCTGTACATCGTTTGCGAGTTTGCAAGCTTCAACCAAGCGGATGATAGCTTCCGCAGAGCGCAGGCACACTGTTCTGCTAAGATGCCAGGCCTGTTGGAGCGTGGCGACTTCTTGAGGTGACTGGGGGCTCCCGTCGAGAGATTGTAGGCACCGGTCTAGTATTGGACGATGCGATAGTAAATGCAAGTTGTGATATCGGAGTGACAATATCACACGGAACTTCAACAAAATTATCCTCCCATCGGGGTTGGCGACTTTACTTGGTTCAACAAGCTGCATCGATAGAGGTAAAGATGCTTTCCAATCTGCTAGCTTTTGCCCGATGTGTATCACCTTAGCCACAGTGTTCGTCAATGGGATGGTCGATATTGACCCAATGTTGCTTTCGTAGAGATCATCAATGACGGCGGCGGTAACTCCGTATAGCGTTCTAGAGAGACAACAGTAAGTCAAAATCAAACCAGAGGGAGAATGGGCGATGAACGAACATGCATGCGTTCCAAAATGTAGTGCTACCTTCTTCGCCAGACCATCTGGAGATCTCGGATGTCCTGGGATGCGATACGAAGTGTCTTGGTAGAGGTAACCGAATATAGTTCTGCGGAATGATGGGGGGGCGGCCAAAGGTCATACTCAATGTTCTATACGTGTGTTGAATAAACAATCCCATTGATCTGACATCTGGAGTATTCTTCGATGTTACTGACCTGTCAAGAACGACGCACCCATACCATGTGCGTATTCTGATCTCCCGTTCGAGTGGATCGAATCTTTGAAGGGCCAATTCGGATTGGAATCCCAACTCGAGCGCAGCTTTTACAGCAAGGCCGTGTATGGCCCATGTTTGGATCGACCTCTGGCTTCCCTGAAGGTACTGTGACATAAGGAGCATAGCCTGGACTTTCAGAAGACTAAAGTTAGCTGAAACGAATGTTGCTGAACCATAACACCACAAGATGAGGAATGCCTCGCAGCAAGGAAACAGTAAAGACGATACCTGCTTCTACGTTGGCTCCAGTCATCATATCGGTCATGAATAGTGCTTTGGCTCGCCGGTAATAGACCTCTGACATTGCCTGCCGGTCGCCTAGGCCGACTCCGGAAGCGTTCATGGTGCTGGTAGCCATGGCAAGAATCATGTGTAATAATGCACGCCAGGCGATTTTCGCATTTTGCATGCCACCTGCTCGGTAATGCGCATAAGCTTTCCAGAAACTTTCTTCGTGTATATAAGGGAATAGAAGACCCGTGTCACGGAAGAACTGGCGTACGAGGCTGACCACTTCTTCTTCCGGTGGCAGACGGGATGCCTCAGAGGGCTTCTCCAGTTTCCTTATGTCGAAGGAGTCAGTGACCGGGGACCGGGATCGGGAGACAGCCAGAATGTGTTGTTGTGCATGACTTGTAGGTGTTGAGGAAGTCCCACCCTGTTCATCTCTCTGGGTCTTGTGCAGTAGGTGGTCGAGGGTGCGGCGGATAATCCTCGTGAACGCAATATTGGATGAAGGCCCTGGGCGGTAACAGAATCAGTAGAAGTTAAAGGAACATCCAGGATCACAACCACCGAGTCTAGTCTGTTCTTGTCATACCGAAATACGCCCAAGTCTCATCTGTGGTGAATTCAATAGTACCGACGCCGTCTGTTGCGTCTGGGGTAATCCCCTGCGTAATGCTCCCATCCTCAACATTCAACGACTCCTCGGGATGAGTGGCTTCTGATAGACCACCGGTGTGACCGGAAATGCTACGTGGGAAGAGGACATGTTGTTTCTCATGTGGAAACGAGCTGGGTAAGAGTCTCTTTAATCGACTGACTTCTTCTTCGACATCAGCTAAGCGATTTTCGACTTGCTCGAGGTACCTAGTCACAGAGTAAGACAAATTCTTCAATGGTTGTTTTGAAGATCCACCAGACGTACTGTTTTGGTACCAGCGCATTGCTTCCACCCGAGTTGGCTGCGTAAATACATTCGATACCTTGCTCGACACAAGCGGAGCATTGAGGCCTAGCACCGTCGCACTATTTCCAAGAATTTCTGATTAGTTTTCGATGACTATAAAATCAGTCTCGTCTGGTGAGCGGGATCTTTCCGTCCAGGCGAGATCTAGCAAACTGGTTCCAAACGGCGAAGTTGTCCGAGGATATCGCACCTACCCTTGACTTCCGAGAGCGACATGCGCTGCAGGCAATCGGAATCCGCTTCCGCTTCCGAGTCGACGTGCCTGTTGGCCCCGGAGTGCTGCTATCCATTTCCCGGGGAAGTCCTCATTCAGCTGACAAGTTGTATGGCACGATACGGCATAGACAGGCAGAGGCGGGGATTTAGAGAGACAGGTGGTCAAGTCCCCGGTGTAGTTGAAAAGGGATGACGGGGAGTTAGGGAAGAGGAGCGAACTCTAAAAGCCGTACGCCTCATACTTAAAGGCTGTGCGGCGCCGATTAGCGTAGTGGTTCGTGTCCTACCTAACTAGAGCCTCCGACCTTGCCGCTTCGGACAAGGCCTTAACTCCCCGTTTGCGTCTGTATTGCTTTGTAACATCGCCATCCCGTCGACGGTATTGGCGAAGCGCGGTCGATGTTCGCACGGGATGGGAGGTCAGCAAACGCCCGTTGGTCGTGTGCTTTTCGACCAAGTCATAAACACATCTTTCCGACACTGAATCAGTGCTAGTCAAGAACCGTCCAAGGAAAGAAACAGCAATCAGTCCCTTGTCAACCAAGCAAGGTAACATCGTAGAATACTGAAGATCCGAACTTGAGCCATGTCTTTGAGAACGGTCACAGAGGCTTCGCACCAAGCCGAGGTGGCTGAAGATAACATCGCAACGATGTTGCGCGCCGCCGAGGCCAACCACACAAAGCCTCTCTGGCTCCAAATGATCAAACTAAACCCCCCTCTGCCCAACCCACGGTGCACACCCCATCTTTGGAAGTATTCGGAAATCCGACCCACCCTCTTGCAAGCGGGTCAACTTGTTACTGAGAAGCAAGCTAAGCGTAGGGTGCTAATGCTTGTGAACCCTTCCAGAGGTACGCAGCCCGTGTCAATGGAGCTTTAGGCATGTTATTCTTGAATCTGTTTTGTTCCTGACTCAAAAACCCAGATGCTCCCTTCACCACTGACACTCTCTACGCTGGGCTGCAGCTGGTCATGCCCAATGAGACAGCACCGGCGCATCGACACACGGCTTTCGCCATGCGCTTCATCATTGAGGGCAATGGCGGCTTCACTGCCGTTCAGGGCAAGCGCATCCATATGGACCGGGGAGATGTAATCTTGACCCCCACTTGGAATTGGCATGATCATGGAAAGGATGGGTCCGGCCCGATGATCTGGCTTGATGGCTTAGATTTGCCCAACTTTACTCACTTCCCTGTTCATTTCGTGGAACGTTTCTCCTCTCCACGATACCCGGCAGACAATGTGGACACATCTCAGTCACCCATCGTCTTCTCGTGGAGTAGGATGAAAGCAGCACTTGATGCTAAGGAGGGCCAATATGCCACGCGAAGTTATCTTCGTGCAGATGAATCTGAAGGTACCGTACCTGCTAAAAAATTCGTCCTATCGCCATGCTCTGACTGACTCACACTATGCTCCAGTCAGCGAGGTTCTAGGTGGCCGTGCAGCCCGCTTGGCCTCCGGTGCCAAGTCCCCTCTGGTTCAGGAGACTGCTTCATCTGTTTACCATGTCATCGAGGGCTCTGGGCGTTCTCGTATCGGTGACACAGATCTCATCTGGAAGAAGGGAGACACTTTCTGCATTCCTTCGTGGTATGCCTATGAGCATTTTGCGGATGAGGGACTTGAAACAGATGTATACCTGTACCGTTTCGATGACATGCCCATGCTGAAAAGTCTGGGGTTTTACCGCTCAGCTGACATGGATGTGGAACGTCTTGTGTCGACCTAAGCGGATTCGTTCATTTACATGTTTACTTAACGAAATTAGAAGAGTATGTTATGACATGAAATATGTATCTGAAAATTGAGGGCTAAGATAGGATTCACAAGCTAACAAAGTTTGCTCTTGTGCGCCAGAGAACAATTCAAGGACAATTCAAGCACAAAGGCACCTTGTCGCCAGCAATGTGGTGTCAAAGATTCTGCGTGCCAATGTTGATAGATGACATGCCATCTCTATCTCCATCGCGTCAAACCTGTCAAGTTCAATGTAAATTATGTTGTGGCCGTCACGACTCGGCGCTAGACTATTCCTAATTGCTGTCCGACGAGATGTTTTAGACGAAATTCGTACATCTCTGTATCCCGTCTGACACACCATCCTCTTAGCCTAAGAAAGAAATGCAGTCTTCCGAATGATTATATCACTTAGAAATAGAGGGAAATTACCGGTAGATACACCGCCTAGAGAATTCCGGCCATGGTACCAAACTGCGCATCAGGGCCCGTCAGTGCCATCCAGCTGGTCGCCACGTAAGAAACTTCGAACCGACGAATTCTTAATGAAGTCCACCAAGAATACAATATGGCTTGCTCGAGGTGACATAGTCTCCATAGCGTATTTAAGTAGGACGTTTGCCGAGCAAGGCAGCCTTGTGGCCAGCATGCCATATCCAACGCTGACCTACATCCATTTCTCTGGTGATGCGAGCCCGTATCCAAGGAACAGACATCCAACCGGACGTATTAGACCTCCAATCATCACAGTTGGCAACCTTAAAGGAGGATCATATCTTACGCCGTTGTGTTACATAGCTCGATTGAAAAAGTAGTCAGCTCATGCGCCTCCGTTGGGGAGGCTGATCATTAAATCAATTAATGGATCGATCCTGAGTAACCCGACATCTCGAGCACTCCATAACAGTGACGGGCGGCTGTATACCACCGAAACCACGATGGAGACAAGGACACTATAGCCAATGGTGGAACTAAATACCAAAGTTGTGACGATCACCTGTGGCGCCGCAAGAAGTTGTGTAGGCTGAATCTAGCTCGATGCGGCAAGCTTTCAGTCCGTATCGACGTACGACATCGAGAAAGAGCGCAGTCTTCGCTAGTTTCCTAGTTCTTTGGATCCTGAATATCCTCGCTGGTTGGCGTTTTCAAGTTCGGCGAAGGTCGGGCCCAAGGGTATACCTTTGGAATTGTCGCCAGTAATGGGACTAAGCTCGACTTCAGTAGTATTCGGCGAGGTCGTGGGAATCTCCGGTAGCATGACGAGTGATTCGACAAATTTTATTAAGGTCAGCGTCAATGGATCGCGGAAGTAGCATCTCCAGTCGCCGACGCCGTCTGCTACAACTCCCGAGATGATCAGTCTCATAGATGAGCTGGCGGCTAGAAGCCCATTATGGACAATCATTGCCCTTGCTAGCTAATTATTCGGCAAGACCTCTCCAGCGAAGCTTGGTACCAAAGTCTCAATAAGCCCGCCATTAAGCCTGCTAAGAGCTCTGGACGTTCCCAAGTCATTGAATATCAATGCTTCCCCTGACCAAAGGCAGAAGACGAAGAACATGACAAGAGAAATGATGATGGTATATCGCGTATTGCTTGCGAAGCTGATGATGTCAATAAATTGTTCAACCCGAGTACATCAATCACGCTTAACAAGACGCTCGACTCCATTGTGAAATCATCCGATGTTGACATGATTGAAAATCTACGACGCATGATATTGGAGGATTTTATGCAAACCTAGTTCGATTGTTTGGAAAGATGCTTTCACGGGCTCTTGCTATTTCCGCTCAACACCGGTTCCGCAGTGTTCCATCTACTCCAGCCTTCCCCTACACAGGCCATGTCTTTCCTTACGAGACTTTACGTAACAATACGTAGCGTACCATTGGTCTAGTAAGCCATTCCGGGGGGCACGTATCCACGGAGAACGGTTATAACCCTGGTTGCTACCCCGCATCCGCAGCGGCCCGCGTGCATACCGTAGACCGGGTCATAGTGATTTGCTTCCGTGATCTCGGAGTCAAGCTGGGGAGGCGGGTCATGTTAGATACTTGCCACATTGGGTGTGATTCATATAGCAAGGGCCTTGCCTTGATTCAGGATAGGTAGTGCTACACAGCTGTGTCTAGCACGTCAACCAATCGAGTCAGTCGGTCGTTCGTAAGCAAACTCGACCACTCCCAAGGCTATGCTATATGACGGTATGTTATCAGAAGGTTTGCTGTTCTCGTCGATATCTTGATATCTTGTGCTGGGATATGAGCCTTGCCGGCTCAGGACTCATCCCAGCTCTGCGAAATGATAAAGACGTCGTTTGGACGTGACGTGGATACAGCACAGAGGAAAGAGTGTTCTGTGAAGCCTCAGAGTCCCATAATTCTCTTCGTAACATCAAGTTGCTGCATGAATTCATTCTCGAGCCTTTTGCCCTCATCAACAAGCCCTAAGCAGGCTTTCAATTTCCAGCTCCTCTCCATGGGCTTGATAGAAAATCCACCGTTCTTAAGCATTCATTGCCACTAAAAAGACGCTTTTTTCCGGTGCATTCTTCAGTCCCAATACCGTCTCATAAGCTAAGACTTGGAAGCGGGCAGCGAAGATTTTCTCGAACATCACCCCAAGTTCGTGACACGTGATAAATGCAAGATAGTCAATGCTCGGCAAAACTTCTTATTACTGACAGTTGAGTATATCGTATAATTGTCATGATCTTTATAATTCACCAATGGAGAATTTGAGGCGTTTGTCAAGGAGGTAACTATAATAGCGCAGAGACGGTCCTCGACAGATTCAATAACACACTGTGCAAAAGTCCTGGTGATGTAATATTTTATCTGTTTAGCAATATCAACAAAAGTGGGCTTCATGAGTGACTGGTCATATCTCAAAGGTCTATGCCATGTCCTTAGCAACTTGAACGCAGAAACCTGTTTACCTGCTCAGGCTTCTATCGATGCACCACACCTTTTGCAACACAGGCGATCCTATGTCAGCAAACCTATTGATTGATCCCTTGTCTGTTATACACATGGTAATACTATGAACCATGATTGAGGGTTCCTGTCGTAAATCGAACAGAAGGGGGGTGCACAGAAAACTCCGAAAAACCTGAAAGACGGTGAGCTAAGAAGCTCAGCAATATGAGCAAGACCGATGAGAGAATTTCGGGGAAGGAGAAATTTATGAGAACGAAGCATCTCAATACCGACTTCAAAGCGGCATGATATCTAGAATTTGAATAACCACCCTCGTCACTTGCGCTGTCTAGCATTGCTAGCCGCTAGGGGTATTCGGACACAAGGTGCTCTCAGCAAGAAGGGCTGCATTTCATTTCCAAAAAAGACATTCACTCAGTCGCTCGCCAGATTTTGGAATCTTAAGTATCAAAATCTTTGGAAATATTGAGAGAATGTCGATCGCGAGCTTCGTGGCCTTCATTAAAACCGCTTGCTCGTTGCAAAGGTCATGCTCGAAGCAGCTGGTTAAGGCGAGCCGCCCTTTTCGGCAACGGTTTCGCAGCCAATCAGTTGAAAGACAAATGAAGTAGTGTATTGAGTCATTTGACACAGGGCAGTTGGACTTCATTCTCCCAGGTGCAGAGGTGTTGCATGGTAATATCCATGGTCAAAGGCTCTGCGCTCTGGTCTACTAGCGTCGAAGCAACATGTCGGATTGCACTACACTCCTCTGGGAAGCTATTGATTGATGTGCCCTCTGTTATTCTCAACGATGGACTCTTGCATAGACATGTTTGGAGCAAGCCAGACGCTCATTTCGGCCGAATCCCAGGCCTTTTCTGTGGCCCTTGAGAAAGCCTAGCTCAGGGAGCGAGCGCTAACCTCAGATAACGAAACCTGCAACGATTTGTACAACGAGAGTTTTTCTTACGTTTTCCTTCCGCTATGGTAGAAAATTGCCGGGGACCCTCCTTTGGGCCTTATCTCGGCTAACCGCTAAAGTTAAGAAGAAGCGGGAGCTAGTACGACCGAAGCGGGGCCCGACCGTGTAAGTTGAGCGGTGCCGAGAAGTGGGGTTCCGGAGGCCACGACTCGGTATCCTGACCGTGTACGTTAGGAAGAGCCGGGTCGGGATGAACGAACTGCGCCGGACGAAAAACTTTGCTGCCGCTAGTTCTCGGGGCCCGGTTTGATTCACAGAGGCCATTACCGGTGCTAGGCTGGCTGATTTGGTGTATAAGTAGCCATCTCTCCCCTTCCTCGGTGAAAAGGGGTTTCTTCCTGCCTCGTTCATCTGATCTTCGTCTTTCCTACAAGCGATATCAAAGCCAAAGTTACCTATGCCACAAACGCATTTCATTTTCACCTACCCCTCTTCTGCAATACCCAAGACCACAATGTGGTCTGCCGCGCCCAAGATGCCTCTTGACATCAGGATCGACGATCACTACTCGTCCAAGATCTACACTAGCGGCTCCCAAATCACAGGCACAGTGGTCGTCTGTCCGGACAGCCGCATTCCTTTCCATTGTATCCAAATAGCTCTCATCGGCACCTCTTATACCCGGGTCGACATGTTACCTGTCCCCAAGACAACTACCGATGTCTTCCTCAATCTGGACATGCCCATTACGAAGGCTTCTTACCCTCCGGGACAAGCCTTTGTTGCTAGGGAGACCCACAACATCCCATTCAACTTCACCATACCACGCAAGCTTCAAAAAGACGTGTGTGAGACTGCTTCAGGCGAGCATTTTCACGATCATCACATGCGACTCCCTCCGTCGATGGGTGGCTGGGAAAAGGACGACATGTCACCAACGATGGCTCAAGTCGATTACAAGATAGTCGCTCGACTGCTTCGAAACAGATCCTCCAATCCGAAAAATGTCATCGAAACCAATCAACGGATCATGGTCCTTCCAGCCTTCGCTGAAGACCCGCCCCTGAGCCTCAACAACCATGATGCTCGGTACACGCTCTCCAGGACCAAGTCCGTCCGCCGAAGTCTTCTCTCCGCCCAGAAAGACCGCATCTTCATCAATGCGCTTCAACCCGAAGCAGCCTACATCACCATTGGTGGCCATCAACTCCCCGAATCTCACCCCTCGGCGACACTAGACCTGACCTTTGAATCTACTTCCTCATTCTCCTTTCCGCCGGAAGTGACCCTAGGTCAGCTCAAGCTAGAAGCACAAACGTGGTTCACGGGCACACCCATGAAGATGTTACCCGACCTGGGAGACTCCCGTGAGGCGGCAGGGCTGCGCCACGAGCTGCGATACTCTACACATACCAAGCTCTCTACGACTGATACGGGAGTCATCCTATGGCACAAGGCCGATTCGGCTGAAGGTTGTAAGGTGTTTTCCTGGCGATCGAGGACAAAGGTCCCGATTCGTCTCCCTACGGCACATAAGATATTCCTGCCCACCTTCTTCAACTGTTTCATTGCTCGAAGCTATATCTTGCATATGACTATCAACTTCAACGGCTCGAAGACCAACCTTTCTGTTCCACTGCAGATCGCATCGCAGTCGCTTTATCCCCAGGTTTTGGAGCCAGAAGTGGAGGACCTGCCATCTTTCGATGCATCTCTTGCCTGGAGATAATCGACAGCGGATGGTTCCCCTTTTTGTTCTTCTCCTTTTTGTCACATGTTTACATGAAGCTTGGAAGGCGTATGTTATGGTTACCGCGATGGATATGGGAGCTCTTCTACGGAAGGCTGCAGAATGATTGGAATGTAGCGTTACACATTGATGCCGAAGGTTGCTTTGTTTAACTTTTTCTCCGACAGATTGGACTTTACTTCTGACGGAACTTTTACACCGGGGTCTACATGTCGGTAGCGACTGGTATAGTATTTTTTTCCGGTCTATGTTAGGCGATTAACTACTTGTGTTGAGCCAGAGACCAACCGGGGTGAATGATCCGTGTTGCGTCCTTGACTCCTTCTCGTTAGAGTCTCATTATTATTACTAAATCTATACTGAATCCCCATCGTCGAAAGCCTTTTCCTTTGGACTCTTCTTGTTCTTGACACTTCCCGCGGTCCACTGGCGCATCTTCTTGCCCCAGAAGTAGAGAAGCGGCAATCCAAGAGACAAGACGATGATTGCCTCTGCATACAGAGCGAATGTTTGGAGGGGTCCTTTCTCAGCGATCCATACAGTCGCCTTCGAGGCGATGAAGAACGCGATGACAATGCGGAGTGAAGAAACATTGACAAGAACCGGTCTATATTTGTGTTAGTCGTGCATTATCACGAAGGTAATTGGATTTGGACGTACCCTGCCCATTGAGGGTAGCTTTCGACAATGAAGACGTTGAGAATGGTCATCGTCGTCAAGAAGGCGAATACAATCAAGAAGGAGCCGACCAACAGAACGGCCCAGTGCATGTTCTGCTCACCGGCAGTCCCGAAGACGAAGCAGCCTGCCACTCCCGAAATGATTGGCAGGATCAAGTTGGCAAGGTGATGCTCCGGCTCTCTACTCCCGCCCTGCCACCTCGTCACGGCATTGGAAATTTTGTCAGCCACAGGACCACCAAAGACGTAGACCAGAGCTGAGGCGGCAAAGAAGGGCAGCACAGTAAGACCGGTCCACTGGAACTGCCAGCCCTGGGCTAATAGGGCAAAGGGCATGATTTGCTGAGCGGCCTGGTTGATGACGATCATGGCGCTATTGGCCAGTACACCCCAGATGATGGCTGGGAAGTAGGTGGATCTGAGGGCATCGAACATGGATTTGGCGGCGTGCTTGAACTCTAAGCCGTTTTGGAACAGGCCGATGTTGGTCCAGAGAGTCCGTGGCGTGTAGTTCACGTAATCGAGCTCGGGGCGGTTCTGACCCGGCAGAAGAGGATAAGCATTCTGGCCACCTACGACTGGTTAGCTGTGCATGGGCCTTCAAGGGCGAGGCGAGACGTACTAAGCTCTTCCTGAGAACGGGTCCAACGGGTCTCGGGGAGGAAAGCAATGAGTACGGCCCAGGCCAAAATGCCCATGCCAGAAGTGATGTAGTATAGCCACCTCCAAGTGTAATTGGCAGATACCCAAGGCGCCGCAACACCAAGGCCGATGACGATGATACCTTGACTAGAGACGACGGCTGACATGGCCTTGTTTCTCTGGTGGATGAAGACCATGTCCTGGACAATCAGCGGAATAAGGGCCTCTACCGCACCGGCGCCCAGGCCCATGAGGGCTCTAGCAGCCAAGTGCTGTTGTAGGCTCGTGCTGAAGGCAGCAAACAAGCCACCAGCCCATGCACTGGTTGCAGCGAACAGAAGGACAGGCCTACGGCCGACCCAGATGGATATGGGCACCAAGAAGTAGCTCGCAATACCGTTCGCCAGGAGGGGCATCGTGGCCAGAAGGGCGACCTCATCAAGGGAAGCTGGCTTGACGCCAGGTGGCACGACGGACATGGGGTTGATATTGAGACCGCTGCCGCCACTCTGAGCCTTGAAGTCGATGTTATTGAGGATTCGCGGGTCGACGCCCGAGTACTCGAGAATGAAGACGGGGAGGAGACCACCGATGACAACCTCCGCTGATAGGGCAAGGGCGCCGACTGTGAAAACTGGTCAACCTCGCGTGGCATACCGTAAGGTTGATGGGAGGTCTTACAGAAGCAAAGGGCGCCGATTGCTGTCCATTTCCGCCATACGGGGAGGTTCAGTGGATCTGCATATCGTCCCGTGTCAATATGCATTGTCTTCTGGTACTAGATGAGCGTAAATGGAACTCACCCTTGGGGTCAGGCGTGGGCATCTGCGTGATGTTAAAAGAGCTCGTGAATCAAGATCATGAGCCAGACGTACAGGAATCAGCCTCAGCTGCCCGTCCACATACAAATTCGTCGTACCGACGACCAGCGTCTCGTTCTTCTCAGTGACTCCATCGTCAAACTGCGACACCGCCACGGTGGGCGAATCCTTAGGACCAGCCTGCTCAACCTGGAGCGTCCAGCGGTTGTTCGTCGCCATCTTGTCGTGATGTGTTTGCCTTGATGAAGTAGAGCTGTAGCACAATCCCACTGCTCCGATAGTCGAGGGTCAAGGTCGTCTTTCCGCCGGACATCAGCGCAGCCTTATACCTACTAGAACTGGCATGTTCCCGGTGTGGGTGATCTATAGCAAGGGGAGGGAAGGATAAGTTGCAAGTTCGGAACACCCTCTGCACTCCGAGATGGGAGATGAACCTTCAAAGTTGTATCTATATCAAACGGGTTAGAAAAGAAAGGGGCGGAGAACTGAAGAGGCGTGCGTTTAGATCTATAAGGCCCCTAGTCGCGTCCGATATTGCCTGCTGGTACTCGAACCGGAGATGTGCCTGGACGGATCCGTCGCATGAGGCAAACCATCAATCGCATGACACCCGCGACGACGATCGACGAAGCCAGTGACCTGAGAGAGACAGACTCATACATGAGTGTACGATAATATCTCTGCGCAAAGTGGGTGTCTACCTCCACATACCGCCGGCTGGTGCGGACGAGGCCTCTGTCATATTCCCCTTCATCCAAATTCGGGCTTGTCATGTTTCCACCTGGCAAACGTTCGTCGCCGCGAGACCGGGAGCAAGGATATACGATCTTGAAGCCCAAGGTCTGTGATGAGTCTCTTTCCGGCAGTTGTATAATCCTAGACCGAATGATGGGGCACTAGGTGGTACGGCTCGGTGAGCTGGGGGCCTGGGGCGAGACTATTTCGTCGTCGGGGCAGACTTCCTCACTACCACGCCTGACATAATGGGATTTGTTTCAAGGATTTGGCATGAACACAGTTGCACGTCGTTGGGATTGGGGCTTTTGGGGTAAGTTGGGATAAGGGGTATGACTTGGTCTGGGGTTGGAATGCGGCATGTAACGGTTTGATCGGCGTTCTCGCGCGCGCGAGAGGCCCTTGCTAGTCGTTCTTCTACGTTTCGAGATGTTCTACTCCTTCGATAATGCCTTACAAATATAGAGTTGCCCCTTGCATTCGAAGCCGTTGCGGATTCTATATTTTAGATAACATAGGGCTCCTACTCGTGTAGTGTCTGGGCCACAGGGCAGATGTTGAAAGAGTCTTAATTCGATGACCTCCTGAGCCATGGTACACAAATGATCAGTGTCCTACTACAAGTCTCAATCACGGTATTGAGGAACTCAGTTAGTTGGCATAACGAAACCCTGCCGATCTCGACTCGCTCTTCATCGCATCGCAACCGCGCGCGCCAGTAGGCCGGATACTTCCAAGTCCCTTTGCATCGTAGACTTCAGACTGTTTCTTTCTAAACGAGTTGAGACGAAAAGTGACAGAGAGGTAGAGAGCAAAACAAACTTTTGTTGTATGGCAACCAGTACGTGACCACAAGTCGCGAAAAAGCTTCTTGACTCAACGCATGAACGCAGCACCACCACCCTGTTACAGACCCCCGGTCAGAGTGCCTCACGCCAACACAATTTCACACGTTTAGATCTTCTGAGCTTCAACTATTTCTTTTTTGATCCGGCGCACGGATGGCGATGCAACAACATGCCGGGCTCGATACATCTCGACGTCCCAACCGCAACGTTAGTAGTTGTTCACAAAATCTGCACACATGCACTGCGGACTACGGAATATCACCACGGCGGTATTCTCACCTGCCAAGAACGTAGTATTTTCTGATGGTTTGACCGGGTGAGACAATGACGACGATGAAGACGCTGCCGATCAGCGGGTGACAAACTCTCATCAGCCCACATCTCACTTTGCTACAGGCTACGACACCTTCCGTCCGAATTACATTGACTAGTTTGTCTGGTCTCTAGGCTTGGCTCTCCGCCATGACTTGATGCCGGCGTTACACGTTCCGGTTTACCATTGAAGCAGGTATTGATACACTGTCGGGCATACGTCTGCTTCTCTGCCAAGCCCACAGAACGGCCGAAGCCCTCTTATCTGAGGCTCTGAGCTGGGTGCTCCCATTGTGATCGTCGCCGGTAAGTGCCCCATGTGTCGTGCCTGAAGTTTCTTTCAGATGATGCCTCTCCGTCTACTCATCCGTTGTATGCCCCGGCCGTCCACTTGTGGTGAGCCAAGGGCTGCTTACGAATCCATATGCACATAAGTAAGGGGTCATCGAGCGTGCCTCATGGACGACAACGTCGAGTTTCGAGATCATTGTAAGAAAAGAAGCCCATCTGCCAAGTACTACTTACAAACTTCGCAACTGCTGCAGCAGCATTTGTCAACAGCGATCGACCTCTTATTCAGCGGCGTTCCCTCAAATTGGTCGCCGTCATAACCCGCCTGTGCAAACTCTCTCGCAGATTGTCCACGGGTGGCCTCGACATATGTCACGCAGTTGAAACGATGGATCACTGATAATTGGCGGAGGTTTGTGGTATCATACAACGACGTAGAAGAAGTGAAGGTTTGTTCCAACATTGCTTCCAAAGGACGATCCCTTGGTTGAGTCTAGAATACATTCGTCGTGCAAGTTTTGTCAACCCATAATCGGCCGTCCAAGTCCCCTCTATTAGTAAGACTGTTGTGTTGTATATCACTCTGGTCCGTAGTCGGAAAGCCCAAAAAACGCCATGCTTAGCCCCCATCGTTCCTTGTGCACGATCTGACCCGCGACTTGAGGTACATCGGCAATTTCTAGCCAGACGTTGGCCAGTTCTAAAGCCCCTTTAGTTATCGCTGGCACCCAGGATCCTCGCAAGCAGGACGTAAAAGAATACGACACCTCCGGCGACGAGCAACTTGTTCTGGTTTAGCCAGCCTCGGCTCGCATCCCGTTGTTGCACAACAGCATCGACAACAGCCTGTGCTTGATGGCCGCTGCCGTTACCGATGCCGAGTTGGGGCCCGCACGAGGCCCCTGCTGCCGCTCCGGTCCTGTTACCTGTCGCTAGGTCGATTTTGATCTCCTTCATCCACTCCCAGTTGGACTTGTCGACGTCAGGCCATTCGGTGCGGAACTTGGCGCCGCCGTCACCAGCCTTGACGTTACCCTTTGTTGCCACGGTCGACTTTGCATTGGATCCTCCGCCGGTCGAGTTCCACCACTTGGTCCGCGCTGCTAGCATCTTTCTCTCGACCTCTGTGCTGGAGACGGAGCCTGTAGTCATCTCCTCACTGGTCATGAAAGAAAGCAAGCCGATCAGAATGGTGGAGACCTCCCAGGCAGGGTTGAATGACTTGGGGTGGAAATCGGAGATGGAGAGGCAGAGGCGGCTGGATGGCTGAAAGCGACCGGAAGGAGTGTGCATTCGGATGGCCGGGGGCGCGAAGGGGTAATTCGGAGGGAAGACGAGAGTACCCCAGTACTGGCCACCATGGTACGGTGTGTTCTCGGGACCAGTGATGATATAGTGCCACCTGTAAAACCGTTAGCATGGATATGTGACATGGATGCGATGGACGTTGACGCACTCGAGGATATTGGACTCGGAGGGGTGTGCTTCGATGTATGGTGGAGGGTTCTCGGCGATGGTCTTGTACTCGCGTGTCAACTGTATGACGGTCAGTATCATGAATCCTGCGGAAGGGAAATCGGTAGCTGTTACCCTCTTCTGTGCCGCTCTACTGGCTGCCATGGCTATTGAGGCTTGCCGACGAAACCCTGTGGTTTCCGGATCGACGGTGGGCGGCGAACGACGACGTAATGGGAAACACTATTACTGAACCGTGGCAGGTGGCCAAGTCGAGAGAGCGAAGAGAACAAAATGAAGAATGTACAAAAGTCGGAAATCAAAGTTGACCGAAGAAATGCGGTTTGATGCACGACACGTTGCCGGTTTTCGGTTGGGCTGAGGACGGTATTGGGGTTGTTGTTGAATTAGGACGGGTGAGTGTTAAATGGAGACAATGTTGGTCAGTTGGGGAATGCGGCGAGGCTGTGACAAGCGCCGCCGCCAGTGCGCTGTTCAGGGAAGGTGCGCCAAAACTCAAAAACATAGGGAAAGGATACGTACCGATGAGCCTTCGCCGAGGTTGCGCCACGGGATTATGTCACTGGCCAGAACAGATGACGGTCTCCAGCCACAGAGTTTCCACCAACATGGACAGAGCTTCTCAATGTGGCTGGAGCTTTCTTTCCCTCCACCCGTCACCCGTCACCCGTCACCCGTCACCCCCGGCAGGTCCAGTCCATTCAGGTCCCCACCGACGGCGACCTCGTCCCAATTCGTTCCCTTGCGCCCGTGCTGCATCTCGAATTCAACCGAAGCTCTCCGGCTCGTGTGACTATTGCCCGCTTGCAATTGTTGCACCTTCAAGCTCTGCCACAGTTCCCACCAAAGCTCCAATGGCCCTCAACACCAATGCGAGCGGAAGCTCCGTAAAGTCTCCCGTCGCATTCGCCACTCCAGTCTTGAACATTAGCTAACGGAACCCTCGCTTTTCTAGGCTTCCAATCCGATTGGCAAACTCCAGGCCGGACCCGATGCGCTGCGCAAGGAGGCAGAGTCCTCGGCCGAGTTTGAGAAGCTGCAGGAAGACGCCAAAATCAGGAGATTGCAGCAATTGGCAAGCTCCGACCCATTTCTCGTCAACGGTCCTCGACCTTGCTAATGCGCCTGACAGCTGGCCGACCAAAACTCTCAGCCCATGACTATCAACCGATTGCAAGTTCACGGCGCTACCAACACCCGAAGAGGATTCCTCGACCCCATCTTCACGCCACTCCTGGCCGAGGACGTCAATAGCTCCTCCACCCTCGGCGAAGTAGCAGCGCGATTGGGAGACGCTAGAGGAAAGTTGGAGAGACTCGGTACGAGCAGGCGGACCTCCAAAAGAGACGACATGGGCTAACTCTCCTAGGCATCTTCCACCCCGATGTCAAGGTCCACCTGAGCAATGCCAACAATACCGATGCCTCGTCTACCCCCACCGACGTTGACGTCGATGTAGTCGTCAAGGAGCTATCCCGCTACAAGTTCAACGCCGGAACCGACGTCGGAAATAGCGAAGGCTCCGCTTATACATCTTTGCTTTGGCGCAATATTTTTGGCGGTGCCGAGCAGCTCACCGTCAATGCCAGTGCTGGCACTAGAACCCGTTCCGCATACAGTGCGACGCTGAGCGCTCCGGTCCAAAGCAACCCCGATACGAGAATCGCACTGGAGGGTCTGGCTTCGGCTACCGACAAATCATGGGCGGCTCACGAGGAGGTCCTGAAGGGAGGAAACCTGCGCTTTTCATGGCTTTCTGGTTCCAAGGATATGCACACAGTCGAATACTCGGGCATCTGGCGTCAAATCACTGGCCTCCGCGACAGTGCCAGTCCCACTGTCCGCGCTGATGCCGGTGACTCCGTGAAGAGCTCCATCAAGCACACATACCAGAGAGACGAGAGAGACAACCCGCAGCTGCCACAAAGCGGTTACGTGCTGAAGTCAGTCTTTGAGCTGGCCGGTCTCGGGCCACTCGGTGGTGACGTTGCTTTTTCTAAGAACGAATGGGAGGTGGGCGGTGCGCTGCCCGTTCCTGTTCCCGGCGTGGAGGGGCCATCTGGTATCTCGATCGGCGGAGGCTTCAGATTCGGCATGCTATACCCGCTTCCTCTAGGCTTTTCTTCCGACGGTAAGGCTCAGCCGAGCCGCATCAACGATAGATTCCAGCTTGGCGGTCCCACCGACGTCCGTGGTTTCCACTACGGTGGTCTCGGGCCCCACGACGGATCGGACTCGGTTGGAGGAGATGTCTTTGCAGCTGGCAGCGTGAACATGCTGTTCCCTCTGCCTTACAAGGGCCCCGACTCCTCCCTTCGCTTCCAAGTCTTTGCCAACGGAGGCAGATTAGTCGCGATGAAGAACAAGGGCAAGGCCGGTGCTTCCCCTACCGAGGGTCTCGACGCTAGAAGTGTTGCAGGCAGCGCATGGAGAGCGTTGAATGATCTGACGACTGGCCTGCCGTCAACGGCCGCCGGTGTCGGTTTGGTCTACGCCCACCCTGTCGCTCGTTTCGAGCTCAACTTCAGCCTCCCATTGGTGCTTAGACGCGGCGAGCAGGGTACCAAGGGACTGCAGGTCGGGGTCGGCATCAACTTTTTGTAAAAGCCTCATTTTAGACAGCTGAATAACGTCTAGCCTACGTCCTGGCATACAGCACAGCCTAGTCAGGCCATTTTGTACAACAAAATCACTGTAGATACACTCTAATTGGAAAATTCAACCCGGCAATGCTTCGAGTCTCGAGTCCTTTGGAGCTGTGCACATCATTCCGTGTTTCCCTTGCCCAATACGCGATGCTAGGACCCTTAACAAGTACCCTAGCCCGCCGAAGCAGCTTATTAAGCGCAAATTTGGGGATTTTGGGGTTGGCCTCCGATCGCCGGGAGTCTTCCGTCTCACAAGGATGCCGTGGAAGCCATCGTGGCATTGTTGCAGCGCCGGCAGGAGGGTTTCAATAGTCAATCGACACGAAATGCTTCCAGAACATCCCATTCGTTAAGGTTCGGCCTCTGGATGGTCGGCTACAGGGGTAGGACATCAGCTCCCGGATAGGAAGTTGAGCCAGCGCAGAAGCGAGCTCGACGCCTATAGACGATGTAACGCACAGTTCCCCTCACCGCGGCCTCGTGTAACTGGGCGGCCGGTTCTTGCGGGCTGGGCAGGGAACCACAGCATTCTGGATGTTTTCTCCGTTGGTTGCAAATTACAACTCCCAGGGTGACGATGTCTTTTGCGCTGATCCCCCCTGTTGACAACTGCATCCCTCGCGTGATACAGGTTGACTATTGCAAGCTTGGCGACTTACATGACTCGCTGATCTCTTCGCGAGCCAGGTCACCGGATACAGGCTGCAAGTAAGAAAGTATCAATGGCACCACTGAGATGATACAAATAAGAATGTGATATCTGCGGTCAAAAACTAGAGTGCTACACTTCCGTCACCTTCAGCATCATCAATTCCACAACTACGATGCGGCTGATCCTTTCCCTACCGCTGCTTGCCACGGCGGTTTCTGTCCTCTCCGTGAGGGTCCCATCTGTTGCAGAGGATTTGAAGACGCTTGTAGCAATATCTTCATCAGTAGCTGTTGATCTCCGTGCGAGGTGGAGTACATACAATGCCCCCATCCCGTCGATCGTGGTGAACGTGACAACAGAGAAGGACGTTGCCGCCGTTGTGAGTTGTCCGGTCAAAGGCCGCATCTCAAACGCTATTCACTGATTACTGCGCTAGGTCAAATACTGTGCGAACCGCAGGATACCCTTCACTGCTCAGAACGGTGGTAACGGCTGGGGCAAGACCTTCAACCTCGGCAGCAACGGCGTTATCATCAACTTGGCTGGCCTGAATGCCGTCACTTTCAGCAAGACGAAGACGGAAGCCACTATCGGGGGTGGCTCAATCATTGGCGACACAATCAAAGCGGCCAACGCTGCCGGTGTGTTGGTCCAGACTGGCAACTGTAACTGTGTTGGCACCCTAGGCGCCATCCTGGGTGGTGGCTATGGTATGCGGAGTCCACCGATGAAGTGGTGATCCGTGGTAGAATCCAAACTAATGACATTTCAGGAAACCAGATGGGCGAAGTCGGCTTCGGCGTTGACAATGTTCTCTCCTTGCGCGTCGCAGTCGCCAGCGGAGAGGTGCTCACGGCCTCGCCGACATCCAACCCGGACCTCTTCTGGGCCCTCCGCGGCGCCGGACCCAACTTTGGCATCGTCACGTCGGCGATGGTGAAGGCGCGGCCCACGCCTGCCGAAGGCCGCAACGCTTGGCTGGTGAACCTGTTCTTCTCGCCAGACAAGCTTCCGCAAGTCGCGCAAGCCATTCAGGACCTCCCTCTAAAGCCGGAGCAGGTCGTCTACCTGGTCCTCACCAACTCAGGACCGCCATCCAATGCTCCTGCCGTCCTCGTCACCGGTTTCCTGCGACAAGGCAATGATACGACTGGGCGTGCGGCTTTTGCACCGCTGTACAAGCTGGGTCCAATCTCGAATAGCAGCAGTGTAGCCGGATACGAAGGATGGAACGCAGGGAACGACAACTTTTGCGCGCGCGAGGAACGCAAGCCGGCGTTCAGCACGACCATCAACCACATGAAGCCCGAGACCTGGCCCGAGATCTGGGACCTGTACACCAAGTTCCAGGCCAAGGGGCCCAATTCTGCCGTTCTGATTGAGCGGTACAACCTGACCAAGGCTCAGTCTGTGCCAAAGGGATCTGCGGCGCTGCAAGAGGCCTTGAGAAGGGAGGCCTTTGCGCAGGCGATTGTGATTCCTTGGTATACAGACGCCGCGTTGGACGGCGAGGCTGAAGATTTCGCGCGCAAGGTTAGGGACATTTGGAGTTTCTCGCCGAGTGCGGTGGCTAACCCGACTTATGTCAACTTTGCACATGGCGATGAGACGCCTGAAGCGATATATGGGCCGAGCCTTGCGAGGTTGAGGAAGCTTAAGAAAAGATGGGATCCTTTGGGCGCTTTCAATCAGTGGTTCCCCATTAAAACATAAGACAAGGAGCCGTGACGGCACGGATTCGTGAATTTTATTCTTTTTTAGCGATGTTCTCGCTGACACAAAAGTCTCGTCGTTAGCAACCAAAGCCTCCATATAAACTTTTGAACCACCCCTCGCTTGTGTCTTGGAGTTTCCCTAGTCTCCCTTTCGTTCGTGAATTGCTCGCCTACCTCGATTTCGGATCCTGTGATTCATATATTCAATGGAGATACAGATGAAGACCAGATAGTAAATAGTAAGGTATTATTAGAGGGATCAGGCGGTCACGGCGGACAGGCGGACAGGCGTGTCTGCGAACCTCCCCTAGCGATCGCCTTGCTGAGTACCACTTGGATTTCCTTCCTTTATCCTTCTGGAAGTTCATGTTTTGAGGCTTGATTCTCAAGAGGTCGTGGATCCAAGCGACAGAGGAGAAGAGGAATGCAATCAACGTTTGCGGCCTACGGCAAAAAAGAAATTGGCAGTGGATGGGGTGGAAGACTCTCAAGAGGATGCACGTCCATAAGTAATTGTTCTCTCAATGCTTGAGACTTGCAATTTGCTGGCCAGTTTGGTAATCTTTGTAACCACAAGGTAGAAACCTGCCCATGGAGAGATTGGGTTTGTTTAATCAATGTGGGCGAGGCAACGGATACGACTTCTGAGCTCTCTTGCTGTACTTTGCAGATATGTAACTAAGGTGATTCGTTCCGTTTCCGTTTCGAAGGCCCTGAATTCAAGACCACTTTGCCACGTCTCTTCTTGATTTTCAGTAAACAATCACGTCGAGGTTTCAGAGAAAAAAAGCGGTGCAACGAGTGTTGTGCTCGTTATGATTGGGATGAAAAAGTAATCCACCGCAACTACCCAGTCAATACAATCAATGGACCTAGCGTACACAAAGTCACTACTGATGAGATGAGTGGTAGTTTTGGACGTTGGGGAGTGCTAAGGCAATAACGGAGAATCCAAGTCCGGGAAGGCATCCGTACGTAGGGTATTTTCAGTTGAAAATCGCGGCCCCACATCGGCGCCGATTGCAGATGGGCCGGGCCGGCAGTCTGGGATTCGTCAATCGGATCTGGGTTGTTTTTTAAAGTGTGGTAGAGTCTGGATTTAAGTGGCCCGGCGCTTCGGACAAAGGAGTTGGTGCTGGGAAAATAAAGCTGACATAATCCAGTGGCTTATTTCTCGCTTGTGCGTCACGGTACGACGGTTGTGTGGGTTGCTGGAGTTGCGCCCACCAAACCAGTACCTTGCGAACAGGCCCGGGTAGCTTAACGCCCCGGTAGCGTACCGGCTGCCCCTGTGGCTTCCATGGCTTGGAAATCGGGACACCTATTTTTGTGGCCGCCACTGTCCACGGACCGCAGAAGAAGCTCGGCCGGAGGTGCAGGGCCGCTAGAGATGGTCTTTTGTCAGATTGTGCGGCGCACCAACTGTCAAAGACCCTGGACTAAGGAGTAGTGATGATGATTATTGTTTGTCATGGACCCATGGCATGGACGGTAGAGAAAAAGAGGATGCAAACAAGATAACAAACGGGTCTTGCCATGCCAATGACTCTTTCAAGGGACGGCTTCCTGCATGCCTACCTGTATTTTGCTGAATCCAAACCGACCGATTGCCCCGTTCTTCGACCTCCAGGCATAGGTACCTGATTACTGTATGTACTAGGTACCTTAGCCTACTAAATACAGAGGTAGGAACGTGCCTTCTACCTCACTACAATGTATGTAGGTAGTGGGTTGTGGCTGTAGCTTTCCGGACCCAGCCAAACTTGAGCCAATAAGGTCGAGGAAGCTCCAAGCTCGGAGTAGGAACGTACCGGAGAGATCGAACCGCACCGCACCGCCCATCCACCCATCCCTCCTTCCCTGACCTTCAACTGCCTTTTTTTTTCTTTTTTTGCGGGGGTAAAATTTGTGACGCTGCCCCAGTTTTTTGTCATCATCGGATTTTTCCTCTCATGACTGGACCCAGCTTTTTAATTCATTTTTTTATTTTCGGCCCTTAGCTTTATTTTTATTTTTTATTTTTTGGTTTCCCGGCCCAGGCACCGGACCACGATCTGAGTCCTGACTGACCCAGCTCAGAGCAGCAACACCTCGCCGCCAGCTAGGAGCAGAACGGACCAGGCATCTATTCATCTTTGGTACCTGCTATTCGTACCTCATATTTCTACCTGACAAGCAAATCCCGAGGCAGTCAAGCCAGGCCTCTCCCGTCTTAGTAATTGTCTGCTTCTTCGTCCTCCATCGTCCACTTCGATCATCACCCCCGTCATCAAAGGCGAGCCAGCGACAAACCACGGCGGCGGCCCTTCTTGTTCTTCTTCGCCTCGCCCCTTCGTACCTTCTCTCCCATTCATCCACTTTCTTCTGTTCGACATCCCATTGTCACGCCTCTTTCACCGTGTCTGGGCCCCTCCACTCCACTCCCTCATTTCTCCCCTCTTTATTCGTACCTTACCTTACCACACAGCACTGCCTGACGCTGTTCCTCTGCCTCGCTTTGGTATAACTCCCTCTGACTTCCCTCTGACTCTCTTTCTTCCTGCTTCCTGCCTCCTCCTGCATTCGCCATCTGGAGACATCGGTGGCACGCATCAGCACCTGCATATCCCCTCTATCATGCGCACCCCCTACCCACGAGAGGCTCCCACCCTGCACGAGACGAGTCACTAGCTTTGCTTGCCCCCATCCGAGGCCACGACTTCCAATTTGTGATTCTCTCATCCAGTTCGACAGAGGGCCTTTTCCCTCAGATATCCACTTTCCCAAGCGCAGTCCACTCTGAGTCTGAGGTACTGCCGCTATCGCCGAACCGACCACAGCTGCTACTGCGAACCGCCCCCAGCTCCTCTCCCTCGTGTGGCCCCGGCACACAGCAGCCATCCACTTCAGTCTTGGGGGCCGTCCCGCCAAGTTAAAGGCCGCCTCTCCTGCGCTGTGGGCTCGAAAGCCACCCAACATCACCACCACACAACCCTCCCGCCTAACCCCGTCCACCATGGCCTCCAACGGCCATCCGAAGGCGAGGAACGGTGCTGGTGTCGCCCATGGAAAGCCCAGCGCTGCGAGACGTGTGGTCCCTGTCATTCCCCTCCCTATGGACCGTCGCGTCAAGGCCAATGCTGCTGCAAAGCAGGCCGCCGCCGCCGCCCAAGCTGCGGTTGTTGCGACCCTTCCTCGACCCGCCACCACGAATGGCTCTTCTTTGAAAATACAGCATGACGTCGACTCCGCGCCGAATACTCCCAAGACCATCGAGCTCGAGGTTGCCGCAGACGAAGACAAGGGAAAACCCGTTGCCACCAATGGTACTGAAGAGACGCCTACACCCGCCGACGCGGAAGGCGACGACACCAAGGATCGCGAGGGTACGCGGGCAATTTTGCCATTCTTCGTCGCACTCGGAGAACATCTTACTAACCCTTCTCTACCAGCTACTGATTCTCAGGAGTCTTCTGCCGCGATCCCGACTCCATCCACGACCGAAGAGTCCGAATCGACAGACAAGACCGCCGACCAAGACCTCCCCCGCTCCGCTGAAGAGCCTGTTCGAGGTATGCCCGCTCTTGGCACTTGCAACTGCGGCCACACATTCTCACACACTGCAGGCAATGGCCACATCACCTCTCCGCCCCCGATCCGAGATGCGAAGAAGGGTAGGAACCCCCAAACTTGCGAGACTGTCTTGCCGCAGACACCTAACCGCCATGTTACAGAGAACACCCACCAGCATCCGTCGACTTTCCGACCCCCTCCCGTTATTCCTCCTGCGCGATACAATATGCCCCCCAATGGACACAATGGCTCTCGCCCCTCGCCCGTCGTCATCAATGGCACATCTCACAGAGGCCCTCGATCAGTCCACAACGGGCCACCACACATGCATGGTCCGCGGCCCAGCAACGGAAGCCTTCAGTTCGGAGGTTTTACTTCCAACTCGTCTTCTCCGGCGCCTCCTCACTCGGGAGGCTTCATGCCGCCTCCTGGCATGCCCCTCCCCGACGGACGCTCGTTCAACGGTGCTGCCAACGGTTTCCATCGCCAGATGCCCTACGGTACTGAGTTCGTCCCCGGTACAGCTGTTGACGGGTTCGGTCGACCTCTCCCAGGTTACGGAAGCATGGAGCAGTATCATCCTCATCTGAACGGTGGCTACGGACCTTCGACCCCTCATAGTTTCCAGGGATCGCACTCTTCGGCTCATGCGGATGACACAGGTGCCCTGGGCCACTACCCCGCGCCTGGCATCCCCAACGGTACGGCCCACGTCGATGACGCTCGCTCTCACCCTCCTCCGGCCGGAGCTTTCGGTGTACCACCTCCGCGAATGATGCCTGGGCCTATCCCGCCCCCGCATATGATGCACCCCGGTCACGAGCATCAGGGACTGGACGACATGGCCGCTTACCTCCGATCGCAATTCAGAGACCCTGCCTTTGCTGACTGCACCCTGGAGCTTCGATACTTAGACGACCGCGCTCCCCCCGTCCGCCTTCCTGGTCACCGCCTCATTCTTGCCAGAAGCCAAGCTGTCCGCAACGTTCTAGAGTCTGATAACATTGAATCCAGCTCGCCCGGCGCTAACCGCACCATCCTCCTCCAGTCCGATGATAGATACCTCCGATCTGATGCCTTCTGGATGGCCGTTCAGCACTTGTACGCCTTCCCGCTGCTGGACATACCCGACCCAGCTTCCAATGGCAACTTCACCATGGCTGGTAACGCAGATGATCGCTTCGACTTTGCCCTTGGCTACGCTGCCGCAGGCCACGTCCTCGGATGGCAGCCTATTGTCTTCCGTGGTCTAGAAATAGCGTCACATTCCCTCAGCTGGTCGACTATTGAGCGCGCCCTTGGCTTTGCGCTCGGCGATCTGCCTAGCCGTGCCTCAGCTGACAGACACAGTCAGTTTGTCTATGGCGAGCCTGTACAAATCTTGATGAACGGAATCATCTCGTTTATCATCAACAACTTCCCGCCCGACTTCACCTTGGATACGTCTGTCGCCGATCCTGAGCGCTTTGCCCGTCTTCCCTTTGCGTCGGCATCGCCTCGTACCCGAGAAGGAACGCCAACCATTGCTTGCGGAACGGCCGGTCAAGACCGTCGTCCTCGGCCCATGCACATTCAGTTCGGCGATCTCGCTTTGGGCCCTGACAACACGTCGAATGGCTCGGATTCGACGTCGCAATCCTCTCAGCAACAAAGCATCCGATCGACTCTTTCCACGATTCTCATCAATCTCCCGTTTGCATACCTGAAGCCGGCCCTCGAGTCGAGCGGCTATGGCAATGTCAATGGATGGGCCAACATCGAGGCACGGCACCATGTCATGCGAGCCGTCGTTGGCGAGCGGGAGACCAGACGTTCAAGCGTGATTGAGGCGGCCAGATCCGGTGCGCTGCCGCACGCTGATTCCATCTTGTATGGCCTGCAGAGCACCGAACCCCACCAGAATGAGGAGTGGCATGCCCTAGGCTGGCGCGAGGACGTGGTCTCGTACGTTAACGGCGACGCGCCGTCTCTCGGCCGGCAATGGGTTCCATTAATCGCGCAGCCAAGTGGCACCCACCACATGGAGACTACGAGCCGAGCGGCCTATCCCTGAGGCTGTCGGACAGCGCGTTTAGAATTATGAAGTTACGACACGGGAACCAAAAACAACAAACAGTGGACGGCCCGCAATGGACTGCAATCGCATTTGCATCATGGAGTACAAAAACGGCAGCAATTCCTTTTCTCGGATTCAGGGCGAAGGTTCGGCATTGCATATGGTGTTGGCAGTTTTCTTTTTGGCAATGAAGCCAGGACATAAAAGCTTTGGGGAAGAGCGTGGGCAGGCTGGCTCCGCGCTTTTTTTTTCTTCTTTTTTTTTTGGGCTGGTAATGGGCGTTTACTGCGCCGGTCTCCTTTGTACGCGTGTGAACGTTTGATGAAGACTGTCATGGTAGATGCTCATGCTTTTCTGAAGCTGGCCGATTTTCCTCGAGACGGCGGGCGGGATTGAAAGGACGTTTGGGTGGACACTGGCTACTGCTTCTTCGAAGGTCTCGGGCTACCTTGATCCAGGGGGGAAGTATTCTCTACCTTTTCTTGGTGGCCACGAATGACGAGGGCACATGACGATATGAGGGGACTTAAAAAAACGGCGGCGGGGGACAAAAGCAGGCCAGGATATGGCTACCGGTTGTGGGGATGAAGGATACCCAGGAAGAGATGAGAGAGGGGCTGCTCAGATGTACGGAAAAGGCAATGAAAGACGCGGAGGATGGCAGTACATGAGAAGTGTGTTTAAAGCAACGCAATGACTTGCGAGGCCGGAATTACGCGCATTGCGAAAATGGGAAATGGTGAAATGTTGACAGAGAAAAAGGGTGACTCAATCATGAGAGGAACTCACTGTGCTTACATGCCTCAGTCTAGGTATGTAACGAATACTATGAGTTGGGGGACAAGACATGGGATAGCAGTGTACGCGAGGAAAAAGCCAGGTCTAAACAACGAAAATATCGCGTCAACAGCAAGAGTCAACAGGAAAGATCAACAAGACGGGAGCAGACGACGCGGCTTGTTGTAGTATCTGATGAATGTGCATGAAGTAGTCATTAAACTCGAAAAGCATCTATCTGCAAGTAACAAGGTGTGGGGGAGCCCACTATTGCGGCCTGCGGGGGACGCCGTAGGGATTTAGTGGTGTTGCATGGGCCTATGGGAGGCGCCCGTTTCTGTTTGTTGCTGGACGATGGACCCCGCGGAGCCGAGCAGGGTGTGGGATGCTCGTCAATATTCCCAGTGCAGTGGGCAGGTTGGACCTGAGAGCCGAGGCATGTGCTTTTGGGCCTTGGCCGCCCAAGGAAATGTTTCCCGTGACACTCTGACGGCCCCGGACGGGTGTACCTTGGCTCGAGGGGGTTGCTCCGTCCGTACCGTCTGGCATTCCTCCCACCACCACCACGCCCGGCAGCAACGCACCTCTCTGGCTTGGGTTGCTTTTTCCCCTTTGCCTTTTACAATAGTACGCTTTCTATGCTCTGCACCATTCTAACTCGTTGCTTCTTTCTCGCCTCACCTGCAACAGCCGCTCTTCTAACTTCATCGCGTCTTCTACGACACAACGCGCGCACCCCCCTCTACCGTACGTCCCGTATCTTGAGTAAGTCGATATTGAAGCCACCGCCTTGCATTCGGGCGATTGCAGTCCAAGGTTTCGGCTTTGGCACGTGCTAACGAAGAGCTTCTCCAGTTCGGACCAAGCACATCTCTAACTCCCAACCACGAACGGACAAGCACACTCGCGCGCACACACACACGACCCCGACCACGGTACAACCAACCACTACTCCCCGTCGACGACCTCGATTCCTCCACCGATACATTCCCCCCTTCTGTGTCGCCCACCTCCCTCAGACGCCCCCTCAAAACATCCGTCACCATCATCCCATCTCGCGATAATGGCCTCCGCCGCGACCTCGTCGTCGCGGCCAGGCCCGGCCGCAGCCTCCCGTCCGGCGCAAACCTCTAGCCCCCGGCCCTCCGCCGGCGGCCCCTCATCGCGACCGCCTCCCTCGCGCAATGGCATCACCGACCCCATTCTCCGAAATACACTGCGATATACCATCTCCGCCAAAGAGTATGCCACGCTGCACAAGTACGTCCTGTCGCGCTCGCGGCTGCTTAAGAGAGCTGCGCCGAGCGTCACTGCTGTCGAGCGCATCGTTGATGGTGACAAGGCCGCCGCCGCGAGGCAAGGGAATGCTGCTGTCGCTGCTCCTGCGGGGCCTGGTGCTAGTGCAGGGAGGGCTGTTGACGATTACAATGCCCGCGCCGTGCGTCATTCGCTCCGCGTCTTCGTGGGGACAGCCATAGCGTTGAAGGGTTGGGCTCTCATCTCGACCAAGTTCCTCGGTGGAATACCAGAGTAAGTAGCTACCTGGAGCAATCATGCATGCGAGAAAGACGGTATACTGACGTACGTGCCTCGCGCACTTCCAGCCCCAATGCCAAAAAGCAACCCCTCCACAAGTCGCCCACGCTCCGACTCTCCCTTTCCCTCTCGACTATCCTTCTCCTCTACCGCATCCTCTTTCGATTCCTCACCCGTCTGCGAGCACATCTCCTTGACCCGTCAGCGGCACCGTTTCGTCAGCGAAACCCGCGCACGACTGCGACTCTCACGTCCCCATTCGCCCCAGCCATTGGCGCGTCCCTTGCCGGTGCATTCCTCGGCGTGTACCCTGCTCAGCAGCTGCGCGTCACCATTGCCATTTACACCTTGTTCAGAGCGCTAGAATTTGGCTGGAACCTGTGTGAAGAGGAGGGCATGATTTGGGGCTTCAAGAACGGCGGAAAGGTCAAGAGGGAACGACCTTGGTGGTGGGGCAGCTGGCTCATCCAGCCTTTTGCCTTTGGACAGCTGCTTCATGCTGTTGTCTTTGACCGGGATTGCTTCCCTGAGGTGAGGCATACCGGTGATGATGGTGTTCCCCGGAAAGTACTGACCTCTGACCAGTCATACGGAAACTTCATTTTCAAGAATTCCACTGCATACATTCATCCTAGGCCAAACGATTACCCATCTCATCTCAAATGGCCCAAAGCCATGGAGATTATCGACAACCTCGCCCAGATGGCAAAGCTGAACTGGCCGTGAGTCATCCGCAATCCCTCAAAGTTTCACCCTCTAACATTAGCAGACCCTTTGTGTCGCCGACTCTCTTCCCCAACAAGGAGACACTGCCACCGACCCTCACTGCAGTGGCTCCTCTTACATCATCGGCACACCCCATCATTACTTCGCTCTCATGCGCCACTCTCCACCCATCCGACCCATCCTGTCTGCGGACCTATCTCAACTTCTGGCTCGGTTCTTTTCCCGGTCTCACAAAATTCTTTTTGCTAATCTACTCCGTCACGACCTTTGTCCCGCGATTCCGCTCGCTGTACAACGCTCCGGTTACGACCTTGCAGCGCGTCCTAGCCAAGTCGCTGCGCATGAGCACCTTCTTGACTGGCGCCATCTCCACTGCCTGGGCCAGCATCTGCTTCTTCCAGCAGTGGTTCCCTCGCACTTTCCTATCGACCCAGAGGTTCTTCTTTGGAGGCTTCCTCGCCGGTCTGTGGGCGTGGGTTGAGCGCAAGAACGGCCGCGGTGTCTTCTTGTACTCGGCTCGAGTGAGCGTCGACTCGCTGTGGAAGGTCGGCGTGAAGAGGAGGTGGTGGAAGGCCATGAAGGGTGGCGATGTATGGGTTTTTGTCATGGCGTTGATGCTGACCGGTGTCGTCTACGAGAGAGACGCGAGGGCTGTCAAGGAGGGAAGCTGGAGAAAGGGTATCAGCTGGGTCCGGGGCGAGGGTTTCAAGGACTGGAGTATCGAGGAGGAGTCCGAGGACGAGGCACTTCTGGAAAAGACCGACTAGAGTGCGGCCATGGATTTCGTGCCGCGGACGGCGCTGCATACGATTCACGGGCCCGTGGAGCATTCGGCCATGGGTGATCGAGCTGCCCTTCAGATATTGGGTGACATGGTGGCATCCGTCCATGGGCTGGGCATCAAGCCTTTGTCCGATCCGTCGTCTTCGAAGAGCCAGCTGTGGACGATTGAAGAGGAGGTTGACGACGAAGGTTTGCCGGGTGGTGTCTACGCAGGGCCCGGATCAACTTCGCGTTCCCTTCAGCTGACTATGATTGACGGAATGGAGCTTTTGTAGATGAACCCTGTACGCTAGGGTGTGTTGTTGGTCATAACTTCATGGCGGGTTTGTTGCACTTGGCATTCATATTGTACTCAATGGCGACGAGTCCATGCTTAATGGCTGTTTATAAATACCTAGTAATGCAATCCTTGTAATCATCCAGCTGTCCTCGAGTCCAGATAAGTCTAATCCCTTGCTTGAGTGTATGTCAGTCAGATGCTGAGCTTTCTCTGCTTCTGGCCAGCCTTCAAAGTCCCGAGAGAAGACGGGTTCTCTTGTTGCTCCCAACCCATGAGTTGATACGTATATGTGTCAATAACACATTCTTCCATTTGATATCAATCTTGATGGTTTGTTGACTTCTCAAATCGTAATTGGGGCAAGTAAAAGTCGATATCGATACTCTAAAGGGTCATTACAATAACGAATGTTCTGATTGTTTGTAGTAGCAATGGTCTATACCCACTTACAAGCCCATTCTATTTCATTATCCATGGCTAAGTGTAAATGACTGACGAAACCATAACATCTGTCATCTGACAGCTCTTGACCTGCTTATACCCCAGTCGAAGAAACGCGCTCGTGAACGGAAAACGAGCCATATTTTCCGCCTCTTGCTCTTCCATTGTCAGATCCCGATATAACAGTTCCCAGAGCACTCTGCTCAGACATTGGCACATAATCGCCAAACAGCTCGTCCATCTGCTCGAGCGTGCGGCCCGACGTCTCGGGATAGAAGAAATAGTAACAAAGCGCCGCCATGACGTTGAAGGCGAAGAAGACGTAGAAGAATTTAAACCCGACTGCCGTGAGGGCTTGCGGCGAAAAGGAGACGAGGATGAGGTTGATGGTCCAGTTGGTAAAGGTCGTAAGCGCGTTACCGAGAGCTCTAATCTCCAAGGGGAAGATTTCGGCCGGATAGACCCAGCTTATGATACCGAGGGGTGTGAAGAAGAAGCCAAATACAAAGTTCATGGCGACCATGCTGCGTAGTTGATCCGCATTCGACCGATCTAGATATTGGAATTGAACAGCATTGACCAAAAGTGCAGCCGCCAATCCGACGGCCGAAGCAATCAACGGTCTTACACGACCAATGCGATCCAGCATCCAGAGACCGACAGTATTGTATATAATCCCGAGGGCGCCATTGATTCCAATGATCATTAGCGAAGTTTGGGTCCCGATTCCTAGCAGTTCGTAGATGCGAGGTCCGAAATAGTTGATCACATTAACACCAGAGAGCGGGGAAAAGGCTTGGACGCCGCAGCCGAGCAGCAGGCGTTTACGCCAGGACGGCTTTGTGATGATGGCTTTCCAGAGATTGCCGTTCTCCCGCAGAGCGGACTGGGTTCGGACGGCGTGGCGGATCTCGTTGTACTCGACGTCAATGACCTTCTCGTCGACGCCGACGCGGAGCTTGTCCAAGCTCCTCCGGGCCTCGGCATAGCGGCCCTTTTCGACGAGCCAACGCGGTGATTCTTCGAGGAAGTAGATTCCCGTCGCGATGACTACGCCAGGGATACACTGAAATGCCAGCGGAAATCGCCCTGGTGATTGGTATTCGTTAGCTCGATTTTCCTCGCCAAACGGCTCCAACTTTAGAGATGGAGCTTCGGGAAAGGGGCGAGAGGGTAAGGGGAGGGTGGGGGCGCAAGAAATAGAGAGACAAGGAAAGAAAAGTGTACTCACATGAAAAGTCATTCGTGACGAACGAGCACCCATATCCCAACCACTGGGCAACCAAGAACCCCCAGCTAAGCATCCACTGCAGTAGACCCGACAGCTTACCGCGATGACGGGCCTGGGCGAGCTCTGATGCGTACATGGGGATCGTGGATGTCAGCACGCCGACGGCGGTGCCGCCGACAAACCGGCCGACTATGAGAGCGACGAGGTTCTCGGAACCGGCCTGCAGCGCGGAGCCCACGATGGAGATGAGCGAGCCGAGGAAGACTGTGTTTCGACGGCCGAGCCAGTCGGAGCAGATCATGTTGATGATGGTGCCGAGGATGGCGCCGCCCTGGAAGGAGGAGACGATGCCCGCGGCGAGGGTATCGGAGGGATTAAAGTAGGATTTGAAGGTCTGGAGGGCGATCGTGGAGGTGATGATGCCCGAGTCAAAGCCGAAGAGGAAGCCGCCGGTGGCCAAAAATGCGGCTGACCAGAGGGTTACATGGCGGCCCATAGTAGCTCCGAATTAAGACGATAGAATATAGTGACACAATGGTACGTTAGGAGTGTAATAGTAGGTCTGCTATTGGTTATTTTCAAGTATAGCCGATTCCCTGAAATGGATAGCTTGTATGGCTTGTATGAAAGGGACGGGTGTGTAAATGAGTGCCTGTTGCAACGGCTCAAGTTGCCAACGTCGTATCTTGGCAACGGGCTTGTCTACTCTTCCCCACGAACGAGGAAAGGAAGAGAAAAATACAGAGTAGGAAGGAAAAAGATGAGAAATAGAGGATGTACGGGAATTCGGATGCATTTCTAGAAAGGCCTGTGCGATAGCTGGGTATGTTCGGAACCTCCCAGCTCTACGGTGATGAATGACGGCGGGAGGTAGCGGGCGGGAGCTTATTGCGTAAGTCGTCCAGTCTTTTTCTATGATGAGAGAACGAAAAGGGATCAAAGTAGAGAGGTAGAAGGGGGGGAGGGTGAGCCATGAATGAGGGCGAGAGTGAGAGGGTGAGGTGTGAAAGTTTGTGCGATTTGCGATAGGATTTCCCAACATAGTCCACGTTGAACGCCGGCCGTTGGGATTGCAAGCAGAGCTTCATCTGTCTCCTGCTTCAGTCTCCTTTCCTTCCACGCGCTCTGTAGCAGGACAAGGTTAGAGTTCCCGGTGCGTTTGTGGACGATATGAGAGGGCACACCGGCCGGTATTCCTGCACGCACAAGCAGAAAAGCCGCGCAACGCAAGTCCGTTTCCTGTACTTGCAGCACCGGCTCCCCGCCGCTTGAAACCTTGATCAAAACGTAAATCTTGCGATGATTTTCATATGCTTTTCTTTCCCCTGTTCTGTCCCTCTATAACTACCGCTCCAAATGCCTGGCTTTACAAACTCACATGTTGCTCCGTCCCGTCGAGAGTTCTGTTAGCCAAGGTAAGAACTGCTTCCGGGCAGAGGTGTTTGGGGCTGAGCCAAACCTCCCGTCCGCCCGCTCCCTGGGATGGATGGATGGATTGTCAAATGGGCTGGCCGTCGCTGGCATGCCGCACCTTGTCTCATTACCTAGTACGGTGCCGTCCCCAATGTGGCCTTTACCCTAAAACATTGTACCAAAACGTTGATATTTCCTTGTCAAAGAGACAGCTTCGGACGCATGGACTCGGGCGAAAGAACAGACGATGACGCATTTGGTCCGGCTTCGGCTGGGAGGGTGCTTGCTGCTTCACACAGACCATCTCCCGAAATAGGTGAGGAAGCGATCTTCGACGCATCAATAGTCAAAGTGGGAGCAGGATTCTTGTCCGCCATAGCTTTGGACAGCTCGATTCGCTACTCGTCAGTCGGATTCATTCATATAATAAACAGTTATATGTACAATCGAACGGGATAATCCCCCGCATATTCTCACAGCTACATCCCAGTGTCTCCCCACTCCCCCACAGCTCGGAACCTTTTACACGCTAGGCTCGGCCCACTCGTAAGTGGAAGCTTGGCGGATGCCAATGTTGAGTGTGCCGTCGTTGGCGGTGATGGGCTGGACCATGACGTAGCGGTTGCTGTCGCATGCGCGATTGGCGTTAGCCGCGGCTTGGAAGGTGAAGTGTGTCTCCGTCTCATCAGAATTGCGGAAGAAGCTGTTGTGGCTCGGACAAAAGTTGCCGTCGGCAGCGGTCAGCTTCAACCGTCGCTCTTGATCCACGCCGATGAGGAGGTAGGGTTGGTCACGCCGTCCCACTCGAGCAGGGCGACGCTGTAGTCTGGCCCCCATCTATAGTTGGCCGAGTAGGCGATGTAGGTCTTATCGCAAAAGTAGAGACTGCAGGTGTAGAAGCCCTCCTGGACTGGAACCTCACTTTATTCCCAAGGCTGGCCGGGCTGGGAGATGACGGTGATGTTGGAGAAGGAGGAGCTGTGGTCGGTGTTGAGCTTGCGGACGCATATGGTCTGGTTCAGTTCGCCAGTCAGGCAGGGATACACAAAGTAGTTGCTTTGGTCATTGAAGCAGACGGCGGTGCAGTCGAGGGATCAGTCATCGGTGACACGGCTGTTGCAGGACCAGTCATCCTACGGAGAGGAGCCGCCTGGATTTCACTATAAACATTACGTCCTTACAATAACTGTACGGCATCACATTTACGTTGCAAAACATGCGCCCTCTGTCCATCCAAGTCATCGTAGTTGCCGGCGGTACCCTGTAGCAGAGGAGCCATCTACCGTCAAAATAATGAATCTCGGGAGCCCAAACGCTGCAGGATCGCGCCAGGTTCGAGGCGGAATATATGACCTTGGGCGTGACCGTCTTTAACCCTTCAAAGGCCGTGGCACGCGCGAGCTGGAGATGGGGCCATTCGGCCGAGATGAAGTAGTACTGCCCATCGAACTACGAGGTTTGAGGATCACCCACTCCTGGGTTGCGGATGGGGTTGGTGTAGGCGGCAGCCGAGCCGGAGAGGCTGAAAATGGCCACCAAGGCGGAGACGATCTTGATGAAGAACGTGGTCTTCTGGGCTTGTCTTGACTGAAAATTGGTGCCTTGCCTTGGAGTGCTATATGATGCCTTCCGGCGGGACCTTCACATGTCTTTTTAGGCACCGAAGTCGTGCCATCAGCGGATATGAGGTCGCAACGAGACTGCCGATATCACCAGTCTCCCGAGTGTTCTTGGGGTAGATAGATTCATGCGGGAAAGCATTTGAGGACTTTGTCAAGACGAGATGCTCGAATGAAACTGGAGCGCATCTCTGCCAACAGTCAAAAGATGTCGGAGTCAAGACGAACAACCAGAGACGATCCGGCAGCAACCCGGAGCAAACCACATCAATCATTCCATCTCGGTGCTCGGTTCGGGCAAAACAACACTCAAGATGCGCAGAGGCCAAGACTAGCTCACGAGCGAGAGCACCCGTTGTCGACGTCGACTGCCGGTACATGCTTAAGGATGTTACATCGGATTGACGCGCGAAAGGGAGCAGCGGCCAGCGGAGATGACGGGGTAATAAATGAGAGGTCGCACCGGCAGATAAGCCATGATTTCCCCCCCTCTAAGTCTCTCTCACTTGGGCCATGTTGTCCGGGGTTTGGTGCCACCGTTGCTACCTTAATCTCTGGGGTTCGCCCGGTCATTCTTAGTGAGGACTCGAGGAGGCCTGTAAGCATCCTGGCATTTCCAGAGTATTGTCCTTTACCCTGTATTCGCCCAATCTGTCTACCTTGCCGATGGGACTCGAGGCTCGCGCTGAATCCACTTCCAAGTTTCTCCTTGAGCGTAACGTAGTCTTGCCCCGCGTCTGCGCGTCTTGTCACCCGGCCTCACTCGGCGGTGCAGCTGCATGATGGGGATTCCACTGCCTTGTTCTTTCCCAGATAAGCTGTGAAGAAGCGCCCCTGCTTCATATTACAGCTCGAAGTCTCTGCGGTAGCACTAGCTTCACCAGCTGACCTGCTGCCTTGGTGCGCATATAGGCCCAGGGAACTGAACCTAAGGTACCTTGAGAAGTTGAGCTCGGTCGAGGGAACAGGTGTTTTTTTTCCATGAGTTGTCATTGCAAAGATACATGGAACTATTACTATTTGCAACCCACTCATGCTTGGGAACATCATCATCTTTCCCGCAACTCGTTGTAAGCTATCAGACTTTGCGAATAAATACTTGTAGCGTGGCAGGGTAAATAGACCAACCGATTGAATCACCAAATAGATTCACCGCTAATGAGCACCGGCATTTTGGGGCTCTCCTAAAGTCTTTCATGTTGGACGACGGTTACTTGATGTATTCAATTGCGTAAGCTCCGACAGCATTGGTCACGGTGACAGTAATAGTAACGGTGGCGGCGATAGTCAGATGTAGCCTCCATGACCACTACAGATTGACCATCTCAGTTTATCATCTTCTTGAAATAATGATCACATCGATTTTGGCAACTTTGCAGTTTACAGCATATCAATGAGCACAGGTCATAGATCTCGCTTTCACGCCATTGATTTATGCTTACCTTGGTAGCGTTCGATCCGCCATTTAAACTCTAGGCCCCTGGCATCGGACTAGTTGTGAGACACCTAAGCGTACTGAATAGAGCTGGAGCCTCGTGGTGATTGCAGGTAGCCTGTGAGTCCGCACGCTATGCCACATGGGAAGAAGTCGGATCTGAGACATTGATCAACATGACTCCCTCAAGATGTGACTTTTGCCCGAGCCTTGAGCAGGCGACTTTCCGTTATCGTCTGCCATGATTTCATCTGGGAACCTTGCAACATGTGAGTGCTGCTGAGACATCTGGTTTGGGTGTGCCCTTTGAAAATCTGGCAGATTCCGGAATAGTAGTCCTGCTGGTGTCGTCACGCCAGGATCTCATTGGTCTCTTGGTGATAGAGGATCTGCGACTTGTATGGAAGCAATTCTTTGTTGTCGGTAGATCAACGATCAATCCATTTTGTCGATGTCTGCGGGAAGAAGATCCGAAATGTATTATGTCATGCTCTTATTCCAAACTAATAAAAGGTGTCGATAACTTTTCAGTGTTCTCATCGCTCTTGACGAACCCGTTCAGCTTGAAAAGTTGAATCTTGTAGTCATATCAGCAAACATCATGGTATCTCCACGCGCCGATCAAGAGTCTCTCAAGATTATTCTCACGAAGCTCAATCGCCTCGAACTTCGTTTCAATGAGATCAATAGCAGGCTAAGTGCCATTGAATATTCCGTGGTATCAGATGCCATCACTAGCTCTCCAACCAGCCAGTCCTTGGAAAACGGCATATGTACCTCATGTGATATTCCTCGGCCATTATTTCAAAAAGACAGTTCACCAAGGCATCGCGCTGCTTCGACATACAGAGTATCAGTCGATAAACTTCGCCGCCGCTTCGAAATTGATAACTGCTCCGAATTGGATCCTAGAATCCTTGAGGAAGAAAAAGCCAACTCTCCTGACAATGATGTGGAGGGAATAATCAACGAGGATCACGATAATCGCTCTTCATCGGCTGACCCTTCACGTTCGGTATCCCGGCTTTCCCTTACTCCTTGTGAAACGGGGCCGAATCGCGATGTCCGCGATATTCCATCTCTGCGATATGAAGACTTGATGATTCGCACGGAGGAAATATCGGACTCAGAGCCAAGTAGCTTAAGCAATAGAAGCTCAGCAACGGGATCATTCTCGGAAACCCACCAACCACCCAGTACGGCTCGGACATCATTCACCCATCGATCATGGGCTGGTAGCAGGCGAAGCTCAACCACCGACGCTTTCAGCAAAATGAGGGGGTCCCTTCGACGTGCAGGTTCCCTGAGATACGGGGAAGGCCCCCCGGCGGCGAGAAACGGAGGTGCTCTTGTAGGGATGACACAAGACATGCCTGTTGCTGCAAAGACATCCTACATGAGCGCTGAGGAACAAGAAGACGTGCTGCGTGTGTATCAGAAAGCACAGAAGAGTGCTAAAGCATGCGTCGCTTTTGGCAAAAGGCTCATGTACAGAATAGGCAAACGCATGGTTAATCTGTCAGCAATTGAAAAAGCTTGACGGTTTGACTTGAATGTCCAGAATACATACATGATTCAGTCGTTTTTACGTCGCTTCCAAGGGCAAGGCTCAGTTAACCAGCTAGATGGCCTGTGCCCTGTTGCATACCATGTCCTTCCTTGGCCTTTCTGCTACCCATGCCGGAGTCAAGAGGCGCTACGGAAGAGAAGGTAATCCTAATCATGATGACAAACACCGACAGAGGCTGGACAATGAAGTTCTCTGCGGATTTTACTCTCACTAACTACCTTGATCAGCATCGGGGTGCAATAATACCAGGGAAATGGAGTCCGTTTTATTTGTGATGTTCCGTGGCCTGTCTCGTCGCAAACTCTAAAGGGCGCTTCCAGCCCTCCTCCTCAGATCCCGCGACAAACAGCCAAACAGAACCCAGCTCGCTAGTTGTTTCTCTTAAGCCCAACGTAATTCCCCCCCCCCCCCCAAAAAAATCTGATCGTCGAGGGGGGTGGCAATCGCGTGGTTGACACGAGTTTATTTGGGCAGCAAAAGTGTAATCAGTCCAATGGGCCATACCGAAGAGGTGGGGTGAAGTCAGAGTGTACTCTGTCTTGCATTTCTGCGGGGATTTTGGCCATGGATTCGACACCCTCAAGTAGCACGACTTGCTGCCCCGCCTAACAATAAGGTTGGTTACATCGTTCTTCTGCGACGGCGCTTTATTGAGCATCATGGACTTACTGCGAAGTGGTGAATCATATGGCAATGAAGCATGCTAGCGGCAGGGAAGGAGATCTCGTATCGGATGACTGTCCAGTCCCCAGTGCTATTTCCGAGCCTGCAGCCGTCTCGATTAGGTGGATTGTTGAAGTTGAAGTGCTTCGCCATGCCACCCTCGCGAATCGCATCCTCGACTGTTGGCCATGGGAAGCCACCAGTGCCAGTGCCGATGACAAAAGCTTTGTTGTTGTGCTTGTGGAATGGATGTTGCGATGTGACGTTGGCACCGTTCTCGAAGATGATGTCGACGATGGTCCCATTTTGAAGCACGCCGCCTTGTGTGTTGTCTCCGTAGGTCGTTTGGCCGCGTGACTCTTTATCCCATAATAAAGGAGGGAGCTGTTGACGGAAGGCTTGATGAGGACCGATGTTCAATGCCCAGGTGCTGGGGCCCGTCATGTTGACGAAGAACTTGACGGTGTTGTCTGCCTTGGGTGGAGGAGGTCGCGCCGGGTACGGTGCAAGCTTGGTCTCATCCATGGCCACGGAGGTAGACGAGATGAGAGTTCCGTTTAGATGAACCCAAGGCTTTGTGTCCGGGACCTCTTGCTTTAATTCATTGACTTGATCAGGATAACGAAGGACTCCAAAGCCTTGAATGACTTGCTCTGGGCGGAGCGAGGTCAATCTAATAGCGTAGTCCCCAGGGCTCTGATTGAGATGTACAAGAATGCTTCAAATCTTAGTTCATCCTCAATTCGGGTCATCCAGACTTGAGGGGGTCTCACCTGATACGTTCCCCAAGGTTGCAATTGGCAGCATGAACCTTTTGAGGATGCACAAACTCTCCATCGGCAGCGACAACGTAGAAATCGTGCTCGTCCACGCTGATTTGCAGCTCATGGTGTGCTCCAGAATGAATGAAGTTGATCCAAATCCACTCTTCGCCGCTTTGAGCCTCAAAGACCTCGAGATCAGCGAAGGTTGCTTGGCAGGCCTGTTCATTTGCGTATTCCTTCTGGCCGTTTTGGGGTAGACAACCAAGAGAGTTTCTCCCTGGACCCCCCACGGACTCCATCAATTCTCTTGGATGACATACTGTCCTTCCCTTGCCGTTGAGAACGATCGAGTTGCTGCACCATGGAACAATGCCGGTATCCCGATACATGACCAGCAAGGTATCCATGGGCTCGGCGTTCCAGTCACTGATGATAACATGGTTGGGATGCTTCTCAGCTCGCTTCATGCCATCAATGTCGACTGGGGACGACGATATCAGCTCGTAAGGCCTTGGCCTCCACGGAGCAGGTGCGATCCATATCGGCCCTCGCATGCCATCAGCAAATGCAGGCCCGAAGTGTCCGTGATAGAAATAGCTTCCATATTGTTGCTGAACCGTGAATCGGTAAGTGTAGGTATCTCGAGGTTGAATGGAGTATTGCGTTACGCCAGGGACTCCATCATTCCAGGGTCTATCGATTTGGTAGATGCCATGCCTGCTTCTGCGTAAGCCAAGGTAAAATGATGGATCAAAGTTATTGAATGACTATGAAATACATACCAATGCATGGTTGTTTCAAAAGCCAGTTGGTTGTCTAAGAACACCTCCACTTCGTCACCTTCTTCCGCTTCGATGAGGGGCCCTGGTGTCTCGTTGTTGATGGCAAAGACAGGTCGACCATGGCCATCTCCAACGTTCCACTTGTTCGTGATGGTAAAATTATACCGCCTTTTCTGTGCTGCCAGGCTTACGCCGGCGAGCAATGATAGGATCGCGCACTTTGTAAGAGTTACCATGGTTGTCTCTCTGTCCCGAAAAGAAGGAGGAGAAACCGCGCAGAAGACTAATCGGCATCCCTATTTACGGCGCTTGACTTGTCCTCTTTTACAGCGTTCTTCCGAACCTGGAATCCGTAGTCCAGGAACCCCTGCAACATTTGATGCAATCGTTAGAGTTTGTCGAGTCAGGGATAAGAAGCCGGATTCCCGCAATCTAACGCGAACCAGACTTGCCTTACATCGGCTGGACTTTACATAGTCTCACTTTAGAGTTTAAGCAGCAAGTCTAGCCCGAAGTTCGAGACCCCTACGCTCGGTCGAATGTCCCAATTATCGTGAGGACCCATCCAGATCGGTTGCAAACCCCTGACAGACCTCAAAATGCCACATCACAATCAACGCAATGCTCTGCGAAACAAGGTCACGCCCCTTTGCTTCAACACCTTCAGTCAAGCTGCAACGTTGCAAAGCCGCGGTCCGAAGGATAACAGCCAAGACTAGCCCCTTCGAAGGGGCCATTGCTAGTCAGAAATCTGACTACCGTATTACGAATCTGATTCAGGGTGGGTGGCAGAACCCCAGGAAATGTCGTGTCTTGAGCCCAGGGCCACTGTGGCTCGTGCGGTCGTTGCTGTTGTGTTGCCAGAGCAAAACTCCCTTCGCCCCCCCCAGACTCTTCCCCAGTCAGGAATTCCCTTGACCATCGCAAAAATGGAGTCAAAACAACAGCTTCTCGAGCCGACGCAACTCGGCGTATCTCTAAGGAAGTCTAAGAACCGATATTTTCGAAGTGTATGGATTTCTGGTCTGTCCACTCTCTTTCTTCTTGCTCTTACTGGGCTATGGAGGAACGGATACGCGCTCAGCGACCTACTTGGTAGCTGGGGCAAGGACACTACGAGTGGGCCAGAGCGACTCACGAGGAAATATACGCTTCGGACCGGAGTGAGATGGATGAACCCAGGTTCGAACCAGGCTTACTATCAATCCTCTATCATAAACTAATATGGACTTAGACGGAGGTCGATGGAGAGTCATGTTTGTTTGCAACGGGCAGACGCCTTGCCCTACCCTGCACGCCCAAGAAGGTGACCTCGTCGAAGTGACAGTCAAGAGCGACGTCTACTCTCAATCCTCGATTCACTGGTCAGAACAGCCCTCCAAGTTTTACATGATTTTCAGATCAGATATTGACAGAACTGAATAGGTCTGGCATCGGACACAAGGCGTAAGTAAAGTGTATTGAACCATACCGTCTTGCAGCAGCTTACTTGTTCCAACACAGAACTGGGAGCTGGAATGATGGCGCAGCTGGGATTTCGCAGGTTCGGCCCCTTCGAATAACTTTGCTGTATCAACCTTACACAGATATGACAGTATCCCATTCTTCCTCGCGGTAACTTCACAAGCGTGATTGACACAACAGGTTCTTGGGGACTGAACTGGTACGCCGAGCACACAACTGCTGCCTCAGCTGATGTAGGTTCCGACCTTCTTCTACGTCGATACGCACCCCTCTCTTGCCCACCCTATCTTGTCACCAAAATCTTTTCTTCGCCCCCCTCTTCTATGTCGCGTCTTCGACAAATATCACAGGACCTCCGTCTGACCTCTAACAAAAGGGCTTGTATGGCATGGTTTACGTCGCGCCGAGTCCATCGCGACTTCGTCCGTATCGTCTTATCACCACAGATGACATTGAAGTACGCAAGATCATGGAGGCCGAGAAGGAAGTGCGCCATCTCGCCGTCAAGAATCACCAACATCGAGACACCGGCTGGAAAATGCTACGCATGCGAGCCGAAGGTTCAGAATTTTATTGCTACGATTCAATCCTTGTTAACGGTGAGCAAATTCCCCCTCCCCGAGTAACCAGCCCCTGACTTGAGCCGCACTTTGTAGGGAAGGGCCGTGTTCACTGCCGCCAAGCAGGCTACGAGCTGCTGAATGGATTCCATCTGGATGAAACAGGTTGCGTTCAGCCACCTGGTCTACCCGAAGAATCTTGCACGCCAAGCGAGTCGGACTACGAGGTCTGTTGTGTTTTACTCTTACAAACGCCAGCCATGAGTCATGCTGATGAGGATACAAGATCATCGAAACGAATGGCAGGGATTACATAATGATGAATCTCATCAACATTGGCTTCGAGCATTCTGTCATGGTATCCATTGATAACCACAAATTGACTGTAGTTGCGAACAATGGCGGCTTCGTTATTCCCAAAGGAGCCGATGTAAGTCATTCTAATTGATATCAACGGTCCAAAAACACAAAGCTAACAGCTCACGATAGGCTGTATACATACCCAGTGCTGGTAGGGTTACCGTTCTGGTAAAACTGGATGCGGAACCTGGGGACTATGCCATGCGCATCTCGTCCACGAGCCAGATGCAAAATCTGCAAGCCTACTCAATCTTGAGATACCCAGTACGTTTACAGGTCAATGTTCGAGGCAAAAACTGACTCAAGGGACGTAACAGGCTAGCAGGAGACCTATCCTCGGCGAGCCAATGAAAGTTCCAAAGCCAAATTCACTCGACGATATCTGTGTTCTGCCTGATGGCTCTACAAACGAGGGCTGCAAAGTGGTTGAAGGCCAGTTCCTACCACCCTACCCTACCATACCGCCTCCGGCGGCCAAGAGTTCGCGTCTCGAGACAGCGGACTTCACTTTTCGTCTTGCTGCCGGTTCTCAAGCGTCGCTCACCGAGGCTCATGTGCCGGAGTTCTATCTCAATGAGAAGCCTTGGCAGCTATTCCGCTCATCTTTGATGCCTCTTCTCTTCCAGGGAGCAAATCAATCTGACTCTCAGGAGACCCTTGGTAAACCCATCATTGAAGGCATTCCAATGGGGTCCGTTGTCGATCTCATCATCGAGAACAACCTGAACGACACGGTGCCGCTCTACAAACATGCTGATCCTGCATGGCTACTAGGCGCGCAGGCGAACGAGAGGTTCTCACACAAGAGCGTTGAAGAAGCCATGGTGGGTGGCACCCAGCTTTCGAAGTCCATCAACCTACGCGATCCCGCTCTCGTCATAGTACATGACCTTCCCCCTCTCGGGTGGAGCGTTCTACGCTTCAAAGTAACGGCCAAGGCCGCTACTCTGATTCATGCTGTAAAGCTCAGGTATTTTGCGGTTAGTAGCCCTTCCCCGTATGCATTCAATACGCCTACCGTCGGTACTAGTCACGCTGACAATTTTGTAAACGTTAGCTGGGCATGTCCGCGCCAATCATGGAGGGCATCTTGAGTAGTGATCCAGTTGAGTTCCCGGAATCGGCTATCAACCGCCCACACGTAGAGTTCGAGCCGAAGAACGATGGCGTATTTGGATAAATTAGGTCTGGGACTGCGGAATTAAAGTTACGCGGATAACTGGAGATAAGGTTCCACCTGCAAGACACAAAGTCTGTCGCTTGTCTTGCGCGACGACTTCCTATTGCGGGTATCAGCTAGTCATTTTCAAGCCCCACCGAGTGCCATCCGGTCCGAACGTGGGATGAGCAGGGATGGTGCAAACATCGGCTAAAGTTTAAACGGCAGCATGCTGGATGACATGATCAAACTAGAGACATCGAGACACATAAAGGGAACGGCGTAATCGACGCTTCGAGGCCATCTCTTCAGGCTGCCCTGGACTCGACTCATATCCAAGTTTATGCCGTATAATGATCAAGTTGCTGAGCTGTGTACTAATAAGCCTATTAAGACTTTTTGGTCCCAACTGCTGGCCATGTACCATTGACAGATTTTGACGTATCCATAAGCGAACCGACCGAAACTGTTGTCGTCTGAACTTTATCCCTGCTGGAACAACTAGCTCACATCACAGCCGTAAAGCCGCGATAGTGGATTCTCGGTTTGGCGACACTGCCTCCTTACAAATTACTCGTCTGGGCCCTCTGATGTTATCTCTAGATTCAACAATCTTTCTGTCTAGTCACATCTGTCAGTTACAGTTTGTCTTGGCAGGTCCAGGTAGCTGGAACTTTATTCCCACGCCGTCAGATAACTTATTGTGTACCATCGCTCCCCGCCAACGTCAAAATGTTAATCGCCAACGTTGCCTCGGCTCTTCTAGTGTTGTCTGGGCTTTCTGCCGCATTGCCGAAGCCCATTCTGCAGGCGAATAATGATGCCTTGGAAAGCCGCGCGTCGAAGGATGTCAACCCAGCAGCCGTCACCGGGACCACCTGCACAGACAAAAACATGTCAGTCATCATTCGCATTCAGCCTGTGGCCCGAACGACGCATTTGCAGTCCTGGATCCTAACAATTCTTATAGCAAAATTGATACCCACGACATGAATGTTGCTACACTGGCTATCTGTGGCGGCATCGCAGGGTCCATCCAGAAATGCGGCGGTGCACCAAAGAGCACCACGGGCGTATCTGGGACAGCGAAGTTCACCTTGAACCCTACTACTTCTGGTGCCGTAATCAATGTGTCCAAAGGTCGCTGGGAAGGATGTATTCGGGCTGCGAGAGCAACATGTCCCAGTGGTAGTTTTAAGTCAACGTGCAAGGGCGGCGCAAGCACGGGTGACGTGGCCTTCACGCTCGCCAATCCTTGAATACTGGTGTAAATGAATCATGAAATAGCCCGAACAGAGCTATGTAAGGTTTATAAACAGTCCGAAAGAATTACAAGTATCCACTTGAATCGAGTGTCTTCTGTCTTTTCAATCAAAGGAAACTTTCAAGTCGAACTCCCTAGAATGCCGAGCTAGCTCCATAACAAATAGCCAGACACCCAATCCATACTCACTTTCCCCGTACCAATGTAAGAAAGCATACCGAATGTAAATACATCTCTTCCAAGAATCTTTTGCTTCAAAGCTTCCTTGTTGGGCCAGGAAGATAGACCCAGAAGGAAAGCAAAACGCGGATCGAAACCCATCGCAATTCTTGCTCTCTCCACCGTAATCACAGAAGACCTCTGGGTGTTGCTTTAGCGTGACATGATACAGGCAGACACTTTACTGGAGCACTAGCTTTCCTTTGGAAAAGTCAGATTATTGACCAAAGACAACAGGCACGTGGAGGGCTGGACCAGCAAGTCGCTATCCAGAAGTCGTAGTGAATAGGTTGTGTTTCAATTAGCGAAAAGCTTTACAGCCCTGGCCAACGAATTGTCTGACTTCCTTTGTTCCTGATATAACCATTCTACTTTCGGTTCGCCGTCATACTCGCGTCAATATTGGCGAAGCTTCCCATTACTGCTGGAGAGGCAAGACCCTGCAACTCTCCAACCGCACCACTGTGAGCATATATATCGGCAAAATATGGAAACCAGGTATGATGGTTTGACTATACCACTCCTTGGGAACTGAGACATGATTATATACATCAAGCCTGCCTTCTACAATACTGAGACGCCCGATTACTACTAGGTATGATACTTTGTTTAAATTGTGAGCTTAGATTCCATCGATCATGAGATTCCTACTGAATTTGGGCCTCCCGGGCCTGCGTGCAAGACCGGGATACTCTTTTCCAGGTGATCGATAAAGGGAACAACACGAATATGACAGGTGGGGGCGGCTACTCAGGCAGACGTCTCCAAGGTAGCCGGCCGTGCCGAGCCCGCTGAGTTCGAAGCCCAGACCAAGGCCGGCCCCGATGGCAGTGACTTCGAGAACTCAGCTCCCTTCCGTGTCAACGACAGCGCCAGCTCCACCGCTGACTCCCTCATCATGCTCGAGGGAGCTTACGAGGGCTTCGTCAAGACCCTCGGCTGGCGGTCCTCCGGCCCCTCTTTCAACGAAGCCCCTGATACCGGATCTTACTCCAAGATCAATGTCTACTCGATCTCCAACGTCGACAGCGCCGCCGGCCTCGGCAAGGACATGGTCCACCAGATGACGGTCCGGCACGAGAAGAACAGCAACGAGACGCCCCTCCACACTCGATCGCGTCGCCAGCAACACCACCACCGCTGAGATCGTCAGCAAGTACTGTGACCACATGGCCTACGTAGATGTCGGCCACCACCAGGCCCAGGAGACCTTCAAATGCGCCAAGGACAGCATCACCTTTGGTAACGTTGACAAGTCTGGCCATGACTACAAGGTCAAATCCGCCCGCGCCCACCGCTACATGGGCTACAATATCATGCCCCCGACGACTTTGAGTGGCAAGGTCGACGTAAAGGTCACCTCGCCATCAAGGCTCTAGCTCAGTCCGCTATGTGCAGCTCACCAACAATGCCGGCTCCGCAGAGGTCACCAGCGGCGAGGAGGCCAGCTTGGTTGTTGCCAACACCTCCAAGAATCTGATCTTCTACAACGGCTTCCAGCTCGCCATCAGCGACGCCAACAAAGGCTGTGACTACGCTTTCAACCTGACGGAGGCTACCGTTGCGCAAGTGGCGGAGAATAGTGTGTGTTTTGTATATCAATTCATGTAAACTAATTTCTCTTCTACACAAGGTACTGTCAGCTACTCAGTGAGGGCATCCCCATACAGCTTTCAAAATGCCAAATTTGGTCAAACCCGCTTCCCATTCCGTGTGACACCTTTTCATCTTCCCCTGATAATGCGGGACAATCAAGTTGGCCAAGCAATTTCACCGCCATCACACACTGGCAGTCCAGGGCAGCGATTTGACGGAATCCAACTCTTTGAGAGTCAGCGCCGTAACAACAACAGCAGCACCGACAACCAAGGCCATTGGACGTCGTATTAAGCTCGTGACCGACTTTGGCTGCTGATACTTGTCGTCCGCGGCGTCCGCAAGAGCTAGGTTGGACTGTCTGCCTGCCTTGGCGTTGGTACATCCCAGGCACCTCAGCTGGACAAAGCTTAGCCGGCATATGTGAATGCAATAAGACGCGATCCCGCCGAGATAGTCCGCTCGCGTTTGCGGCATTGCCGCACTGTGGACCATGATCGGGAGTAGTCTGAGCAATACCATCGAAACCACATTCGCGACCACGACCTTTCGGAGCATGGGAGAGTTTGTCACGGCCCGGCCGTGGAATCGCATCAACGCGGCGGTGTCGAAAAAGAGCTCCGTCACCAGGCCAGCATAGATCACGTAGAGAGGACGCCTCGGGCCCCGGCCGATGAGGAAGAGACCGAGGGATGAGAGGGAGAGGACATGGTGGGCGACGTACTCTGGAGAATAGCTGAGGAGTGGCAACTCAGACGTCCAGAGAGCCGCACGGGAGGCCAGGCAAATCTTGCCATTAGCGGTGAAAGGGCGGTCGAGGCCAAAGGTGTCGGTGGCGGAGGACGTGTCATTGTAGGCCGCGATACAGATCGGAGTCGTGACCAGAGTCACGAGGAAGCCCAGCGGGAAGACAAAGTAAGGAGCCACTTGCGATGCCTGTCGGTTTCCAATGTCTTGTAGAAGTCAGGGTTAACTCGTTTGACTATCCGGTGCGCACAGCGGTTCACGAGTTGGTAAGCGACTAGGCCCACAACGAAGAGGACCCAATCTGGGAGAGCCATGCTGTTGGGAACAATCTCGTGGTGAGCTGTCACAAGAATTGGACCGGAATCAAGAGCCAAGAGTATTTATACCGTGATGGAGCAATGCTTGCAATGGCGAATCGGTACGACATATTGTTGGAACTACCAGATCGTGGACTAACATGTCACTATTGGGCCTTCTGTTGCGGTTTTTTATTGGTGCAAGTCAGCCCAGCCATTATGCGTCACGTATGTTGTCTTCTCCACCACTAGAGAATGGGTATCGCTGATAGGAGATGACTGGTATCTCACGTAAGCCTCGATGCGGCCGATGTACCTCGCAGAAAGATAAATGCAGCCTTGATAGCCGGGTTGGGTTAGTCGTAAAGAAAACAGAGAAGATGGGTGGGATGCGCCATTTATTGAGTCACCGTCAGTCTAAAGTGTAATGGGTGCAAGACCGACTGTGAGCATGGAGGGCCACAGGTTGAGACGATCTCACACGTCGGGGCTCGCAAGCATATCATTCCTAGGTAGTCAGTGATGACCTCCTCGTCGCTAGTTGCACAGGCACAAAATGCTTCACGGTAATCTGGCACACAGGCAAACACCTCATATCAGCCAAAAAGGGTCCAACCTGAATTGGTGAAGCTGCAGGCGAGGGCTCTTGGCAACGACATTTCCACCAGGTCTCGGCGTTCGTATGGGGCAGCCGTTCGTTCCGGAGGTGGGGCCACAGAGCCGGCGTGCCGCATTTCTGAAGGTGGGATCTGGGGAGTGCGCTGGAGAAGTCGGGACTCGGAACACACTATGGATAGAGCACCATGATGGTCTGTTGATCTTGGCCGGCGTGCCATCGTCCCGCGATGAGGGTCGCCTGTAGGGGTCGCGGCAGTGTCAATCTCGGGGGATTTCTTATCCAGCTGGACAAGGATGGCGCAGGGATGGCTCGTAGGCGGTGCCTCAGTTGCTTGTTGCGCGAGGAAACGAAACGAAAGAGTCTTGGTGTGCCGTGTATCCGTAGCCTTTCGTCTTTCATCTTTGACTGGAGTGAGTGCGCCTTGTGCTTGGTACCTACTAGGTATATTGAAATGCAACCAGGTCGGGAAGAGGGAACTCGGTAATTATGTAAGGCACGTACGGTACTGCCATGCGCCTTCGGGCAGTTCGGGAAAACCTGAGGCTGGCAGGGGGAGACGCTGCGCACTCCGCAGCGTTGCTAATTCAATGGGGTCTTGGCGGCTCAGAGCTGTCAGTTTTGCAGAGCCGTACGTGATTGGGTGCTCCGTACGGGTGGATATCCATTTGGCCGTGTGCAACATGGTGGAAAATTCACTGTGCAGGTGCCCCCTAATTGAGGCAGGAAATTGAGAGTTCCATCCAAATTCCCGGTGGCCTTGGCACTGCATAGCGACTGGCCTCGCTTGAAGGGCTTGTGGAGTCGGCGGGGACGAGCACAGTGCGGATGGAGACTAAGGTTAATTGCGGTCGAGACTCTGCTTCTCCAGGTGCTCTCCTTCTCCAGTTGCCAATGCCTCCCGTCGGTGCCTTCCCACGAGTTCCTTTTACCGGTGTTTGTTCTTTCCATAGCTCACTCTCCAGAGGTGCACCCTGCACGTCTCATCATATCATTCTCAATCTCAATCTCACTCTTATTTTTCCTCTCAACCCACTCCCGTTTTCCTGCAGTCATCCACGGGCCTTCAGAAGAGGCCAAGCCACCCAATGTCTAGGAGAAGATGATGGCCTGTTCAACTTGTCATTGCCCACACACGCGCGATGTGTTGGCCACCCGGCAGCTCACACGGCAACCGTTGGCACACGCTCATATCCTCCGCCGCGTCCGGTCGGTCCTCTGCCCTCGTGTGATCTGCCTTGGCCGAACCGATCGGTCCTTGGCGTACATTAACGACACAATGCCCAAGCCTGCTTGTTCTGCATTCATGGCCAAGTTTGAAGAAAGGGATGCGCGTTGCCCTGTTTTGGTCTATTGCTCTCGCCCGCCGTCCTGGTTCCCATCGCGCGTATCTGTTCCTGTCTGCTCGTATCACTGTCTGATATTTCGTATTCGACCCGGTCTGGCCCTGCGCACGAGGCGAGTTGAGGCGAGCTGAGGTGAGGTGAGCTGAACTGACTGACCCGAGCTGACATGCCATCTGAGGTGCTGCAGCTGACTAAGTTTCATCTTAATACCTTGCGGATACCTTTTGGGATGAGACGCAGCTGCGAACTCTCGCCTTGACAAGTTGACCGAGACACATAAGTTGCATTCACCTGGTTCTGGCTTTGGTTTTGATTTCGATTCCGTTTGTTTGCTTGGCATTCTCCGGCAGTCAATCCCTTTCTGCTATGCCACCTTTGTTGCCCTTCACTGTGCATCCTTGCCCTTCAAGTTCGCGTACCTGGTCTGGACCATCCCTCCAACGGCTCTTCCCATGTGTCGGACGGCCGATCGCTCTCATCCCAAAACCGCGAGCCAACGATCAGCGGCCACTTCTGTCCGACGGATCACAGAGCTCCAGCCTCAGCCTCTCAATCGCAATCAACCTCAATCTCCCTCGCCAGGCCTGAGACGCCATCGCCATCGCCAAGACGCTGATGAGCCTTAGGTTCTGGGCGACCCCTGGATTCATCGTGCCTCTGTCCCCCGTTTTGTGCATTCGAGGCATCGGGGACATCCTCATGGAAAGCAAGCCGATTGAGAGTAGGGCCCCCTTTGCCCTTCGTCATCCCCTTGCCTCCTTTTTCGGAGCCTGTGATGCCCGTGAGCCGTGAGTCGTGACAATCCCTTCTGCCCCCTGGTAGGATGACGGGTAGAGGACTACCCGCGTACCAGTATTTGGCTAGGAATGAGTCTTGGCAATGTTCGTCGTTGGGTAGGGATGGCTGGTCCTGTTTGGGAAAGGGTTTGGCGTGCTCGCTGTTCCGTCTTCTGGGTTGTCCCTGAGCCCATCTGCTGCCTCGACAATCGCAGTTCGTCCCTATCCGTTTGTTCCCAGCCGTCAGTGACGATGATCCATTGGCCTCGAGCGGCAAGCCATGTCAAACCCCATCCCCTCAGCCCATCCATCTCTCCACTGGGGTTCATTCCCCGGGTTTGCTGCCAGGCATTCAACGGCCTGTCTGTCTGCTGCATGGTCCTTGGTGCTGCACCGCTGCCCGCTGCCCTTGCAGATGGTGGAAGAGGCAAACCATGGACCGGGACCGTAACCGCCCTTTGGCTTTGGATAGTCCCGAGACTCGTCGCATCTATGAATCCATCCAAGGTCTTTTGGGCGCAGAGGGGGGGCCCTGCTCCTGTTGAACCTTGTGAAGGGTGTTCCAGTGCTGCTCGTCGGCGTCTTCTCATTTGCTGCACAGCCCCGATGCCCAGAAGGCCAAGACTTTACCAAGAATACCAAGACTTTGGCGGCCACCAAGACAGATTTCTACCGCGTCATCCTGTGGTGTGTCGTCTCCCGTGTCTGTTGATTCCCATTCTGTGCACCCCAAAAAAGCCCAGAGCTGCCGAGAAGAAGAAAAAAGTGGCCTACAAGCCTGTTTCCTCCCCCTTTTTCTTCCCTCTCCCGCGCATCCTGAGCCTGAGCTATCGAGAGGACGAGGGAGACAAACTTGTGTCGGTTACCTGCCACTATCCCCAGCTCACACCTGGTCATCATTCATCCTCCACCACGCCGAAACAAACACACAAAGCTCACACCACACAAACTCGAACCTTTACTTTACTTGTCACTATCTCTCTCTCTCTCTCTCTCTCTCTCTCTCTCTCTATTATACCGTTCAAAAGTTTTACCCAAGGAAAACAAGCATAATATATAAAATTGACACTCGCTTTCGACGACGAATACGACTTTCCGACCGATCGATTAAACGACCGACACCTCTACGGCAACACACCGCAGCCACGCTCTCTTTTATTGTCCCCTCCACCTTCTGCCGCCGCCCAGTCATGAACAATCGCTTCTCATAAACAAAAACCTTCTTTTTTCAAACATCGGCCCGGCTTTTATTTTCCATCACCGTCAACTCACTCTTTCTCCGACCTCGACTCCCTCGTTCTCACCCCGAATCGCTCCGGCCGAAAGATCGATCCAACGGCCGCTTTCACCCAAGTCTGAAAGATTCTCAATTACCTCTCACCCACTCGACTTCTCATCCAGTAGCGATTTTTACCTCCATTTGCAGGCCGGCGCTTCGCCATGGTCACTTCACTCGCTTCTGCCGCTTCGGCAGCGCTCCTGCTCGTCAGCAGCCTCCCCGCCGTCAACGCTCAATATGCCATTGACACAACTGGTAAGCAAGCCGACCATCTCTAACCTCAAGGTCATCATCGCGCGCTGGCGTGAACGAACTGCGGCCATTTCACCCAGCAACCTCTGTCCTACTAACACTTTGTTTTAACCCATGATTCAGACAACATCAAAAAGTCAGCAAAAATGCTCGCATACGATCTCATTAAGCAGTACAAGGGCAACCAGACGGGAGAGATCCCCGGCATCCTGCCCGGCCCGCCCACCGAGCACAAGGGCGACTACTACTGGTGGGAAGGAGGCGCCATGATGGGCACTTACATCGACTACTGGAAGCTGACGGGCGACTCGGCCTACAACGACCTCGTCATGGAGGGCATGCTGCACCAGACCGGCCCCAACGCCGACTACATGCCGCCGAACCACACCGCATCGCTGGGCAACGACGACCAGGGCTTCTGGGGTATGTCCGCCATGCTGGCCGCAGAGAACAAGTTCCCGAACCCACCCGAAGAGAAGCCTCAATGGCTCGCCCTGGCGCAGGCCGTGTGGACGACCCAGGCCAGCCCCGACCGTCACGACGACACCTGCGGCGGAGGTTTGAGATGGCAGGTGCCCTTTTCCAATGCAGGATATAACTACAAGAATAGTATGCAAACACCCCGAGCGATATGGGAGGATGCGAGCAGGTTCACCCAAGGTGACTAACACGTTGCAGCCATCGCCAACGGATGTTTCTTCAACATTGGCGCTCGCCTCGCCAGATACACCAACAACGAAACGTATGCGAAGCATGCCGAGAAGACCTGGGACTGGTTGTGGGCCGTGAATTACATCGACCACGAATCCTGGAATGTCTACGACGGCGGCCACGTCGAGCACAACTGCACCGATGTCAACAAGCAGCAATTTTCCTACAACGCGGCCATTTTGACACAGGGTGCCGCTTTCATGTACAACTACGTAGGTTCAAGCCTTTCATGAATGAGCTTGAAGGCCATGGCGATGACCTCAGACTGACTAAGGACACTAGACTAACGGTTCCGACGTCTGGAAAGGCCGCATCGAAAAGATGACGGAATCCCTCTTCCTCAACTTCTTCCCCAACAACACCGCCTACGAGCTGGCCTGCGAGGGACGCAAGGGCCAGTGCACCGCCGACATGCTGTCCTTCAAGGGCTACGTCCACCGCTGGATGTCCGTCGTCACGCAGGTCGCGCCTTTTATGAAGGAGAAGATTATGCCCGTGCTCAGGGAGTCGACGCAGCATGCCGTGAACCAGTGCACGGGTGGTCCCGAGGGCCGCACATGCGGCTTCTACTGGAACGAGAACGTATACGTCGACCCGGCCGTCGACAAAACCTCGGGCGCCGGCGAGGTCATGAATGTTCTGGCCGCCGTGTCGAGTTTGCTCATCGAGGACACCGCCCCGCCCGTGACCAATAATACGGGCGGTATCTCGGCGGGTGATCCCGATGCTGGAACTAAGAGTAAGGACTACATTGAGCCGGAACCCATCACGATGGCGGACAAGGCTGGCGCGGGTATCTTGACGTTTATCGTTCTTGCTGGCGGCCTGGGAACGTGGGGATGGATGAGTCTGGGTGATTGAGAACCTGGGGAGGAAGGGGATGAGCGAGGAGGCATGAGATACCTAAAGTAATGGGTTGTTTTTTTTTATTGTACGGACTACATATCTGGATCGCATGGCATGGCGTTCTGGGCAAACACTGCAGGAGATGGGACTTGATTAACTTCCACTGCTACGAATATTCTTTTCTAACCAATTATTGAGTGTCACTACCTTGTGGTCTACGGCCTTATCGATAGAACTCCGCCACTCGAAGGCTTCACGATTGAGCGTGAGCTACTTGTGAATGCTTGTCTCAAGAAACACGTCGAAACCAATGCCCTTCCCGCCATGGAACCTGGATAGATAATCAGCCTCAACTGTCAGGAGAGTTAGACCCTGCATATTGGGAGGTACTTGCTCCAGGTCAGGCTTGCAGTGGTGAATGCTGCAAGGTCATCGCCTGTGCACATATAAAGTCTATTTGTGGCTAGCATTGGAAATGGTGGGGAGAATGTGGAGTGCTCGAAATGTCGTCTTCGGTGTCGGTTCCGACTCAGTTCGGGGCATTGTGGCCCGTTCTCTCAGAGATGTTTGTTGAACGCATTGCACAAAATTAGATATCTCACTGCATATTTGGTTCGCTCGAGCATCTATGACTGTGCTCCTTTTTGGGCTTTCAGGGGGATCCGGTTGATTTAGAGCTCTAGAAGTGTGCGTCATTGCTTTTAAGCTTATCTGTTAATCTCCATAATCGAGCCGAATATCCGACCAGACTCAAGTTACCTGGCGGCAGTGGCTGGCATGGAATCTTTGGTCCGTGAACATCCCGTTGATGTGTTCGATATTTTCTGTAAAGAGACTGAGACGGCACTCCTTATAAGCTGCCTGGTGCCTCGTGTGCTTGGAGAAGACGCTTGTTTCGACCTACGACGCAAGGTGCTCTCTAGCGACTGGGCCCCGCATAATTCTGCTGCGTGAGGCATGTCCATTTCTGGACCTCTCTTGATTGCCGGCTAATCGTTTTCTTCGTAGTGATGATGGGGATATTTCAAACCAGTTTGCATATCTCCGAGTAACGAAGCTGTGTGGGTAATAGGTTGACCATAACCCTCCACCCCTATTGAGAGAGTCGTTTTACAGCGTCCTGGCAGAAGCCCAATGATGAGTCCATTCTTCTGTAAGCCCCCTTTGGACTCCACTAGATTCGTTTGGTGATCTTATTGAATGCGTTAACATACTCTGATTTGTTAAGAAAGTCGTCGGCAATTACGTTGGTAACTGCTACTTGGGTTTAAACAGCAATATTGGGTCAATTGAGCCAAAAAATGATTGGCAGGAGTGAAACTCGAAGCATCAGTCACAGCTGTATCTGGTACTGAGAGGGGGTAGATTTCAGTTTCTGGGATACGTGTAAGACATTTGGTAGCCTTTTTCGGGCTGACTTGCTTCTTGGGAATTTCGATGCTACCAGTCCAGGCTGTGTGCTCGACTTTGCCGACCAGCAGAAACTTCAACTTGGTTCATATGAACTTGGCGTCTCCATTCTCATCTTCCTGGAAGGACTCTCCCTCAAACTAATGAAATCCATAAGGCTAAGTACCGCAGCTAACCTTATCCCCATGGCTGGAGGATTCTTGTCGGGCTTGTCGGTATCTTCCCAGCCGTGACTAGACTTAAGATTATTGGTCAAGTGTAGTATTGAGATTGATTTGGTCTTGCTGCTGATATCAGAGTTGACGAGAAAAGAACAGAATGGTTTATGACGCTACAAAGAAGATGTCAGGGAACTTTTAGTGTAGCTGCTGAGCCTCATGTGCCCTCTCAAAAGAAGGCGTTCGTACAAGCGGCGTCAAGAATGCAGACTCAAGACAGGGCAGGTAACCGTGTAGACAGGTGCCCCGCTCTTTGTGCTCCCACACTAACGGACTCATGGGTCCGTATGCACTTTCATTTCGCCCATCTGGGTGTATGAATCAGAATTTCTCTGATGAAATTCTCTTCGTTACTAGAATCTGGTCATCGCAGCTTCAGGTATTCGCAATTCGGCCGCTCTCGAATGAGAGGTACTACCTCGACGGTCATCTTTGAGAGAAGAATAGCTATGCCATGAGTTTTACGATTTTCTAGAAAGCTATAAGTAGCACCCAAGTACTTACATGTAAGTACAGCTTGCAACTTGGAATTTGGTTCCTTACAATCAACTTTTGAAATCCACTATTTTGAACGGAGATAGATAGCCTCTTGACAGAACGAAAGCCACACTTTGGCCTTCATATAGATCTACCGTGGCCCTGGGTGACCATGAGCGTCTTCCCAACAGTGTTCGGATTCAGCAAATTCTCAGCCTCCTTCAGAGCCTGGGAAACAGCCACAGAGCCCCGCTCAACGACATCGGCGCCGTATGCAGCCATGGTATCTTTTCGGTTAGCCGCGTCATGAGCGTCTCTCAGTCTTTTTAGCGCGTCTATATAGTTTTGCACATCAACTATGGCATGCTGGAGTCCCTGACCTCGGACTGTAGAAACATAGGGTTAGCTATATAATATCATCCACTCAATAATCATATAGACACTCGGACTTACAAGGCAACATAGGGTGAGCGGCATCTCCGGCTAGTGTAACTCTGCCGTCATGCGTCTCCCACGGGCTGGGAAGCCAGTACTTCATTTCGTCGAGATAGCAAGAGCTTCCTTCGGGTGTCCATTCTAGGGCAGACCGGAACGGCTCACAGAAGCTTGATAGGTCTTTCTTCGCATAGTCGATGGCTTCTTGGCCATTCAGGCTGACTGAATGGCCGCGCCATACCTTGACCCAGAATGATTCCCAACTGGCAACATCGTTCGGATCCTCCGCGGACATGACTACAGTTTCAACTTAGAGACAGGAGATCACTTGTTGAGTATGCAGATACTCACCGCCACAAACAGCTAGATTCGCCGTTCCTAGCATGAGAGCACATACAGGATGGGCCTTTACCACAGCATTGACTTTATCTGCGTTCCCATATTTGCAAACACAGTTGGCAATGGAGTATCCCGAGGGAACTGGCCGGGCTTTATCAACCCCCATAAGCAATTCCCGGACCTTCGAGGAGACTCCGTCCGTCCCCAAGACGTAGTCGGCCTCATAGTTGTCTCCATCTCTAAAGACAAGCTCTGCTGAGGCACTGCTGGGCACAATTCGATCGAGATGTTTGCCCCAACGAACGTCAAGTCCTTCCGCTAGGACATTGCGTAGGCGACGTCTGCTGAACCGCCGCGCACCGGGAGTCGAATTCTGGAACATAACCTCGCCAGTAGCGCCAGTGTACCCGACCACGCTCTCGTCCCAATCATTGAACTCCAGGTGCGGATTGCAAATCCCTTGAGGGAAGTTCTTTACAACCTGTTCAGGTAACAACTCTTTGAGTGTTGCCATGCCCCAGCCAATGAGAATCGACCAGTCGCGGGGCCGGGCTGCGATACTTTCATCGCGCTCGAATACGACTACATTGAATCCATTCTGGTATCTGTCAGCATCTCGAATGAATTCATGCGAGGCTCGATAACTCGCCTTCTTCAGACCTTGTGCAGCAACCAAGCCTGTCAGCCCCGCACCTATGACTGCGACCTGGGGTCCATTGTCCCGGTGCAAGTTGGAGTTGCCGTTGGTGTTTTCAATAGCCATTGAGGACTCAGTCAACATGCACTTGAGTGAGTAGCTCAGGGGTACAAAGTATGATGATAAGTGTTTAAGCAAGATGCCGGAAGCATGAAAAGTAAACGACCAGTTTCACATGACGGACTTCCGTACGAAGAATTCGACACGTGATTTTCTCCCGTTGCGCAACATAAGACGGTCGCTTGATCGGATGAATATCAGATACTGCCCGCGAGATGGTGACGTAGCATGGTAGCATTTTGACCCCCGTTACGGATACAAAGCTAGCAAAGGCTCATGAAGGATTTGTTTCCAGGCCTCGTCGGCACTACTAACCGATAATGGGTCGGAAACGCCGGGTCTAGCGCCGTCAAGGGAATCTTGCGAGCAGATCAGGCCTCACTGTTCATCCCGTGGAGCCGTGAACAATGTGCAACATGAAGATACGCCATCATTGTTGGGTGTGCTCGTGTGGATTCTCATGGCAGCCCCATTTGACTCCCGTTGATCCATCGGAATGTCTTTGTGCGGAAGATAGGTTACAAGCAGGAAGGCCAGGAACATTGTGTAGTGGAATCTTATTCTTTGTAGAAAGAAGCAAGTTTACAGTTTTTTTTTTAAAAAAGAGGGGTGAACCTGATAAGAACATAACAACAAGTAGGCAGGTACATATCTTGTATGGCCTTTGGACGCCCGCTCAAGAACTTTCCTCATCGGAATCCTCGTCTGCCCACTCCAGACCACCGTCTTCAGTAAACCAGTCAGAACCCCATCCGTTGTGAAAACTAGCGAGTCCATCCTTCGCATCGCTCCGAAAGTTTTCTACAGGGCACTCTGCCCATGTTCGGAGCATCTCCTTCAACTTAGCAACCACGTTTTTATCATGGGGATTATGAGCCCGCATCATGAAATCCTTGGCCATCTCAATTCGCATGTAATCTGCCAGCGTGGGGTTTTCAACATTGACGTTTGAGAGATCACCCATGAGGACGGCTAGGTACGCGAGACGTGGCATCCATGCGGGAGAGCCACGTGCTAGCCAGTGCCTCAGATGAGCCCAATTGTTATGGTACGGAGTATGGCCGGTTGCCAACTCATCAATCAGGGCCGAAATCTCCTTGGCAAATGAAGCGTCAAGGTCAGCAGCCCCTGGAGGAAAGGCCAGCATCTCTATCTTCAAATGAAATGTGTCTGGTAAGGCCTTGGGCTTGCGCTTCAGGTCACGCTGCCAAGAGGCAGTGCGCAGTTCCTCGATCCTCGTGATGATTGATCGTAACACCGGCTGTGTCGTCGATTGCCAGCGCTGTAAAGCCTCGGGATTCTTCTCTTTCACCATTGTTGAAGACATGGTCTTGAACAGCGCCTCAACATGAGATGGGATGCCGTGGCTGATAAGCCCGTCTGCAAAGTCTTTTGCGAACTGCTGGAGCATTTCAACGGTGATGCGGTCATTCGGGTTTACAACCTGCTTGCTCATGTCGGTCTGGTGCATCCGTGCTAGACAGTCGGTCCAGCCGCCAAGCGCGATCTTTTGTTCATCTGCGCCATAGAGCAGCAGCCAGTGTTTTCCCGCATTCGACATGGCTAGGATAGAGTTGCTTCTGACTTTCTTGTTGATGGCAACTACGCCAGGAGAGGGCCGAAGATTGGCGAGAACGTACTGGGTCAGCATTTCAAACGTGGGCCGCGAAAAGTATTCCGGGGATCTTGGGAAAATCTTGAGCATGTCTGGATCCACAGGGGTGAGTGGGAGGCTTTCCCCAGGAGGCAGTGAGAAACCGTTCTTTCTGAGGAACAACTCCAACCATCGTCTATTGTTCTCCGCAGACTGCAATTTCAACCGTTCCGTGATACTGGCCAGCTTTGCTTTGGAAACGGGGTCGTTGCAAAGTCTTTGATCCAGACGATAGAACAGAGACCGGATAGGGGCTGCTGATTGATCAGTTGCGTCGGCCACTTCGGGTAGCTCGCCATCAGACTCTGCCTTATCCCAATCAGTTTCGGTCATTGGACGTCGCTCAGTGAGGGATGCTGCGAGTGGCACGGCGAGATCCTCGAGAAGAACCAAGATTCGGTCCTTCACATCGGCCGAGGCTGTCTCAAAATCTAGGGTATCGAACATGGTCTGGATGATGGCCACCCGAATATCGATGTGCTGAGCTTTGGTCAGAACACCGACGAGAATGTCAATAGCTGATGTAATGTCTAGGAATGGCGCATTGCTGAGAAGCTTTGCCAGCATCTTTACCGTCGTGACTTTGACGGCGGGTGCAGACTGGGCGACTGGCTCACCGTCCTCCTCCTTAGCCTTTCTGTATCTGACCTGCTGCTCCTTCAGCTTTTCCTGTATGCCGAGTGAGATCATGCCGAGCAGCTTTTTCGCCTCCATCGGAGGTATGGTGTTGAAGAATCCCTTGGTAAGAAGTTCTCGGTGCCAGGCGCTGTCGCTCGGCCTGCTAAGAATAACGTCCCTGATGAAAGGGAAGGCTAGAGAGGGTTGGTCGCTGCTGGCGAGCACCTTGATAAGCTTCATAGCCAGGCGATTAGGGGCACGCTTTCGAGACTCTGATTCTTCGTTTCCATCGACATTCTGGAGGATCGATTGCACAACCTGTGCAAGCAGTGCTGGTGGGCCAGATCTCAAGATATGGAGCGCCTGGGCCTCGTTTTTGTAGAAAAAGTTTTCATCAATAGTTTCAATGAACTCCTGGTCCAGATACAACGCCGGATATCGCACATCGGCTGTGGATGGAAATGGTTGCTTCAAGATAGAATTGCCGCATCCATGCATGGTGTTGAGAGTGAGAAGGAAGGATGCGGAAAAGGCGTCGACACCTTTCCCAGAAAGAGGCCCCGTGAATTGCTTTGCGTCCCAAAAATTGGTAGCATTTCTGAATGGAACCCAGGCTGAGCCTACCAAACTAGACATCCCCCAGATCCCAGAGTCTCCGGAGAAAATGAAACTGCCCGTTGTCATCTCATCTAAGATCTTGATGGGAATTTCTTTGCGATGAAGTTCCTCAAATTCCAAGTGGTTAGGATCTGGATTCCATTCTGTTGGCGTTTCAGGATCATCGACGGGCGGAATGGCAGGCTCATCTCGTCTCGGAAACTCAGCTTTAACATCTGTAGGTAGTCTGATGCGGTTGGATTTGAATCGGTTATCCCAGAATCGTAAGGCTTCGGCTTTTGTCATTCTCGTCCCGCTGAGCTGGTCAACTGCATGGTGCCAGGCTTTTCGGGCGCGCTCTTCTCGCTGAGAGTTTGCTTTCTGGCCATTGACGTATGCTTTCAGGGCAAAATCATAGTAGTCCACAAATCTGCCTATCGCCGCCCGAGACTCTTTGTCCTTTGGAGGCTCTTGAAGCAAGACCTCTGGAGCTCCAAAGACGACTTTCTCAATCCTCTGTCGGATGTAGGGCATATTATCAATGTCCTTGAGGTCGTAGAAATCGTGCGGTAAGAGAGATTGCACCGAAAGCCCCTTTGGCCAGGGCTCTTCCAAAGTGAGAACCGATGGGAAGCGCTGAGGGCGGTGTTTCTCCCACAAGACGTTGCGGGCCTTGGCGAGCTCGTCCACGAATCTGACGACGTGGGTCCTCACCTCGCACTTATTAAAACAGTCCGTGTTGGTGAGAAGCCCAACGAATCCGCTGGGGTAGAGCTTGTGATGGTCGGCATGAAGCATGAAGGTTTCTGCTTCAACCAAGAAGTCCACAGTCGGCTGCCAGACGACGTCGTAGACCTCGGCGTCTGTCAACTTTCGAGCATCTTGGAACTCATTGACCATTCGGAATCGCCTTTCCACCACCGCTGCAGGCACTGTGGTGACGGCGTGCCAGTCATGACCCTGGAAGCTTGGTTCTCCAAGGGCCATTGATGCGGTTTCCAGTAGCTGCATTAGAATCTTGTTCGCAGACCGGATGACTTTTGCAGCATCGAAATCCGGGTTTCGCGCATAAGAAGCTACCGCAATGCCGCTGAGCAAGTCTATTCCCTCGGCAGTCTTCAAGGCCCGGTGAGAGTAAATTTCCTTCACTGCATGTATGTCCTTGTTGAAGCGTCTCACCCAAAGCAGGTTTTCTGCGTAGACCTCCAACGAGCCCGCCGCTATGGAGAGGTTGAGCGCTGACCGAGCCCAAAAGGCTCGGCTCTCCCAATCACGGCTTGAGGATGCCTTTCTTCTGCGCTCCTGCAAATCCGCGTCTATCTTGCTGTCGTGACCCGGATCTAATGAGCGCGGAGCTGATGATGTCCGTAGAAGAAAAGCTTCGAGTGCCACCCCATCACCTCTGATCGAATCAGGGTCTTGCTCATGATCAAAGATGGAACCCACCCTCTCGCTTGAACGCTTCAAGAAAGATCCGTCGGGGAAAACAGCCATCAGACGTTGGAAGAGGCGGAGAGACGCAAGCCGATCATTGGATCCGAGCATCGTCACGAAGAAGCTTGCTGGCCATAGTCCCCTGAGCTTCTTGAAAGAACTGCCGTCACTGCCAGTATCGTCGTCAATGTCAATGCGGTAAGCTCGTAGATGCTGGAGCATGAGTCGGAATAAGCGGTAGGACACGGCCGGCTTGACAGCGCGTAGAAGCGGGACGATCGAGTCTGCAGACTGGAATCTCGTCTCGGGCGCAAGGCTCAACAGTTCGATCAAGTGCTGCTCAACTCGCGGCCGCGTCGAGCGCGTATGCTCCCAGAACTTGATGGCATGAAAGATGATTCCATTCAAGCTCTCGTCCAGCGTACTGTGGAGAGCGGAATGTCTGCCGATCAGCTGAGCGAGAAGTTCGAGTACATCATGGGGGAGATGGTGCTCGGCGGCTGTTCTGCGCCGTCGTAGGCGTCTTGCAATGGGCACAGCGATCTGCGAGATGAACACGCCTGGCTTGACAGGGAGTTTATCACCGGCGTCGAGGAACTTGAGCAACACCTTCTTGCCAAAGCCAAAGTTATTGTTGAAAAGCCGCGTCCACGTGTCAACGTCGAATTTTGTAGTCTGGGATTCTTCACACGAGAAGATTGATTCCAGGAACTTGGCTTCGTACAATGCTGGATGCGTGCGCAGTAAGATGGAGCGTTGTCTCGCTGTCCATTTCGGCGATGTCGCTTCGTGCTCCACCACTCGCTCGGTTGTGCAAGCCGGCAAGATTCTCCTGTAATAAGGTAGCAGCGGCCTTGCATCCGGGTTTTCCTTGGGAATTGGGATTCCGGCGCCGAGGATGTCGACCAACTCGGTGAGTTTGGCATGTCTCTGCGAACGTCCCTGGGAGAGAGAAGCTGTCTTGGCAAGGCCATTGCATAGCATCTTGATCTCATCGACGCTGAGATTACTCATGATTGCTGCGACTCCTTGAGCGCCGCCCGCAGCGTCCCATAAGGAAGTCATCGTCTTTGGCGACCGCATGGCCTTGAGGAACGCCCGGACGGCCACATGTCTTTCGTGCATGCTCTCTGACTGGCTGAGTGCTGCTATGATTGACTTTGCATCGTCGGATATGGGAATCCAAATTGAGAAGACGCCATGGGAGATGGAACCTTGAACGACCGCGTCATGTAGACTGGATGTGATGGATGCCGGATCGGCGGCGTTGGTTCTGAGCTGCTTGAGGTATTTGGCTACCTCCTTCGGCGTGCCATCCCGCAGGATGGTATGTTTGATGGACGGCGAGTCTCCCATTGTGATGGGTCTAGGGGTTGTTCGGGCTGTTGTTGCTGTTGTTTGCAAATGACTTATGGTGGTGGCATTGAGTTCTTCAGAACCGATGATGTGAAACCATGCAAGATTTAAGGTGGGAAGAGAGGAGGAAAAAAATCAATTGAGAATTCCGATTGCAGAAGAGAACACTTAACCGAGTACCACCGATCCTCGTGTTGGTCAGAATGAACCGGGAGTGAAGCCGAATTTGGCCTCGCAGCTGAGGCCGCTCAGCCCTAGACACAAGCATCAAGCCGTGGTCCTCTAAGCTACTTTCGATCCAGGCCGATGGGACGCTGAATAAAGCGGTGACTGCGCGTATCTCTGCTGTATCCATAGACTCGCTACCTTGGACATGGACATCGAGGCAGATTCGATGCCCCCCTTGCTATAGGAACCTTGGTCTTGATTGGGCTGACACTGGTACTTGCGGGGACGTATCAAATGTTACCTATTCCTTTTGCATACTCACCTCAAATCGCACCAAACTGCAAGAGGGTTGAAGGTGTGCCAAGAGGTGATCAACTGTTGGTCGTTCAGGAGCTCTCAAGCAGGCACGCAGGCACGGAGGCACGCAGGAAGAGCCAAGCCAAATGTGAGTGCCAGCACCATCTCTCTGGAACTCACCGTTAGACATTATGTAATCTCTCTTAATTGCCAAGAGAGATGCTAGGATGACTAAGCTGCTTCAGACGGCAGACGGGTCTGTAGCTGCGTGCTGATTCGTGCCCTCATTCGTCTTTCCCCAATGATTCCGGCTTCACGCGAGTCACACGACGAGCCTCCCACTCTCCCTGATGGTTGGTGCTTGGCGTTCCCTTTCAATCAAGTTGACTTCTCGTCAGTGAGTCGCAAGTCCCAATGTTTTAGCACTTCCATCTTCAGCAGAGCTGTCTGCTCTAGGGGTAGCGTGCTTGTATCGTCAAAGTCAACAGACCAGGCCACATTGATATTGGACCTCATCTCGACCCCCAAAGCCACTCGAGAAGAACGCGTGCTCCTCTGTCCCAACCCAAATTGCCGCTTGCAACGTACTTAAGCTCCTCACCGAGACCGCCAGAGTGCACCCGGGCTCCTCTCACCTTCCCCTCACCTGGATGGAGGATCCTCAATCGCTACGTCCAAAGCAGGCCGCCTGTCTGGTCTGCCGCCGAAGCAAGATCAAGTGCGACTATTCTCCGCATGAGAACAAATGCAAGAGGTGCATTCAGCTCGACTCTGAGTGCGTACGTCCTACGTTCCACGCCGGAAGACAGAAGGGCATTAAAAAGTAAGGGCCCCCAGCTCCCTTTTGAATGGTGTTGACACCAGACCCTCCCCCCCCTCCCCGCCCCATGACCGAGACAACCCCCCCGAGTCGCACCACAACCCCCACTACTGCCTGACCTCGTATTGATCATTGGTCGCGCGTGTAATAGCAAGCGAAAGGGTCTAGATAAAGCTCTTTATCAGATAGAGCAGGCCATCAAGAGAGCCAGAACCGGTGAACACAACTCTGAAGATGACAAGGCCATCGGCAGTCTCCAGGCGCTCCTGGAGGGCTCTCGAAATCCTCGGTCAACTACCGCCTCCTCTCACTTAAGGCGGGGTTCATCTCATTTCAACAGCCCCGACCAACCCGACCTCTCGTCTGACGAAGATGATGACCTGGACAACACCCCAGATAGCAACACTTATATGAGCTTGCATCATCACAACGAGGAGAGCCTGGCCATCGACGATGCCGAGAACCCGCTTCAACTCCTGGCGCGCGCCTCGAACCTGCAGCTTTCGCCCAAGCCCATCAGCGGCCTCTCGCCCAAGCAGTCAGGTCCCCGCGCCGGGCGCAAGAAGCAGGTCGAACAGCCCGATGAGGACCTGGAGATCCAGTCCTTCTTCACCTCTGTTCGCGTCAACTTCGACGTTGGCGACGACATAGATCCCATCACAATGGGTCTTGTAACTGAAGAAGAGGCAGAATCGCTGTTTGCTTTGTAAGTGAAACCTACACACCGTCGATGAAGGGCCCTCGTCGAACTCACCGTCCAGCTTCCATGGCAAGCTCGCCCACACCAGATGGGGACTTGATCCCAAGATCTATACTCCATCCTTTACGCGTTCGCGGTCTGCATTCCTGTGCACCTCCATCATGGCCGCATCGGCCCTGTTCCTTCCGTCCGCTGGGGCCTTGTCCAAGAGACTATCAAATCATTGCAAGACCCTCGCACACAGGGTCATTGCGAATCGACACAAGTCCGTGGAGATTGTGCTTGCGTTCATGGTCAACGTCCCGTGGATGTTCCCGGGTCAGCATAGCACTGATGACGAGACTTGCTGGTATGTCAACATGGCTGCCACTATCGCCATTGATCTGTCCTTGAATAAGCTCCTCATCCCCACGGAAGTTGTCGGTTCCGGCTCGAACATGGCCTTGTCCCGCGGAGACTGCCTTGATCCTCGGGCTGCGCTGGCCATGGACGGCTTCAGCCACATAGAACATACCTCTGATCTCGGGCAACGCCTCCTTCGGCGCCGTGAGCGTTGCTGGATTGCCCTCTTCGTTCTCGAAAGAGGCATGTCTCTCGCTCGCGGTCGGCCCTATACCGTGCCCATCACCCGGGTCATCAAAGACTGCGACCAATGGCACCGATCCAGCATCGCTGACCCCATGGATGGCCATCTAGTCTCCATGGCTGTCCTTCGCCGAGACCTGGACGGCCTACTCAACACCGTCCGCGCCCTCTGCGACGGTTCGCAGGGAATATCCACAGACGGCGGGCTCATCGCCCAGTCTATCCAGAGCGCCATTGAGAGATTCTTCGATCAGTGGCTGACCGAATGGGGCTATGCCATAGGAATTGGCCCCCAACGCCGACTCCCTCCCTACGTGGAGATTCTCGTCACACACACCAGGCTCTCGACGTACGGAGGCGTCATCAACCATCCGACCGCCCCAATGGAAGTCCGACAATTCTTCCGCACGGCTGGGCTGTCGTCTGCTGTGACAGTTATGCGAGCAGCGATTCAAGGGGAGTCGCAGCTGCAGTCAATCCCGAACAACACGACAATCATGGTCTCATTCGCAGCCTGTTTCGCGCTGACCCTGAGCGCCTACGCCACGGGCAGCTCCAACTTGGCACCTAGCATTCGAAACCTCATTGAAGAAACAGCAGCTGTCTTGGAACGCATTGGCTCTGCTACAAAGCACAGGAATGGTTTGTCTACACTGTACGGAAAATATCTACGACACATCGTCAGAAAAGCGGCCACAGCCATGGACGGCCAGCCTCAAACGAGTATGCATCCCGATCCAACTATCCCTCGCACCGGTCAGCTCGGAACACCCTCGTCGGCCGTGGCAGCTTCGCCTCCTGTCAACTCGATAGGGCCACCAGTCTCGCAACCGCCGTACATGGAGTCGCAGTTATGGCCTGGAACCCTGCAATTCTCTGCCATGTCTGATGACCAAATTGCCGAGGTTCTGAACCAGCCAGGCAACGAGTTTGACCCCTCGTTCGCAGGCCTATCATGGGACGACATGAACAACTTCGACTGGTTGAGCTGGCCCAACCTGACAGAGTTTGGTTTCTGAGAAGCACATCCTGATTTACCATTATGAGCATATCATGCCTTCATGGTCTCGACTTGCGCGGCGAACTGCCACTGCGTCAGTCTCCGCAGCTGTTCCATGAATACAAAAGTCAGGACAGTATTTGGCCTGCAGTACACAACATTAGCAACATCATCGACATTTCCTTTCCTTGTAACGTGACCTACGTCAATCTCAACCACGCCGGGGTCCATCCCTTCATCAAGAAGATCGCTCCTTCTTCCCTCAGACCCGTCTGCACAATACGAAGCAGAGACTAGATGCAATTAGTCGATTACTCTCGCTGAGACTGGGTGTTCTCTGCTCACGTTTGCCCCTGGACCGCTCGCCGCAGCACTCTGAATCCTGCTCTTGAGGACATCAGCTGGCGCGCAAATTGTCGTCGCCGCAGTACCAGCAAAGAGGGATGCCACAGCATGTGTTTTGATATCGTCCTTCATTTCAGTCTTTTGGAGGAGGATACGTTTCGCTGTCGAGTACCTGTTTTTCGTGCTTTCGTATTAGTTTGCTTGATCTCCACGGTCCCTCACTCATGGACGTCCAGTCTTTTGGCACTCACGTGGCGATTTGTCCCACATCTATCATTTGATATCAGCTTCAATCAAACACTTCAGTCGTTTCCGATGTTTGCGCTTGACGTACTCATGAGTATACTGCGCACCACATTGGCAGATATGCCTCGCGTGAATGCCCCAACACCCTCTTCGCGACCTATCCTGTAGAGCCCTTCGACAGCGTTAGTGTAAGCGAATCGTTCGCCGACATTCTTTGCTCCATCGGCACACATCCGGACGAGGACAACCTAAGTAAGTATCTGTCAGAATCTGCCATTCATCGTGGGGTCGACGCCAATAGTACCTCTGCAGGGTTTCCGACAAGCCCTGCCATGCCTCCCGCCAACCCAGCACACGATACTGTCATTGCCGTTGTCAATTTCTCTTGCCCCGTCCACTGTTTTGCTTGTTGCGCAAAGTAATTGTAAAGTCCGAATCGTGCGGTGGAATAGGTTGTTTGTCGGAAGATGGAGGCCGATAGTCCAGACCACAGAGAAAAGAAGCCTGGCCAGTGTAAGTGAAAACGATGCCAAACAAGAGACCTGTGTCTCTTACCATCCCTGGCTGCGAATCGGTACATTGCTCGAAACATGGACTCTCTCGACTTGAGGACCTGCATCCGACTGCTTGGATCAGCATTTTTCTTGAACCGTTCTTGAGCCAGTCGTCACTGTGGAAGATGTCGACTTACTATTTCGTTTGATCTAAAGGATGTGCTACGCTCGCGTGATTAGTAGCCAGGCACAACACTGCGATGTCGCTCGAGGGTGAACGCACTGAAACAGACTGCCATGGACGCCGCAGCACCTCTACGGACACCAATCAGTCCAAAGTCCTTTACTCGGATTCGCTGTGGAGTTGTGTTACTCACCCAAGCCAGAAAGGCTCCTTTTGCTTGTTACCGCTGGCCATCCTGTGCTGGCGTTCGTGTGTACTGTGGGTATATGCACTGCTACATGCAACCAAAGTGCCAAAGGGACTTCTAAATATCCATATTTAGAAGCTCGATCCGTGGACATGCGCTTGTGATAAGTAATGCGGCATCGATATCAACGGACCCCCCTGACCAAGCTTATCCGCCTGCTGAATAGTCCCGGTCGCGTTCTCATCCCACAATCTCTCGGACTTCAAATGTAGAGCCGGCGAGCTCTCGGCCGTTCGGCACAATGTTGACAGAGTCGAACTCCAGTTTCCCCACGCTGATGTCACATGAAACTCTTTGCCTCGGCACTTCTTTTTGAGTCCGACGCGCACGGCCGGGGATCTTCTTCTGCCCTCCGACTTGCGGAACCCTTCCGGTCTCGTTCTATTGGGGAAACAAAACCACTTCTGCATCCCTCCTAATCCGATGGATGATGCGCCCACAGAGAAGCAGCTGAAGCAGAACATTTCCCGCAGTGATCGAAAACCAAAGGAAACCATGTCGAAGCTCGCACCGTCGCTCAAAGCACTCATTAACGCGCCCTTTGCGAGACCCGGCCAGACGGCTGCGCCGTCGCATATTCGCGACGTCTACCAGGCCATCGCTCGGGATGCAGCGTCGAAGAATGTTGGCGCGAAGCCATGGCTAGCAATCTCGGTGAGCTACCCTTACGGAGACTCTCAACTTGCTTGTCGCACGGCTCAATTGACTGCATTCAAGCTGGCAAAATACTCGTAGAGGCTTAATTACTAACCTACTTGTCTCCCAAGGCCGCAGCAACCTTCACACTCAACTCTCCCGAGTCTCTCGAGTCCCTCTACAGTGTCGCATCCTCCTCCGGCCGCCCCGACAAGCGCGAGACGGCCGAGTTCATCCGCGAAATCGGCCTCAAGTGCATCAGCTTCAACGGCATCCCCCGCACCATCAACTGTCTCAACGCCTTCTACGCCAGCCTCCCCAAGGACGTCACGGCGCAACTGGAAACAAAGCCGACGCGAGCACCCAACGCGCAGAACATTGACGCCATCACGGCCCGCGGCCAGGGGCTCTGGGACTCAATTTACGCCCCCTTTGAGGTAAAGCTCTATGAGAAGCTGGCGCAGTCGCACCCCGATCTGCCGGTGCACATCCTTCACAGCCACTACGCGGGCTTGCTGTCGGAGCCCACGGAGCGGGGAGGACTGGCTAGTGTTGGGAGGGTGCTGACATCCATGGTGGCTATTTCCTGTCTGCGGGCACAGACGGGAGTTGGCCCGCAGGTTCTGTCGCACGTTTTTGGGTTGAGGAAGGGACTTGAAGACGGCACGTACAGGGCGGATAACCAGGAGGATATCCAAGGTGCGGAGTGGTTGGCCAGCGATGAGGGCAGCGAGTGGATTTTAAAGTCGGTTGATTCCATCACGGAGGCGATTGGTGGAGCTGCGAGGTCAAATTTTGCTCCGGGTCGCGAGTCCAAGTTGTAGGTCGACGGAACTTGTGATTCTCGTTAAATACTGTAAACTACCGGGCTCCAGAACCGGATCATTTATCATTTTATGAATTCAAGCCCTGTTCACCACTACCAGTCCATCATGTGGCTCACCGCTCACGGGATTCGACTTGTTTATGTTAAAACCATCACAAAACCCCTGAATTTGCCTCTACTGTGGTCGAAAGGAAGGTTCTGGGTGACGAACTGCTCCTCACCACCGCTCTTAATCACGAAATGGTTGCAGTTATCAAGAATGGCCTTGGTGAATTTTCTTATATTGATAAAGCAGGTCTACTGGGGTAATGGGAGAGGCTAGCTGTAACGTCGAAAGCGCAAGAAAACTCCATAACTGAAGAACGAAATTATCATTCTACCATATTGTCTAATATATCCACTCTCTCTTCTTTTCTAAGCAGTGCTTGGTCATCCCTCACAGCACCATCTTGAAGTGCGGTTCACGGTCATCACCTGTACCAATGAACTGGTCATACTTTCCGGCAGCCTTATCACGGTTGATCTTGGCGCACCAGAGAACGTTGACAAGAGTTCTGGAAATATTTGTTAGTATCTTTCAAGCAAGAACACAAGGCAAACTCACGCCACCCATGCGTAGCACAGCAACCCCAGGATAACTGTGTGACCCTTGTGATATAGCGGGCCGTCGGTGCTGGGATAGATGAAAGCTGCAGACGAAGTCAGTCAAATTCCGAAGGCGAGGCAGATTGGCAACTTACTTGCAACCAGACCACCGCAGTTGGCAATGGCAAGCTGCAGCGCGGACGTCGTCGCGCGCTTGTAGTGGCCGGCCGAGTTGTTGGAGTTCCATACCAGAACGCACGGAACAGCGCTGTACATGCCAATAGCCATCAAGCACGTCATGGCGAATCTCGTTTGTGGTGCCGTGACGTTGGCGATGGCCGCGTAGCCGGCGATGGAAATGGGCAGAACAAAGAGCATGAGTGTGCCACGCAGACGGAGGCGATCAGATAAGAAGGCCACGAAGACTAGGAGGAACATCAGTTATAAGTTAAATCACAGTGTCTTTTTGCCGTGATGGCTTACCTGTGACTGGTGTTGCGACCGCGTATGGGATCACTGACCAGAGTTGGACTTGGTTCGAGTTAGAAGCGATGTGCATGTCGTTGATGATTGTCGGGAGCTTTTGGGTTCCCATTAGCTGTGTAAATCTGCATCTTCAGACTCGCAAGACTCACGAATAGACCAAAAGAGTACAAGCCAGATAGAATGGCAAAGTATGCAGTTGCGCTGAGCCAGATCTGAAGGTTGAACACCCCGCGACCAACTTCGGACCAGCGAAACTTCTCCTCCCTTTCGCGCGAGGAGCTGCCAAGAAGTTAGCATCAACCTCCATTGCGACATACAAGGGGCTACTTACTCGAACCGGTCTCCAGAATGACCTTGAAGCCTGAGTAGCGCCCATTCCCGCTCTTCATCCGTCAGGATCTTGGCCGTTGCCAAGTTGTTTGGCAATCCAATAGCAGCAATGATTCCGCAGACGACTGTCTAGGGGAACCTCTTAGCAACGCCAAGGTAAGTAAGCAGGCTTTGAAGAACTCACAATGATGCCTTCAATGATGAAAATCCACCTCCAGCCCTCGAGGCCAGCCGCAGGACCAATCGCGGACAAGCCTCTCGCGAGTAGGCCTCCAAATGCACCTGAGAGAGATGCAGCCGTATAGAAGATACCGATACGCAGTGCAAGCTCTCCGCGGGTGTACAAGCCAGAGAGATACAACACCATGCCGGGAAGCAGTCCGCCCTCAGTCATGCCCAGAATCGCTCGGACCGCGACGAAGCTTCCGTAGCTGCGGACGAAGCCGAGGCACATTGCTTTTCTAACGTCAGTCACTTGGTGATAACTGGATTTTTTCTCGTTGGAGACATGTACTTACTCACAATGCCCCAAGCACAGGTAAGGAAGGGCAGCCATATCCGCGGTGAAACCTTCTTCAAGACGAGGTTGCTTGGCAGTTCGCTGGGCGTGCATTAGCGACCGGACGACTGTGGGGAGCCACATGGGACGAGAGCGCGTTGACAAGCCAAGGATCAGCCGAGAATGGATGGAAAAGATTTGATGTTACCTCACGATATACGTCACATAAAAGACGGCCAAACCTTGATTGTATTGGTTATTGCTTATGCCAAGGTCCTCGGCTAGGCCAATAATCTTTGCGTTGCCGACGTTGGTTCGGTCGAGAAAGGAACAGAGGAACAGCAGAGCCAGAAGGGGTAGGACCCTGTCAATCATCACATGTTAGTTGAATTGAGTCGTTGAAGGGTCTTGGTTATCAAACTCAGGGAGGCGCTCACCTAGTGTCGACTTTGAACAGCAGAGTTTTTGTGAGGTGCCGTTGACGTTCTGCTTCAACCTCCTGGTGGCTCTCGTCGTACTCAACCTTTGGATCCATGTCCGAGTCCTTGGATGCCATGATGAAGCCGGGTCGAATTTGGCAGCGTAGCCTCGAGAAAGACTCTGTCAGAACACAGGGAAAGAGGACCTAGTCAAAGACAACAACAACAAGATCTGGGTTTCTATCCGCCAAGGGTAGGCAAAGCTTGGGGGTCCCTCCCCCGTTTTGAAGCCCGTCTTCCCCAGACCCCGAATCTGCGGGGGAGGACGAACCCGCGGCGGGTAGCATCTTAGACCGTCCCCGGATCGTCTATCTAAGCTTGCCGTCAACCCGTCCAGACCAATGGTAGGCCTTTGTTTACAGTGCGCCAGCAAGCTGACTCGGCGTCTAGAAGTAGACTCCGCGAGCTACTGCAAAGAAACTCCGAGCTCCCACAAGTCCCGGTGCCCCGCCGCGAAGACGTCAGAGTCTCAGAGACTCCCCTGTCTTGCCTGCGTCAACTCCCCCCCCCTCCATGCCGAACGGGTCCACTGAGTGTGCTACCGCGGTTCTGCGAGGGCTGCGTGGTCGGCGTGCAAAAGAACGGCCGAGACGTCCCGCGCAGGAACCCGTTCAAAAAGATGATGTCGCGCCCACCTAACCCGAACCCAGATATGTCCCCCGACAATCGGCCTTCCTTTTTCTTTTACTTGTGCTTAATCTATTGTCTTTCGTCACCAGTAGACGTGACTGAAGCCTTCTCCTTTTGTGCTGTGTAGATAAGCCTGCCCTTCCAAGACGAGACTGAAATAATGTCTTCCATTACTCGCCAACTGCGTCCGCGGGTGCTGGTCCGCGCATCCTTCAGAGCTGTGCCCGCAGTATGCGCGCAACCTCAACGTTTCCCCGCGCGCGCAAAGGCCCTTGGTATTGCGACATGCCGAGGCATTACGACGACACCAGCGCGCAGGTCGCAGAAGGCGCCTGCCACGAAGAGAGGTGGCTCAAAGCTGTATGCGTCTGCGGATGAGGCTGTCGCGGACATCAAGAGCGGATCAACCATTCTGAGTTCGGGATTCGGACTTTGTGGTGTCGCCGGTACGTCGTGACGCTTCTTTGCCTACAATCAATCGCTAGAGAATCGGGGACCAGCTGACATGTTCTGTGCCAGACACAATCATCGGTGCACTCAATCGCAGAGGAGCAGAGAATCTGCACTCGCTGACAGCAGTGTCAAACAATGCCGGCCAAGAGGGCAAGGGTGGTCTGGCTGTCCTCACCAAGGCTGGCCAGGTGAACCGCCTGATTTTGTCCTTCCTTGGCAACAACAAGGCTTTGGAGAAGAAGTATCTCGCTGGAGAAATCGGCATCGAGCTGTGCCCTCAGGGAACGCTGGCAGAGAGAATCCGTGCCGGTGGCGCTGGGATCCCCGCCTTCTTTACCCCTACTGGAGCTCGTAGGTAACTTTTCGTCGAGATCTGGGGAGTGTTACTGACGTTGGCAGACTCACTGGTTCAAAGCGGTGATATTCCCGTGAAGCTGGACGCCTCTGGCGCAGTCAAGGAGCGCGGCCGAACGAGGGAGACGAGGGAGTTCAACGGCAAGACGTATCTCATGGAGACTGCGCTCACCGGAGACGTGGCTATCTTGAGGGCGTGGAAAGTCGACACAGCAGGAAACTGCGTGTTCAGGTGTGTGGAGCACATGAATGGTCGAGTTGGAAAGCTTGCTAATTGCGTGTTCGTGCAGATACACCACCAAAGCATTCGGACCCATCATGGCCAAGGCCGCAACTGTCACCATTGTCGAGGCAGAGAACATTGTCGAGGCTGGCGCAATCGACCCCAATGACGTTGACTTGCCCGGTATTTTCGTCGACCGAATCGTGCCCTCGACCGCCGAGAAGAATATTGAGATCCTCAAGACGAGGGTGGAGGAGGGCGAGGGCGAGGACCTGAATGCGCCCAAGAATGACGCGCAGGCGAGGCGGAATCGCATTGCCAGGCGTGCGGCGAAGGAGTTGCAAGAGGGGTTCTACGTGAACCTCGGCGTTGGTGAGTTGGCCCAGGCCCTGTGAGATCAACATGAAGAGAGATGCTGACTGGGACAGGAATCCCGACTCTGGCGCCCTCGTTCCTCCCGGCTGAGCGTAATGTTTGGATTCAATCAGAGAACGGAATCCTGGGCATGGGCCCTTACCCAACCATGGACCAGGTTGACGCGTGAGTAGACGCCTGTCCAATACTTGTATGAGATTCATGAGCTGACATGTCCAACTCTAGCGATATTGTCAACGCGGGCAAGGAGACCGTCACCCTCGTCCCCGGTGCCTCGACCTTTGACAGCGCCGAGTCCTTTGGCATGATCCGTGGCGGCCACGTGGACGTCTCCATCCTCGGTGCGCTGCAGGTCAGCGCCACGGGCGACTTGGCCAACTACATGATCCCCGGCAAGGTGTTCAAGGGCATGGGTGGCGCCATGGATTTAGTGTCCAACCCCGACAATACCAAGATTGTCGTTGCGACTGAGCACGTCGCCAAGGATGGCTCGTCCAAGATTGTGCAGGATTGCAGTCTGCCGTTGACCGGTGCTCGTGTTGTCAGCACAATCATTACTGATCTGGTAAGTTGGACTTGGTTGTCGGTTCCAAGTCTCATTGCTAATGTGATGATAGTGTGTCTTTGAGGTGGATCGCAAGAATGGCGGGCTGACCCTCACCGAGGTTGCGCCCGGTGTCGACGTTGAGGAAGTAAAGTCAAAGACGGACGCCACGTTTGAGGTCGCAAAGGATCTCAAGACGATGGAGTAATTTGTAATAGTAAAGCCTCAACTGAGTTCAAGATACCAATAGAAAGAAAAAGTTATTCAGTAAACGTTTCGTTTCGTTCTTTGCGTTTATTCAATTCAAGTGTTATCCTTTGCGGCTAATAATACATTAACGTCTATGTGCGCAAGTCATGAAATTTCAAGCATTCATCGGCAGTCGTTCTCCCGGTGCGCTTGATATAGATTGAATCGGGGGGGGGGGGTATCATCCAAATTTGGGCACCGGAGTGGTTTAGGAAATGTCGGCAGAGCATCTTAGTCGCTGCTGGAGCTGGAGCTGCAGCTACCGCTGCGCTTGCGGTGCTTATCCTTCTTATGCTTCTTGTCCTTCTTGTGCTTCCTGTAGTTGAATCACATGAGTCGTGAACCCTTTGATGATTGGTATCCAATAAAAACACTCACTTTTCAAACTTGTTCTCCAACATATTCGCACCGACGGCACCGGCAATTGCGCCGCCGAGAGTTCCGAGAAGACCGCCGCCGGCCTTGTGCGCTGCCCATCCGGCAGCTCCGCCACCTACTAATGTTGCACCGAGACCCTTATCCTGATCGGGACCGCCGGGCCCGGCGCCATACTGCGGCTGGCCCCCGTATTGGGGTTGTCCACCGTGTTGAGGTGCGCCATATTGCGGTTGCTGGTTGTAGGGAGAGCTGCCTCGGTTGTCGCGGCCGTAGTTGTCATGGCCGTAACTTTGCTGGTGCTGGTTGCCCTGGGCGTACGTTGGTTGTTGGGGTCCGCCGTATCCGTGCTGAGGAGGGGCATTGTAGCCACCGCCCTGCTGGTACGGGGAATGCGACTGCTGGGGGTATCCGCCGCCGCCGCCGCCGCCGCCATGGTGCTGCTGCTGGCCCTTTGTGAGATGTTAGTACTGCTGGATCTCGAAGTTGGTTGAGTCTTGTGCGAGGGCTCAACTGTCTTTGATATCTTACCTGTGCATAGGTGGGCTGCTGAGGTGCGTAGCCGCCGCCCTGGTTGTACCCCTGCTGGCCGTATCCTTGATTCTGGTTGTTGCCGCCGCCTCCGTAGTAATCGTTCGCAGACATATTGAATATTGGTGTTGGGGGTTTAGGAGCGATCGGTGGCTGATGAGGTGTAGTGGACGTGGTATCAGTGGAAGTTTGGTATGCTTAATGAACAAGCTTAGCAAGAGCTGAGGAAGGGGGGAGAGCTGGAGCTTTAAAAGGCGTCAGATCTGGCTACTGCTGAGTGCTTAGAGAATCTCGAAGAAACGCTACTCGCCAGTAAGACGGAGCTTGCGGAAATTGGCAGGGAGGGGCACAACAAGCATGCATGCCGCAAGCAGCTGTGGCAGGCAAACGCGGGACGGGGATTGGATCTCTCGTCTTCCGTCTTTCCCCCCCGCTACCATTCTGACATCCACAGTGTTTGCCCGCGCCCCTCGGCTCAGCTTCGTTCCAGTCGTCATGTCACCGTGGCGCAGTCACTGCGCGGAGGGTGCCTCGTGGGCTTGTCAGCCCTGCTGCAACCTGCAAGCCACAGGCCGTGAGCTGATGGACAAGCCACCAATGACACGACCCAAGCCAGTCCGCTGCTGTTCGCTGTTCACTGTTTTTTGGGGGGCTTCGCATTCGGTTTCTCGGATGTAGAGCGGTAGATGGCGAAACAATGACGAACAAGATGGTATTCAGCGATCGGCCATACGCGGAAGTGGTAAGTCGCTAGTCTCTACGAAGCCATCACAAATTCTACACACATTGCCGTTGCTATCAATTTCCAAACAACCGCAGTCGATTGCCCCAAGTGATTCAATATCCATCCCGAATTGCCGGTATTGTTGATCATGTTTCGTAGAGTAATTAGCACCTCTGCGATCGGCTGAGTCCGTTTCAAGAATCGCATCGGACGAACTCTCGTCGCGGCACTCTACCCTGCCACTGCCACCCACCGGCTGGCATGCTGCACGCCATTAATCCTGACATACCCCCGGAACGCACGGCCAAGATGCAGGTTCGCGAGGTGACCCCACAGATGCAGGGAATCGCCGTTGAGGAGTGTGGATTCGGGTCGCAGCTGACTTCGGCGACTTCGGCGTCTCCGGTCGCCGCGGCGGGTGGGGCCGAGTGGCCGAACTGGTCCCGGATGGAAGGTCCAAATTGCCACGGCGGAAGAGCTCCACGACTCCGACACTTGCTTGGATACTCCCGAGGCCGTTACCATCGTCGCCAATGAGCTAGATATTGCTGCGTTGCTCTAGGCTGGCTCCAACTTTGCTGGACAGAGTAGAATCAACCTAGACGTAAATCTGGCTTGACCCGACCATAGCCATATGCACACGCATCTATCTTCTGCGTTGCATGCAAGACGTTGCATGCAAGACCAATATAATTCCAGCCAACTATCTTAACTGTGATATCCCGTTGGAACATGGCTCGACATATCCATAGGCCGTCAAACGTTGGTTCGGATGAATGGATTGCAAAAGGCACCCCCTGATTGGTATCCAGGATTTGGAAGAGTGTCTCACAAGCTTCACTGACCCAGAGCTGTTGTTGCGGGGTACTCGACGCCATCGCAATGTAGCGCTGTCGGATGATTCATAGCGCCTGATCTAGCATGAGCCAACGCCCTTTACACAAATATCACGGAGGCGATCTTGTAACCCCAGCAGTATTGGAGTAACGGCAATGATGCGGTGTATGGCTGCTGGGGGAGCATTAATACCTGACATGATCCCCAGAATGAGAAGGGTTGATATGCCGAAATCCTAGAAACCCCATCTGAGAAACGGTATCCTTCAAGTAGTGTTCAATCTCAGGCCAACACACCATGGCCAGCATCATCAGCAACATCCTTCCAACTGAGGACCTCTCCACCCGCGCCTACATGCGTTGGGACGCGACAGGGGTCGAGGAAGTGCCGCCAAACGAAGCTGAGGACATCCAGGCCGTTGCTGAATTGATCAATGAGGGGCAGCGCAGAACATGGAACTCGACGCGGCACGGATATGGCGGTACTCATGCCAGAACACAGGGCATTGTTAAAGGCACATTCATCGTCCCTGATGACTTGCCTCCCCACCTGAAGCAGACAGAACTATTCCAACACGGTGGAGAGTACCCCGTAGCCTGCCGATACAGTTCAGAGCCTGGTGATCCAGGTCTGGATGTTGGTTTCTACTATTCCCTTTCGTCTTTCCAAAATGCTGTGCTTACACGTTGTAGGACCGCATCCCCCAGCCCCGAGGCTTCGCCATGAAGCTTTTCAACGTCAAAGGAGACATGTTCGAGGCAGGCATGGACACCCCCACCCAGGACATTGAGTTCAACAGCACCCCGGCTATAGACCTCGCCGACGCCAAAACGACAAAGGAAATCATCGGACTTCGACTCAAGCACGCTGGCAACAAAGACGAGCTGAACAAGCACCTCAACGCGCGCCATGATGCCCAGCTCCAACTGGGCCGCGACCAGGTCCGCAACACGCACCTCGAGTCCACGCGGCAGTACTCCCAGACAGCGTACCGATTCGGAGATTACGTCATCAAGTACTCCCTCGTCCCGTCTACCGAGACACAGAAGAAGCTCTATGAGGAGACCGTGAAGCCAGAACACGACGAGGCCATCTTGCAAAAGTGGCTGCAAAATTTTCACGCGCACCACGATGCAGAGTATCTCTTCCAAGTGCAGCTGCTGGAGAATCTGAGCGATCAGCCTGTAGAGTACTCAGGCGCCGTGTGGGATGAGTCCAAGTACCCCTGGCAGACTGTCGCCAAGCTCGTGATTCCGCAACAGGACAGTTTCGACTACGAGAGGAAGCGATTTTGGGAAGACTATGCTCGCGTTGACCCGTGGCATGGGCTGAAGAGTTTGCAACCTCTGGGAAGCTCGAACAGGCTTCGACGGGCTGGTACGTTCTCCGCTTTGTAGTCGTGATTGAATGATGTGAAACGGTGACTCTAACGGATTTAGTTTACGCTGCGAGCAGCAGTATGCGCCGAAAGTTGAACGGGGTGAAAGAGGTTCAAGTGAAGAGTATTGATGAGATACCCAACTGATAATCCCGAAAACATTTGGAAGGCCGACGGCGGGCCAAGGTACCTTCATGAATGCCCACTTATGTCGGAAATTTGTAGATGAGATCAGTGTACAATCAAGGATATGGTAGTTTTCCGATGTTGCATAAACTGAACTTTGTGGTTTCTACATGTAATCAAATAAGTATATGGCTGTCGTAGTTGTTGCAAACATGGAGTACCTGGATCCACTCTCAAGTATGGTCAAGATGTCAAGATGACAGCGTGACCTACGTCCTCTCAAATCAAAGCCAAAATTCTCCCAGTAACCATAACCGCCAGCAAGAATACCATCTTTTGCTTGCTCAAGAAAGCAACCCAGAAATTTGACCAAGAGTCAATCTCATCCCAGTTCCCAAACGAGAGTCCAAACGTCTGTTGTGCTCACTACCCTAACACAGTATCCCAACATCTGAATCAGCACCGGTAGTGCCAAGCCCGCATTTCCGAATCCCAGCGGAAAGGAGTATCATTTCCCTAAGCAAAGTATCCCCGTCGAGGCCTAGGGGCTTCATTGACCTACAACCATGTTCTTGCTCTTCCCTGTATCAACGTTGGGGTTTTGGCGTCTCTCTTTCTTTCGTCCAGTGAGGAAGCCTATCGACAGCTTCGTGCCTTTTAAGCATTCCTTGCATCTTTTGAATCTGCTCCGTCGAGGCGTGCGGAGAGTCCTTGAGACAGTCATGTCGGATCAAAAAGTCGACCATAACGAGTGCAGAGTTCGGCTTGAATTCGTCTCGGAGAAGAAGGTCAACAATCTGCCCCACTGTCTTGACCTCGACGTTCTTGACTTCCTCCGGATTGCCGACAAATTTGCAGTCTTGCCACAGTTCGAGGTCGTACGTCACCTTGACGCCAAGCTCAGGAACATGAAGATGGGTATTTCCCCACCGCTTGTCCCGGACATCAGCGAACTGAATCGCTGAAGCCTCTTTGACTGAATTGTCCCACCCACGGGGCAGACCGGCCTTTATCTCCTCTTTTACTTCCCGTTGAAGGCATTTAAATGCAGAAGTATCGTGAACTTCACCGTAGACCAAGCCTTCACTCCGAAGCTGGAACTGGTATCCTCCAGCAGCGCACTGATCGTACTTGCCGGGGAAGGTTGGCTTGCTGTCGGAACGTCTCGCAACCCAGATGCGAAAGTCCTTCGGATCGTCACCATTGCGTTTGTAGATATTCAGGTGAACACCAGTGGTCACTATACCGAAGACAGGGGCCAAGCCACACAAGAAACCGGTTTCGATATCGGCGCCGTACAACGGCCACATCTCGTTTCCATATTCCCCCAGATTTTGTTTCGCAAGGCCACTACCCTCTGAAGTAAGAACCTCGCGTATGGCCATGAACGCATTGATGAAAGTTTCGGTAGTCTTCAGATGGTCTGGTTTCAGTTGAATGCGATTCAGTCCCTCACTACTCTGTGGAAAGGCCAGCCATCTATCCAACCTTTGTTCCATTTGTCGTAGATGCTGGGCGTTTTGGAAACTGACAATTCCTAGTGGCCTCCAATTGTTCCCATGAAGGTAGCCAAACTCCACGTACTCGTCAGTTGTTTTGAACTTGTTGTTGGTCTCTACAAGTTTTAGCAAACTTGTGTGAGTGGACATGGTGGACAGTCGAGGTTTTGTGGATGATTTAGAATTGTCTTCTTCTACCCTTCTTTCCAAGCCGATAGAGGAACGACAAGGCTAAAACATAGTGTACGAAGTTTGCTGTTTCGGTTTGCTCTGTCAAAGTATTGACGGTTTGCAACAGCGTTGCCCAAACAACTCAACAGCACATGGTCGTCTCCAGGGCTGATTTAAACAATTTCAATGGCATTGAAAAGACAAAAGGCATTCGAAAGTCTGTTCACGACCTTTTCTCCCTGGCAAAGCTGCAGCTTCGTTTGATCGCTCGAAAGGGTGCATATTAGCAGTAAGAAACTAGTGCCTAGCTTGGATCAGAGTTATTCTAACAAACACTATGTTTCTTGATGTGATTCATGAATAGATTTGCTTTCGTTGAAGGAATCATGCGTGCGAGCGTTCAATACACACCCAGCGAAGCTTGGTGAAAGAGCTAATTTCCCTCCGAGTATAGACAAGTTGCATGCTGACTGTCAAATCGGGAATACAAGTCCTTTGACATCCTCTATACATCATCATTAATACTTGGGGGATTGAAAGACATATTGACAGATATCATTGATCTAGAGACTATATGATCTATTGCCAAGATTGCAGTGTAGACTCGACCTTCCTCTACCAACGCAGATGGGTAAAATTTCTTTGCAGCATTGATTTCCGCACCGATAAATGCCTAGCCATTCTGAGCTTAGATTAGGTGGAAAATTCTGGTACGGGGTTAAGATTGAGAGTTCACCCAATATACAGACTTTTATCAAATCGTTTATTCGGCCGCATTTACCAAATATTATGGTAAACAACACAGTGGTAGAGACTCTGGCTTTTAATTTTTAAACAGCAATTGTGACAGTAAGCATACATGGCATGAGCTAGAATGGTGTTCACCTTGAAAGAAGCCCATTGTCCAAAGTCTTTCAAGTTCCTCGTCTAACGTTACACTTGGTTTAGCGTACATGATGTATACTGTGTCAGATGGACTGTTGGTCCATGATGGCGTTGTGACCAACTAAGACGATCGGTGTGGTTTCGGTCAGCTTCGGTATTTCTCGGTGTAGAAGCCGACCCCGATTGCCGGTTGAACGTTTAGCCCCGGAACCGAGCTCAGAGCTCCGTGTGTGGTTGCCGAACCCAATTGCCATGGTATGCGGGTCCCCCCACCTCGGCTTTGGGGATCAAACTGGGGAAGTTGAGTGGAAGAAGGGGAAGAGCTATTCTCCCTGACTAGCAAGATATCGTTCAAGCTCCCCCGGTCACCAAGCGACATCGCTCACGTTTACCCGACTCTTTTTCGAGACAGCCTTGGCCGAGGGCTATTTTCTAAACTCTGTTCCCTTTTCTCTGTACAACAAGTCTGGTATCCTGTCTCGACGTTTTCTAGTCAATTGACGGCCGTAGCTCCGAGAAACATCGTAAACATGTCTATCCCCAAAGGAATCTCGTCCGTGTTGAAGAAGGCGCCCTCCGACGTCGTCATTCTGTCGTCGCTGCGGACACCCGTCTGCCGGTCGAACCGTGGCCAGCTGAAGGACGCATACCCCGAAGAACTGCTCTCGACCGTCCTCAAGGCCACCCTCGACGCCAACCCGAACCTCGACCCCAAGAAGATTGAAGATGTCGCCGTCGGTGTCGTCCTCTCGGAGCTCGGCGGCTCCAAGGCAGCGCGCATGGCCATGAACCACGTCGGCTACCCCAACGACACCTCCCTGTACACCGTCAACCGCGCCTGCTCGTCATCGCTGCAGTCTATTGCGCTCATCGCATCGCAAATCAGGACCGAAACGATATCGGTGGGAATCGGCGCCGGAATGGAGAGCATGACCCGAAACTACGGCAGCCGCGCGATCCCCGTAGACGTGTGGCCCGCCCTGAAGGAGTCGCCGGTCAAGGACGCGAGAGACTGCGTCATGGCGATGGGTATCACATCCGAGAACGTCGCAGAGCGCTACGGCGTCTCGCGTGCGGACCAGGATGCGTTCGCGCTGCGCAGTCACCACAACGCCTCGAGGGCGAGAGAGGATGGTTCCTTCGCCAAGGAGATTGTCCCCGTCACGACGAGATTCCAGGAGACGGACAAGCAGGGCAACAAGGTCGGAGAGGAGCAGACAATCACAGTCACCAAGGACGACGGTATTCGCGCCAACATGGCGATCGAGGCCCTGCAGAAGCTGAAGCCGGCGTTCAAGGCCGACGGCACCAGCACGGCAGGCAACTCGTCGCAAGTGTCGGACGGTGCCGCCGCGACGCTGCTGATGCGCCGAAGCACCGCCACGGAACTCGGTCTCACCGACAGCATCATCGGCAAGTTTGTCGGAGCCACCACCGTCGGATGCGCTCCCGACGAGATGGGTATCGGCCCCGCGCTGGCGATCCCCAAGCTTCTGGGTCAATTCGGCCTGGAGAACAAGGACGTGAACCGCTGGGAGATCAACGAGGCCTTTGCCAGTCAGGCAATCTACTGCCTGAGAGCGCTCGAGCTGGAGCAGGCTTACGAGGATGGCAAGGTCAACCCCGACGGTGGCGCTATTGCGCTGGGTCACCCTCTTGGTGCCACTGGTGCGCGCATGACGAGCACCCTGCTCCACGGCCTCGGAAGATCTGGAGGTGAAGTCGGCGTCGTGAGCATGTGCGTCGGCACAGGAATGGGCATGGCTGGCCTGTTTGTCAGAGAGTAGAGTATTAGTGTAAAAATGAAGTGTACCGCATAATGACCCGGAACCTCCTCGCTCCAGTATTCGCAGCGCAAAGTCCTCGTGATCTTCTGCACCTTGTTGCGTCCTTTCTACATGATGTCGCTTTACTAAGCCGAGAGGAGAGAACACGATATCCTTCTGGCGATCGAGCGATTTCTACAGAGAAGGTCTATGGTTTTCAGTAATGCGGCTTTCCCGAGGAGGGTATCGTGCACTTTGTCAGGATTTACACGCACATGTGGGTCTTTACAGGCTGCTATGTGCATTATCTGGGCGGCATGAAGATGTCCGCCAAATCAATCTTCTTGCTATCGGGCGCCGCGCCCAGCTTATCAAGCCGAGTGCCATTCATTCAAAAGAATAATTGACTCAAGCTGACGTGCCGAATCACCACTTCACAACTCTGTGAATCTGCCGCGATGGCGTATGGCCCGTATCAATTACCCTTTCTACCTGCATGGAGGTACATTTGCTGAGCTACCCACGAACCACCTCGAAGTAATCAAGCTCAGGTCACTCAGCAGCTTCTCCTCTGAGGTTAATTGGTAATTCAGGGTTAAACGCCTTCCAAAAAAGTAATTGGCGGAGTAGAAAGCTTGAGCCAGGCCACTGATGGACCTTCCGCGCCAACTACACGGATGAGAATACGATGGCCGACGGCAGCGACACGACTACTTGCCTTGAGTAATAGTTCCTCTGATTGAACTCTATGATCTCAAGCCTCGGCTTGATTCAAACTTTGACGACTCCGACTGAAGTGACCCCGAAAGCTTGCTCGGAGTTCAAACACACAGCAACTAGGATACTCCTAAACGGGACCAAGTCGACTTTTGAAAAGACAATATACGGCATTCAAAACTGTACTTGAGCGCTCTAAACGAACATGAACTACATTAGCCAGAGCAATCTAGGTTGGTAATTTAGGTAGATGAGAGCTTCCTCTTCCCATCTCTTGTTCAGACCTGATTCCATATGGACACATGATGGTGACTTGACAGGGAGGTGACCTTGAATGGTCATTCTTCCACAGAAATTGAGCATTGTGCGGTGACACAATCCACAAGACGTATCCGTACATCGACTGTAGATACTGGGGTTCATTGGTGCCACCTCATTCACTGAGTGGCTGCAAGATACGCCTTGCTTCTCAAAAATGGCACAAGGCAGACTGGATACAGCCAATCATCTATAGACATTGGCTTACAAGCGGCCGCCAAGTGAGGCGTCTGCATATCTCACGCCGCGCCACAGGCGACATTCTTGCACTACCTACTCAACTATCATTGGTGCAGTCGCCATCGCTTGGAGGATGACTGCAGGGGTGCAGATATTCGAATCTCCAAAATCAGGCTGCGAGCAAGTCGGCAACCTGCCCAGGCCTTTACCTATTCCCCCTCCCAAATCCCTTCACGATTCCTCCAGAGAATCTGCAACGTCTCCCTGAATTTTTGAGCGGTACTCACTAAGCCGACGACACGAAATGGAAGTTGTTGGGGCGGTAGCCAGCTTCATCGCCATAGGCCAAGCCGTCGGCGGCGCCCGCCATATCGTTCACATTGCGCGAGCGATCCCAGGCATAGAGAGCGAGATGAGATGGCTTCACAACGAGGTCTGTGACGAACCTTCCAGATCAGTTCACGAGAGGTCTTCCATATTACAAAGTTTACGGGCTGATCTTTGATGTGGCATCACAGGTCGAAGCTCTCAGATTGATCAAAGCACAGATTGCTCAGGAGGGTGCGGTTACTGATGGATCAAAATGCGAGACACCTTTACTAGAGATAGCCATGCTCCAGCTTACAGACTCAACGAGAAGCCTCGAAGAGATCTGCAAGCGCTGCACACGAGCTGTGGATGCCGACGGCAAAGTCAAGGTCAAGAAGGGAGCTTGGCTTTGGTTGCAATCCGAGCTCTCCGACTGTCGGCGTAAGGCGCGTGAAGCCAGAGACAACCTTCAAATCGCGCTCCTCGCGGTCAATAACCAATCAATCAAGTGAGCTTCGTGCCTTCAACAGGGCAGTATCTTGGTAGAGAAGCTAATAAGATGGTGCGGTACTGCAGACAAGTCGCTTTGCGAGTAGAGAGCATTGAGCTCCGGCCGAACAGGGGACTACTCCAAGATACTTCAGGACCTGCAGACCATCAGGAGAGCTCGACCCAGACACGGCCAACAACAATAGATGATATGGAAGAGCCGGAAGCACCAGAACTCGACAGCACTCCACAACAGGTAGCCGAGGATAGCAAGCAAGACGCGTTGGCGAGGCTTCAATCATTCCCGACCATCGAGCCATCAACTCCTGAATCCTCTCATGTGGTTGTAAAGACCTCGGCCTTTCTGGTGGGCCGATGCCCAAATCCATGTTGGTGCCGGTGCCATGCTTCGAAACCAGCCTCGCTAAACACCGCGAATTGGGCTAGAAGCCTAGTTGGAAGTATTTATTTGAAACACGACTGGCAATCAACATTTCAAAACAGCGCAAAGTGTACCGAGAGCAGCTGCAGAGGCAAGGCCAGGACATCGGTGACATTCGAGTACCGATTCCCGAGTTGGCTATGCTCCAGAGCAGTCCAGGTGCAGGCCTCAGTGGATGCTGCATTTGGGCTTAGAGCGTCGTTGAGACCTGTCAGGGTGCTTCCCTTTTACTCAAGTTTTTTGAGATCCGTTGAATTCCCTTCAAGGACAGTAATTCAGCAGTGGATGTTGCACCATGGTCCGGTGTTTCCAGATGACACAAATTCAATTGGCGTCACTTCATTAGAGGCATGACTCCCGTTGCTATCGATGCTCGCATCTTGTTTTCTGATCATTTGACCAGTGGGTTATAGCGACCGGATCAGCTGATGCACTCGCCTACATGCTCCAGCTTTGGGAAGACCAGATTCGAAACGATAATTTTGATGTGTGCGTAATTCAAAGTGTCAAACTCAAGAACTGCTGACTGAAAGCTTTGGCTGCAACACAGCTCCTGGTTCTATAAGGCGCACAACAAGATTGAGACCTCGCTTGATCTACCTGACGAAACGACGCAGCTTCTCCGCCGAGTTCTGTCTGCAGGCGAAGATTATGTGAATGCCAGCCAAACACCGCTACATGATGCCGTCTCCAAGAACGACATCGATGGTGCAGTTCGAGCTGCAGCAGACTACAATTGGGCCATCAATCAGTGGAACTATGACGGCCAAGCACCGATACATATCGCTGCGATACAAGGCCATCTCGATATCATCAAACAACTTGTACGTTCAGGATGTAATGTCAACGAGGTCAACTGGCAGGGTAGGACTGCCCTGATGCTTGCGTCCGTCAGTGGCCATGTTCTCACCGTACAATACTTGATTGACGCTGGTAGCTTTTTGGATGCTACTGGCAGAACTGGTCGCACTGCGATGGCTGCTGCTGCTAAAGAGGGGCACAACAACCAGGCCACTATCATTCACGCTCTGATCTTTGCGGGTGCATCAATAAAGATCAATGATCAAGGTGGCTATAATGCCATCCATTACCTAACTTCATCCAACAACGAAGCTTGCATTATCCGAAAGGGCTTGAAAATCCTCCTGGAAGCTGGTTCAGACATCGAGTCACGGACTCATTGGGGAGTTACCCCGCTTTTCTTGGCGATTGAGCGTGGGGACCTAGCTGGCGTGCAGTGCCTGATTGAGGCAGGAGCTAAGACGACGACGACTTGCTCGACATGGATGGGATTTAATTTGCTTCACCAAGCAGCTTTTTTTGGAACCACTGAGACGATTCGGTACTTGTCAACGCTCAATCTGGCAAGAATTGATACAGAAATGCTTGATCTTTACAAATCCACACCCTGGCGCTGCTTTATTTACTCCTTGCACATGGATGATTGGGATCGGACACGGAGTCTCCAGCCAACTCCAGAACGAGAAGAGGCGTTTGTTTCTCTCTTGAAATCGATAAGAGACAGAAACTTGATTGCTGAGAAGGAGCGATTGACTTGGTTACGCCAATATTTGAAAGACAGAGACCATCGAGGCGCCACGGCTGCATTAAGCCCACTGATCAAGCACAGTGAAGAGTGGAAACAATATGAGCTTCTGGGTACATATAAAACTATCGGCTTGCAGATCCGGGAACAGATGTGGGAGGCAGCAGTGGAGTCCGTGGACGAGGTTGTCGACACTTTGCGAGAGAAAATGGCCGCATCCCCGTGGGACACCGAGTCACGCTATGATCCCGAGACTGATACGGATTCAGATGAAGGGGAGAGCGATCAGACCGAGTCTGTTGAATCTGAAAATGAGGACTGGGAAATCAATAGCAGTGACGAAGAGGATGAATTGTGACAAGAAGAAGTTGAGTGGGAATCAAAGAAGCGAGTTTCGACATACAGGGCGCACGGTTGGTTCGATGATTTTAATAACATTACACATTGCGTATCCAAATTTTAGAGCTGCAGCTGAGTCAAAATCTTACTCTGGATTATATATCGAGCAAACCGTTGGCAATATAAAACAATTTATGGCTCTCCCAAGTGCAGGCCACAGTAGCTTCAAAACATACATATGGTAAACACATGGGTTCCACGGTGTGTTCGCCTCAACATTCCCTCATAGACTGAAAAGGGAAAGCAGATACGAGCGACTCACGTTTCATCGTTGCTATATTCTTTGTAAATACAATTTCTGTATTTCTCATCTATGTATTTTGTATTTGCTAGTTCAATTAGCCAGCGCCCAACGCCTGCCAAAGCTCATCGACAGCCATGCCCAAGTTGGCAATGCTATATCAGTCACGCTCAACCCACACCTCCGCCTCACATCATGCAACAAAAGCCATGACGCTCCGAACCCCGAAGGATTCTGCAATCCCCGACTCCCTTGGCATCAGCCGTCCTTGGCCTCCAGAGTCCAAGATGCATCGTTGATCCACACGACACGTTTCCGAACGAACCAGATTCCTCCCTCTGACACACATTCTTCCATATCCCCGGTCCCAGATTCCCAACACAACAGGCCCTAATCACACTAACCCCAAGCGAGCCCCAGCACTTTCCATTCCCTCGGGCCTTGGCACGCGGGGTTCCATTTTCCCAATTCCACATATTGGGTGTTTGTGGGTGCTCTTGCTCCAGCGACAATGGCTGACCAACTCCATCCTTGCCAGTGGCGGCGGGCGGTGGTGGTCCTTCGTGGTTTAACTGACTCTCGTCTTGTCGCCCTCCTCGCACGCTATCTGTTGCTTATCCTCCGGTTGACTTGTCTCATCGATCCCACTGTGCCCTTAACCATTTCCATCGACCGCCTCTTTCTTTCTACTCCCTTCGCATCCCAGTTTTGGCCCCCGAGAACCCCGCGTTCCTTGCCCAGACTCGCGGCTCCGATTTGTCGGAATCCGTCATGACCTGGTCCTTCCTATGGCTCTTCCCCAGCTGTCCCTTTCAGAATGCACCGGATCTCAAATGTTGTCCCCGCTGATCCAGTTACCCCGGATTCGAGGATCACTCGTAGACATTGCCTTGCGTGGGGAAAAGATGCAACAGTCTTGAAAAGTTCATAAATACCACGTTCTGCTGATTGTCCATGATTTCGGGTTGGTCGATACACGACTAGATGCTGTGACTCCATCCTCGTTTATGCTTATTTCTTAGACCGCAACTCTCTTCACTGCAGAGTTTAGCCCCGCCGATCCCTTCTTTTTATTTGGACAACCCCTTCCATGGAATGAGCTTTGTAAGACGCACAATTTGGCCCGAGCACGAGATAAGTATCAGCAAAGTCTACAATGCCCGCGAGCGAGAAGCGTTCACCTTTGGTGGAGCGCGAAGAGCATGCCATCCATACCGTCGACAGCGTCATCATGGACGAGAAGCCCATTCCTCGGGATGAGGAGAACCGCGACTGGACCGGGTCTGCGAGGAAAACCGATCCGGAAGAGATCAAGTTGGTGCGGAAGTTGGACTGGCGGATCATGGTGAGCTTTCAACGTTTTTGACCCATGGATGAGTTCCTGATCTAACAACTCGTTCAAACAGCCGACACTCTGTATCATGTACTTCCTGAGTACGGTTTCCCCCGCTCAAAACCCCATCATCATGATAGCTGAACTGATGAATCAGACTACGTCGATCGTAACGCCATCGCCCAAGCACGACTAAACAACTTGGAGAAAGATTTGGGCATGTCGGGCACCGAGTTCAACACCACAGTTTCCATGTAAGAAGCGAAAGTCCCGAGCAGCAGTGTGGAAAGATAATGTGTGCTGCGACTAAACAGTGTGCAGTCTCTTTGTGGGCTACATCCTCATGCAGATCCCTTCCAATATGTTGATCACCAGAATCCAACCTGGCATATACATGAGCGCGTGGATGTTGATCTGGGCCGTTGTCTCGGGTAGGTCCTTTGTCAAAATCGAAAGTAGTCCTCGATATCTGATGGCCGTCTAGGTTGCACGGCTCTGGTCCAGAATTATGGAGGCCTTGTTGCTTGCAGATTCTTCTTGGGTATCACTGAAGCTCCCGTAAGTCACGAAGAGTGCCATTCGACACCATTCAAGTTGCCGAGTCTGTCACTCACACGAAACAGTTCTACCCTGGCGCAACTTACATGCTATCAATCTTCTACACACGCAAAGGTCAGCCCCCCAACTCTATCCAGCCCCTACGCCTCTCAACTAACACCCACCCCAGAGGTCGCCTCCCGCATCGCCCTCCTCTACTGCGCCCAGATCCTCGCCACCGGCCTCTCCTCCCTCATCGCAGCCGGCATCTTCGCCGGCATGGACGGCCTCAACGGCATCGCGGGCTGGCGCTGGCTCTTCATCGTCGAGGGCGCCGCCACCGGCCTCATCGCCCTCTTCGGCTTCTGGCTCCTCCCCAACACGCCCCTGACGACGCGCTGGCTCAGCGACCGCGAGCGCGAGCTCGCCCACTCCCGTATGGAAAAGGACAAGTTGTCCGACTCGGACGACAAGCAGGCGTCGGCCATGGACGGTTTGAAGCAAGCCGTCCGCGACAAGAGGACGTGGCTCTTCTGCTTGATGCAGAATTTCCATTTGAGCGCTTGCAGCTTCAACTCGTTCTTTCCCGTATGCACTCGCTTCTTGACCTCTGCATTGCTTTTTAATAAAGGTAGACTGACGTAAGATAGACGGTTGTCAAGACTCTCGGCTTCAACACGACCATCACTCTCGTCATGACCTGCCCGCCCTTCATCTTTGCCGGCGCTGCGGGTATCCTGTTCGGCTGGAGTTCCGGGAGACTTCATGAGAGAACATGGCACATCACAGTAGGCCTCGGCGTCGCGATTATCGGCTTCGTGGTAGCGGCCTCCACGCTCAACACGGCCGCCCGCTATATTGCCTGCTTCATTTTCCCGATGGGAGCTTATGCCGGTTTGTCCTCTTCCGTTCTTTCGATCCCCAGACACGTTGCTGACTTTATGTCCCTGTAGTGAACTCCGTCATCATCGGGTGGGCCTCTTCAACACTGTCGCAGACCAAGGAGAAGAAGGCAGTTGTTCTCGCCATGACCAATGTCGGCGGTCAGATTGGCTACATCTACGGCGCCTACCTCTGGCCCAAGAGCGATGAGCCCCGCTACGCCATCGGTTTCGGCGCTTCTGCCGGCTTCGCCCTCCTCTCGATCCTGTGCGCATGGTGGATCCGTGTCTTGCTTATCAGAGAGAACCGGAGAATCCGGGCTTCCACTTCTGAGAACGTGAACTTGTATGGTTACTAGGTGGCAGATTTAGGGCTTTTTGGTAAAGATATCGGAACTTGGCAGCGTTATTTTAGCCTCTTTATATGGAAGGGCGGGCCGACGTAACTGCTAGGATTGCAGGAAGTCATCTGAGTGAGGTATATGAGCTTCAGAAATGATACCATGGAAGTTAACTCAATGATACAATTCTATCATAGAACATAACATCAAGACAATAGCACGTTCAATTGTAATTTTGATGATTTTAAGCGACGGAAAGTAAGCCATGCCGGCCTAATCCCAAAGTTCATGGCTAGGGCATTTCAGCGCGATATAACCATGCCTTAATCAAACCTTCGTCATATTCATTGTCCATCACACCTTGGCAAATGTTCTTTACAGCGGGTATCTGTACCAGACGCTACGAGCTTGGAGTCAAGAACGTGAAAACGAAGTGACTTTCTGCTGCTATACGATTAGAAGGGTGTAGAGTGTCTGTTGCAGTCTGGTAATCGTCAACTATTAGTACCAGAGTGTATCTAAAGCAACGTCACATCATTAAGCAGCGGTGAGCAGAAGTCCACACCTCACAGCAACCTACTGGGCTCGTAGAGATATGGGAAACAGCCGAGTATTGCGTCACACACGGAAAAGGTAAACCCCAGGTGTGTCTAATGCTGTCATTGACGAGTATCACGGCAAGATATCAAACACTTGACGATGGGAACCTACTTGAGAGATTCCACAGTCTCCACATTCACCGTGGGAATTATGCAATTAAAGCGCCATCTCGGAGTCGTCAGAAAATAAAACCAGTGTCTTTTTGACTTTTTTCTGCTTGCGGGTAAAGCATCAGCCACGATGCTGTCTAGTCTCATGTCACATTATCAAATATCGAACACTACTCGGCCAAGCCCTCACTTTCTCAATGATTACACATCAGACTAAAAGCACAGCAAAGACTACTGGAAGCAACGAGGGAAAGAGTAAAGTACCCCAATGGCCTCGGAGACTGCCCCCTTTTCTTTGGCCACCAATTTTAGTCTCGTGGTTACAATGTAACCTCTTAAAGGGCAGAGTTATTCTCTCACACCAGGAGCTGTTTCGGCAGCAAGACATTCAAGGCTCCACAGTCTTCTCCATACAACTCTACTTCACCCAACGGATTGTCGACTTATGTTCCGAACTTCCGGTAAACCGAGTCGTGTCGATTACGTGATTATACTATAGATGACGAGCCGATAGAATAAGATTAGACGCTTCCACGGTTCTCACAATCTGAGCGAGTCCACTCTGAGTTTATAGCAGTACTGAAAGGTCCAATTACGCTCCCCATCAACGGGTGTCACAAGCCCGCATTCACCATCCGGCTAGTTCGATGACATAATTCCCCGCAAGGCAAAACAAACCTGACGAATTCATGCTCGCAGTCATCCCGAATAGAAACCAGAATGAGACGATGCGAAAAGTCCAGTTGAGTTATCCTGCGAAAGGTCAACAGTCCGAACTTTGTGTCTTTGCAAGAGCTAGTGAACCCCGTGAAATGAGGCTGGAATCCCAACGTCGTTAACGTTCGAGTTGTCAAGCTTGAAACCAAAACGTTAAAACTGGTGTGACGTCGAACCTTGGTCCTTCGGGCACACCCCCTCGAGGCCGACAGGAACGACACGACTCATGCCATACCAAGAACCCACCAGCCAGGCCATTTCTTTAACCTGTGCTTGAGTGGGCAAGCAAGCGGTTCTCTGTGCAGATACCGATCGCCTTACGGGGCGGGCCGGCCGCAGTATGGAGAAATGCATTACCTTATTCCTGTGCCTCCCAACCAGGCTTTCAACGGCACTCGCTGCGTTTTGCCATGAATGACAGAGAGGCCGAGGTTCCCGGGCACATGCATGATTAATCATCATCACACGACTCATTCGTCCCCCATTGGGACAGCATCAGCATTGACCCATCTGAACACAGCTTTACGTTACCAAGTTGCGGGGGCGGAGCTGGACGGGTTCGGATGGTCCTTGCTTGTCTCTAGTCTCTAGAAACGCCGAGAGGCTTATGTCCGGTCAGATACGGGCCCGGGGGAAAGGCGTCTTAGATCCGGACGATTTAATGGGGCAGTAAGCAGGCATTCAATCTGCCGTGAGCATTTCAAAATCACCATGATTTACGCCATGTATGGCGCACATTTGAATGTGAAGAGAGTTGAGTCCAAAGTAATGCCGAAATGGTTGCACCGGGAATCCGAGGCTGTTGATGCAGTCGACTGATTGTCAAACAAAACAGAAACTCAATAAACACTTTGCTAAGACCGTGCTGCTGGTGCTGGTGCGTTGTGCATGCTCTTTTCCAGGTTCACCATCCGTTGTCAACAGTGGGGAGCTTCTGCCGAAGGGCGGCAACCTGAGACGGAGGCGCTAAGCCAGATAGAGTAATACCCTTGGCGGCGAGTGTCCGGGTCATCATCGGAGCTCGTGATAGCCCGTCCTGGGAGTGATTGAGAGGGGCCGGTGCTTTGAGTGAGGCCGGAAAAAGACGGAGGTCGGCATTGTTTGGCAGCGACGCCAGCTAGGGATGTGAACTTGTGAAGGGATGGGCGTGTGATCGGGGCGATTCCGGAGTCCGACTGAATGTTGTAAAAATGAATTGGTCCGACTGGATGCCACATTACCAAGAGCCGGGGTTTTCAGGCTCAGGCTGACGCACAGCACTGAGAGCAGAGCGGGTGCGGTGCGGGTTGCAGGGCCGAGTTGGACGTGGTGGACTTGGCTGGGCTGGGTGTAGTTTACGGACGGTGCGTTTCTTGCGTTGCTCTGCTGCGTCTGCTTGGCTGCGTGAAGGGCGGTACGTAAAATTGGACTGTTGGGGTTGATTCCAATGCTGATGAGCGTTGCCCAGTTGGGTAAAGTGAGTTGACGAGTCGCGTTGTTGATGCTTCCTGTCCCGTTTTCGGGTTCGCGTTCGTATTGTGGAGACGGAAGTATATCAGCATAGGAACCGGCGCGATCTAACACTTTGGTATGCATGCTGGAGGCAAAATCAGAACCTCCTTCAGATTCTGTATCATGCCTCTTGTTATCCAGCAACTCTGATAACGTGACTGCTGCCACTGTTCGATGACTCGACATCCAATTCGCCAGTTTGGAGGTGCTGCCGCATTCTCGCATTGTTGTTTGGCGAAAACTGGAATTAGAGCAACTACAGTATGGGGTACCGTCCTCGTGCGGCGTGCCTCCCGTCCGTGCTGCCGCCTTCCGCCTGTGAATAGCCGCAGTCGGATGGTAGCATCGGTGTGGTCTGTCATGCGCTAAGTTTCTCACTTGCAGTCGCTAGAGAGACACATGGTGGACAGTGGCGACGGATCTGGGGAACCGGTATTAGGTTGTGATCGCGTGTTGTCTGGGATTCGAGCGTCATCACACGAAACACAGACGATCAAAAGCCTCGGCTCATGGTCATCCAATACCTTCACAGTCGATCTCAGCCGCTCATGTTCTATCTACATCGACCAAAGTTCCGACGGATGTTGGAAACTCTAGCTATCCGTAGACTACGGAGGAATCGTCAATTCTTCGGGAAGGGGTGTCCGTGACGATATCCATGATGTAGAGCAAGTGGCGGGGTCGGATTCAGGGGTCGTCCCCGACATTGGGATGTTGGTTGCTGCTGAACTTGATGGCTGTCCCAAGAGCTTTCTAGACCACTTCCTGATTCCCTATTTCGGTCGTCTGGTGTGAGGAGGCTTTTGTGAACGAGGCCCTGGCTTGTAGACTTGACGTGGTAGGTCGTCAAACGTCGCTTAGGACGAAGGTTGTCTTTAGGTTGGGACGAGTCAGCAAACAGAACGGCGCCCTCCGAGGGATAACTGGGGGATAATTGGGGGTAAGTGAAGGTCTGAAAGTCTGTTGTTTACTCCTTCAGCGGTGTGAGACTGCGCTAAGATATTGTCTCGCGGCGATTGCTGTTGGTAGTCTGGCGTTGCTGCGCTGCCGTCGTGCCATGTGGATTGCGTGACCTGGCAAAGGAAGAATGCGCCGTGAATCTCGGGGTACTGGTGCAGCCCGCCCGGTGCGCCATCACGCTCGCAGTGGATGAATCCAATCGGTACCGGGCGACTGATCTCGGACGAAGCTGGCTGATCAACCCGGACGAGTCTGCGGTACCGGCGTAACCCAGGGAGGTATTCCGTGCTGATTGTGTGCAATGTTGAAGTGTCAAACGGGTCGACTGCGAAGTGACCTGGGGCCGGTGGGCCGGAGGCCAAGACATGTGGGAATTCTACTGCAGATCTGGCGGACAGGTCTGGCAGCAGGCCAGAGGGGTGGTACGCACGGTACGTTTGCCGTAAATCGTCGTATATCGGCTGCGCTGATCGCCCAGTTGGAACGGGCTGCGACGTGGCCAGGATCCGGTCAAGGCGCACGTCTTCCGAAAAGAGCGCGAAGCACTGAAGATAATTGCGGCCCCGGCTTTGAACTGCCGTGTCTCTCTCTTGTTGTTTCGACGGGAACGGAGATGTTCATGGCAGTGGTTCCTCGTACCTGTTAAGTCTATACAGACTGATATGACTTGGAGGCAATGTTGGTCTTGGACTTCAAGCTCACTACCACTAGGAAATGGCGGTAGGTCGGTCGCCTGGCTGGTGCGCGTGAGAATGGATCAATGGAAAATGAATTGGTGAGACTCGTCGACTGTCTTCGGTGGCCGGTGGCGGATGGCGAGTCCCGGCAGGCGCAAGTGTGGGTCCAGTCGGAGGAACGCAGGCAGGAGCACTGAGGTGGAGCACTAGACAGTGGAGACCATGGGGCACATCGCCATGAGGTGCTCACAAGCCGCCTGCGCTTGCCTGGGCCACGGCGGGTTGTCGGGGTCCTCGAAGAACCCGAGACGGGGTGTCAAGCTGCTCGCTTGCGGCTCCTTAGCGTCCACCCCTTTTTGTGATTAAGCGAGAATACGTACCGGCGAATGGCTGCCTTCTGCGGATGCCTCAGCTCCATGGCAAATTTCCAATTGGACGCTGAGCGGGTCTTACTGCTTCTTTAATGGAGCACGACGGGGTGTGATCAGTGGGGCCGCACGAGGGAGCGGGAACTTGTGAACTCTGGCAATCTGGGAAAGAAGACAATTTGCGGGCGAACAGCAGGGGCTGCCTGGCCTTATCCAGATGGATTGGCGAAGACGAAGAGAGCGAGAAAGTTACGATGGTCGCAGGAGCAAGCAGGGGACATGCCCTCCTTTCCTGGTGGAGATCATTTTGGTGCTCCGCCCACACATAGTATGAACGTCCGTAAATCGAACAGAGCCAAGACTCGAGCAAGAGACGCTGACCGCGAAGTGCAAATTAGTTGCTTTGCACCCAGCATTTGCTGAAGTGCCCTACCAAGTACGTACCCAGATGGGCAGATGGGAAAAGGAGTCTTGATCACACCCGATAGCAGGGCTCTGCCAGTCATTCGTGCCATCCATCCAACCTGTCGGGGATACATCCACCCGTCAGCAACCTTCTCTTGCCTTCTTCCCGGTACACTGTGAGCGCCCTCATTGGGTGGTTGTCGGGCTGATAGAGTGCAACCTAAGGTAGGGTAAATACGTTGTGTGCGGCGTGCGTGCCTGCCATGATATTGGGAAATGGAGCGGGGAACAAGCTGAGACTGATGAACACCAGATACTTGATACCCATCCATACTCCCACAGAGTTCCCGGTGACAGGGTTGGCAGTCTTACAGGCATCTTTGGAGGGTCTTGCGCGTCCTTACTCGTTGCCGCATGTGCACCATGGATATCCGCGATGAGGTGAGATTGGCACGTCCGCAGCCTTGTCATGCTGCTGGCATCGGGTTGCTGTTGGGGTTACTGTCATCTGACAAGAGATGCCAATCGTTCCCTGACAATGGCATTAAATGCAGTTTGCAACTGCAGGGAAACGGTAACCAGTTGTAGACATGTTGTAGTGCCAAATGGCGGGCTAGACTCCCTGGCGACGCTCTCTCGACCTGCTACCCAAATGGTATTGCTTGCGCTGGGACGGGCAATTGGCATCGTGGCCTCGGGGATTGACAAGATGCCGATAGGAACCAAGGGTCCAGACTGGCGCGACGCAGTCTCGCAGGGCATTGTTCCGGGCCCCTGCTGTGATTTGATTGTTGGATCTCGGGGGTGCCAGAGAGACTCGCAGACGTTCTTTTTTCTAGCTTTTTTAGTCGGGGTCGGTGAGACAGAGTACCGGGACCCTGTCCTTTCTGCAGGTGCTCCATCTAGTGTAGTCTATCCGTAGAGTGGATTCAAAAATGATTTTGTGTAATTCCGGACTTGAAGTGTCTTACAGCCGATCTTGCAGTGATGTACGTATCCGACTCTCGATATCCGTGGCTGGCAGTAACGCTTCGCGATTATGGTTAAGGTATGGTTGTTGGCTGGGCCCGTTTAAGGACCACCCCGCATACCAGGTGAACGGGGTGGCTGCGAATCTATGAGCACAGAGTTCGTCACTAACTCTGCGATTTGTAGCCCAGTCCCTGACTGTCGACAATGGTGATGCAGTCTCGTGGTGCAAGTCCAGCGCTGCGTGTTGAGAGACTGAGACTTTTCTCTGCGCCGGCTGCGTTCGACCGAATTTCGACGGTGCTTACAACTCACGCCCCTGCCGGCGGAGTTTGGACTCTGGCAAAGCCGCAAATGTGCTCAAATGGTCAGAGTTATCTGCCAAGTCGAGGCTGATGCTGTGACATCCAGCCAAAGTCCGCAAGTATTCGCGCCAAAAGTATCCACACCCTCTAGAAATGCATCTGCCACAGGGTGTCAACCGTCGATTCGGCGGTCGTGGTGGGTTCCAAGGCGAAGAGGAGGAAGCTAGGGGTTACTGCGCATTTTGTGGGCCACGCCGAGCGCGTCATCCTCGCTATCTAAGGTACTGGAAAGAACGAGAGGGTGAGCTTGTGAGCCTGTGAGGCGAGTCGGAAAAATCAAACCAGGTATCCGTACGGCAAGTATTGTTCCTAGGCAGTACGTACCTCGTATATTGGAGCTGCAGGCGGCGTACTTTGAGAAAAGTATCTTTTGCCATGCTGCCGCGCGTAAAGATACATCCACCCGCCGCGCGCCTTCCCTTCACTGCCAAGCCTGTCGGAACCCCCTCACACCCCTGTACAGTACGTACTACAGAATCCACGCCAGCGGACATCCATTTCAGGACGTTTCGATTTTCTGGCATTGGCCCCATTCGATCTGGAGACTTTTCGGTGCATTCTGCGGAGGGCATTCGGTCGTGTCAGTCTTGATTAGGCATTTTGATTTTATTCCGACTGCTTTGTTTTGTTATTTTTCTTTTTCCCTTCTTATTATTATTTTATTATTCTGGTTATGCCAGTCCTCTTTGCCTGCCCCATGCTCCCCTTCCCCTTCCAGGCCCAGCTCCATTCCGTCCCATCTTTCCTACCGTGCTCCTCGACGCTGTACCTTTCATCCTGGTCACCCTGAGCTGCTGGGATCTTCTTTTTTAAATCCTCGCAGACCTCCCACCACCATTTCTTCCATTCGAGGTGCTTCTTCTACCCTTCCCCTTCCGTCACCTTCGACCTCTTCCCTCCTTTCCTCCTCACTTCCTTTTCTTTATTCGCGTCGGTCCTTTAATCAATACCCTCTCTACCAGTACCTATCTGGTTGCACTCTTAGTACCTAATACCGAAGATAAACAAGTCACCACACCGTCGTGGAATCGACGCTGCGACGAGAGAGAAGAGGCTGTATTCTCGAATCTGTGCCGAGCGGGTGATCCTGGAACACCCAGCAATACCGACGACACTAAGGTGCCGACTGACAAGCCTGACTTTTTGACACTTTGGGATCGCGGTTGAATCCGCCCCCGTACGACCATCCGCGAACATGGCTTTCGCCGGAATGGCTTCCGTCCCCAATTATGACAGCACGGCCCAGACGTCTGGTGTTCCGATCACCTCTGCCCGCAGTCAACACCACGAGGAGGAGGAGACTGCTACCGCAAACCTGAACAACGTCGACACTGCCGCCACATCCATTACCGAGGTTGCAGGAAGCGACAAGGCCCCCAAGAAGTCCCAGGCCCCTTTCGACAGCGACAAGATCTCCGCCGAGGGAGAAGATGAGGATTCCGAGATGGAACGCCGCCACTCACTGGTGCAGTCGCTCGCCCGGAAGTACTCCCATGCTACGGCCAACGGCACCGTGGCAGGAAACCCCTTCTTCGCCGACGAGTCTTCGCCCCTGAACCCGAACTCGCCCGACTTCAACGGCCGTGCTTGGGCTCGCGCCATGGTTGACCTTGTCCAGCAAAATGGCGCTTCCTTCCGTACCTCTGGTGTCGCTTTCCAGAACCTCAACGTCTTCGGTTTCGGCCAGGCCACCGACTACCAGAAGGATGTCGGAAACATCTGGTTGAGTTTGGCTGGTCTTGCGCGCAAGCTTACCGGTGGAGGTGGGCAGACAAGAATCGATATTCTTCGCAACTTTGACGGCCTCGTTCGCAAGGGTGAGATGTTGGTTGTCCTTGGTCCTCCCGGTTCTGGTTGCTCTACTTTCCTGAAGACCATCGCCGGTGAGACTAACGGTCTCTACACCGACGACAGCTCCTACTTCAACTACCAAGGTGAGTGGCGGAAGCCCCCCGAATCCAGTTTGCAGGGGTTCACCGTTGCTGGCGTCGAGTCTTCTCGTCTCCAAGACATGGCAACCCCCACTTGGTGTAACATCGTGTCACTCGACCGGTGCTGACAGGGCTCAGGAATGACTTCCAAGGAGATGCACACCCATCACCGCGGTGAGGCCATCTACACGGCCGAAGTGGACGTCCACTTCCCTCAATTGTCTGTTGGCGACACTTTGACATTCGCCGCCCGCGCTCGTCAACCCCGACGGCTTCCCGAGGGTATCAGCAGCAACGACTTCGCCCAGCATCTCAGGGATGTTGTCATGGCTATGTTTGGCATTTCGCACACCATCAACACCCGCGTTGGTAACGAGTACATTCGGGGTGTGTCTGGTGGTGAGCGCAAACGTGTCACCATCGCCGAGGCTGCACTTTCTGGCGCCCCTCTGCAATGCTGGGACAACAGTACTCGTGGTCTGGATTCTGCTAATGCTATTGAATTCTGCAAGACCCTTCGTCTGCAAACCGAGCTCTTCGACAACACGGCCTGTGTGTCTATTTACCAGGCACCCCAGAGCGCGTACGACCTCTTCGACAAGGTTGCCGTCTTGTATGAGGGTCGCCAGATCTTCTTCGGCAAGGCCACTGACGCCAGGCAATACTTCATTGATCTCGGATACGACTGCCCTGCCCGAGCTACTACCCCGGATTTCTTGACTTCCATGACGAGTCCCCAGGAGCGTCACGTTCGCCCCGGCTGGGAGAACAGGGCTCCTCGTACCCCTGACGAGTTTGCGACCGCCTGGAAAAACAGCGCCAACTACACCGCCCTGCAAGCTGAGATTGAGGAGTACAAGCAGACTCACCCTCTCAACGGTCCCGACGCCGTGGCTTTCCGTGCCTCGAAGAAGGCCCAGCAGGCCAAGGGTCAGCGTGCCAAGTCCCCCTTCACTCTGTCCTACCCTCAGCAGATCAAGCTTTGCCTGTGGCGTGGATGGAGACGCCTGATCGGTGATCCCAGCATCACACTCGGTTCGCTTATCGGAAATGTCATCATGGGTCTCATTATTGGAAGTGTCTTCTACAACTTGCAGCAGGACACGAAGAGTTTTTTCCAACGTGGTGCCCTCCTCTTCTTCGCTCTGCTCATGAACGCCTTCTCAAGTGCCCTCGAAGTAAGTCCCAGCATCCTTCTATTTCCTTGTACTCGTGAGTAGACCATGCGCTGACCTGAACCCAGATTCTGACTCTGTACTCTCAACGTCCGATTGTCGAAAAGCACTCTCGTTATGCTCTGTACCACCCTTCCGCCGAAGCTGTTGCGTCCATGTTGTGCGACATGCCGTATAAGATTATGAACACAATCGTCTTCAATCTGGTCCTTTACTTCATGACGAATCTGCGACGCGAGCCTGGAGCATTCTTCTTCTTCCTCCTGATGTCCTTCTTCACCGTCCTGACAATGTCAATGATCTTCCGAACCATTGCTTCGTCATCTCGAACACTCTCGCAAGCCATGGTCCCCGCCGCCATTCTGATCCTGGATCTCGTCATTTTCACTGGATTCGTTATTCCCATCGATTACATGCTGGGTTGGTGCCGATGGCTCAACTACCTCGATCCTCTGGCATACTCCTTCGAATCACTCATCGTCAACGAGTTCCACGGCCGAAACTTCGCTTGCTCGGAAAGCCAATTCGTCCCTAGCTCCTCCGTTCCTGGTTACGCCAACCTTCCATCCGCCCAGCGTGTATGCAGCGCTGTTGGGTCTGTTGCTGGTCTTGATTACGTGAGCGGCGATGACTATGTTGGTTCTGGTTTCCGCTACTCATATGCCAACCGCTGGCGCAACTTTGGTATCCTCATTGCTTTCATGCTGTTCTTCCTCATGACCTATATGGTAACGGCTGAATTGGTCTCGGAGAAGAAGTCAAAGGGAGAAGTCCTCGTATTCCGTCGCGGATACAAGCCCGCTGCCCTCAACGAGAAGCATTCCGATGACCCAGAGGATATCCGTGTCGGACCCGTCACCACCGCCGATCGCGCCCGTATCAACCCGAAGAACGATGGTCTCATTGAGGAGCAAAAGTCTACTTTCCACTGGAACGACGTCTGTTACGAAGTCCAGATCAAGAACGAGACAAGACGCATTCTTGATCATGTTGACGGATGGGTAAAGCCGGGTACTTTGACTGCTCTCATGGGTGTGTCAGGTGCTGGCAAGACTACGCTTTTGGATTGCTTGGCTGATCGTACCTCCATGGGTGTCATCACTGGTGAGATGCTGGTTGACGGTTACCACCGTGATGCCTCATTCCAACGCAAGACCGGTTACGTCCAGCAGCAAGATTTGCACCTGCAGACTACTACTGTGCGCGAGGCTCTCAACTTCTCTGCCCTGCTTCGTCAACCCGAACACGTTCCGAAGCAAGAGAAACTCGACTATGTTGAGGAGGTCATCAAGCTCTTGGATATGGAAGAGTACGCCGATGCCGTGGTCGGTGTCCCTGGAGAAGGTCTCAATGTCGAACAACGTAAGCGTCTGACTATTGGCGTCGAGCTGGTTGCGAAGCCACCTCTGTTGCTCTTTGTTGATGAGCCTACTTCCGGTCTTGACTCACAGACTTCCTGGGCTATCCTCGATCTCTTGGAGAAGTTGACCAAGAGTGGCCAGGCTATCCTCTGCACTATTCACCAGCCTTCAGCTATGCTTTTCCAGCGTTTCGATCGTCTCCTCTTCCTCGCCAAGGGTGGCCGTACTGTCTATTTTGGCGACATTGGCGAGAACTCCAAGGTCATGACCTCTTACTTTGAGCGTATGAGTGGCATGACGTGCCCCCACGATGCGAACCCGGCCGAGTGGATGTTGGAGGTGATTGGCGCCGCTCCCGGATCTCACACTGATGTCGACTGGCATCAGGCTTGGCGCAAATCTGAGGAATTCCAGAGTGTCCAGAACGAGTTGCAGAGACTCAAGGATGAGCGTGTCATTGAGACCACGGCTGCCCACGACAAGGGTAGCTACCGCGAATTCGCTGCTCCTTTCTTCGCCCAGCTCAAGGAGGTTACCCACCGTGTATTCCAACAGTACTGGAGAACCCCCTCTTACATCTACGCCAAGGCTGCGCTCTGCACTCTGGTTGCTGCATTCATCGGTTTCGTTTTCTTCAAGGCTCCCAACACCCAGCAGGGTCTCCAGAACCAGATGTTTGCCATTTTCAACTTGCTCACCGTCTTTGGCCAGCTCGTCCAGCAGACCATGCCTCACTTTGTCATTCAGCGGTCCTTGTACGAAGTGCGAGAACGTCCGTCCAAGGTGTATGGCTGGAAGGTCTTCATGCTGAGCCAGATTATCGTCGAACTTCCTTGGAATACCCTCATGGCCGCCATTATGTACTTCTGTTGGTACTACCCTGTCGGTCTGTACCAGAACGCGATTCCGGCCGACCAGGTCACCGAGCGTGGTGCACTGATGTTCCTCTACCTGCTCGTCTTCCTGCTGTTCACATCGACCTTCACCGACTTCATCATCGCTGGTTTCGAGACCGCCGAGGCTGGTGGCAACATTGCCAACTTGCTCTTTATGCTTTGTCTCATTTTCTGTGGTGTGCTCGCCAACCCCGACACCATTCCCCGCTTCTGGATTTTCATGTATCGGGTATCGCCCTTCACGTACATTGTCTCCGGCATGTTATCAACGGCTGTCGCCAACACAGAGGTTATATGTGCTGCCAACGAGTTCCTCCACTTCGATCCTCCTTCGGGACAAAGTTGTGGAGTCTTCCTCAAGAACTACATCGAGGCCGCCGGCGGATACCTACGCGACGCCAACGCCACCACCGACTGCCAGTTCTGCACCATTCAGGACACGAACGTCTTTCTGGCCAGCGTCAAGAGCGACTACAACGACCGCTGGAGGAACTTTGGCATTGCCTGGGTCTACATCATCTTCAACATCTTCGCCGCCCTGGGGTTGTACTGGTTGGCGAGAGTGCCGAAGAAGGGTGGTCTCTTTGGCAAGAAGAAGACAGAGTAAGGGTGCCGTCACAAACAAAAGTTGATTCCCGATACGAAAAGGATGAGAAGAAAATGAGAGGAAATGACACAATGTTGGAGGTATTATGTGTGTATGAGTGAGCTGATTAGAGAGGAGAGCTCGGGTGCAAACCTGGAGGAATTATCCCCTGAATGCCATCGCAGATCGGTGTATCTGCGTGGGTTTTGTTTATTATCTCGAGTAGACGGCTTATATATCTTGCCATGTGTACTTTACTCAAATCCTGAGTTCGGGGTGCTAATAGAGACGATGCACTCACCGGTTCCCTCTATTTCGACTTTTATTAGATACCTAGAAGCAAGACTTTTGAATGAACATGATGATTCCTTCAATCGGTGAAGCAGAATGCGTACAGGGTGATTGCTTGGGGATGGGATGAAATTGCTGTACAGACGGCCTCAAGCAGACAGCCTCAAGGTGCGGCGAGAGAAAGGATGCGAAAATATGTCTCGCCCCGAAGCCCGCAGGGTGAGTTAAAATTGCAGTGTAGGGTCTCCATAGAAGTCGGGAAAACAATGTATTGAGGGTTTGAACAAAACCGGTGCGTGGACAGAATCTTATGACTGCTGCTTCTTGATCAGTCCTGCGGTGGATGAACAGCCAAGTACGGTAGCTGCTCAGCGCGCTGTCGTCTTCCTCGGTGGCATTCGCTTGGAGAAGTGGACTAGTCGGGCCAAGATCTCGTATTCCGCGGTTTATGCTTCCTCGTCGAGCCCCTTTTCTCTGGCTACCTACCACCTGTGTAGAAACATGGAGAACAAGACTTGTCTACTAGAACAGAGAAGGTTTAGTTCACCCCCGTATTTGGGACACGTTGCTCCTATCCGTACATCGTCTGGGTTGTGAAGTTGCTTTTTGCCCGCCGTTGATCTGAATTCGACAACAAATACGAAAGCAGAAGACTACATGTACCTAGTAACAGTCTACCTAGGAACAGTCTGTCGCAGCGCCACATGTAGCGCCGCATTGGATATTGCCACCGGACACCGCTTACCACGGAACGACCGCTCCGGGGGCTCGCCCCGTACGGCGTATAAATCCACGATCCCGTCTAAGGGCTTCACTTAGCTTAATCAAGCCGCTTACTATCACATGTGCCTTCCGCCTGATACCTCGCTTTGCGATACAGTCTCACTCAGGAATATGGGCTCTGCCATGGAAGTTTCATGACAAGTGTAGAAATTATTTACAAGGTTTCTACGTACAAAGACATATTCTTCATTTGGCCCACTAGTCAATCACTTGCAATTCACTAACGTAATCTCAATTCTTGGATACGTAATAGAACTTTTATGGGTATTTCAAGTCAATTCATGTCTAGGAGCTGTCTCGCGCTTGCTGAATACTCTTGACAACTCTTGAAAGTCATCTCCGCTCCCTGAGTAACCTCATTAATCTCAATGCGCCTTTAGCTCTGTTTGGCGATTTCATGTTGACCACCCTGTTCTCGAAGGCGAATTCACGTTGCGCACAGCGAGATGCCACTGATCTCCATGACCTCACAACCTTTCTGCTCAATGCTAGCTGCCAGGTTGACACCACAGTAAGCAGTGCCGAATCTCTTCCAACTTTGAAACTGAAGGCGAACCCCTCACCGTCGCCCGGGGCCACTATTTCCATCGCTTCTAGAAGAGGCATACGCAAAGCAGCTCGACTTGCCTCAAGAAGCAGACATTCCAAAGATGACGGGAGAGAGACCTGGTCTCCAATTTGCATCGTTAGGCCTAGGTATTGGAGAGCTGGCCAGATGCGGAGACTATTCGGTAGCCCAGTAGGGTTGCCTGGTTCGTCCATCGATGCATGCCGGAAGAAGTCATTCGCATTGACCGCGTCGAATTGGGTAAAGCCTTGGAGATTGTAACTTGCATTGACCGCCGACGATACCAGAGCAGCATTGGCAAACCTAGGAAAGGACGGGTTCTTGTGCATACAAGATTGCGCCTCCCAAAGGCTGACTTCTTTGACAGTAGCAGACTTGCTCACACATTCGAATAACATAATCATTGCCTCCTCGCGTTTGAGGTGGCCTCGATCCCATGGGCCAACCGCGCGCCACGGCTCATAAGAGATGGTTTGGAGACGACACAGACTGGAAAGAATTTTCGCCAATGCCGTCCTCGACATGCTTCTGTAACAATGGCGAGTTACTGAAAGATGACTGACAATGGAGACCTGGTCAAGTTTGAGCTTACCAGAGCTGAGGTCCAGGAGGTTGCCAAGAAGACGCCTTTTCGAGTTCAAGGAAATAACACGACTTAGATCATGTCCAGCTGCGAGTACTCGGTGGCTTCTAGGGTGATGTTCATCGCTTGGGGAGCTGGCGCTCAACTCGAGTTCAATGCCTCCTGTGGATGAGCGATCAATCCATGCTGAAAGAGAATTGAACAGCTGCTTCAGGGCCTGGGAGAAGAGTTTATTGTTTGCCCTGATTGTGTCTGTGATCTCTGGTTGGTCGAACCCGTGGGTACTGTCGTATTCTTCAAGGACAACATGCAATGAGACCTTTCTGATGTAGTTTCTTCGGTGACTGTTGATAATATGGTCCAAATAATCCACATCGGAACCGGGATATGAAATTTGGAGGTGGTGGAAGTTCTGAGGTTCAAAAAAGCTTTGCCACTCCTTGGAAACGCTTGCCCAGGCCGACAAGTCATGTCTTTCATTTACCATCTCAAGCTCCTCGAGAACCATCAGTCGAATCTCCGGTGGCAAGACTGCTCAACAAAGATTATGATTAACATCGTACAGTGAGTACGTGGTATTTGAACGCAGCTTCATATTTTCGTCGGGGTAATTTGAAATGCTGGTTGCCGAGAATGTATTCCAGACTTTAATCCTGTGGACAAGACGATATTTAGGACGTAGGTAGGGTGTAGCGACTTAGAACTTGAATTGCTCGAATGCAGAGAAGTATGGAGGTGGGCGTGCTGCCCTTATTATACATTGGGAGGATTTTGAGGTCCCCGGTAGTACCATTATGGGTCGGACTTCGACACAGGACACCTTTCTAGACTTTGTGGCTCATTTTGTGGCTCATCACAAGACATATCTTTGGTAAAGCTGATTGTATATGATTGAGCTGATATCGCCGCATAAATGCGGATCAACATGAGGTGCCCAGAGCTTCTGTAGCAACATAAGCTAGGCCAAGAAACTTGTGTCCAATCATGACCATCCCGCCAAGTTGAAACTGTCAACGGCTATGCGAAGGACGGCACCGTGTTGCTGGAGCTGATTGCAGAACTCAATATCCCAAGATAATCCATCAACACATCGTCATCCTTGTGAAGATCCTGCTGCACCCAAATAGATTGTATCGTGTTCTTGACCGCTTGTATACTTCTTATCCGAACATCCCTTTGGGTCCTTTCGATCAGGTTGATGATACCAATTCTCTGTTCATCTCGTTGCGCCTCACAAGCGAGAATCAAGAGAGGAAAGAAGTGCTCGCAAGTGCATGACTGGACAGGCCCCGAGAATGCTGTCTCTATCAGAGCATCAAGATTTGCAGGTGGTTCCCATGGGCTCTGGGATGCCCGCACGAGATAAATCTGTGTCGCCGTCTGGTACAGCTCTATAGCGAATGCGGCGTCAGGATCTGAACCGGATGGGATGGCGGGTTTGATAGAGACACCCCCCACCCTTCTCTCAAGGTCCTTGAGTCGATTCTGGTACACTTGATTTTGACTTCGGGGGTCCCTTGGGTCCAGGAGTGTGTCGCAAACCTCGGAAAGCAGGTTCAATATCGCATACGTGGGATTCACCGAAGGCATGTTCTATGAGTTGAGCCGTTAGTGGAAAGCGCTAGATTCTGAGTAGCAAGAGGGGAGCATACGGGTCTGTATCTTGTTAGAGGAGGATACTGAAGATCTTGTGGTCCTGAATTATCCTTGATCAAAGTCTTGGGAACCAAAGACTTGTGGCGCCAATGATGCAAAGCGAACCGAGATTGTGTTTCATGGTAGTAGGCCCAATTCAGCAATTGGCCAACGTCGCTTTCATGCGGTTGATCCTTTAGTTGAGTGGCGTGAATCATATCGATGGCTCCCCATGTGTGCCATAGCCACTCGCCTGAGCCTTCCGAAGGATGTAGTATCTATATACATTGATTAGCCACAATGAATAATTGTAATGTAATGGGGAATGTCTCGTTATCCACCTCAAAAGCACCAAGGACCATGGACGCAGCTACATGTTGGGCCGCTTTTGCCAAGACCAAAGGTTCGCCTGTCACCGACGCTGAGAGATACTGGATTGCCTGTATCTTCAGCTTGACAGCTTGTTCATTGAGTCCATGGCGATGCAGTGAAGCGTAAGCGAGTAATGCATGGAACAGGGCGAGTCCAGAAGTTGCGTCTTGTACCAGGGTCATGCTCAGCAGTGCGTTTCGAATTTTCCAGGTATTTTGACCGAATGTGACCAGCGACCTGTAGGCAAAGTGTTGGACTGAGTCGATTGTCAGCCTTGAAGACTTGGGCCAAATTTTCATCGACCGACTCATGTGCTTCCAGGCTTACAGTGATGGACTAGGTCTAGGTCCGTGGGACCAACTCCTTGTTGAGGCTGCCTCGGGAGCCTTGGGAAAGGCAAAATTGGAAGGCAACTTTGGTTCTGCAGGGAAGAGGAGCCAGAGTAGCCATATAATTCCATGTCATGCCAGGTTGCATTCACAAAAAAGGGGCTGATGGTCATCTGACTTGATGTGCCAAGGGATTTCGGTCTCGGCGTGTCAATGCCCTTGAGGGCTCTTTTGTTGTCGCCTTCCCTCGGCCACGACAGTCGAGATTCATACCCTTCACATTCTCGCTGAGATCTAGCACACTTCTGACAATTCGGGAGGGCTCCATCACATTGGATCTTACGAGCTGAGGAAGCAAGCGTAATCAGAAAAGCTCCTCTGAGGTTTGTGTACTACTGACCTGTACACGTCCAGCAGCCCTTTCGAGTCTTCATTGCGGCAACGAATCAGACGGCCTCTTCTGATGGGTGTTTGCGTATCTCTGTCAGGCCAAACTGGGAGATTATGCGCTATGTGATGTATTATAATATTCCGCAGGATTCGGGCTCGGAGAAAGTTGCTCTCGATGGGTCTTTGACGGTTAAGTACTCGCCAGAGGCAGGTGAGACCAGACATTTGTCAGCCATCCTCTAAGCCTTTTCAAGATGCCTTACGGAAGGATTCCTAAATCCTTCCAATGTATCACATACCCCACACAAAGCAACTTTCACCGAGGCTAAGAGCTTTAATCTTCCCGCTTGTCCGTTTTGGGCGATTTGCTTACTTCGAAATTGACTTTAATCCGTCACATCTTACGACTGAACACAACGGTTGGGTGCCAAAAAGCGTCAGTATACGCAAGCCACTGAGTGATATGAATCAAATGGCATTTTGATTGTTGCAGAAGTAAGGCGATGCGGTTCTGACTTGAATATAAAATGGTCGCTTCCATCCTCGATATATCAAGTATGGAATCATCACACAGACTCATCTGAAGAAACCATCTTTCAGTTATCCACAAGAGCTACATACTATACAATCTACCCATCGTCTTCAAGTCAAATAAACCATGACTACCTATCTCATCACTCAAGCAACAGGCCAGCAGAGCCGCTCAGTCATCTCCCACCTTCTTCAAACTGGTGCTAAAATCCACGCCGTGGTACGCGACCTCCAGAAAGTCCCATCCAGCCTGCAACACCCCAGCATCACTCTCTTCCAAGGAGAAAGTAAGAATCTGGACGACATCCTCCCAGCGGCCCAAGGTTGCAAGGGTGCGTTCTTGAACACATTCCCTTACCCAGGGCTGGAGGTTTTGCAGTCCAAGACCATGGTTGAAGCCTGCCAGAAAGCCGGCGTCGAAATCGTTGTTACAGCTACGACCCATGGTACCGGGAACAAGACTTTTTGGGATGACGATATTATCAAGGAGATTCAGCTGCACCAGTACTTCTCCTCCAAGGCAGAGGTCGAGGAGATTGTCCGCGCTGGTGGTTTCAAATCGTACACCATTCTCCGACCGGCTGTCCTCCATTTTGACTTCTTCGTACCGGGTGTTTATGGGAATTTTCCTCGGCTTCCTACTGATGGAGAAATCGACGACATTCTTGTTGACGGTGCGCGCGTGCCTTACACGGATGCGAACGACGTTGGCAAGTACGCCGCGGCAGCCCTGCAGAACCCGACCAAGTTCAATGGCCAGGAGATCAACATGGGAAATGAGGTTTTGACCATGGAGGAAGTGCGCGACATTCTCGTCAAAGTGAGCGGCAGAAAGGTGGGAGTGACCAAGCGAACTCCCGAAGAGCTGGAAAAACTGGGCATCAGCGTGTTCGGCCAGAAGTTCCATCTCATGTCCAATGTCAAGGATCTTAGCTGGACCACTCAATCTTCCAAGGATGTTGGAGAGAAGTTCGGCATGCCCTTGGGTTCGATTGAAGAGGCGTTGCAGAGAGACAAGGCTCTGCTCCTGCAATGTTTGCCCGAGAACTAGTCTTCCAAACGCGAGGCGGAGATCATCATTCCATCTCTAACCTAACAAAATTAGATTGGACGCTGGTATTGTAGCTCATGGTCGTGTAGTGCTCATTTCATCGTAGTCAATCTGTATTACTTTGAGAATCTACTTTATCAATTTAGGTACTGAGATGCAATTTGAAAACAAGAAGGACGCCTGCTGGATGACATTTTGGCATCCGAATGCATTGAAGTGCTTTTCCCACACAAGGGGGCTCCATACTTAACGGAAGCTCGATACTTATGCAGAAGCGTAAGTTAAACTGTGTAGTTGGAGACTTGGCGAGTTTGCTGGTTCGTGAACTGGGTACAGATCAGTGCGACGTCCGGCCTAGCTGGGAGGACCCCCGAATTCTGCGGTGGGTTTTTCGATGACATTGACAGCCCGAGACCGATCCCGAGATGGACCCCAAGGAATCGTCACAGGCAGTGATGAGAGAGCGGCCGGTAATAACACGTCTCTCTGACGTGCCAAGTTCGGTTACAACGCCCGATGAGCGGATTTTATCCCCCATGGTGAAGAATCAAGAGCTGTGAATCCGACTTACGAGACTCAGAAAGTATTGATGACATCGCTTGGAGTAGTTCCTTCTTATACAAAATGTCTTCCATGTGAGTTTGCCGCGGGAGTCGGGAACGATTAGTGATTGCGACCCACAAGCTTTTGAGGATGATGCGACGCGCCGGAGTACACAACGAATCCGGGTTGATGATGCTCGGTTTTTACCCCTCGCGGTGACCTGCTTCTTACTCTCCATGGGCTGCTAGTAATGCCCAGTCGGGGGCTTGACGAGCACTGACTTCCGCGGGAATCTCTCATACAAAAACTCTCCAGCTCCCCCGCTCCTTGCCGATAGGGAATACTGGCGATATTTATTCGTACTATTTCTTGGAGTGAGGCACAGAGCTCTCTAGTATGATAAACGCCGCCATTTTGTCTCTGTTGGCCTTCATTCTCTCTTCCATTTTTTCACATCTTGGATTTATCTCAAGTTCTCCGTGAAACACTTGACCTGCTCTTCCTACAATCTTCGGCTCATCTTTTCTATCCCTGGGGACATGTTGGCATGGACGTTGAGTGAACATTGGAAATGTTCAGATACCCGTCCACGAATTGGCTTCCCATCACAGTCTCATGAAGGCATGGAAATCCTCATTCTGCCCCTCTGGTGTGTGTTTACCCTGTTGCCACAAGACGCGAATGAAGCTTATGCCATTGATTGGCTCCGCCGTCTGAAGCCTTGGCTAGCCATGCACGCCCTCGCCCTCGTGGCACTTCGAAACGCGTTCAGCTGCACCACCGACGAACAGCTCAAATCTCAGCATTTCACGCATTTACAGGTTGCCAAATGATTGATCCCTTTATCCGTGTGCCCACAAAACATGTCATATCTGGTCCAACTCAAAAAACCTGACCTTCCGCATCAAGATATTCAGCCCAAACCATTGGCCAACAAGCTTCTGCTAGGGTCCCATAGAGTTTCGCTTGACCTGCAAATCGCAGGTTGCTGGCCAGGACTTCCCCACGATCGGTCCGGTCCGAAGACATTCGGCCGACATGCAGTTTTTGGCAGCAGATGTAGATACTTGATAGTAACGGAAGTCTTGACGCAATTCATGATGGGCAGAAAATTTAGTGTTAGTAGCTGAAAAGCAAGGCTTTGTGAAGGCGCCATCATGTGTCTTTTGTCCCATCATTCATATTTGCCGAATCCCCCATTCATCTCGTACCCGTGCTGACCAGAATTCGCTGCACGTCTGACCGCAAAATCCTCCACAACCAACGATGGATCGAGTGGCTTGCAGGTCGCTTGCCGGTCATCGACGCCAGTCCGTGAGATAACACCCGAGCTGCAACATAAGACGACGCCTCTCGGTACACACCTACTTACCTTAAAAGCAGGCTACGCGCCAGAACACAGTTGATAAAGTTCGTTTTCTGTCCACTCGGGAGCGTGCGATTGCCTGCTTACCCCTCCTTTTCTCGACTTGCCTCCAGCTCCATCTTCAATAGCCGCTGGCAAGCCCTTGAGAAGATCCGAATTCAACTTTGCGCGACACGTCGATCGGAACCAGTGCACACTCGATCCATGGATTGAAGGAGCTTGGCACTCGAAACCCAAATTCATCATGCTGGATATCGCAATCATCGGCGGCGGAATCGCCGGTCTCACGGCGGCGATTGCGCTCCGGCGAGCAGGCCACTCTGTGACGATATATGAAAAGTCGTCGCTGAACAACGAGATCGGAGCCGCCATCAACGTGCAGACGAACGCGTCACGTCCGCTGGTGGCTCTGGGTATGGACCCGGTGAGAGCGAGGTTCGTCATGGCCAAAGGCAGCCGGCTCCTGCGAGGGGATACCCTAGAGGTAACCCACGAGCTCAATCTGGGTGCTATTGCAGAGCGGTACGGGTCGCCGTGGTACTTTGCGCACCGAGTTGATTTGCACGAGGAACTGAAGCGGATGGTGACTGCGGCTGATGGCGGCCCGCCTGTGACTTTCAAGTTACGTAGTGAGGTGACGACTTATGTGAGCTTTTGTGACCCGGGGTTTTGACTCTATGCGGGGATGTTGGAATGCTGATGGTGTGCTTAGAACCCGGACGCTGCCAGCTTCACTCTCCGAGATGGGACAGTCGTTTCTGCGGATCTCGTGGTTGCGGCCGATGGTATTCACAGCGGCGGCGTCGAGGCGATTCTGGGTTCGCCTAACCCCGCGTTCCCGGCCGCGCAAGACAACTTTTGTTACCGGTTCCTAATCCCCATGGATGCTGTACTTTCGGACCCTACCACATTGAAGCTATTTGAAGGCGCTTCCGGAAGTTTCAGAATGTTTCTCGGGGACGGGAAGAGAATCGCCACCTATCCGTGCAGAGGGTATGTTGTTTTGTCGCCGGCCGGACATCGCCACCAGGTTTGCGACTGACGTGAAATAGCGGCGAGGTCCTCAACTGCATTGCGATATTCCATAACGAAGTTGATTCTTCGAGTAAGGAAGGTATGTTGGTCTCTGTTATCGTACAGAAAACTTGATCTCTGTGCCGTGAGCAGAAATAAGAGAGAGGACTAATCCTTATCGTTAGATTGGCACAACTCGGTTGATAAGTCTCACTTGCTAAAGCTTTTTGACAACTTCCACCCAAGTGTACTAGCGCTTCTACAGTAAGTATGGCCTCCATAGCATGTCCATCCTTGGCAACTGACGTTTTTCACAGCAAGGCGAGCGAAGTGAAGCAATGGCCTCTACTGTACAGAGCCCCCATTCCCACATGGAGGAAAGGCAGAATGGTTCTCATTGGGGATGCAGCCCACCCAATGCTCCCACGTAAGAGAAAGTCTCGCGCATGTTGTCGTCCCTTCATTTACAAACTGCTTGTAGATCAAGGCCAAGGAGGCGCGCAAGCTATCGAGGACGGCGTTGCCCTGGGTGTTTGCCTAGCCAACATCACCGCACATGACGATATTGCGGAGAGACTAGAAGTATTTGAGCAAATCCGCAGAAACAGAGCCAGTGTAGTTACTGTTTTCAGCAACGCTGGACAGGACGAAGCGGAGAAGATTAGGGAGGCTGCATCTCAGTTCATACCTGTCGAACGTATCCCGAGTGAGTCTTATGCAGCTCACCCCAGTGTCATTGATGCCAAGGTTCCATCTAACAGAATGAGTAGCAAATCCGGGCGGCTTCTACGATTTCCACTTTGACTACGACATCATGGATGACTCGGCGGAACACATGCGGAAGCTCGATCCCAACTTTAGGCTTCCCGACGCCTTTCTTCAAAATGAGCAGGGTAGTCGAGCTTTTTTGTAAGAGAATAGGGAGCTAGAATTAGATGAATATGATGTGGGGAAGTTGGGGAGTGTTTACGGTTTAAAGTGAAGATATTGGCGACGGAGCGAAATACCTACTTCCACTTTCCTAAAGTGCTAAAGGTGCCAAAAGTAATTTCCAGGTTAGGTAAGGTGGGATGTCGGACCGCAATCAGTCATGATCCATGTTAGGGGAAGGCAAGAACGTAGCAATCTCAAGGAAAGAGCAGCAATGATCACCTCATGATATTTGGAGAAGGAGGCGCCTACCAGCTACTACATGGTACAGTGTTGTTCTGCTACTTAGGTACCCTAAGGTAAGATAAGGTAGCGAGAGCGCCCTAATTCTTCCTCCTCCCTCTCCCTCCCACCGTCATATTAAAGTTCGGACAACATTAATATTCCTACACTTCTTTAACTCGGGCTAATCTCATGCCTGCTCGTCTTTGCCGAAAAAAACGACTACAATCATCAACTATTCACGCTGCCCCTTACAGAGCGAGGGCACGGCAAGCTTCTCGAGCTTCTCGAGTCTTCTGATCACAAACAGGGGCGGGCGACCTGACCACCTGTCACCACCATGGAGGAAACCACAGAGTGGTCCAACTTCAACAGATGGCCCAAAGTCCCACCATGGCTAAAGATCCTTATACTCGTTGTTGGGCCAGTCACATTGTGCATGGCCATCATCATTATCTGCATCAGACGGCGTCATGCCAAACGCATCGAGAAAACCGATGATGAGAATGTATACAGAATTCCCTGCCAGCCGCTCCCTTTTCATCACTAATCTTCTCTTCGCAGTCTCCTATCAGCATGAAAGAAGTACACGACGCCCATGGCGGTCAGGATGGAGCATGGGAAGATAACCCAGTTCCGCTAGCTCGTGTTGTCATGGCTCCCCGACGAGGACGAGGTTCCAAGGAACAAGAAGCCTGGGAGCCGGTCGATCTTTCACCAGCGTCATCTTTCACGGCCACCCCATTATACGCCATCCCGGAGGCAAGACACAGCAGGTACTCACTGATAACGACGGCACTCGAATCACACGATCGGTCTTGACCACAGGCGGGTATGACCACCGTTGGGACACAAAGGAGGGACGGGATCCCACTGAAGGACAGACTCTTTCCACTGAATAGATGAGCCTACTGATACACTCTAATAGCATACAATTTTCACCCACTCCTGTCTCCCGCCCGTGACTGTTGCTCCGGTGCGTAGACCCTCTGGACAGCGCGGTCATGAGCCGCCTTGAGCAGCACCAAGTCGCGCTCGTGTCTGCTCCGCATCTCCCTAGCCTCGGGAGGCAGCAACGTCTTGTACAGGGTTTCTCTTGCCTTGACCTCTGTGCAGCGTGCCAATACGGTCACGCTTGCCAGCCAGGCGGCCAGGAACATCAGGAACGGTTTCTTCCCCATCAGCCAGGCGTCGAGGCCGAAGAAGTGCGCGACCAGCAACGTCACACTCAGAAAGACTTGAGCGATGGGCAGTGCCAAGTCCACGATTGGCCATACATTTGGACCAAAAATGCCTCTGTCCTTCATCTCCTCTTCGTAACTCATCAATTCCTTTTTCCACTTGAACTCGCATTCGTGTGCTGACTTCATGTCTACGAGGCGCAGGTGATACGCTTCCGTGGCGTATACGATACGGGAATGACGCTCTTCATACGAGTTCTTCGGTTCGGCCCATTCGGAGAAGAGCGCATCGAGCTCAGCTTTTGCCTCGCGGACCAGTCGAGCACGCCGGCGGGGCGTATCGGGAGCCTCCACTCTGGCCCCGGCGGGTGCAACCTGGGTTGGTGTTGATGACCTCCGTGTTCTTGACAGAGGAGGCAAAGTCTTGTCTGTTTCGATTGTCGGATATTTTCCTAGAAAATCTCCTGATTCGTATTCGGTCGGGTCCGAATCTATGGGATGTGCCTCATAATCGTCGTCAGACCCATACTCACTATCACCGTCACTCTCACTGTCGGCTTCGTCCTCTTCCTCATCCTCGCCCTCGTACTCGACATCGTCGTCCTCGCTCTCCTCGGCCATGAAGCTAGAACCGAATCGATAGGGATCCTGGTCGGCGCTCTCGCGCGCAAACATTTCGCAGATTTGGATCAGCGCGTCAACGCATCTCCTGTCCAGCTGCGAATCATGCTGCTGCTCCTCCAGCTCCCTCTCGCACACCTTGCCGATTGTGTCGATGCACTTATTCACAACGGCGAACTTTGCATTCTGCTCGGTCACGCTCGCCGAGGTCGACGCAATCGCGGCGCCGGCCTGTTGCTTGGCCAAGTCTCTCAGCTCCTCCAGCGTTTCTTCGACCTTATCCAGCCGCTCCACCACATTGGGAAAGCTCCCCACCGATTCTGTGGGACTATCAGGCTCATCTTGTTCCGGGACAGCCTGCGGGAACGACGCGAAACACATCTGAGGCGCGTACATGGGCGACGGTGCTGTGTGCGGTCTCTTTGGCGAATTTGTCGTGCCCAGCGATATTGTGGTCGCCGGCGACATGGGGGACGTGGTTGTGCTTACTGACGACCGCCGTTGAATCTCCCTCCACCCTTCCACCATGCGCTTCATAAACGCCGCCTGGTCGGGCATGATCTTGACGACCTCATCGGCTGCACTGGAGATGAAGTCGTCTGGGAGGACGGGACAGGTTGATGAGCGGCGGAAAGGCGGCATTGAGACCGCCGTGGAAGGGCGGCTGCTGTAAGTCGCCGTCGACGGACGGCTATCATTCTTCTTTTCAATGCGTTCTGACTCGGAGGTTGTGTCCTGGAGCTGCTGCTGCTTGTAGGCGTCGACCTCGTCGAAATAGCCATCCAGGCTCTGTGAAGACTTGCGTGATGAGGCGGGAGTCTCAATGCCATCGTAGCTCTTGTCTTCCTCGTCCCCCTCTTCCTCGTCGTCGTCGTCATACTCATCGCTGGAGAATGAGAAGTCACCGAGTTCCTCGGAGAGTCGTCGTGGTGCGAGGGCTGGGGACCCATGTCGGGGACTGGCTGGGAGATCCCTCATTGTGATTGAATGTGGTTGTGCGTATGTTGATGGGTTGTTCAAAGCCTCAAGTGAGACTCCAGTCGAAGTTGTGGATGAGTGAGTTGTCGCAACCTGCGTGTGTGGATGGCAGCAGTTTGAGTGTTGGTCTTGGTCAGCTACCTTAGCCAAGTGGGCGGGTTGGGATGATGGATTGCGGATTGCGGCAAGGGGGGGGCAACTGGAAAGGGGAGGGGACCCTTGGCGCGGGGTGAGTGGGCTGGGGGGCCGGCGGTGAGTGAAAAAGGCCGCAACGATGGTCAGTTGCGTTGCTGCTAAAGGCTGAAAAAGCTGCTCCCCGAGCACGATCCTGTAGATCTCGGGGGGATTTTTGTGACGACGATGAATGAGAAGAAGAGACGAAGCGATCTATAGAGTTGGGATGAAACCTTTCGGAGACGGGCTTGCCGTGGTTGGGGCACAGGAAAAAAAAAAGGCTGCAGCCAGGAAACACTAAAGGACTGAAAGTCGGAGAGAAAAAAAAATAAGAAAGGGATTCATATGTATGCAAGTCTTGCAGATGCGCCAGAGTACGTAGGGTGTTTCCGATCGGCGGTCAAGATAAACTTCGGTCAAGACCTAGCACGGACGGGACGTTCCATCTGTGAAGTCTATGACTGATGTAGAGGCATCCCATCCAGGTTGACGAGACAGAGTGAGAGAGAGTGTGTGGGAACTGTAGGGATAGCGTCCACGACTGCCTTAAGACGCGAAAGGGTACAAAAGGAGAGGGAATGAGGGATAGTGCGCCTTTCGAAAAGGGATAGATATCCCAAGTCAAGTCACACGAAGGTGAGGAAGAAAAAAGATGGGCGGATTCGCAAAAGCAAATCAATGTTGGCGCATGCGAGTTGTGTGTTCGTGTGTGTGTGTGTGTGCCGCGCCTGTGGGTTCATTCTGCAGCACTTTACTTTGGCTGGGGAGGGGTTCATCGGCCATGGTTCATTCAATTCGTTCTGGATCTGCCCAGAGTGCTGCTAGGGTGCAGGGGGGGGGGGGGGGTGTGGTGGGTGGTTGTGGGTGGTGGGCGGTGGGGTGTGTGGTGTGGGGTGGGGGGGGGGGGGGTGGTGGTGGGTGGGGGGGGGGGGGTGGGGGGGGGGGGGGGGGGTGGGGGGGGGGGGGGGGGGGGGGGGGGGGGGGGGGGGGGGTTCCGCGTCACTCGAGAGTCTGGGCTGGACAACGCAGTTCTGTCGGTCTACTCTATCGGTCGAGACCCCTCCGACCGACTGGCCGTCCCTGTCATGAAGTTTACTAAATAGGAAAATAAACTCACCAAAAGGAGAGTCGAGCAAAGTTTCCGAAGCCCAAAAGAGAGAGATGGCAAGAAGCCTCCTCCATCATGAAGTTTTGTCCTCGTAAGATATCGTTACCCTTTAATTTGTGATAGAAAAGCATGCAATATCTTTTTGTACAGACTTGGTCCACCCTCTTGTAAACCAGCCTGTTGAACCCAAAAACAAACCAAACAACGGCCCGTGATGGTGGCCAGTGGTATCATAATGTCTCGTCGATGCAATTTTTGGCCATCTCTCTATTCCCCTCTCCCTCGTGTCCCTCCTCCCTCGAGAATGTCTCCATAAAGCGCGGCCCAAAAGTCCACCTGCATGATGCCACGTCAAGTATCCCCTGCAACTGCAGCAAAAAATAGGGAAAGGGAGAAGAAAAAAAGGATCCTGGGCATATGCCCCCCCTCGGCTAGGAATAACGCCGCAGCCGCCGTGCTATCCCCACACACCGCTCTCTGCCCCAAACCCAGCCACCTCACCGGACGAACCATCCGCGGCGGGGGTCGTCGCTTGGGCGCTTGGTTCTGGTCAGGGCCTGGCAGGGCAAGGTGCACACGCGATCGGTCGGGTTTCAATTGTAACCGTACTGGATCCCAAGCCCGACCTTTGGGTTCTCGCCGCCAATGGGGCCGCCCACCCGCATCTTCTTGGTCGGGCTCACCATATCCGATCGTGCCTCTTGGCCGTGACCGTGGCCGTGACCGTTAGACCCACCCCCGTTGAACTTGCGCTTGTCCGCACCGCTCTTGGTGATGCCAGAGAACAGCTTCGCCTGGAGTCTGGCGCTCTTCTCTGCCGGCGCCGGCGTGCCGTCGCGAGATCCAACGGAGCTTGCCACCTCGAAGCTCTCGCGGGGATCGCGGCGTAACATCTCTGACGCCGCCTGGCTCGCCTGGCTCTCATACACTTCCTCATCATCCTCTTTGCCGCTGCCACCGGGTAGAGGGCGGCGGGCACCACGTGAGTTGCGGGAGGCTTGCGAGAGGAACGAGGCCGACTTGGCGACGGACTCGAGGGCCTGGCGGGCGAGCTCTTCGTTGTCGTCGGCCGAGATGGTGCTCTCGCGGCTCTTGCGCGCGCGCTCTTGGATCCGCTCCTGGATGGCCGGCGGCGGCGTGCCAGGAATCATTTGAGAGTTGGTGTACCTATACCTAGGCTCACTCTGGGGTACCAGGTTCACAGAGGGCAAAAGGCCAGATTGCTGCTCATGACGCTGGGAGCCGGAGAGCGGCGTCGTCGGCAGGGCAGACAGAGACTGTGCGTTTCGGGTGTGCTTGGGAGGTATGCGGGCCGCGGGTCTGACCGCTGTCGTGGGCGTCGATGGCGCGCTGTTATTGTCTTGGCTGAGAGCCTGCAGCAGAGCCGCAATGGGCTCGGGGCCGTGGTCTCGGTCCACCACCCTGGCCTCGCGGTTGACCGACCGAGGCGTCTGTTGCTTGGGGGTAGCTCGGTGAGCCTGCTGCGGAGTTGAAACGGTGGTCTGCTTGGGCGTCATGGCACCGTGAAAGATTCCGCCCGGGCTGCACAGCATGTGAAAGTGTTCCCGATTCTCCCGGATACGGTTGAGGAGCATGTCCCGCTCCTCCGTTAGGCCGATAATTTCCTCCTCTTTGTGTGAAATGACCTTCTTGGCCATCTTGACTCGCCGTACGAGGCCTTCATTCTCGTCCATGGCCTCTTCATACCACATCTTCATCTGGAGATATTTCATCTGCGCCGATTCCGACGCGGCGCTGAGTTCGCGAACGGCATGCCGGGAATATTCTGCTGTCCTGAGGGCTTCGATCTCGCGCCTGGTCATCTCATGCTCCACCGCTGCCCTCTTGGCATCCTCGTCTGCCTGGAGGCTCAGCAGATTGTACTGTAGCTTGTGATGTGCGGCCTCCATCTTCAACTTGGCGTGTTCTGCGATGCTAGCCTGCATCATGGCTCGTAGTTCGTCTGCGGTCGCTTCGACAACCTGCTGAGGGGCGGGTGGGATGTATTCGGTCCCGAGACCTCCATCTCGGCGCACAGTCGTGTTGTGGCCAGTGGCGGGTGGGGAGAAGAGGGCAGATCGCTGGGAGGCGCCGTACGCGGTCTGTAGAGCGCCGTTGCCGGTGTGGGCGAGCAATTGTGACGAGGGAGGTGGAGTCAAGGACGAGGGAATAACGGCAGAGGAGCTCAAACGGTCGTCGTTGACTTCGGTTTTGAATGATTGATTGGACTCGGCAGGCGATGCGGGAACTTCAGTAGAGGGAAGCGTTACTTGTGACGAGTTCAATGCGAGAACATCGTTGTCCTGGGGTGTCGTGGGCACGGTTGTGGTGTCGTTGGGCTGCTGGGCCGCAGCATCGGGGGCGGTGGCCATGGTGGGAATGGGAGACTGACGAGCCACAGTTCGAGACGAGCTACCTTCGAAATGCAATCGGCGAAGGGTGCGTGCTGGTAAATGATTGAAGTAACGAGAGCGCGGGGTATCTGTACTACGTGCAACTCTGACGAAGGAGTGCTGGTCTGGGACCCTGGGAGCTGGATGTGGGCGAGTGCGGAGACGGGGAGTCGCGTTGAGAACCACGTCAGCGATGGAAACAAGGCAGCGCGGATTGGTTGAGAGAGGCCGGCGATGATGGAGACGCAGAACCCCAGCGAGACGAGGAGCGTTGGGTTCAAAGTAGAGATATAGAGACGAGGTGGCGGGGGAGAAAGGGGGAAAGAGAGCAAAGGCTCCTTTATGGGGTGTCTCTGTGCTCAACCGACGCCTTTGTCTGCCGCACGGGTTGACTGTGGACGGGTGTAGTGTGTGTGGTGTGTGGTGTATTGGTGATGGTTGGTGGGCGGTTGCTGTGGGAGCAGATGGAAATGGAGCGGCGCACCCAGAGCACGAGCCAGGACACAAGCAATCAGCGGAGCGCCAAAAAAAGAAGCACAATCAGTGAGCTGGGCGGACGGCCGGGGCTGGGAAGGGGACGGGAGCTGCCCCCCAAAGGTAAAAACCATGCGAAAAAGAAAGGCTGGCGGTGGGCGGCTGAGACGGCGCTAGTCCCAGACAAGATCCGAGGTGGGCTCGGTGACCATTCGGGTGAGGAGCATGGGCCAAGCTGAGGTAAGAGATGATTGATTTGATTGGCCTTTTCACCGAGGTGCCGATCCCCGTCTTTGAGCTCCCAGGACTGCCCCTTTTCTCCTAAATCAATTCACCAAGCCACCAGAGGCTGGGAACGGAAGCCGATTGTCATAGCTTCATCAACTCCAACCTCCGATACCCCGATGGAGTAAGGATAATGATGAGTATTTTTTTTATCCATTTTCCCACTGACTTGCGACTACAATCAATCACGCCTTGAGGTAGGCCAGAATCACCTCCTTAAACTGCTCAAAGTTGTCGACAAACGGCACGTGGCCCGCGTTCTTGATCACCTTGAGCTCAATCTTGTTGTCCTTGCTCGCCGCCTTGAATCCCGCCTCGACCTTGTCTCGCATCTCCTTCATCGCCTGCGGCAGATTTGCGTCCTTTTCGCCAACAACCAACAGCGCCTCGTCAACGCCCGACCCAATCCTCTCAAACAGAGGCCGGATATCGAAGCGGTCGCTCTGCAGCGCAAAGCAACACGTCTGGAATCCCTCGACGGTGGTCTGATTCATGATGGCGCGTGTGCGAGCCGCCTCTTGAGGATTGGCCTTGATCCATTCGGCGCCGAACCACCGGTCCATTGTCTGGTCGACCTGGACCTCCATGTTGCCGGTTTCCCCCGCCGCCTTGGCCCGCGGGCCGAACAAGTCCTCCACGCCGGCGTGCTTCGGCGACGAGCTGATGGTATCGCAGATGGCCAGCTTTTGGATGATGCCGGGGTACTTTGTGGCGAAGTAGAAGCTCGTCGCCGCGCCCATGGACACGCCGACCCAAGCGAAGAGCTTCTCGAGCTTGAGCGACTTGACGAGCAAGTGCACGTCGTCGGCTATCGTCTCGAACTCGGTGTCGAGGCCCTTTGGTGCCGACGACCTGCCGTGGCCGGGCTGGTCAAAGCGCAGGGTGCGGAAGCCGTTGTCGTGGAGAACCTTGACAACATGGTCCCAGAGCGTAAAGGGCGCCGCAAGCGAGTTGGCTAGCAACACGACGGGCTTTGCGTCCGGGCCCGACAAGTCGTATGAGAGAACGCGGCCGTCGGGCAGGCTAAGTTGCTGTGCAGATGCCATTGTGAATCCCGCTCTTCCGGTGTTCGGACCTTGATGTGATGGATGGTGATGCTTGACCGCTTTTTTCAATGTAACCACTGAGAGGATGGGTGCCGGAAATGAACGAGACCATGAGCCAAACTATGAAGGAAGCTACGGACTGGAGTAACGGCCCACCCGTGATCGATATCAGGGAGACGACAACCTCAACCTCTTGAGAGTTCAGGTTCGCGTCATTGTCATGTGACGGCCGCGGGGTCGGATCGGGGTAGCAGCTTTCGGGAACTGGCAAAGGTGGGGTCGTCCCTGCCCGGCACCCGATGAACTTATTCTAAGTACGTACCTAAGGTACCTCAACCTAGTGGTAGCCCCACCGAGCCCGAGCAACACGACTCCGCCGGCCGCTCGGTATCCAAATCGGCACATCGCGGTCAGCTATTAACTAACTCTCAAGCAGAAACAGAGACAAAGAAGAAATCGCTTGTCCATAGTGCAAGTTGATAAAGTGCAAAAAACAAGATGCGTCAAGGACAGGATTCGAACCTGCGCGACCGAAGCCACTGCCTTATCTGGAATCAAGATTTGATAGCAGGGCAGCCCATTAACCACTCTGGCACCTTGACTAGTGACTATTGGTGATTTCAGCAACCTCGCGCACTAAGTCGGGAGCAGGGGATCATCACATGCGCTCCGCACGAAAGAACTCTGGAAGACCCAGATCAGCAGCATCATCTGCCGTTCCACAGAACCTAACAAGACTCTTGGATTGACCTTGAGATTAGGTAGATGGAAAATGCGTGTAAGTCGCTTGAAGAGGCTTTTGAAAAGGATTGCTGGAGGGAGAGAGAAAGAAGGAAAAGAAACGCCAGCGCTCGAACTAAAGCATCCAAAGAAAATCTTTCCAAGCTACCGACTCTGTCGCACTGGGCACATGCTGTCCCTGGTTCGTTGCAACGCAACCTTACCACGCCGGCGGCATCAGTGCGACAAATGCCGTCCATGCTTCAACGGTGTCGTACCTCGGATGGAGACCAGCCCTCTGAGTACATGAATAGACGGGATGCGGCCATATTTCTCGACTGCATTGATCCCGCCAGATATGAATTTTCATTATTCCCTGGATTTGCCTCAGTGAATCTCGAAAATGGTTGAATTGGCGATTGTATTTCAGCAATAGGAGGAGTCGGAATCGCCTTACATCGCAGTGATTGTTCACATCTTGTCCCTTGCAAAATATAAGTGCCGACAGCAGTTCGAGATTATTCTCTTATAACTGTAGGACAAATTTTCAAACAGTTATTCAAGGAAAACAGGGATCAAACAGCTCAGAGCTGTACGTACAAATCTTGTCAGCGCGGGTTCACAAACAAGCTCAGCCAAGCTAAAGTCATTGCATCTACTCACGGGTCTCAGTGCGGGTGGTTGCGAAAGTCGAGTCCCATTCAGCAACGCCCAACTCTTCTTCGGCCTCCTTTACAAGCGCTGAAACAAGGAATAGAAGAGTTCTCTCTTGAATATGAAGGAATTAGAAGCCTAAAAAAATCAAACGAGGCAAGATACGGTCGGGAAACTTCATTTAAGATGCTTCATAACAGCGTGTAAGAAGCTGTTAGTGCGGGAATATGACCTGACACTGTTGTCCCATCCGCCGCTGGGAGCTTGGTGGTGGTGACGGTTGTGTTGACACAGTGCATCTTGCGCGCAATCCGAGACGTGTAACTCAAAAGACCTTTGTCACTGTTTCGTTGTGTTATTTCCATGGCCTATCGTGGTTCAAGGCTTTTGAATAGTAGAATGTGGTGGAGTTGACTGTTGATCATCCCATCAAGGTTTCATATCCTGCTCCATCATTACATCTATCCAATACACGTTCCCTTGCGTCTTGTCCATACAAGACCAAGTCTCTCTTGTAACAATCATTATCTGGCGTACTGGCTTAGCCGTCAAGGTGCCTTCGAAAGATTAGAAACGTGAAACAGCCAGTCGTCTGGCGGTCAGTGATGGCTGGCCAGAAGCAATACTCGCCACAGGGCTGTATCTCAAGGAATCTAAGGGGGTGAACTCACGATTTAGAGAAAGCTCGCTGCAGACACTGACCAGAAGCAGTGGCTGGATAGAACGAAATCGCATCGAGATTGGAAACCCTTGTAAAAGGTCGAGAACGTGTAAAGCAAGACAGCTCAGCCACGTGCCATGAAGGATGACTGATCCATCGGGAAGGTGAGGTTCGGTATCTCCGTTCATGTCCGGCCAAGGTGACGAGGTGGAAGGCGTTGTAACTTGAATGAGTACATGTAGATCGGGAAAGTTGCAATAGAGTTGCAGGAGCCTAGTGCACCGGTAACCCTCTGCTATTTCGAGAGATGGTCGGTAGGCGTCATGTCAACGCCCGAGTCCATGACGGCAACTCCTGTTGGAAGCTCTATTTTGCAAAGCCGCGAATAGAGCTGCTCCGCTGCCTTGATGGCTGTGATGGGCTGCTCGATGTCATACCTGAACGAGTGCTGGCGGCGGCGGATCCGTTTTCGTTCTTTCCTGGCTAGTGAACCAATCTCGCCTATGACTTCTGGTAACTCTACTCCGATACCGATGTGCCACACTATCCTTGAATAAGCTGCAAAAATCGCTTAATCAAATAAATCAAAAAGAACAATTCAAATACTATTTTAACCAGTGGGCGCAAAAATGTTGCGAGGCGTTGATAGGGGCCAATGCTCACCTCCAAAATACGTAGCCGTTGGTGTTGAGTGTAAGCCAACCAGCGATATTGATCCATCCTACGGAGAAGCTCTGAAGTATGTCAGAACTAAAATGTGAACATCTCCCAAGTTGCGGGAAAGAGGGATTACCATCATCTTCCCCCACTTCTGTGTCGAGAGTGCATAGACGTATTGGTATTGTCCTCCCACTGTCGGATACAGGGACGCCAGCTCTCCAAGACTGGCACTCAAGGCGATATTGCAAATGACGCAGAAGTTAAAACTTTAAAAAAGGAAACTTGTCCAACCGAGGATATAACAAGACCGACAGATCCAGCCAGAGAAATCCAGGTACTTTGAGAATCAACATCAAAATCCGGGCGTGTGTGTATTGTAAGTCGGTGGATAACTTGAGAATGGTCATAGCCATTCCAATCATGGTGCTTCTGGAGAATCGCTTCTACAAGTGGCCACCTCGGCCGCCCGCTGTTGTTGTGGCCCGAAATTCTTGATGAATAACTGGAGAATAAAATCTGCTTTGACGGACTCCTCGAAAGCGCAGCTGCCTATCTCTAGTCCGGGCTTCATATCGTGCTCCCGGGGTACACATGCATTGATCATGTGTACTTTGCTCCAATAACCACTTTCAATTCAATAAGATTAAAATTCAATCAACACGATGGTTTAGTCCGTTCATTGACGCTTGAGAGAATTGATATACAGCATACTGGTTTCAACCTCGCGAACCCACAGATTCCAAGGTCGCATCATAGACCACCTTGTAGTCTTATCAGAAGCCGCGCTCTCCTCCGGACTTAGACTCTTCAGGCCGCCGGTAGTTCCAGTGACACCTTGAAGCATCAAAGCAGTGGTTTGGATACTTGCATTTTTTTGCGTATAGACTGCCCGCATCACAGCCAACTCAATACTGTCAGCAACGACTGTGAATCCATGCCCACGCATTAACGTCACATTGTTACCGTCATCAAAGTATTTTGCCAAGTGGGCACCCATATTCTCGGTACGCACAAGCAGGTCGTGGACGTCGCCGTCCTCCATGTGGTCTGCAGTATCGAACATCGGCACACCATTGGCACCAAGGAATCCACACATGTGACTGACGGCCTTGAGCTGAACACCGGATATGGTGTAGGGGACCACGGCCTCGGAGTGGCTGTGGATCACCGCGTTGACTTCGGGGTGCCGCTTGTAGATCTCCGAGTGAATGCGCCTTTCTGCAAAGCCCGGAAGTGAGTCCACACTGACTGGCTCGGCATCACCGATTCTGTACGCAATAAGATCTTCGACCCCTGTAACCTGGGCTGGAGCAACGTTGCGAGACATGACGAAGGTATCAGGCTCGGAAGGGTGGCGGAAAGATAAGTGACCGTAGGCGTCGACGACTTGATGGAAGTGAAGAATGTGAGAACCATCAATGACTTTACTAAGGAAGCCCTGGAGGACTCCGCTTTCGGTAATAGAAGACATCCTCACAAGATGTGTGTCTCTGGAGCTGGTGATTGTGCAGAAATGTGAAGGGGTGCAGAGCGGTATACATTGATGACGGCTAGAGTACAAAATGTTGGAGAGGTCAAGAGGGCCGAGCGCGCAGCCAGAAGCAGACAGATCAGCGGGCCGATGATCGGATTGCGACAATGTCGCGGGGTACGAGCGCCGACTTTGAGCGGGGTCTGTCCAAAGGCATTTGGGGAGATGGAATGTCCGTTTTTTGGGTGCATGCGCGTGGATTTAGCATATTTTGAATAGTTACATGCAAATCAACCTGCTGACCAGATTCATATGTTTTTGATAGCAACGACCCTTTATTCAAAATCGGCCTCAACGGGCCTCTGTTTGCTCTTTTGAAACAAGACCTAAGTCAACCAAATGGCTTTCTAAGATCTCCATTTTGAACGGTTTCTTTAATATTTTATCGAATCCAAGCCTACGTGTTCTGTCCATATCTCGTCCCATCGAGCCGCCAGCAGTCATCACTACAATGTAGCACGGCTTGAGGTTGTTCTCGGTTTCGAATGCGCGAATGAGTCGTGTAGAGTGCAGACCATCCAGGACGGGCATCGAAGGGCTCGTTAAGATGCATTGATAGGTCTGGTGTCCTTTCTTGTATGCTTCGAATGCTTCCTGGCCGTTGCCAGTCAAATCATACTTGTGGCCCAATCTGTCCATCTGCTTGGCGATGATTTTCTTCCAACCATGATTGGGTTCGGCTAAGAGAATATTGATCGGTGGCGGCTTGGATGTTGCTGTGATGTGGTAATCTGTTTGAGCTGAGCTTGATAGATCTGATTGCTTTGTGCCCAATCCTTCCATCAGCCGTGATTCATTCTCTTGTAGGGATTCGTTGCTTGGGAATGCCATGTCGGCGGAAGACATCCTCTCTTCGGTGGTTCGCGAAGTGGCGGGTGCGGGTTTCATCGCAATGTAAAACGGTTTACCGATCAAGGGAAAACACAGAAATTTTTAAAGAACAAGATGTAACGTCCAGAGTTCGTTAAATACCTACCAGACATTGTGCAATGAGAGCCCTGCTGCCTGCTCGGCGTCTCGCTTACTCGAGGCGCAGCATTACTAGTCAGTACGTCGATGTGGGTTCACAGGAGCGTACAACGTGGTTTACATGTCGAAGAACTTACTTGCGGAAATAAGTTGGCTCCAACGTGATACATACACACAGAGTTTTCCACCGTGATTGCGGACAGACGTGCTACTCTCCAGGGTTTGTCACCTGGTGAAGAACTGACTTGGTGCAACCAATCCCCAATCGACATCCGGTGCTGCATATGATATGTCAACAGAATAAATCACGAGAGAGTGTCAACAGCTGATGATGGCGGTCGAATGCACATCGTTCCGTGTTGCTAGGGGTTGTCCCGACGTAGCCATCACTCTGAGCCAGGCGTACCCGATGCCGGCCGGAGATGTGGGACCGCGAATTTATGGGGCCGGCTTACGGGATCGGGTTCAAGACAGCAGCAAGAACTGCCGAATATGATACCGTCTGTCGTCCACGGGAAAGCCGGGGGTTGGAATCCCTGCTTCGATACCGAGTGATCTCTCATGGACTCTCCGCGCGGACTTCAGGGTTCTTCGGCTGTGCCGTCTGCCTCGGTCTCGCGATATTCCAGAAGCTCAATCCCTGAAGCTCAGATTCGGGTTGGGACGCATCTCCCAATCAAGTCGGCGTAAATGCGAGACATGTCCAAACTCTATCTTGTTCTTTTGCCGTCTTGCAAGGCAGGGTGCTGGACAATTCTTGCTTTCAGCTGATTGCAAATGGCTGGGTGCCTCTGACAAATGAATCCTTGCTAAATTCAATTGCCCGGGGCTATCCGTTCTTCCCCGCGTCTTCTTCTCCAAATATTGGGTTTCCGCTATGTATCATGGTTGTGTACTTTAGCCAGGTCTGGGGTAACGCACTGGGTGGGACCGCGTGACACCCCAGATCCATTTTCGCTCCGCCTCGCATGAAAAAGCATCTGCCGGCTGCTGGTTTCGGGATTCGGTCACTGGTAGGACCAAGGGAGACGGGGAGGCATTTTGGAGTTGGTGCTAAGAGCTCGGGTGCTCGGTCAAGTATCCGCAGGAGCACGGCAAATCGGTAAAAAACCCAAAACACTGCAAGCCCAGGAAACGGTTGCTTCTCCAATGGCCTGCCGTCTTGTTCATATTTTTGAACTCCGGCTCCGTGACCTCGGCAAGCTAATGGCCAACACCTTGGTAATTCGGTCCCCCACATCCCCCAGGATCCAGCTCCATGTTTCGGGCTACCTAATCGACATCGATTTCCTAACTTCCTGGAAGTCGTATCTACGCAAACATTACCTTTATAGAACGAGGAACCCGATACTAAACAGTGACTTGTTGTTAGAATCGTGCTCTGAGCCTGTAGCTATCGAGATCAATCAGGCATAGGGCAACAAAACTACCTTACTTTCCAACGTCGAAAACGAAGAAGCGAGAATCATGGCGCTTGGTAAGGTCTCCAACCTCACGCAAGTCTCATCCACGAACTGGAGATTTTGGTTCGGATTGGCCACAATGAGAACCACCCATACCATGAACACATACTTACTTTACAACAGTCGCGGCCGCAGCGCTGGCTGGTGGCATGGCCTCCAGTATGTACGTGGACGCCAAATACCACTTTTCCAAGGACTTCAAGGCCCTCCGAAATCGACGGACGATGACCAAGGCAATTGAAAACTCGAGTACGGACTACAAGATCCGCATCTGAACGCCGTGAGACTGACCAGAGATTTAGGCAAGACCAGTCGTGTTTCTCCGTACTATTTCTTCGAAGAATCGGTCCAGAAAAATCCATACGAGGAAGCTATCTGGACACGAGGCGGCAGCGTGTCGTGGAAGACGACCTACGACCGAGCGAACCAGTATGCGCAGCTTTTCCTGTCGCAAGGAGTAAAGCCAGGAGATTTCGTGGCGATCCTCATGCAAAACTCGCCCGACTTTGCCTTCGCCTGGCTAGGACTGCTTGCGATCGGCGCGGCGCCCGCTATGATCAACTACAACCTTGTAGGCAAAGCCCTCCTGGGCTGTATCGAGACCAGCACGGCCAAGCTGGTACTTGTGGATGGAACTCCCGAAATCGCCGCCAAATACATGGATGTACAAACCGAGTTGGATCTCAAGGGGGTCAAGGTTATCAATATTGGGGAGGAGAGGGAAAGAATATACCAGATGGATCCCATCCGGCCGAGTGATGAACTGAGGAAGAGTATGACGCCTAGGGATGCAATGGGTTTGTTCTACACAAGGTAGGTCCGTTGGCATCGGCCTTTGACTTTTCTGACGGTCTCAGCGGAACTACAGGTCTACCTAAGGCCGTCCTCTTGCCAGCTGCCGCAGCAGGTAGTCTCGTCTTGTCGGTGAGCAAACGCTGCTCATTTTGTCTCCCTGCAGCATGCTGAACTACTTAGAACGACCTCGGCCTCCACCCTACAACCGGCGCAAACGCAAGATGCTACGTTTGCATGGTAAGTGAACGCAGGAATGGTCCAGCGAACATGGCGTCTGATTAGGTGGATGTAGCCGTATTACCATGGAACAGGTGGTATCACCATGTTATCACAACTCTTGGTGAGATCTTCCGTCCAAGTAGCACTCTGCCAGTCATGGCTAACACGGCTGTAGTCCGGATACACAGTTTGCATGGCGCCCAAGTTTAGCGTCTCGAACTTCTGGGAAGACGTCCGCGATTCCCAGGCGACTTGGTTTATCTACGTGGGCGAGACTCTCCGATACCTTCTAGCCTCACCGCCCTCGCCGCGTGACAAAGACCACAACATACATGGTGTTTTCGGTAACGGCTGCCGGCCCGACGTATGGAAACGGTTCCAAGAGAGATTCGGCATCGACACGATCTGCGAGTTTTACAACAGCACCGAGGGCGCATTGGGGCTTCGCAACCTCTCCCGGGGTGACTTCTTTGCTAATGCTCTGGGCCACCACGGGCTTTTGCTCCGACTCAAGTATAGAAACATGGTGGTGCCTGTACAGATTGACGCGGAGACCGGTAACATCATACGAGATCCAAAGACCGGCCTCGCTTTACGCGCCTCGTACGAAGTCGGTGGTGAGATCCTAGTCGAGCATCCGGGAGAACGAGCGTTTCCGGGCTACTTCAACAACGAGGAGGCAACGAACAAGAAGTTTGTCCGCGACATACTGAAGAAGGGAGATTGTTTCTACCGGACTGGAGACTCGTTACGACGCGATAGTGAGGGCAGATGGTTCTTCCTAGATCGGTAAATATCAACGACTTTTCTACCCTCGCCCATTTTACTCACATTGGCCCAGTCTAGGAGACACGTATCGTTGGAAAGGCGAGAACGTATCGACTGCAGAAGTATCAGAGGTTCTCGGTCACTATCCGGGCGTCAACGAGGCCGTCGTATACGGCGTCCAGCTTCCTGGACACGATGGCAGAGCTGGCGCGGCAGCTCTTGCCATCGCCCCAGACCAAAAAGGATCTTTCAACTACGCCGATTTTCTCCGGTTGGTCGAACGTTTCAAACCTTTGCATGTAACAAAATTGACGTGTCTGCAGTTACGCCCGCTCAAAGCTTCCGAGATACGCCGTGCCGGCTTTCATTCGAGTCTTGAACGAGGGAACGGCTTCACACAATAATAAGCAGAACAAGTTGCCGCTGAAGAATGAGGGCGTTGATCCAAGCAAGATCCAAGGTGGTGATCAATTATTGTGGATCGAGAAGCACGGAAAAGGCAGCACATATGTGCCGTTCACGCAGGATGACTGGAACAACCTCGGTTTGGGTAAGGCAAAGTTGTAGTTGGTATAGAGAGACACAGAGATGAATGAAGATACGAGAGGGTTACATGCATGTTCAACAAGCCCATTTTTATGTTTCCTTACTCAACATTCTCATTGGAGTCGGGAAACTCACTAGAAAGAATCCCTTCATGGGACGGAGTGATAGATCTGCAAATACCGTAGGGGCATACCAAGACTACTCCAGATGCTCCGGGCCGCTCGACTGCCGCTGATCGACTGCTCATCCAATGGAAGCCCGTGAAGTAAAATGTATGGAATCAAGCGTTGCGACGGCGTCGTCCAGGATGTGACCAACCCCGCACGATGCAATCAAGCAGCACGACCAGCGTGCGCTGGGGAACATCCCTGCTCAATTCACATGGAGATCAGCGCGAAATGGGATGGCTGGGACCGAGGCCGGCAAAGACAGACAAGATGAGGTGAACCATGGAGAATGCTCATTTTGGATGATTATTTCTCTGTTCAGGGGTTCCTGTTGAAATGCGCTGAATATCCCCCACAACAGCTGTTCTTGTGTTGTACCATTAGTTTGGAGTTTTGATGTCAATGGCTCATCGTCGATATGGCAGGCATTAGGAGAACCCGCGTCATCTTTGCGCTGGTCATCTCCATCATTCTCATCCTCTTGTTCAGGGAAAACGACGCAAATCCTCAGACATCCGGATGGAACCCCAACTCAACACCGGAGCAGCCACCGAGCGGCTCACTCATCAACATCGACATTCCTCCTGATCACATCGAGGTGCCCATTACCGACAACAACCTTGAGTTCCAGCCGCCGCCAATACAGGCGCAACTCATTCCCGACGCGCACAAACTCGCGACAGCCGATGACTTTATACCCCACTTCGCTGCCGTTGCCAATATCAAGGGCGTTTCCCAGCGGGAAGCCGGCGCATCCTGTACCTGGCCAGCGGATATGTACGTCGACTTCCAATTCTCAGACTCTTTGGAGTGGGTTATGGAGGATCGACCGGTGCTGGAAATTGAGCTGCGCAGACGCGAGTGGCACGATTTCGTCCAGGGCGGCATGATCCCATACGCGCGCGTAAAGGATCGCTTCACAGGGCGAGGGCTGGTCATAGTCGCGGGCAACGCCGACACGGTGATGCGCGTCAAGGTGATTCTGCGTCAGCTGAAGAAACTCGGGTCGAAAATTCCTATTGAAATTCACTACTGGGACACCGAGATGAACATTGGTGCCATGGCGGACCTCAATGCCCTCTACGAGCCAATATACTACAACGACTTGTCGAAAGAGCACAACATTGTGCATATTAAGAAGGATGGAATCTTTGGGATCAACTATCAACTCAAGACGGCCGCATTGCTCAATTCGCGTTGGGCAGAACCTCTGCTACTAGACTCCGACAACATTCCCATGGTCGATCCATCGATTCTCTACGATTCGATCCAGTATACCGAATACCACTCCGTATTCTGGCCTGACATTGCCCGTACGCGTCCTCAAAACCCCGCCTGGGCTATCTTCAACACGCCATGCCGAATGGCCGAGCACGAGCAAGAGAGCGGACAGCTCCTGGTGGATAAAAAGCGTTTCTGGTATCACCTGCAGCTCGCCTCGTGGCTCAACAACGAGCAGGGGAAATACTACAATGAGATATTGCTAGGCGACAAGGACATGTTCCGTTTTGCATGGCACGCCCTGCGAACAATGTTTGGAAAGCCCAAGAAATGGGTCACGAGCGTCGGAACGGAGAATGATGGGTTCTACTGCGGGCATTCTTTCGCGCAGCACCACCCAGACGATGGCCGCGTCGCTTTCCTTCACGGAGGGCTTGTCAAGACTGCATCTCTCGAAGTCATGAGGTGGAATCGGGACGCCAAGGGCGGATATCTGCGGCATTACAAGAGGGCGCCGAGCGAAGAGAGTCCAGAAGTGAACGTCAACGTCGCCATAAAATGGGATGGCGCTGCGTACATGCCCCAGCACACTGAAAAGTTCGCAGCGGCTCAGTGCACCGACATGTTTGATGTCGAGGCTAGAGACTTGAATGAGATTTTACCTGGGGTCGAGCAGACGTTCCGAGAGATCGGTGGGTACTGGCAGCTTGACCAGGAGGACGCGATGAGGCTGGGTCCGCCTGGTTCTTGAATCGCTGGCTGAAGCCTGAGGCGTTACGGCTTGCCAAATAGAACAAACAGTATCCGTATCGTGAAGGGCCAGGCTTGGGTGCTTCCCCTGACGATCCTCGACGGGCCGAGGCCCCATTCCTAGCGCCAGGCGCCAGCTCGAGAAGGAGGTCAAAGACACTGAACAAATGACAAAGAAGGTTTAGTGCCGCTGCCACCGTCTTCTCAGCTCAGAGCAGAGACGTTCTCTCACACCAACACTTAAGGCCAACACGAGGGAAGAAAGTGCGACTCGGGTCAGCTCGCTCAGGCCGAGGATCAGAGGAAGGCTTGAAGGCTTCAAGCTTATTTTATCAGCTTGTGTCCGACCAGTGAAAGCCGGTCCAATGTCAGATGCCCTCCTCGGACGAGGCATGTCAGTGTCACGCGGGGGTGAAGGGCATGTTGATTGTCAGAAAGCTTGGCATGACAAGCCTAGAGAGTGAGGCAATAACAAGGCTGGAATCGGATATGGTGCTGTATGATGCATTCTTCTTCACAGGAAAGTATGAGGATGCTGCAGGGAGGTATCCCCTACGCATGTGATAATACGACAAGCGGAAACTTGCACTTTTCGTGGACGAGTAATACACAAAACACGAATTAGAGGAAACGTATTGACACCCCTGTTCGGAAATGTGCTCTGCTATTACGATTTAGAAATAGCAACTTAACAATTGGACGATCCAGCTGGTTGTCGCGCGATCCGAGCGTTGAAAGTTTCTGAGACAGCATCAGACGACAAGAAACGTCCCCACGGTCCATCCACGCAGGAAAACAAGCTCAACGGCGTTCGTGTCGAGAATATTAGCGTCTTTTGGGCCATCCCACCTGCTGTTTCAGGGGAACTTAGTAGCCATGGTCGTGCCGTCGCGCGCTAGAAATAACATTGGATTAGCGTCAGAATCGCACTGCATACGGGACGCAACGCTAAAGCAACTCTCTCCTTTGTAAGGTTGCGACTCGCTCTACTACCCCTGAACAGATATGCCTCTGCTCAAATTTGGTCTAAGTCAATTGCTAGAAGGGGCAAGGTGGTCTCGCCCGCATATCGGATCTGGAATAGAACCAATATCAAGATGGGAGCTAGGAATTTTATGCGTCTGAATATGCACTCCGCTGCTAGCACATCTTGCAGGGTCGGATGATGGGTGCATCGATACGAAGCACGGCGACTTAATCTGTCAAAGATGGTGGAAGTGAATCCGTGTCCTCACGCAATGCAAGTTGAACAACACTCACTGACTGATAGCTTTTTCTTGCACCAATATTCGCAAGCATTGCTGGACCCTCAAAGATAAAGCAAGGGAATCTATAGCAGGTGGTATCTTCATGTGGTATTATTCGGGACACAGACCTCTTTGTTCCCTTCCGGTAAACGCCTCGCCCACCGCCGTAGCAACCACCATCGTGCTCGGTCTGGCTGTCCAATCGTGATCAACATAACTCTTCTGACTCTTCAAGGCTTCGTAGAGGCAGAGCATATGTGAGTACACAAGGTGGCGCTCGGACTGGACCAACTCCTACTCGGCTGAGTCGGCCCAATACGAGGCTACCAACCACTGACAGCAGATGAGAAGGAGCAAAAGCAAGCCTTCATTACAACGTCGACGGCGCCGAGGCGCCCCGAGCCTAGCCAACACGAGTGGGGACTTATCATCTCCACAGTCAGCCTTTAAGTTGTACGATGGCTTCTTTTGCCAAGAATAGATACGCAGAGAGGCGAGCACGGCTTCCCGGTCTTAGGCTGTTGATGAGGATATAATGAAGCCATGATGCCCAGTCTCTAGCAGAAGTCTCTTCAGGACACACCTCATCATCTGCTCTGACTCTCACATTCCTTTTCGATTCGATAGAATCATCCTTTCGTTCTACGACTTGAGCATAGCGACAACCTAGACCACTCCCTATCGACTTCTTTTCTTCAAGGTACACAAATATCTCAAAGCCACATCACCATGCGTGTGTCAACTTTCCTTACCGCCGCTCTCGCGGCCACCCCCATCATTGCCTACCCCGGCATGAAGAACACCTTTGCCGAGATCCGCTCCCGCGCCGATGTAGACGGCAACGGCGCCGACGACGGTGACTCCAACGAGGTCATTGGCGACCTCGCAACCCTCGACGACTCCAAACTCACCACCGTCGGCAAGAGCGTTAAGCAGCTTCTTACTGGTTTCGATAATCCCGAGAGTGACGAAGCCTACTCAACTTCTGCGAGATCCAGCAACCTCGCACCAAAGGGCTCCGCGGCGTGCGCCGCTGATACCTGCTGTATCTGGAAATACATCGCCAACGATCTTCAGGCCGTCTTCAGGGGCAGTTCTGGCCGCTGCACCGACTTCGCCCGCGCCGCTGTCCGTCTGGGTTTCCACGATGCCGGAGGCTGGTCCAAGGGCACCGGCAACCTCGGCGGAGCTGATGGATCGATTATCCTCGCTGCTGAGGAGATGACACGCGCAGAGAACCTCGGTCTCGGGGAGATTGTTGCCCAGACCAAGGTTTGGTACGACCAGTACAAGCAGTATGGCATCGGAATGGCCGATCTCATTCAATTTTCTGCGACCGTGGCCACTGTCGTGTAAGTCATTGTGACCTTGATGATCTGAGCGTACACTGATTTCATGATAGCTGCCCCTTGGGCCCTCGCATTCGCACCTACGTTGGCCGCAAGGACTCCTCCGTCCCGGCCCCCATGAACCTTCTTCCTCCGGTCACCGGCTCTGCCGACTTCTTGATTGAGCTCTTTGAGAATAAGACCATCAAGCCCCACGGTCTCACCGCACTCATCGGCGCCCACACCACCAGCCAGCAGCGCTTCGTGGACCCCAGCCGCGCCGGCGACCCGCAAGATAGCACCCCCGGCGTCTGGGACGTCAAGTTCTACAAGGAGACACTCGGCTTTGCGCCCGCTCGTGTCTTCAAGTTCGCCAGCGACATCGTCCTCTCAAAGGACTCCCGCATGAGTGCCGAGTTCCAGGCCTTCGCCGGTCCGGGTGGACAGTCTCACTGGAACGGGGACTACGCCCGCGAGTACATCCGTCTCTCTCTCCTCGGCGTCTTCAACATTAACGACTTGACCGAGTGCACCAAGGCCCTGCCTCCTCGTACTGGAAGCACCTTCAATGCTCCCGACCAGGCTGTTTTGGACAAGTGGCTCGCTACCAAGGATCGTATCGACAAGATTGCTGACCAGTTGAGGAATGGTGGCGATATCAACAGCATGATCAACTCTGTTATGAGCTGGTTGAAGGGAGTCTTCCATTTCAGGTGGTAAAAAGCCCCTTCTGGTTTCCGTTCTGTCAAGTTCGGGACGTGTAGAGGCCTTCAGGTCTGTTTTTGGCATATAAAACCCGCCGTATCCGGCAGTAGTAGATACAAATCACATAATGTCTATATCTAATACAAACCACACTTGGTTTTTATGATGGGAATAAGCTGTTTGTCACAGTATCGAGACGTGCAATCATCCTCCTGCTTGTCGCCTGATGTCCCGGTCACCTGGATGAGTAGAGAACAAGACCTGAGGCCATTATATCACTCAAGCTTTGGCAGGACATGTGAATAACCACTTTTCTCTCCGGCTCCGTTCAATCGGGACGTACTCTTGAAATAAGCTATATCTGTTTCACTCTAAACAAATTCTACGCACAACCCACAGGTCGTCAAGCCGTGCCCCCATCACGGCCCGCCCCAACTCCACAATCGCACAATTCGTGTCCCACCAGTCTCCTTGAATCAAGCTACGGCGCACCAGCAGCATCCAGAACCATCGTACGATGCTTCAAGATAACTGGCCCTGGTGGTCTAGCGGTATGATTCTTCCTTAGGGCTTCAGCAAGACTTTCGAGTCTCTACGGTCGATTGGAAGAGGTCCCAGGTTCGAATCCTGGCCAGGGCCCATCCTTTTGCTCTAACGCGTTTCTTATAATGTGCATGCTTACCTTTTTGGCGTAGAGCGCGGTAAGCAAGGCAAAATCCATTGATTGCTTCTGTCCCTCTAGATCTCTATTCTGCAAACTGGGGTATTATACTATCGCCTCTAACAGGTGCCAGGTTGCCGGAATTTGTTGCCGAGATTCCCTTTCGTGCAAAAATACGGCAATGCTTGACACCAAGGAGCCGATGAAGGTCAAGTCGAGACAAACTTCAGATCACCCTAGCTTGAACTCAATTGCCCAATACGCCCCTATCCGACGGCATTAGCCTCTGATGCATTCAATTCCGGAAGACGAAGGTCAATATCTCAAGACCAATTTGACATCATGAGCCCTAACTTGTATTAATGAAATACTATCTTTGCCACCGAAAATGTTGACCCAAAGGCACATCTTGAGTCTGCATCTTCCACGACCGAACCAATACTGGTGATTCCCATTGCACTCAATACACTATATGATCAAAAAACAAAGTGCTGACAAAAGCAAATCGCGAAATCCCAAAAACTAAACCCTTTACTGGTAAGAAGCAAGAGGCCATTTCTTTTTATGTGCCTAAATTCATGGGAATGTAGACGAGAGTAGCAGAGTTGTTTCCTGTGCACCCGGATCCACCTTAAAACTGGTATTCTCTGAGAGGACAAACGCCAAAGATTCTTTATAATTACTACTGAAAATTCCTGCTTCGCTTTCTTGCAAGTTTGAATCGTTGAGCACACTTTTTGATGAATACTCACCACTTAAGGCAACTTCTCTAGCTATTGTACTATCGGCGTGGGGCCTGTCAGGTGCGGCCATACGTCCTTCAGCTCTACCTTCAACCTCGCGTACTTTCCCCGAAATGTTTACACAGGCGATAAGTTCCAAGCGTCATAGTTGCACCGATTGTATCTGTGTCGGCAATGAAAAGGGCAATAACTTTGTGCTCTTCCATTAGAGAGGCACGAGACGGTGGCGGCTTGGACGGGCTGTAGTTTTCTAGCGCCGATGCTCTCAGTTTGTTCCGCACACATCAGACGGCGAGAAACCTGTTAGCTGGCGTTTGCACACGAATAGACAGAGGTATAAAATCGGCGACTGGCGAAGAAAATACATCTACAGTCTTCATTTGCGCAAATGCCACGCCGCTTTGGAAGAAGAAAAGGCCAATCCGCTCCGGCACCCAAAGGGTGACATGTCGTGCCAGCCAGAAGTGCTTGAAAACCATGAACCAAGAGATGATACTCTCCATGTAGCAAGCAAGCAAATAGAAGACGGCAGTAGAGAACGAAAGGCTTACCCTCAGTAATAAGCAAATTATACCACCCTATCCTCAAAAACATCTTGGGCCCCTCCGGCGGGCAACGCGAATAGCGCACGCAAGGCGACACATACCATCGTGGTTCTCTATCTACGCCAGATTATGTCGAGCTTGATCCGCCAACGTAGTATTATTCAGCAGCCTTTTCGCGATGCCGATAAGCCTTTTTCTTGACACCGGTGCGATGCTGATCGGCAGGTTTTTGCGTGGCCGGCGTATTGTTCGGGGTGGATCCCGGGCGGACGCCGGCCCCCTAGGGGGGGATAGGCCGGGTATTTTCGCCGATCAGCATGCCGTCTCTGTTTGGGGGGAATGATGCCAAGGCTGATAAACGCACCGGCCTTGACTTTCTCAGGCGTAGTGAACATCCACTTTGCAAATCACTCAGAGCTGATGTCAAATGTTGATTGCGATGAATTTGATTGCTCCCAATTCACTTTAGTACATGGTATATCAGACACCGACCTTTGCACCACCACCCTAGCCACAGCCTCGAAATATTCTGGTATTCTTCGGACTCGGAATGACCGTGCACTTGCTCTCCCCACCTGATCTTCAAGTCCTTCAGATGGTAGACACCAGGCCCGCCACCAAAATGCATACAAACTCATCCCAAAAAGGAGGACCCCGCCCTATTAATGCTCCCTCCGAGAGCCTAACGTCGAAGAGGCTGAGCACAGAAGTGCTACAGTCAGAGAGGAAAGAATGAAGGGGAATAAGAAATATACAATAAGAGCCAAGCGGACATGGAGACCAACTTGGGGGTAATTGAAATAGAAAAAATCCAAGGCAAAAATACAAAAACGTACTCATAGATTCGTGACAACCATTTTCTCTCCTTTTTAAACCCCGCCATCCATTTTTAATGATACTGATGATTAGAGACAATGAAGAGCTTCGTGGCGGTTGTTTAGATGTTTAAATCATGCCACCAGGCATGTTTCCGTTGTTCAAGCCCCCTGTCATGGCCGTGGGTCCAGGCATGTTCGGTGGGCTGTTACCCCGGGTAAGCCGAGCACGCATGTTCATGCCGTTGGCTTCGCTAATGGTCTTTCGAAGTCGGCGCCGCTGAGACCCGGGACCGTCCTCTTCGTCGCTCACGGAGAATGCACTGTGGCTGTCACCGCCGTATTCGCTAGGGATCGGTGGCGGTGAAAAGGGCAGGTGAAGAGAACTTGCGCCCATGTCCTCCTCTCCTCTGCGACCCATCATCGAACCGATCATGTTGCGGCGCTTAGGGTTGATTGGAGGTACAGGCGGAGCGTTAATGTTGGCGTGCGCGCTGGCATGAAGGTTTGGCGTTGAGGCGGTGGCACCCAGGATGCTACCGGATCGCGTCCTAGAACCGCTTCTAGAACGGGACTCCGACGTCTCGGGGAGAGCCACGGTTGGAACGCGGGAGGTAGAGGAGACAAAAGTCGGCTCAGAGATGTCCTTCTTCCTGACAACCCTCTTCATAGACTCGTCAAGGCGGCTGACAAGTGCAGTTTCCGAGTTGGGCGATGGCACAGGAGGTGCGGATGGTCGTCGGGAGGGAACGAAAGCGGGTGTAGACTGGCTGACGGGAATTGACGGCGAAGGGATAGGAGCCATTGGGGAGATGGGCGAGGGCTGGCCGGAATCAGGGCCCCGACGGCGGTACTGAACAGCCAGGTTGCCCTGGGAAGCAGACCGATCAAGAGGCTTTCCTTGGGATGCTCCAACCGGGTAAGGCTGAGGAGGCATGATTGGAGACCGACGAATGTTAGTGCCAGGGAGGCCTGGCGAGTTCAGCATTGGAGGTCTCCCTTGAGGGGGCGCCATTCCGCGCTCTTCGTGAGGTGATGAGGCGGTCCCGGTACGCAGGCGCGGAGGACGGTGAGGCCTGTCGCCGCCGCTGCTAGCCTCAGAGCCGCTGCGGTCACGTTCTACCCGCTCAGTCCGAGAAGGAGGGCGCGACGGCACTCGGCCAGGGCCGTTGCTAGGCTGTGGCTCCTCACTAGGTGCCCGCTGCTGGTAGGTGACAGGAGGCGGTCGGCGCTCGCGAGACGGTGATCTCGGGCCGGGAGTGCGCTCACGGTTGGGGGCGGTCCTGGATGCGGGTGGGCCAACCATCGGAACGGAGACGGAGCCAGGCGCCTGACCGGGCATGATAGGGACATTCGACGGGCTCTTCTGGGCCTCCATCAACCGCCGCCTGGCTTGCCTAAATGCTTGGAGTCCAGCGTGCATTGACTCGTCCTCCTTGTCCTTCTCCGGTTCATGCGTGGGAAGGACCGGGGCCGTCTCAGCCCTGGGGAATGCTGGCTTCTCACGTTCTTCGTGAGCAGTGGACTGAGGTTCCTTCTCTTCGAAGCTTGACTTGTTCGAGCTTGGAGCGCTGCTGATGGTTGAAGTTGCCAGGCCAAGCATCTTGATAGCCTTGGAGTGCTGGCTGTCGACGCGGTTCTCGCGGTTGCGATCGATCAAAGAGCCGCGGCTAGTCTTCTGTCTCAAAATGCCCAATGGATTCGGGCGGGGCAACGATGGCTCTCTGATGCGCTCGACGGGGTGAGGTGACAGGGACCTGCTGTCGCGGTCCGACTCGACATACGACGTGAGCCTCTCACGAACCCGGCGCGCACGGTCAGCGAGTTGGTTGGCGAACTCGTCATGTTCTTTTTCCATCTCTGTGCTCGATCCAGTGTTGCGCTCCGAGATTGGCTGATTCTCCGACGGCAGCGTTTGTCGAGGCTGAGGGCTGGGCTCAGGAGCTGCCGGTTCCTTCGGCTTGATAGGCGCTTGTTCCTTCTCGTTGAATGTCGAATTTCTCCAGTCTGGGGACTGAAGTTCCCAAGGGTTGGCCATAACTCCCATGTCGGCCAGAGATTTCGAATCATACGGGTCGAAAGGGAACCTAGAAGCATAATTGGAGGTTTGCGGTGCTGAGCCGTAAATGGATGAATTGGCACTATCAGTCCTCAGATGCTGGCGGACCATTCCGCTTAGGCCTGCGGATGATGGAAGCGTTGGAGAGTCTAGTGGTGAGCTTGTCGTCTCTGCGGACACAGCAGTAAAAGGTTGATCGGACACAGGCGATGGCTCCACCGAAGCGCCAGTGCTCAAAGAAAGTGGCGTCGGCACGGCAAAGTCCCTGAGTGCGGGATGGTCGCGATCAGCTGGCCGCCTTGTAGTGCTGTAGAATGCGGCAGCTGGGTTGGTCGTGCCGTCTTGCGGAGAAAGCGAATCGTCATAGAAGCTCAGTCCAGCCTCTTCTTCCTTCACAGTCGGCTCGGTTCGAATAATCGGCTCAGATTTCTCCGCCGGCAGCCTCTGAGCCGACGAAGATGAACGGGACCGGCCGGTGGTTTGAGAAGCGTTAGACTCAGTGCGGAACATGTTGGTAGGCGTCTCTCGGCCTTGCTGGAGTTGGAGCTGTCTCTGAGCATATCTCGACTCGTCATAAGAGTGAAGCGGCTTCTGGAACAGGCCCATGGCGGTAGCTTTGCCCCTATCGCTAGGTAGGATAGAGCTTTCCTCCCCTTCGCTAATGGGGGGGCTCAAAGGTGGTGCACCTCCAAAAGAGGACTTGGGTTCCGAGTTCGAAGGCACATTGATACCCAGATCCATCGGGGCGATCGGTGATCCCATGGTTGGTGGACTCACGGATCGCAAGTTTGGGGCGCTTCCCTTTGCCAAGATTCTCCTATCGTTGCCGAACCGGTCGCTGAAGAGGCTGCTCGTCGGAGAAGGTCCGTTTTGGAGATCAGGAGTCTTACTGCCGAGTGTTCGCTGCCGGGATAGAGTGTCCATTCGCGAAAGAGCTGAAGATTGTTGTTCTTGGAGCTCATGGTTGAGACCCGTCTCGTAGAGGCGTCGTGCGCGGGTGACGCTCCGGTCAAGATTGGGAGTGCCTGTCGCTGAGCTGGGTGCGGTCGGGTTTGACTGCCAGTCCTTTGCTGCCGATGTTGGTTGAGACATGACAGACGTGGCTGCTGTAGAGTTGCGTCCCAGTGACGGCGTCGATGATGTTGTTGAGTTGGTTTCTCTCTTACGGTCGTACCCCAAGGGCGGAGGTGATTCGGCGCGGGGAATATCGATGCTTGAGGGCTTCTGCTCTTGATCGTCGTCAAATGACAGCTTGGACTTCTCGCTCTGCCTCCATTTCTGGAAGGCTGACTTGGAGACGTCGTCGTCGTAGATTACTCGTCCACTCATGCCACCCCCGTCGAGGTTCTTGGTGGAAATAGCACCGGAACCAAGTTTGTACACTTTCTGGCGTCCGCCGAATAGGTTGTTGCCCTCTCCTGGCTTGGCTCGGTCCATGACGCTTCCCGAGATGGAGTTACCATCTGCTGAGTGGTACGAGTCCATCCGAGAGAAGGGTACTTCTTTTCGGATTGATTCGACCTCGGCGATATCTGATAATCCATTTGCACCGATGCCAAAGCCAAAGTCCAGCATCCTCGATTGGCGCTTGGGAAATAAAACGCTATCGTCACTTGCCTTGCCAATCTTGGTGTTTGGGTCATCCTGCTCTCTCAGCATGGAAAATCGTGCTGATAACCCTGTCATGAGCAGACTCGTTCGAAAATCATCACTGGGAGGCAGAGCGTTTTCGAGGTCCAGTTCCTTCTTTGGCTCTTCTTCTTGTGACTTTTTCCCCTTGCCGAACAAACGAAATGGGGCAGGAGTCTCTGATTCATGGGAAGCCCGAGGCGTGGACGAGGCGGCATCATCCTTCGCCCTCTTCTTGGTGCGGAATCTATTCATTGTGATGAATAATTTCTGCCTCGTTGGCAGAGGAGCGTTCTGCGTCTAGTCGGCAGGCAGTCCCTCTATTCCTTTTTAAGACTGTTGATCAAGCTTGGGTGTGGGTGCTCTTCATTAAGCGGCATCCATTAATAGTGGTTGGGATGGTAGATCGAGTAGTTGGGACGAAGGGCGAAAGTTTGTTTGAAACAGGTGATGTTCGCTCAGGACGATTGGCCGAGGGTGCGTCTGAAGTCGGAATGCGGGATAGCTAGACCAAAATAGCAGAATCGTCAGCAAAGATTTGACAGGAACCCTTGGACACAGAACCACGTTCCGGTCTCAGCTCCGGACGGCTTTGGGCGTGAACAAGCCGCGATTGAGTTCAGCAACGCGCCGGAGACACTTAAAGCTGTGCTTGAGCCCCGTCGCAGCTGGGAGAATGGGACGAAATTGTCGGCTGGGTTTCTGAGAGGAAATGCAACCAATATCAAAGACGACGCGGGTGCGTGGGCGGCGGGACATGGGCAAGAGGGACAGAGCAGACATTTCGAGCAAAAAGCGTACCTAGATCAGAGATGTCGCCGTATCGGGAATGTTTCAGCAAAAGATGGAGTTGTGTCCTGGGCTGTCAACGTCGCATGTAGACTTTTGCTCCTGGCGACTCAAAGCAGCGTCGATCTGGATGTTGACCGTCTCGGCGAGGGAGTCGGCGAGGGAGAAGTATCCTGGCGAAAATGCGATGTGCTCAGACGACGGGATCGAAGCGTCAACACGGGTAGGAGCAGTGATTCGTCGTATGAGCCAGATCAGACTCCAAAGTCCCCAAAGTCCAGGGTCGCACACGGATTCCAATGGTCTCCTGCGCAATAGGCTGGCGGCAGCAAGAGATGCGTCGATTTCGGTCTGGTGACTGCAATAGGTGCAGGAGCTGGGCCTGAAAAGCTGGCGCGGGTGAACAAGGTGGATAAATTCCCGAAGGAGATGAGGTGGAATATGGCTGAATCGCGGGTTACTGATAAGAAAGGGAGAGGTCCCGTCGGGGGTAAGTCGACAATCCCGGTCGAGTGGTCGTGTTTGGGCGGTCCAAAGGTTGCAGAGATACTGGATCTCGCAGTGCCGTTCGTTTGTTAGGCGAGGTCGACCAGACAGGGTGGCGAGTAGCGTTTACGGCGTCGTACTGGTAGACTCGAAGTCGACGAGACGGCAGGAAGGAAAAAGAGACGAGAGAGTGTGTATCGAGAAAAGAAGGACTCGGGTGGGAATGTGGGAGCTCTCTTGAGAAACCTTTTTTTCCCCTTGCCTCACCCAAGTTTTTTTTTTCCTGACAGGCAAACAAAACGGAACCAGGAGGAAGACAAGAAAGAAAAGCAACGAGTGACTTGAGTTCAGGTTACTAGTAGACGCAGAACAGAGTGCAGAAGGAGGGGAAAAAAGAAGGTAGGCGAGCAAGGAAGGCCGATGGAAGCAAAGTAAACGACTGGAGACGTTGGAGGATTGTGAGTGACGGGAGAGAAAGGAGTGACCCAGGAGCCAGGAGGGAAAAGAAGAATTGCGGACGCTGTGCGGTTACTCTGTACAGGGACAGGGCGACGGGCACCAGAAATTGGAGAATCCGAGCCACGAACGGGGGGTGTCACGGTGTGAAGGCGGCAGGGGAGAGGAGGAGACGTGGAGAGTTGAGAGGTGTGGACAGGAGGCAGGGGACGGGGAGGAGACGGACTGGGATTGTGGCTGCACGACGGGACGGATGGTGGTGGTCGAGGCAGGGGCGTGGGAGGGGTGTGGGATGAATCATGAGATTGGGTTTATGAGTGGGAATGAGGTGAGTGAGTGAGTGACAATACCTACGGATACACATGCTACGGATATGTAGGAGTGGGATGGTGAGTGTGAGGCTAACTAACATTAGGGCTCAGAATTGCAGGAATATCGGGCCTCACGAATGATGGAAAGTGAACAAATGCCCCCCTCCTCCCCGCCCACTACTCCGATGGCAGGCAGCACTGTGTAGGACTACGTAGTAGGTAGTCATTAGCCCATCGACTCAGCAGACAGCACACTCGACGTGTCGACTACATTGGGGAGCAGGGACGGGGCTTCGTGACGAGACGAGAGGGATGAGACTCATTCGAGAGGCACGAAGGCGGCACTAAGAGAAAAGAGGAAGAGGAGGAGCGGGATTGGCCCCGGCTGGACACTCAAAAGAGGCCCCCTGAGGTGTCCCTGGGCGTGTTCCTGGCAGCAGCTGCGAGATGCACGCTGGAGCCCCTGGCATTTTGTTCCTAGACTTGTCTGGCTTGGGTCTGGCCCGGGATGCGAAATGCAAGGGACCTGGCCACTTAGCGCGGATCAAGCTGCATTACTCATTGGTGGAGGGCCAGACAGACCCGACACCAAGGGAAAGCCGTTGGGAAGTGAGGTGGTGACGGCGTCTGTTAGTCCGAGCTGCAGACAAGTGGTGATGCATCATGCACGAGCACTAACAGACTCGGTTTCCTTATGTCAGCCAGGCCTGTACCTACATAGGTAGCAAGGTAAGCACGCACGGTGCTTAACTGAGGGGTGTCAGATGCCAAAATTGCAAGTGGGGTCCCCTCTCGCTACGTACAGCAAAGTAGGTACTTTCCATTCTCTTCCAATTCTTCTCATCCCGCGCCGCTGTGTTCCCCTTCGGCTTATTTGCTGCTCCTGTCCTGTCCTGTCCTGTGTGCCTGTCCTGCTGCCACGGGCGATGAAATGCCGTCATTGTATCAATTGGCTGAGCAGACAGGAGACAGGGGAGGTGTCTCTCCGAATACCGTGCATGTCATACTAGACGATGTTTCTGCACAATCTGAAGCAAAGAAGCAAGCGCCTTCAAACGACCTGCTGGAGCTGTTGCTGGAGCTGTTGCTGGTGCGGGTGCTGGTGCTGGTGCTGGAATACCTTATTCGTAAGGTAAAATAGGGGTCAGGTCACCTACGGATATTAATCCGCCCTTCCCTATAGGCAAGCAGGCTCACCTCACCTTACCTTAGTCAGCTCGAGTAGCGAATGCTACGTACCTCGTTGCACTCTCTTCCACCGGACGGCAGGAACATGCGCGTGCCTGTGCCGCCAACGGCAGGTGAAGCTGCAGATGCAGGTACTCGTGCGTATCATCCTGCACTGGCGTGTGCCTGGGGAAGTTGGGACGGAAGTGCTCCTTCCATCTCAAACAGCCTTGGAAGCAGCACCACCACCACCTTCCAGGTATCCAACCCGTCCTCCTCCTCCCTTTCCTCCCCTTCCTCCCCCCCTCCTCCTCCTCCACACAAGATACGCCCTTCCTCGCCTTCGACCCTCAATGTCTCGGGCGGCCAAAGGATTCATCATCAAAACAAACCATCAGTCTCATCGCCATGGCTTCTCTGGATGAGAGGGGCAAAGAAGCAAAACACAACCGCACGCCAGCGAACGCACATGACACCGCCCCAAATTCCAGCTCCCTCTCGATCGGCGGGCTTCTTCGAACCTCTTGGTAGCACACGTAGCCCCTGTGGCACCATCACAACCCTAATAACCGCCCAAGCCGCCACAACCGCCTCTCTTTCGTTCTTCTAGCAAGCCAAAACAGCTCTCGTCGGGTCTCACGAGTCTCGTCGACTTCCCAAAAAAAATTAAAAAAAAAAATTGGTGGGCTTCTTCTGTCCAGTGCCGTTGCAGCTCGGTAGTCTCGCCTCCCTGCATGCCTCCCTGCATCGTCAAATCGCATCATCCCATGGCGAAAAGCCTTCCGCCGCTTCCTCTAATAGTATTGCGCTTCAACAAAGTATACGCTGCCAGCGACTCTCGCATCGCCCGCAAGCTTTGATCAGCAATGCAGCCAAGACCCCGTCCGAGCCGTTGCCGTCTTCACCTGCGCGCTTGTCAGCAGAGTCTGTTCTTGCCGACGCCCATCCGTTCCTATTCTAGCCTGCGACAACAAACGGACGAAACGCATGGCCACAAGAGTCAAAATCATTGTAAATATCGACAACAGAGCCGCCTGGAATCCTTTCAAAGTCATCTGCTCAGTGCCCTGAGGACCCCGGCCCGCTCTCGTACCCACCACCATCTGGCCCCCGCATGCTTTCCGTCGTTTCGCCTTACCAACTTCGCACATCACATTCGCAAGTCGTTGCCACAACCTCTGTCCATCGAGCGCTTTCTTCTCGCCCCTTTTGGTTCTGTCTCTGTCTGTCTGTCTCTCTCTGTCTGTCTCTCTCTCCACATCTGGCTGCATTCGAAGCTGTCCAAGGAGATTTCTGCTCCTGCCCTTTCTGATGCCAACGTCATGTTGCCCAAACACCGAGATGGGGACGAGGGTGTGGCTCTAGCAACTGCGGAGCTGGCTGCGTTCCGCACGATTGCATGCCTGCGCCCTGCCACTCCACCAGACTACTTGTGGACGATTCTCAAGCTTCAAGGTGATACCTAGCGTTTGCTGTTCTTAGGCCACTCGCAAGCTGTGCATTGAACATTGACACTGACCGGCAAGACACGGTTCAGCAGTTCCATTACCGATGCTTTACTGCATCGCCATCTACGCCGCACTCGTCAAGGCGTCTTTAACCTTAAAAAGAAGCAGTTGGCCCGACAGGTTGCAATGCCCTTTGCCAGTCACTGCGCGCAGATGCTCGAAGCTGTCTGCATTGATGCTTCCGCGCTGATCACTAGAAACCACTGGCAAGCGTCAGATCAGTATCAGTCAGGCCTATGGAAAAATTGACTGACAAATGGCAAAGCCTTCAACGATCCACGAGGGGCGTGTCGACCAAATTAACAAGAAGCCAGGGGCGCACTAACAGGCCACCTCTTCTCTAAATGTCTCACTACCCAACCAAACTATCGCGCCAACCGTTGCAAGCTCTCGCCTACAGCTCATAAACTCTGTCTCTGCAGCCAGTCAATACTGTCTTAATCTCCAGAGCGTATGGAAAGCTAATGCCTAGACTCACCAACCCGCGGCTGTAGTCTTGCCGCTTCAAAAGCGGCAATCATGAGTACTGCAAAACGTCGCCCTGGTCAAAGTTGCATCTTGACTTTCTGATCAACATTTTGACTCCAAACTCACAACTGCACGACAGTGCGCCTGGGAATTATAGGCACGGGCTTGATCTTGTGCGCTGCCCTGTCTGCTGGACCCCTTTTCTGATGTCTCAACTGAACAACGGGGCGAATACGGGCCTCACAATCTCGTCAACCGCCTGCCGTGGTCTATTGGTTCAGCCTCCAATCGTCGCAGGGCCGCTCCGGTGTCTTTGCGCCATAAATATTGAAACGCGCCCCAGTAACCACAGCAGAGGAAGATCCTGTGCTGCACTCTTCCTGCGGTTTGTTCCTAAGAGTTGTCTGCCCAGGCTGGCCGGCCGACATTGGCGTTGGCTGATCGGCGCACGATTCAATGAGGTGCAGAAACTGCAATGTCATCTGCGCCATTGTCGTCAGTCTACATCTCGGGTGCTCTGTTTGTGGTTGCTGTGCCCTCGGCGGTGCCGCGCAAGATCCGTCCAAAGATCTGGTCAGCTGGTGTTCCCTCGACCGACCCCTATTTTTGACTTTTAACATTCAAGGCTTCCCAGCTGCACGACCTCGCTGTCTATTCGTCCAAGGCACCGGTTGACAATGTAAGCAGGAAACGAAATGCGAGTAGTAACACGAACATCAGCTTGTGCTTTGCTCAGACTTATGCGCAGCAACTATTTGTCGTCGTCTTCCAGACTGGCCATGACCATGGCAAACATCATTGTCCACTGCGGTACCCTGGTCCCTTAAGAACGGCTACGGATGCGAATACGTAGGCCGACACGCTTTGCCAGGTCAGCTTTGGCCCACGCCCACTTTGCACATCACCCGTGCTGCCATGCAACCCCCCGCGTTTCCGTGAGATTCGCGTTTCGGCTGTGGTCCAATGAAGCGCTTCTTGCATTCCGTTCCTCTCTTCAGCTATCGAGACGTCTTGGGCAAAACCTTCAGCTCGGTTGCAATGGGAGCGCACCGCCTATCACCAGGCTTCCCCGTTCTCACTGGCACGACTGGCTTTGAGCCGTTTGGTTTCGAATCGGTGTCTGTTTCAACTTGGTCAAGTCTCGGAGCTGAGCGCAGGATGATTCGACACAATAATAAGACTAATACTGCATCTCCGTGGATCTAGTCTCACAGAGTGGAGGTGACTATGCATGCTTACTCCGGTTTTCTTCCGGCCTGAACCACGGACGATACCCCGGGTTCTTGAACCTGTCACGGCGCGGGAACTCAGTGGCTTTGCGGAAGAGACGGCTGTCCATCGCAACAGAAACTTCGGTGTCCCGTACGGATAACTGCCCTGCAAATGCTTCTGGGTACGAGTTCATTGGGGAGAAACGGAGGCCAAGCTGCGCATGCTTCTTTCACCGAGGAGAGGCTATCTTGTGACTGGTTCAGGAAACAACCTACAAGTCTCGTTGATTCGTGAGCCTTCATTTCCTGTCAACGAAGACACCGTATATTGGAACTGGCTCTGCTTTGCCTCTCATTGCCTACTACGGTTGTATGGTACATTAATGTCTCACCCTGGGGCACATCGACCTCACGACTCATGCGAACTTCACAATTCGTTTACGGGGGATGTCTCGCTTCTTCCTGTTAGACGGACAGCGATCCCTTGGCCTTCAGCCGTGACCCGTCAAGTCTTCGAAGTCCCCGCTAGCCAAGCAAATGGACACCGTCAGAAGCAGACAGCGATAATCTTGTTTCCCCCACCCCCCTTTCGAAATTTCAAAGAGGGGCTTTCGACGGCCTTTCTTGGTCCATCCCTACGGACCTGTCGCCAGCTTCCGCGGCCAATCAGCAAGCTGTTCCTGGTATTTAACTTTTACAGCGGCGATCGTACGCTCCTGGCCTCTGCAGGCTGGGTCACATTTCGGCATCAAGTCTACCTGCTCAGCAAGCTTCATCGGCAGTCCTTGTGCAGTATACTACTTCGGAGACTGCAAGATGGGCGGTTGTCGTCTGGACAGAGCACGGCATGAACGTGGCGCGTGTGCTAAGGTCTGTGAGATGCCCGTGGAGACGTTGGAGACTTCATCCATCCGCGGGTTGTGAGGGCGCCGGAATCATGAAGCAGAATCTGATGTTGGAAAAGAAAGCATCTGGCAATGCACAAGGCTTACAAGGACGCCTAGTGTCGGGGACATTCGTACCACTGGCGCATCCTTGTGCAAGACATTGGCATCAAATTCAGCCGCGGCAGATCCCGGCTTGTACTTCATCTTTCAACTTTGTAGTGAAAGCTCGATTGTCGGAGCTGCCGGGACTGTGGACGAGTCGATGACTGCTTTCAAATTCAATCCAACTGCCAGAAATACTTTCCGATATGAAGATGGGCAGAGTGAGATTCAATGATGGCGCAATTTCCCAGTCGAGTCCACCACAAGTCCCAGCCGAATGGTTGTCGGCCGGCCGGTCGGGATAGCTACAGGTCCAACGGGTGGGATCGCAGCCCTAGATTACTACCTAGTACCGGGTCCAACTCTTCAAGATTGAGGAAACGAACTTACACTTTCCTGGCAACAATCAACGTACATTGTATGCAGTGCCTTTGGCCTTGGCCGGCGCCGATGCTTGGTCAAGCCCTGCTGTATCAGCACACGTCAGCCCAGATGAAATGTCTATCGAGATTGAGCACGAATCGAAGTTAATCAATGTTTGATGGGCATGTGGGTGCGAGGTTTCTGCTGATGGAGCACTGAAAGCCTCCACGGCCAAGTGGAAAATTCCCGCTACAAGAAACACAGAGTACTTCCCCGCCTGCTCCCAGGACTTTCCCGGTCCTGCAGCACGGCATGAACGTTAGCGGCCTGGGTTCGATATGGCCCGGTGCAGCCGCAGATTGAGGTTGTCGCATCTTGATTGACTGGGGAAAGAATGGGGTCACCAAAGATGTGCTGTGCACAGTTCGTCTGATGACGACGCTCCTACCAGCCGGGCCGTTCCCAGTCTTTAAGATTTACAACTGGTTTTTGACGGACCGAAGCTTTTTTATTATTATTTTTTCTCCCTCGATTGCCAGCGCTAGAACGTCTCTCCAGGTCCACCCGGCAGCATGTTGCTGGCAAGGCTGTCCCGGGGCTGATCGCTGGGGAAGACGAGGGATATTCAAAAATTGACGACCATACTGGCGGAGGACCAACGGGGGCCAACGTGGCATCGACTGGTGACGGCACAGAAAATCCCGAGAGACGTGGTTATAGACGACGATACACGATAATGTTCAAAGTAGGTACACGCCTCACGCGGCGCCATGATCGGACCGGTACTTCAAGACTTTGACGGTCTCCATACCGGTACAGTCCAGGGCGGACGGACATTTTAATCGCCCCCTCCAACACATGGGACTCCCGCTTATTACCGAACATGGGAAGCAAGGCGTTCCATTACGGCGGTAGCTCAATACTGTCGGGATTGAAGGCCCATGCCAGCTACTGTATTGAACGGTCCCAAAGCCCACGAAGCCGGTCATCGATGCAGCGATGCTGAAAGTTGGGCCTGACTGATGAGAAGGAGGGCAGCTACGTCAGTCAATCTGGGTAAAACGGTCTAAGATGAAAGAATCCCCACAGCCTAGACCGGTCTTATGGCCACAGACTTGTGCAATCCACGGAGCGAGTTGCGATTGGTGTTATCGCGAGAGGTACGGATAAGTCTTTTGGATTGGATCATTCATGGATTGCCTCTGGCTCTGCAGCGTTTCCAGCAATACGCCCACATACCCCCCCCCCCCCCCCCCCCCCCCCCCCCCCCCCCCCCCCCCCCTCCCCCCCCCCCCCCCCCCCCCCCCCCCCCCCCCCCCCCCCCCCCCCCCCCCCCCCCCCCCCTTGCCGGCGCTAGGTAGGCGACGTTATTTCGCTTCCGCACCACACTGGACCGCCCCAATCTCCGCGATTTGTACCTCTCCCTCCAGTTGGTTGGGCCGTGACCCTGGGCTTCCCATTTGGCGGGCCATCGAAAGCCGACGTCAGGGCTGACCCAACGGGCTGCCCGCACGGAAAGCATGGCAACGATGGAGTTGAGGTAACAAGAGAATTTTTCAGCGAGAGTCTGGACCGTCTGCCGCTGGGAAGCGGCTGGCAAGAGTGTTTCGACCATGGCAGAGCCATGCGATAACTCTGATGAGACTCCCATTCTCCACGTGCTGCCAATGGAGCCGCCAGCCAAGACTTCCTATGGCAGTCTCCCCGTGCTTGTTTTCCACCCCTGCTTGAGGAATGCAACCCGAGACGGTGGGTTTCGTCTGGAATTTGATCTCCCTGGTCGCGGGGGACGTGCTACGGATTCCTACCGGCCGAAAGTGGTTGCATTACGGCGGCCCTGTCTTGGATCGTCATTCTGGTCTTTCACGCTTCTTGTGACACGTTTTTTGAGCCCAGTTGAGTCTTGCCGTACGAGTGGTGCGCCTGGGACATGGCTTACAAGTTACAACATGTGCTGCATGAGCGAGTGCACGGCAGGCAGTTGATTTGCCTCCCCATCTGCAAGGTTCCCGACTTTTTCTCTTGGAAATTATCGCTCAACAGCGGGCCCGGACATGGCAGTCATAAAGTTTGATGCCACTTCTGAGGCTCATGTTATTTTGTTTACAAATTTCCCCGAATGTGTCAACTTGACGCGGTTCGAGGCGCGGTCCGCGTCGTTGTCGGTGGAGGATGGCGTTTGGCGGGGTAAGCTTGGTAAGGTAAGCCTCCGTCCGCGGGAGCCGCTAGGACTTACTACCTACACTCACGCACAGGCCGACCCTGTCAAACGGCGGACTGGAGAGATTGGGAATTTGGGAATTTGGGAGGGGGCGTGCTTGCGTGCCTTGCGTGCCATGCCTCTCGCCCTGACGTGAAGAGATGTGTGAGCGCCCGATAAGCCTATCATGGGGCTAGCCCGGCCATGAAAGCGATTGAATCCTGGAAACGAGGTTAGCTGCAAGGTGATGGCAAACATTCACCAGCCAGCAGGTGTGGTGCGTCTTTTTCATAGAGTTTACTGAACACCTGATGGGTGTGGTATGATCAATCTGTTGAAGAGGGGGTGGGGGAGTCGATGATTGGAAGCGACGATGGCCCGCGTCGACGACACGGTTGGTGTGAGGTGACATTGAATGAGCGGACGAGGGGCACACGCCAGGTGAGACAGCCAGGTTCGATCGATGGCAAAGTGCCATTGTGTTATCTTGTCTCGACGTCCGATGTAACCCTCGTGGTGCCCGGTGCGGAGACGAGCAAACGCCCATCCAGCGATGGTTCGCCAGCGCCGGCCGTGTCCCGGCTCCGTATCCGAGGAAGCAAGACGTCGGGCCGCCTCCATAGAGACCCGAGATGCGTTCCGGGCACTACTTACCGACCGTTTATTCAGATCGACTAACAAGGGGCTCTTACATGGCTCAGGTGTTCAAATCACCGCAATGGCCACATTCGCCATGTCGATTTTCGGGTAGATGTAGATGTAAAATAATATTTGAATAAACTAAAGAGCCATCTCCTTGATCATCAACGTCGTCCACGTCCACCTCAAGCACTTAATCAAACCCCATCCAAAACATCTTGCGTCCACCGCCACAACGTCCCCGCCAGCTCGTCGTCCGTCGCCGTCTTGTCCAGCTTGTCGTCGGCCAGGTGCCCGACGGGCATGTAGAACCCCCCGTTGACGAGGTCCGTCTTCTTCGCCGCGGCGGCGGCCCAGACCTGGTTCCAGCACCCTTGCTCCGGCGTGAGGACCGGGGAGCCCATGAGCTTGTTGGGGAGGTAGACGAGGAGGCGGTTGAGGCGGCCTTGGTTTGTCACGAGGCCGGTGCCGACGACGCCTGGGTGGACTGCGACGGTTGTGATTTTCGGGTGGCGGCGGGCGAGCTCGCGGGTGTAGAGGATGTTTGCGAGTTTGCTTTGGCTAGAGGGTGGAGGGGGGAGGGATTTGTGTTAGTCGCGAGGGGGGTGTACTTTTGCTTGTTTGCGAGGTATCATCTCTCCCGTCTTTGAGGGTGAGGATGGAGGATTATCACAGAAGAGGGGGGATTGAAGAGGGGTTGAGTGTCGATCAGGGAACGGAGGAATCAACGTACCCGTATCGAATCCACTGTCCTAGGACCGGCGGTCCAGCCTGCGTCGTCTTGAGCGTCGCAAAGGAGATGCCGTCGCTCGGGTGGGCCTGGTATCCGACAGAGGTGAGGTTCACGATGCGGACATCGGCTGGTGGCTCGCCATCGTCGCCACTGGACAAGGTCCCGTCGGCGGTGCGTTGTAGAACGGGGAGCAGCTCGCGGACGAGCATGGCGTGGCCGAGATGGTTTGTGGCGAACTGGATCTCGTAGCCATCGGCGGAGAGGCTGGGGGCGCCGGCCATGATGCCGGCGTTGTTGATGAGGATGTCGAGGCGGGTGTGGGTGAAGTGTTGTTTGATGGCGGCGCGGATGGAGGGGAGAGAGGTTTGGTCTAGGGGGACGAAGGTTAGGGGGGGCTGGATTGTTGCCGTGGTTGTTGTTGCCGTGATGGTTGTTGTTGTAGTGTCAGTGGTTGGCGTGGAAGACTTTGAGGATGGAGAGGAGGAGGAGGATGCGGCGGCTGCGGCGGCGGTCTCGATGAGGACTTTGGCGGAGGAGTGGGAGCGACCGGAGAAGTAGATGTGGGATGGGTTGTGGGCTAAGAGGGCGAGGATCGTGGATTTGCCTAGGCCTGCTGTTCCTGTTGGGTTGTTAGTTGTGTGTTGGAGGATTCGAGGTGCGATATACGCGTGTGTGTGCGTGAGTATGTATGCTGGCTACGAGTGGATGATGAGCGGATGTTGCTGGTGATAGTGGTCTTGAAGGAAACGGTTCATCTGCGTTGGTGAACTTGGTGGTATCTTCAATGTTGAGTGATCTTCATCCAGCTTCTGCGTGGAGAGGGCGAGGGCAATGTCGACTGATGAAGGATGGGCTCCTTCGCCGGGGGATGGGCAGGGCATATGATGATGATAATAAGGTGAAGGTCGTGGATATAAAAAGGGAAGGGGGAAACCCGCTGCCACTGAAACGAACTGCGACAGTAGAAATAGGAGGGTGTAGAACAGGTGAGTGTATCCAAAGAGTTCCTCTCGATCTTATGATAAACGATATCAGTGCAGTATGTGACATCAGAGTCTCGGCCACCCTCCCATCGTGCTGCCGATAATCGATATAGACGCTGAGCCCATGAACCTAGTGAAGGAGAAAGACAGACGGGACATAATGGAGGAGAACTCCCGTTCTTTGAAAGATATTCTACGGATATTACACCACGAAAAAGGTGACGGAAACTTTCCATCGAGCGAAGAACAGATACTCTGCGATGTTGGGGGAGCGAAGGGGAGGGTAATAGCGTAGTAAGGACTCACCGCCCGTGACGAATATGACCTTTCCATCGAGAGAAGGGATTTCTGGAGTGGGATCATGCATGTCCTTTTCGTGTGCAAAGAGGGCAACCATGACTTCGGAGCAACAGCAGGGGTAGGTTGTTTGATTAGAAGCGTCAGCTAGATGGGCACCAGAAGTCGCAAAGGGATAAGGTAGTCGTTATTCGCTGCTGCTGAAGAGTGGCTATGGAAGTGAGGAAGACAAGATCTGTGATGCATGCGGAGCCGCTTCAAGATTGGGGCGCTTTTTCACCTTGAGAGACTGATTTTCTCAGGCTCTCAAGCTATTCAGGATTGTCTTGCTGACTTGATTATCGAAGATCTTGATATGAGTTTGAGCGAGTGATACGGGAATGGTCAATTGAATAGATGGACGGAGAAATGCAGACTTGGTCGTTTTATATGAAATGGGCTTCGTGTATTTATGCGCCTCGGCCGAAGCGTGTAACGAACAATAGTGGCATTTACTTGGATCCTACAGTCGTCTAGCATGGATACATTCGCTTTCAAGGTATTCCCCGTGTTGCGCCGCCGGCGATATGTATTCGTCCGCACGACTATACTCTCCCATCTCCACAGGCGCCTTGTCTTTTATCCCGCGCGTTGTTACTCGTTGAGCTATTGAGACACGGTCGATAGTTAGGCCAGGTTCCTGAGCAACGCAGGACGGATGAGGCTATCATGAGTGTAAGCCGTCTGCATAGTGGCGGTTCACTGCTAGGCTCCTTTTGGCATGCGGATCTGTAAGCATGTGGTGAGTGAATGATTGGTCGGCCGGTTGGTTCGTCCGAGTTTCATCTAGACTGAAAGATGAGCTTGAGGAATGTGATGACGACATAAATGAAGCAAAGGGAAAGGTGCTGCCACCATGCCGGTTCGAGTGGTGGGGATGTAAGCTGATGGCACTTGAAGAATTGCCGCTTTGGGGTTGGCGGGGATGCAGTCAGCCTTTCCGCATCGTGCTCCTTTGAATGGGATCAAGCTCATAGTTTTGTTGCCAGGCAGGCCACCGCTCCGTTGGCGAGGCCCTCTCCCACGGTAATGGGTAAAAGATTGAAACCCGTAATGGCTTAGTCACTGCAGTGTAATTTCTGCAGCCATGTTGGAGACAAAGTCCACATCATGGATGGACGGAGTGGACAAACTCACTGGCACGACGGCGCAACCAATGAAAATATCCAGCAGGCACAGGAACCCGAAATTGGGCATCAGCGACAGCGTTAGACGCAAAGCATGCTGTCTCCGTCCCGTCTGATGCTCGGAGTACCACGCGCAGGGTACTGTGTCCACGCCGAGGTTTTCGCTTTCGGGGATCAAAAGCTCTTTTCGGGGTCCGAAATCGATGGTAGGATGGGGGGCTTGGGGGCCGAACGGCGTCGTGGATTGCGCCGAGACCGGGGCTCAAACGGATCCCCGAACCGAGGGACACGGGATGGGACGGGAATAAAAACGCCGCGGATTTGCCGTTTTCTTTCCATTTCCCTTTGTTATTTCTTCTGCCAGCGGCTAGCCCCACGGCTGCCTGTTCTGCCCAGGTGAATCATGCGGGTTTCCCGGGAGATGGCCATTTCCATCAGAGGAAGTCAAAATCAACTGGGGACCGTGCCGTGGCCCGTCCAGCTCCGTTTATTGGGGTGGGTATCTGTCGTTTGGTGCCGTTTTGAGTAAGGAGAACGAGAAAAGTCAAGGGCCTTGGACTGGACAGCCCACCGCGGGGAGACGAGATTATAACGCAGTGAAACCCAGCCCCTCGGGTCCGCGCAATGTGAATTTCCCTTGTTTCACGTTGAGCAGCGGTTCTTTGGACGGGAGATGCACAGTCGGTCCGTCTAGCCTTAGTGATGGCTGCGACGCAACGACCAGCGGGGAGATTGCAGATGTTGACATGTGGGACTCTGGTGACGGACGATGATTCTATCAGAAGACTGACCATTCTCTTCCATGAAATTTACTCATGTAAATGACGCAGGCGGAGATGCTCCGGGTTTACGGATACCTTTCTACCTATATGCATGTACGTGATCCAATCTGTCCCATTGGCTGCAATCAGCAATGTCTTGACCGGGGCACGGAACCGTGGGAGGAACTGCGAATATTGCCCGGGGGTGACTGTGCATATTTTGACATTTGACATTTGATATTTGTTTGCTCATTGCTAAGCATTGCACATGATCTAATGACACCGGGCCAAGCTCCAGGCCAAGCTCCGGGTGACAAACAGTTATCTTGTGACTGGTCACTTTCCGGCCGCAACCAGCACTTGGGTGCGCCGGTGACCGGTCTCCTCTTCCTCCTCCACCAGCTTCCAGATACGTCCAATGTGGACAGATGTTCCTTGACTCTAGACCCAGTTCGCAAGAAAAAAGGGCGGCAGCAGTGCCGTCGCGAATACGGATCTGTTCTCTGTTGTTGCCTTTGCCTTTCCATGGCGCCCGCCATCACATCCGAATGGCGCAATCTAGTTGAGATTGCACAACAGTAGATGGCAGGGTAAGACGAGGAAGAGACGAGATGAGATGCCGCAACCTGAAGCAAAGCCTCGATGAGATTGAAAGCCAACCGTAATCGGAAACTCTGAGATTTAGGTTGCGTCAAGTGGTTGATGTTGTCCTGATGGCGATGGATGGCAGTACCAACACTGCACCAGACAATAATCCAAGTCCAAGCCCAAGCCCAAGGACCAAGCAGCCCAGCCCGTTTGGATTCCCCTTTGGTTTCCTCCTCCCTCTTGGCTTGCTCGGGGGTTCTTCCCTGAGCCCCCATCTCTGCCTCTGGGCGCAAACGCAACGGTGGTGCAGGCAGTCCCCTGGGCTCCGTTCAGGGTCTCGTGGTCTGTCCCCTCCCCGGTCCCCTCGTCATGCTCCCCCACATCGGGCCGGTAATCAAAATCGAACTTGGTCTGGAACTCCTGTCAGCCGATGTTCCCATGTAAGGCCAGAGTCTCTTTCTTTCTTGCATTGCCTACGGGCGGATATTCCTTGCGAGGCCGAAAAAGAAAAAGAAAAATAAAGAGTTGCCGTAATGCAAAATAGAGAGAGAAAAAAAAAAGTGTCTTGGTTTGCATGTGTATTTGTGACTGTTGCAATTGGACTAACCTTTGCATGCCGTTGTGGATTTCCCGATCGAACTTCCACACCACCCTGGCCCAAATGTTCTCCAATCAGGGCCCCCCTTTGAAAATCGGAATCGCGGATAATCCGTCTTGAATCTTGATTGCGACTGTCTCATCTAAGGTGGTTTGTACTCTTATTTTCTCCCGTGGTATCCCACTGGGGCCGATTGCCGAACTCGAATGCAACCCTTGATCAGAAACCCGGAGATTGGCAATGAGCCTGGTAACGAGGGGGCCACTTGATCGAGTGGGAAGTGAAAAACAAGAGTCGTAGGGTGATGGGCCGGCGAGCCTGGCGTTCGAAGGAAGGGGGGGGGGAGAGGAGGAGGAGGGTTGCAGCTGGAGTGGTGACGAAGCAGACGGCCGCGTAACGCGTCCCTCTATCCGCGTCACCTCACCTCATCTCGATTTAATTGCCTTCTCATCCGTGTTCCCGACTTCCACGTCTCGTCCCCTTGCGGTATATCCTTTTCGGGGGCTCTGCATTTCCACCTGCGACAACTGATGGCCAGCGTTGCCGGCCGGCCCACCCGGGGGAAAAAGCAGGGCGGGGCGGTGCGGGCGGACGGAGCGAACAACTTGGACGGGCTTGGTTCATCTGCGGCTCATCTGCGGGCATCGACGAACCGAACACCCCTTGCTTGCTTGCGTGGTGGGTGGTGGATGCGCGGATATACGGGATAGGGGGGGGAGCGCGTGAGAAGAACGATGCTTTTTTGCGTGATTGATCGCTCGATGGAGATAAGGTGAGATGGGTGGAAGAGCCCATGTATGGGTAAGATGGATGACTGCCCTGGAAAGTTGGATGGGGTGGGGTGGTCTAGGATGGCCTAGACTTGTAGATCTCTGAGAGGAGTGGCAAGGGGGGGGAGGGGTGGTAACTGTTCGAGGAGGGTGGAGGATGGATCGCTGAAGGATTCGTCCCGGGGCGGTCGGGCGGGAATTGGAGGACGGATGGGAGGGTAGGGTCGGGTAGGGGTTGGAGTAGACAAGGAGAATAGGTTCGATGGGGTGAGAAGACAGTCCCGCTCTCTGATGTCTGGAGGGGAATATGTGGATGTTGAAAAGAGAGAGAGCCACGGGGAGAGGTAGACACGGGATGATCCCTCTCAAGTCGGTTCAGAAAGCTGTCAAATCCCGGCCGGCGGCAGGATGCAGGACGAAATGTGTGTGAAGTCGGGAAACGGAATCGGGGGAGGGAGGAGGGTTTGAGTCGCGAATGAGCCCATGGTCCCGTCCCATAAACCCACGGTCCACACAAAAGAAGAGTCCAGTCAAGTCCAGTCCAGTCCAGCCGGGAGCCCGAGCCCAAGAAACCAAGGCAAGCTCATAAGAGAGAAGGGGGGAGGAGAAGGAGAGGAAAAAAAAGAGTTTTGTTCCAAGTTCTCAGTGCCAGGAAAACTGGATCTCGTGGCCCCTGACTCGGATATCTGCGGCCTGGAGCAGGGCGAGTGCGTCGGCGGCCGTGGTCTTGTGGAAGTAGATGACAAACATGTAGCCCTCGCCGCTCTCGCTGGCGGCCATTGTACTTGAAAGGCGTGTAGTGGCCGTGTTGACGCGGTCCGAGAAGAGGTGCTTTTCCTGCGCGGTCATGGACGGCGGGAACCCGGATGCGCGGATGCCCATGAAATTTGACGACGCTCGGGGTCGGAGGGGTCCACTCGGGGAACCCATGGTGGCGATCGCTGGAGAAGCCGTGGTGAAGGTTTTGGGGGGGTTATTTGGGGTTGACCGGTCTGCTGTTACTCGATGATGCTGTTGTCGTCGAGTCGGAGGCTGTTTTCGTTATGAATGATGATGATGTTTTTGCTGTTGCTGTTCCTATTGCTGTTGTCGTCGTCGTTTGGTTTCGGGGGGTTTTATCGACACCAGGTTACTAATAGTCAAGTAGGATGTTCCCGTTTCTGCTGGCGAGGTTTGCGATCTTCAAAAGAATCCCTTCCAGCTTCTCTGGCTAGTGGGCAAAGGATCGTTTAAAAATCTTTGGCGTCGGTACAGAAGACGGAATGACGAAAGCTTCTTTGTCTGGGAGTGGAAATACAGAAGGTACCGTCTAAAGGAGGTGGAAGGGCGGTTTGGTATTGGACGGTGGTGATGGTGTTGGTGATGGTGTTGGTGTTGGTGTTGGTGTTGGTGGTGGTGGTGGTGGTGGTGGTGATGGTGACGAAATCGCAGAAGAAAGGAGAGGCAAGATTGAATGGGATAAGGAGAGGATGCAGCGCAGTCAACTAAATGTTCCAGACAAGCAGATGCGCAGCAAAGGGTTAACAAGGGCAGAAAAAAGAGAGCAAAGCAGCGGCGACAGTGGAGGGGGACTTGAAAGGGTCTTTATCATCTTACGCCTCACGGCATCCACGGGAGGGGGGAAGGGTCCTGGAAGGGGCAGCGAACAAATAATACACGGTCGCCTGTAGTTACACAGCAGCATCCGTCCCATCCAATCCATCCCATCGCCCATCGAGACCCTCGTCGCCCTTCCTCATCACACATGTGTACTACGCAATAGGTAGGTAAAGGTACTGCGGATATCTACAAGGACACAGGTACCTGACTCTGCAAGGTTACGTGGTAATGTACATATTACTCCATGGCTTCCTACAACTCTGCCTTGACCGTCTTCCACGACTCACTATGGCCTGGGAGAGAGATTTGGGGAGGGGCGCATGGCTGGACCGAGGGCTGTGGATATCTCACGTCCCTTAACTGTGGGCTCGCTCAAACTGTGGCACCGGTTTTGCTCTCTACCTCTCTCGCCCGCTTTCTCTCTCTCTCTCTTTCTCCGTCTCTCTCTCTGCTACGGGCTGCAGCTCTCTACCTTTGGTGTGTCTCCAGTCACTTCGCTTGCTGGGCTGTGGAGTAAAATGGGCAAGGAACAAAGAGGCCCAGCGCCATAAAAGGGTACGGATACACGGAGAGGGGAAAGGCTCCAGGGCGGTTCCAGGTCCAGAATTTGTGTATCGTTCAACTTTCCCCCCTAGTCTCTGCCCAAACTTGGGTGCCTGAGTGTGCTCCAGCCAGCGAGCACCTAGGTAGGCCACAGAATTCTAGAACTTGCGCTATGAGGCTGCGCATAATGACTAAGGCTACCTTAATTGAGGAGGACCCCCGCGGGGGACATCTTCGCTGAAGTCCGTTGCGTCCGCTGTCTGAAAGAACGAGTGCCGTCGCGGCATCATCCAGGGGGCGAGGATTGGGCCAGGCTCTCCTTTCTTTCCTCTCGATAGTGTTTGAGCATTTTAAGCTTTCTTTCTCTGGCTATGGCTCTGGCTCCGAACTTTTGACTCCATGCTTCTTGTTGCCAGGCTGGAACGCATTTTTGCTTTGCCAATCCATTTCCCGTTGGCCAGGGCTGTCCAGGGCGTCTAGGATGCCACCACTATTAATAGGATTCTAGAACAAATTGACGGCGTTTCAGAAACACGAGCCACTCTATTGTCGTACGAATTCAGTTCACCACCAGCAATCAATCTTTTGATAACCTCTCTTTTGTGTGTGTACAGAGTACGGATACGTGGTAAATGTATGGTCACTGTTGCGTTTGGAAGGTTACCACAATGTTACATATTGAATATTGGGTGATTTTGGCTCAAGTTCGAGGGGCTTGTTTAACCCCTACAAGGCCGCATTTTCCTTCATTTTGAGTTGGCCCTTGAGCATGCCGCCTGGAACCTTGGGCAGAAACGGCCCCCAAGTTGCCTCTATTTCTGCTCCCTTTGTTCTCCATTCAGCCCTTTTGGCCGCGATATGCGTTGGAGGTTATTCTACTCGTCTTGAAGGTTCCCATTGTTCTGCATCTTCGGTAAGATGGAACTGCCGTTTACCAAGAAATACAACTTGTCGGTACTGGTTTCGGAAGCCCGCCTCGTTCACATGTCGAAAGTAAGGCATCTACATATGAGATTATGAAGGAGAAGGGCAAAAAAAAGACACCTGCAGACTGTCATTTGAACTCAGCAGCTCCAATTGGACGCAATCGATCGAAATCCCTCGTTGCTAATACGAGCTGTCCCGGCGATCATTGCCCTTCACTCTCGGCTGGCCTGTGACCTACTGCAGACTGGCAGCAAGCCATAATTAAAAGGCCACACGCGCGCCGTCCCAATTCCTCGTGTAAGCTCATCCTCGAGTGGATCTGCGCATCTCCATTCGCAGAAAAACCGCCTATTCCTGAAAGAAGGCTATTCCCGTTCCATGTTCATGTACATTACCTGCGTTGATGCCTAGATGCAAAGCTGCACTCTAATTTTTGAAGCTTCTTCCGCAGCTGCCCGCTGGTCATCAAGCCTAATGCCAACCAGCTCACGATATTATTTCCGTTGCGTTTCGGCAGCCGTCTATCGGGAACCGACATCTGACGGGAGCACGAGAGGCCGAACTCGCCCTTACCGTGAACCTGCCGTCATAAGATCAAGGGTACTGTACATATAGCCACGCGGGCCATGGGTTAGGCAAAGCGCACATCAGACTGGTCCGGCCATCTCCATTTCTTCATGTCTCCAGTGAGCGATTTTTACCAGCCTTTTGGTAAGGCGGCAGACCAATCTACGACAGGAGCAAACTGTGGGCACTCTCCCGCGCGAAGGGGGAAATCGTTGCCCGAATAGACAGGTCTCCCGAACTTCAGATCAACGGCTTCTGGCCTGATCACACGTGTCGCCTTGCTCATCACTTGTCTCAAAACCCAAGGCTGTCATTTGAAGGCGGAAGCTATCTCACGGCTATCAACGTTAGTGCGACTGCCTCCATGTTCTTGTCACTCTATTCCCTGAACCCCCCTTTGCGCAGTCACGTAGTGTGGTACAACTTGACAGTTCCACCGTCGGAGGAAGCGGGTGGATTAGAGGAGACGGTATAGGTCTTCGTCGGATATTCGGTGCGACAATGCAAACGCGGGACAAACCGAATCGTACAAGTCACATCAGCTTCAACAGTACAGCCTGCGCTGGCGCTGAGTTGCGCGCACACGAGGGAGAGCGAGTGAGCGCGCATAATCCGCGGCGGCTGAACGAGGGGCCTGGGTTTTGATCACGACTAATGTAACCTTGTAAGCGACTTAGACGCCGCCGACCGACCGTGCTAGGTTCTGTGTCGCAATGTCGACATCGTGCAGCGTATCCCGTGGTGTACCGTGTGGCCCTTGAGTCTGGTCCGGGGGATTCACAGTTTCGAACAGGCGGCACAAAAAAGAAGACAGAAGCACAGATCAGGAGGTGAGCTTGCGATGAGGGGGGAGGAAAGGGGAAGTTCCCACGGTCCACGATAGCTGCTCAGAATAGGAGATTTCGGTTTCAAGTTGAGTCTAGGTGGTGGCACGGCGGCGGCGGCCGGGGGTAGCTGGCCCTTGGGTCCTTGGATCCTTTGACGATTTCCTCACCTCTTTTCTCGACTCGCCGATTCGGACCCAGCTCCGGACCCTTTCCCACTGCATGCCTACCTCAGCTAGGCACGAACACCTACCCGTACCTTTGATTTGCTCATCTACCCATATCACGGTGCTCTGTGCTCTGCAGCTCACTCGATGGCATGGAGGCCTTGCCCGAGTTCCATCTGGTGACGAACGGACTATCACAATGGAACCCGGCCACTACAAGCTAAGCAAGCGAGCCGAAGCTTATTTCACTCGAACATCTCCCACCAAATTGAGTGTATTTCCCACAAACGTTGCGTGATGTGCACAACTGCCGGAGCTCTTATCCGTCACCCTCGTGATGGATGGAGCCCCAGTGTGGCCCGCCCTTCAGGTTCAGGTGTTTGTGCTACCTAGATCGAGACGACTGGACGCATAGCGGTAATACACATGGCAGTGTGGACAAAAAAAAAAAGTTCCTCCCAAACCCTTGAGATGGTATTTTTGGGAATGCTACCCTACCTAGTACATGTACCCTACCTACAAAATACCCCCACTCACTAATCACTTTGTAGTTTGTACGCGACAGCTATTTTGGCAACTGTTTGCCCGACGGGAGATGAACTTGACCGCGTCAATGTGACACCTTTCAGGGAACCTTTCGGGGTCCTCTTTGTCTCGAAACCGTCGTTTTGATTTCCCATTGACGAGCCACAGGAACAAGAACAGTCCCACTCCCACGTGAACCCGACGAGACGTTCCTGCGCATCTTCAAAGGATGTTTTCCCGCGGTCATGCGGCCGTGTGTTGTTGCCCCGTTTTGTTTTGGACCACCACCACCAACACCAGGCCCCTTCCCGGGCACGCTGACTCCGCCTCCGGGGTCTCGCGGTTTGGCCGTTGGCCCGTTACCATTGCTGCTCCAGCCCCCATGTAGCCCGGTCGATCCTCTGCCTTACGAAAATGCGTGATCAAGCGACCGGAGTCCGCAGAAAGCTTCAGGATTTGAGGCACTACTAAACACCAACGCCGGTGCTCGTCCTTACCGTGTCACGCTCAGCGACAATGGTGTTTCTTAAACCCTGGAAGACGCTCCTAGATGCGCAACACAGAACGACACAAACCCCCCGGGCTATGAATGACAATCATCCGCGACGCGTGTCTCTTTCCACATATTCCTCCATGTCCCTAGTCGCAACGTGAACAAGCGTCCTTAGTTGCCGTTGCCATATTGGATGCCTAGTGGGACTAACGGCTAGGTATGATGCTGCGCCCTGGCTGGACTTGCCGTGCAGGCTCGTGTATGAAGACATGGTGCCCCTTGCTCGAGGGTCCTGGGTGTCGGGCCCGAAAAAAACAAATACGGAAAACAGTCATTGTGCAATACGCCGAACTCCAATCTCTTTCTGGAAGGCCACTACGGCAGCTCCGAGGCTGATGGAAATTGCTGCCCGTGGTAAGGCCAAGCACATTGCGCGTATTGTGCGAACAGACCGCGAAGCACAAGGGTATGTTTGAATATTGTTTTTGCCAAAATGTTTCCGAGAGACGTGGCATTTTGGTACTGGAGAGTCGGCCCGAAAGACGGCCTCTTCGTCGAATATCTCGCCCAAAGGATGGATTGATCTGTGAATGAGATGTGACGAATAGGGACGTCAATGAAGAAATGCGTATTTAAGAGTGCGATTAGCTATTCAAGGATGATTTTCCCGGTGCTGGGATGTTGACTCGATCCAGCTCCGCTTGTGAGGTTCACATGCGTCTGATGCATCGACGACTGGCCGTCGAAGCGCTTGACTTCTGCAGCAATCACTGGTTACCGCGTGTGGCATGCCCTGATTAGAGGCCTCCAGACTTGCGATGCTTCTGGTTGGGCAACTTTTGGGTTGGTGGGATCTAAACCTGGATACGAACCTCCACAGTCATTGCTGGCTTTGATATGCTTTCTTCTCGTGAAAGAGACTGGATTGCTACTAACAACAGCCTCTCCAGGCTATTCTAGAACACTATTGGCAGGGATTGACCAAGTTGGTTGCCGTGAGGGTGGGTGATATCGTTGAAAAGCATTTGTCCTTTCATCTCTTACATGTAGCGACTATCGACCCAAACCGTCTGGTACCAGTCGATTCTCCTTGATACCCTGCTTGTTGGCAAAGCACCACCAAACAATTGCAGATGCCGAGCACGCCTTAGACGATACTTGTACCCCGAGGTATCACATGGTGACGTGTGAGTACTCAAGCCTAGTAGGAGTAGTTCCTCCGGATTTTACAATGAAGCGGTAGGCGTTGTTGGCGTATGCAGTCGATAAGAGCATTTCCGCCCATTCGGTTTTCTGGGATTATAATCATGCAGAAGAAGAGCGGTCTGAACTATGGAGAGGGGTAATTCGGGGAATAAAGCAGATTCCATCTTCATATCTGTAAAGCTAATCGCGACAGCAGCATGAGCTAGACACTTGCAAGTACGGCACGGCACAGCTAAATCCATCATTTCATCTTGGCGAGTGGTAAGCATGAACCGCCAGAGAGCGATGTGACGAGGTGAGACGTTGAAAAAAAAAAGTGTGCATCTAACCAGTGTAATTGAGGCTATGTAGCTTCCCGGTTCCATAGACTGAGCCAGTTTCGCAGAAAACACTCAAGGAGGCCCATGAAATCTTTGATGGAGTTCAATATCAAGACAAATAACAGTGGGATGACTCCATTAAACATACCTGAACACGCATGGACACACAGATCCAGTGTACTAACTATCGTTATCCATAAGTATTGTCATGTATCTCACGCATCCGAAAAGATGTATGTCACTAGTAATCAGGAATCAAAGTTCCCAAATATCCTGCGGAAATAGCTGACGATAACACATCTTGATCTACGCAATGCCAAGTCACGGGCTGCCCCAAAACACAACGTGGAGCTCAAGTTAGGTAAGAATATCCAATATATGACTGTATTTTATACCGACGCATAGTGCCGTAGAGTCCAGAACGGGGTGAGGGCATAATCTTTAATTGTTAAATGAAACTTTGATTTCCAGGCAGAGTGTAAAAACCATTTCAATATTGTTCAAATTTCTGAAAAAAAGAGTAAACGATACCTCAATTAGGATATCAGGACTTCGTTCATATCCAATACATCTGTATTCCTAAAGATATCGGCTCCGGGCACTGTGTCACGAGGCCTCCTGATGGCCAAGAAGTTCCGATAATTGGACTGATTCCTGGCTATGCTCTTGCGGCCCTGGGCCCCAAAAATCTTACCAATATCACAGGCCTTTCGTCACATATTCCTACCTCAACAGACAACTGGATGACAGCCTTCTGAATGCTATGTGATCTTAAACCTGTTTGTAATGATTTCCAAAGTTGCAGTCACTGCGACGCATGGAAATGATAGTATATCTGTGGATTGGTCTCACATGGCCTCGTTCTGATCTCAACCGTCAGTCGTGGCCCACCAAGCCAGCCCAATTCTGACGGTCCTTAGTTGCTCTTCTCATCAAGCTCGTCAAGCCTTGTTGGCTAAGTGGTATAGCGTCTCACTAGTATTAGTGACATGAGAAGATCGGCGGTTCGATTCCGCCACGAGGCAATTCGTGATCAGGACCAAAGTCTACGATACTTTTGTTTTATTGGCAGACCAGTAAGGTTGTCTACCGCTTGGACCCCTTCGCTGTAAGCCAGCTATCCATCTGTGTTTGTGTGTGTGTATGCTGGCTGATTGCAATTAATTGTTTTGTTAAAAGAGAAAGCTGATTGAGTTGAGTAGGGCTGGCTGGTGCAAGTCCGATGAGGTTCAGTGAGATTCCAAGACTATGTTGTCAGTGGTACGTAACGTTCAGTCTGTGAAGCGATAACAAGCGCAGTTCGTAGTCAAATGCCAAAATTATGAGTGTGGGTGGAGACGGTGGATGACCTGCATCGGCCGTCACCTCATCGTCGGAGTCTCCTGCCTCAAGCAGCTTCAACGTCGGGCTTTACGTAAGGAATCTGGCGGGGTTCATCCGGATGATGGCATCGGGAAGCCTCAAGCACTATGGTTAAAGACCTTCGGTGTGCTTCAACTCAAAGTCTCTGCGGTCCAATCTCACATTGTACCACAGAGTGCCACTGTATTTACTTTTCTCTTTTCCCGTATACAACTGACTCGTTGTTCAAGGTTACGCAGTGTCAGCCGCTGACATGGATCCCGTACAACGTCTCAAAGATCGGAAGCCGATCCCGAAGCCCGTCCCGGCTTATCTACCGACTGCCGGCTCGGTGCTCACGGTCGACAAGGAATTGTACGAATCCGCTCAGCAGACGCAGCGAGTTTTGATCGAAGAGTTTACGCTGCCGATTCGGTCCGGAAGAGCATGGAAAGCGCCGGCCGGGTCAATCGTGAGAATCAGCACACCGGAGGGTCCTCAAGTCGGTACGGCCCCTGTCTTCCCTCGAGACCGGGGAATAAAGTCTGGAGCTCATCCCAACCACAGGTGACTTGAACATTTGGAACGCGCACAACCCCCGCGAACGCTTCTGGGCGAGTCGCACGAAGCAACTCCACGCCAGCCACGTGTCGACGGGCGACCGGCTCTGGTCCAACCTGCCTTACATGCGACCCCTGGCCACCATCATCAAGGACTCTCTGGACTGGTACGGAGAGGACGAGCACGGCGGACGCGTGCACGACCTCCTCGGCACGCGCTGCGACCCGTACATTAACACGGTTCTGAGCGGCGGTAACTACAACTTTCAGTGCCATTCGAACTTGACGCGCGCCGTGCTGCCGTACGGGCTGAACGAGCAGGACGTCCATGATGTGATTAATATTTTCCAAGTTACGGGGTTGGACGAGCAGGGACGGTACTTTATGAACCCCTGCCCGGCGCAGCCTGGGGATCACATTGAGTTTTTGGCTGAGCAGGATCTTTTGATGGCTTTGAGTGAGTCTTGTCCCTTCTGCTAACGAGTTTGTTTTCTTCTCTTCAAAAGCCTGGGCCTCGGTAGACCCGACTCCGGCTGATAACGTCTCCCTACAGCGGTGGACACTCGACTGACTGGTATCATAGGTACTTGCCCTGGTGGTGACCTCTCACTTTGGGGCTTCGGCGAGGACAGCGAGGAGGAGATGATCAAATGCTGTCGTCCGCTAAAGGTGGAGGTATTCCGCCTGGAGGACGAGGGCTTTTTGCAGCGCGGTGGTTGGAAGCCAGCCAAGGTTTCAAAGTATAACGGACGTCACGGTATGAATGTTCCTTTGGGAGAAGTCCGCAACTGATGCTGGTGACTGGAATAAATAAACCGTTTAAGGCGCCTGTCTATTGATGAGTGCATTGGAAGAACTGGATTGTGAGAACTGGAATAAGGCACATGGGTGGAGTGAGAAGAAGACACCAGATACATGTATGAACAAGAACCTTTATCAAAGCCAATGCCACATGACGGATCAGTTAAACATATCAGATTAAATTATCAAGCTCTACCAGAAAAACTGCACTGGCCGGCAAATCTACTGCATGTATGCCTCTCACTTTGCAGCCTGGTGATCTTTCATTTCGCCTGCCCAGGTGGGATCGCCGTTGAGCCGAAGGTCGAGTCGATCGAACTCAGCGTCGGCCACTAAGTTTTGGCCAGTCCCCCCTCCCCAAATTGATAATCCTTGCCTTGATGAGAGACCAGTATAAATACCCGCGTTTAGGATAGCATCGGAACCAAGCCGCCCAACCCTGCGTGCGCCAAGGCCAACGCATCGTAAGCCACTCACTTGGAGACTTGAGGCCTGCCAAAGGAATCATCTGTTTAAAGACCGAATCACTGAGCGTGGCGTCGAAGATTTGGGAGAGATCTAAGCCAGACGTCTAAAAAACGTTTGAGCAAGGCTTTGTGGTCCTCCCCTTAACCTGCGCGTAAAGTATTGGTAAAATCACTGCGACAAACACGATGAGGTCGTTTTGAGTACTGGGTATCTTCAAGGAATCATATTATGAAGACAGAGCATCGACGTTGGACGGTTGGAGGCATCTAACTGACACGGAAACCTAGTGTGCGTACAAACCATTGGACATCTTCCGGCAACGAAACTCCCTTACTCGTCTTCTGAAGACGAGCTACACATAAATGCCAACTTCTTCCTCAAAGTACCTAGTGTGGTCCACTTCACTCTTGCTATCTTCTGAATTTCCGTGCTTGGTGATCTTCATCTGCTCTGCCCTGTAGAATTTACAGCTCCTGTGGTTGCGTCCTTGATGTTCCGGGCAGAGAAGAACTGTATAACTTCAGGGAAGTCTTAAACTTCTTTGGAGTTGGAGCAGAGGAGTCAACGAGGTCCTTGCCCTTCTCTCTCTTTGATGACGTGTACCCGAATCTTGTGATGGGTAGGGTTCGGAGACTCGTCCTCCCCCCAAAGCTCTTCCATGGCGCTGAGAACCTCGGTGTAGTCGTGTTTTGTAACGGAGAGAGTCAAGTCCTCGAGGTTCCCATGATCCTTTTCTTTCACGGCCTCGGCAATCCAACTAATCTGGTGCAGACTTGAAGTAGCCCGTTTCAGGAGCTCTAGTCTCTGAAGAGAGCGAGGTAGCGTAGCGATGAATCCCTTCGAGACTGAGCTGTCCTGGTCGTTCTTGACAAAATCTTTTGGGTCCACCGAAAGCCATTTGAGTTTCTTGAACATCTCAAAAGTGCCGAACATGTCCTCCCTCGCAGTAGAACCACAATACATGAAATCGAGGAACAAGACTTCCAAAGTACCGGCATGCTGCTCAAGCGCCCGACGAATCTCGAGAGGGGGAACGAACTTCTGAAGATACGCCCAAGGGAATTTCGCGCGGTAATGGAAGGAACGAAGAGCGTGAAAAGGACTTGATAGATAGGCGACATCATCCGGGGGAGAGACGATGAGAGAACAACCATCCCAAATGGACAAATGCTTGATGTTGTTGAGCTTGTTGAATGACTCCGGCGAAAAAATCATTCGTCCACAGCCTTCGAATTCTTGGAGATTCGGGGCCACATTAGCGATCAAGTCAAGGCAGAAGAGAAGATGAGTTGATCTCTTGTATCCCTCCCTTCTCAAACCAAGGTAAATCAAGTTTTCGAACACGAAGGATGGCGATTTGGGGAGGAAAAGTAGTAGACAGGCCAACCAAAAATCGTCATCCCACTCGTCATCTGTACTGACTTCGTCCTCATCTTCGTCTCCGACTTCATCTTCAATCTCCGTTGTGTCGTCGTCTGTATCTTCGTCCGAGACTTGCTCTAAGATATCTTCAGCGTCTTCATCTTCGCCCGCGTCTTGGTCGTCTGTGTCTTCTTCGACTGTATCTTCTTCGACTGCATCTTCTCCGCCTCCGACATCTTCATCTGTTACTTCTTCGCTTGTGTCTTCGCCTGTGTCTTCGCCTGTGTCTTCGCCTGTGTCTTCGCCTGTGTCTTCGTCTGTGTCTTCGCCCGCGTCTGGTTCTTCGCCTGGGACTCTTCCAAAATCATTACAGTCATATGCGCGAATCATCAATTCCTTCGTGGCTCGAAGCTGATAAAGGAGAAGTGAAAGCAGTCCAGTTTCGTACAGTCGAGCATTAGTTGTGCGTGAAAATAGCGTAGCAGCGAGATATGATTGGCCAACAACCTTCGCCAAATGAGCGAGATCGTAGACATCTTCCAGGGTCAGCTCATCGGGAGGAATGAAGGGTTCACAGAAGTCCACCTTGACCTTTTCCACTCTGGAACGGAGGTCTTCGCGATGGGCAAGGGTTTCGATCAACGATAGGATGCTGAGGCTGACTGGACCCCGGATAGCGATGTAGATCTTGCGATATAGAAGAGGCTGGGCCGCGTATTGGAAGGTCTTCGAGACCCTGGAGAGAGCGGCGAGTGTGCTTTGGTTGGAGCTCCATTCGTCATCCCAGCACAGATCAGTGTCATCCTGGAGGCATGCCGCAATGTCGCATATGATCTCGAATGGAAGAAATGGAAGACTCGATATGGACGCCATGGCTGCGTTACAGAGTGAGGGAATGTTCCGGGGGGGGGGGGTCCGGAAGAACAGAATACAAAGGCCTCTTCGGTACTGTCAGCTTATGAGCTTTGGTGATTAAGATGGGGATCGTTCCCTTTGGCCTGGCCGAGAACAGGAATTCGAAGGGCGGTGTAAGACGCTCGGGTTTGTCTGTCCGTTTCGAAACAGTATGTCGGCGATGAAAGGATGTCTTCTCTGTGGGTGGTCTGTGGTGTTGGTGAAAGATTCAGAAATTGATGACGATTGTTCGAAGAAAAGTTTGTCAAAGATGAGGACCGAGGGCAAAAGGATGGAAAAAGGAAGGAGCTCGACAGCTCACCGTAAGAGGAAGGGGCAAGGGGCGAGATGACTGAGTGCCTTCCTCTACCGCGCTTTCCACCATCGCACTTTCCTCGAGTTCCTTCTCGAGTTCCTGCCCACGAGAGCGAGCAAGAAGGAGCCAAATTTAACACTGCTGCTGATTTCGTCATAATTTTGATCCCCCGCAGTTTTAGATTGTCACGGTAGAAATCGCGCCTCGTAACCATGTCTTGATAAATATTCGGCCCAGTAATCTGTTTTCTCGGCATTACTAGTTGTTAGCAACTTTTCAGCTTCACGTCCCGAGTCTGTAGAGAACGACAGGTCCATTTAGCGGCACACTCTTTCCAGACTGTCACAACTAATCGGCCTGATAATGTATAGCTACCTACGTACTGAATCAACAAGAGAACAAACATTAGAACAAGTCGAAGAGAGCCATACAACGCCGGTCTATATCACGTTTCTTGACCAGTCCTCATCTGAATGGGCTAATTTGAGGCGGCGTTCGACGTGCGCTCATATTCACTTTAGACGAAAGAGCCAAGTAAGCCTTCAGAGGAATATCACCGCAAAAAATATCCACCTACCTTGGGAAGCTGCGTCAAATAGCCTGGTATCTAGTGTTGAGCTTCCAGCCACGCTGGACTAGCGAGACAATATACTGGCCCCCATGCTGAAGGCGGCTCTTGACCCTCTGAGCAAACTCCCAATGAAGCTTTTTGACACGGTATTTTCCTCGTACGTTACCTCGACGTTTTCGAGTGAGTCTAGCATTCTGTCTGTACATGTAAGCATTCGTCTTCTTCCGTCGTTGGAAGAGCGTTTCCTGCAGCAAACGGCAGAGTTTAGTGCCGGGGGTGAGCAATCTGGTGAGAAAGTATCTATCCATGATAGCCTTGTCTTTAGACAGACGCTTGTGAATGTTAGCTTGCTCGAGGTGCAGGTTGACGATATCATCATCGTCTTCAAAGCCTGCGCCGTTCTTGAATGCGCTGGGGTTCCTTGGGGGAGCTATTAGTTCATCGCCGCGGCGCTGGAAGATGCGCACTTGGTCTTCGCCATTGAATCGGACGCGTTTCTTCTCGACTCGGAAGAACGACCGCTTCGGCTTCCTTAGGCAGCTTTTGGAGGGTATTCCTGGTTGAGTTGGTTGTGGCATCTTGGATGGGATATTTTGAGGAATCAGTGTTGCCGTTTAGACCGCCCTTTACCTGCCTTAAGTAGCAGTAGATGCATTGCGGCATTCCCATCCCTATATTAGAACTGAAGAATCGAAATTGAACAAGGGCCGACTATACTACGCATTGTTCATTTGAACTGTAAAAAAACAACCCCTGTGCCTTAATTTCGAGAAACAGGCTTTGTCTGCGTCTCAGGCCTTGAAGCAGGTCTCCCGACCACTGGGCACACACTCACTCTGTTAAGGAGTTACACGAGATTGGCCGCAATTAATTAAAGACGGAGGGCAACCAACTTGGAATCATGGAACATGGAGCTAGGTGAGATTGAACAACCTCAGATGAATACAGGAAATGTGGGGTGATCATTTCGCCGCCGAGATGCCTGTATCTGAGTAAACGGCATCCGGTCAAGAGAAGGTCAATCCTCCCTACATGTACCTACCTTAAGGTCTGGTCGGGGCGATTTACCCCGCTACTACGGCCGCTACCCCGCCATCCGGCCATGAAGGCCCCGGTGCCGCCGCGATGCCAGCGGCAATCTCTCACTTTCAACTCAACGACTCACCTTCCACCTCTGCTCATCAACCATGGCTTTCATCCGCCCCTACAAGGCTTCTGACTTTGATGCGACAGGTCATATCGTGCGTCCCAAATATCCTTATCTGAGCTTATCTTTGTCATGCAGCGGCTGACCATACAACCAGTGTCGCGCCACGCTACCGCCCTCACTCGAGCGCTCCGAAGCAGCAACTAGGACCGCGCCTTATCTATGGACACATCAATACACCCACCTTTCGCCCGAGACCTGCCACATCCTTGACGACGGCGAGGGAAACTGTGTCGGCTACTGCATCGGCTGCCCCAACGTGGACGACTTTGCCAAGGCGTACCCTCGATACGTCAAGGAAGTCCTCGAGACGTCCAAAGAGCTCGATGGTAGAAAGCCCAAGAGCCTCGAGGCAAAGGCCCCGTGGAACTTCTCAGACACGGGCGAAGTGAATGAGGAGGCTCTCCTGCAGCAGGCCTTCAACCCGACGTGGTTGGTCCTCGACGATGAAAGGAAGGATCTTTGGGGGAACTGGAAGGCCACGATGCATATTGACCTGCTGGAGCCGTGGCAGGGAAAAGGGTGGGGGAGGAAGCTGATTGACAAGTTCGTCGAGAGTTTGAAAGAGGCTGATCGGGGCAAGGGCGGCTCGAGCGGTTTCAGACTGTATGGTAAGGGCGTGCACATTGGTGTGGGAGGTGAGAACGATAAGGTCGTGCCGTTCTATGAAAAGCTAGGCTTCCGGGTATATCCTACGGAAGAGAAGGGCTCGATTTGGATGGTGAAGGACATTGACTAATCGTTTCCTTTTATCTCTTCGCTATGATGTTCAAAACAAAATTACCATTTACCAGTACTACTCATCTCTGATAATATCCAAAGTACCTGTGACAACTGACTGCTTCATTGAAGTGAAACATCCTAAGAAAAATCAAGTCTCCAAACGTCTCCGAGCCTCGAATTGTCTTCAGCAAGGCCTCCATGAACAATCACACCCTGTCTACTTCCATCAATCACCACATCTGCATCAAACCAACCCCTAGGCGGTGGGGCATCTCCCTCGAAGAAGACCTTCTCCCAGTTCCCATCCTCGATATCGAAAGCCCAAACGTCCGAGAGCATCTTTCCAGCACCAGCGTGGCCTAGCGAACTAGGATCACGCTCGCCGAATAGCGTCACAAGATGCGGCCTGCCGCTCACTTCAACGGCGACGAGTGCAGATACGCTTCGCGCCTCGGGGCCCTCAACACCATTCGCCTTGTATGAAATGGTAGACCAAGCCGCGGAAGCGGGATCGTAGACATCGAGAGAACCACCTTGTTCCGAAGTGCCGTCGAAGCCGTTGATGCGGTACAGCTTGGCTCCGGAGAAGGCGATGGAGGCGCCGCCCCGTGCTGGGGGAGGGGCTGCGGCGAGCTCTTCCCACCTCTTTGACTCGATGTTGAAGGACCACAGGTCGGAGAGGCGGCCCTTTTCTGGGCACCCTGCGTGGACGTAAATGGTTTTGTTGCCGTCTGAGGCGGTGCAGTGGTAGCTGCGTCCGGCTGGATGTGGTGCGGTTACGTCTGTTGGCTTGAGCAGGTCCCAGCGAGCTTGGGTTGGGGTGTATCGCCAGACACCACCGCTTTCCGCGACGGGCACCATGGCGATACCACCGCGGCCGGAGAAGAGGTAGAAGGCATCTTTCAAGGCTGTGCTAGGGGCTCCGACTCTTGGACTCGGGGCTCCTGTGTCGGTGGGAATGGTCTTGATGGAGGCCGAATCTGGTTGAAGAGTCGTGTTAGTAGTAGGATCTGGGTATGAATGGGTGTGAGAGCCTACCTTTGTCAGGAGAGAGTTCAATCACATCGACCTGTTTGTCTACGGGCTCTCGTGGGAGCAGTTCGCCGCCGAAAACGTAGGCTTGGTTGCCGACGACCGAGACTGCCTGTGATGAACGCCTGAGGCGGTCGTTCGATGCGAGCCGAGTCCAAGTAGCTGACACCTTTGTCATTTTGGCGTGATCTCAAGATGTTTGAAAGTTCGTTCGAATAATCAAGTAGAGGATGAAGCGTTTGGTTTCAATGTTTTTGTAGAGAGCCGCCGTACTTATAGCTTGATGTTCCCGGCCTTAGATCTGGCACCTCTCGATCTGACGAAGAGCTTCAACCAATACCACTGCCCAGCAAAACGCTCCACTGACCAACCATTTCAAGTATCACCACACGTCCCAGGTCCCCTAGAACGCGATCCTGAAGATGCAAGACATTCAAAGATTCGGGGGGCAGGGATGAAATGTGCTCATACCGGAGCCAGTTTCTTCTCCGTGACTTATGTCATCGGAGCTCATCTGTCATTTCTTCTCCGCTTAGTCAGTCCTAGCAGACCGATCCCGCCTACCTTGCCTGAGCTGAACCGTCCCTCTACCCTGAACGACGCGGAACAGGAGAGGCTCCGTGTATCTTAACGCCGAATTCGAATCAAACGACGATTTTAGACTCCTTGCCCCCACGATATCCTTTCCTCTTCTGCATATGATTACGGCTCTTAGCTTGACCACACACTGTTCAGCCGCATTTAACCCTGCGAAGAGGCCGTCTTCTAGGGGGATTCGTATGTAAACACGTGGTTCGACTCTCGAATGTCAAACTGCCGATAGCGAATTACCAAACTCTTGTTATAGAAGTTGTTCTATGCTATAATACAATCTTAGAACTAGATAGTGAAAATGATGTGAAAAGACAAAGGGACTAGGGAGGGGAACGCGAAAAGGTAAAAATAACCTGTTATCCATGCTATCAACAGGCTGTTTTTGATCGCTTTCCTAACGCCAAAACTTGAGCATTGTAATCCATGTGGCTGATAATCACACAAGTGTGCAAGCCGCGCTTCTGCGAAAATCTTCTGCGAATAAAATTGATATTGTGCTGGAAGGCGATCCGTGTCCAACTCATACCGAAATATCTGGTGTCCCTAGTGAATTACAAAGTAGATTTCTATCTGCATGTAATGCGTCTTTTCTAGCTTTGCATTAAGTTGGTGGCAAAAGGATACATCACGTTAGATCAAGGAAATATCTCATAATCACCTCGGGTGTATTTTGATCTGTAAAACCTACATATTCAAGTAATTCATGTTCATGGAGAATCCTAGCTTAAAACCACATATTGCCGAATCAAACTCGATAACCTGTTCTATTTGACCAATTCAGATCCTATATGCATCCTCCATGTAGCGAAGCGGGGTTTCCAACAATGATCACTTGGCTCTGAGAGCGGCACAACGAGCTGGAACGTGACCTGTCCCATTCCATTACAGAGAATTCTTAAAAAAAGACACATGTAAACAGACAATGAAACAGTTAGAATAAACCTCGATCCATGTATTTGATCTGTTATTTCGTCTTTGCCGCCAATCTGATTCGTGTATATGTCCATGTACTCACCACATGGTGTTTACATGTGTATTCATGTTTGTACGAACACATTCCAAGAGCCAACAAAAGAACAAAGTTCATCAAGCCATGCAGACAGCATGGTTGAAAACTGCTTTGAGGACCAGATTTCGTTTCCTGTACGGAGCGAAGCCAGATACCAACCCAGTGAGCGAATCTCTGCTCACCCCTCCACCGATAGCAACGCCCTTCTTACTGACTCCTACCTTCCTGAGGCTTCCGACAACTTTTCTATAATGGCCGAAGAACTGATGCGCTCTCACATCCTGTCCTGCGACTACTCCGTGCCCAAGAGTCACGCCCCAGGCGCCCGCGACGTTGATTGCATGCGCCTTGGAGTCCTGGTCTGGCTGAAGCAGAACCGAGTAGATGGAGCCAGTGTACCTAACAAGCCGATCCGCCACATTGGCCGGGAAGACCCACGTCTTGCCACTGTCGAGAGACAGAGGATGCCACGGCGTAACCACAAGTTCGCCGACGCGACACATAACATCCCTGCGCACCAGCGTCTTGAGAACAGCGACGACTCGGCGCGGACCAGAAGGAGTCTGCACTGCCACGCCTCTTCGAAGAGCCTTGATAGGAACTGTTCGACCCGATGCGAGACGCACTGGCGTCGAGTCGATGAAGCATACGCCAGAGGAGCTATTATAGGAGCTCATATGCACTGTTCCGTGGTGAGTAGCGCTGTGCTGGTTGGAGGGAGCGGGCGGGAGAAGGTTATCAAACGCGGCATCCAGCCGGTCTCTGCACGCGATGAAGAGAGGGCTGTAAGTTCCGTATTGAAGCGGCCCAGAGTCTTTGAAAGTGTTGCAGATCTGGCGGGTGTGGGCGTTCAAGTACGAGGGCAAGTAGTGAACACCCCATTTCATGTAGTATTTCCGGTTTGTCAGAGCTAAAGGGATTTGACCCTTTGGTTGAGCGCCTTCGAGATCCTCGATCAGGGATTTGTTGCTCGGATCCGTGGGAAAGCGCTTTGCTGGGAAGTTTTTGATGAGAACCTCGAGCTCTTGGACCTTTTCGGGTGAGATACTGCTCAATGCCATGTGCTCGCCGTCCCCACGGATGGGGATGATTGTGGAGATGAAAGAGCAAATTTCAGAGCGGGAGAGGTGGTAGGCAATCTCAGATTCCGGAAGAGTTGTCGGGTTATGGAGCGATTGTTCGGTGCTTTGCCTGTGTACGTTGCTCGTCATGCGTGAGTATTCTATAGATGCCTTGATCATTGCGTCATCAGAGGAGAGACCCGCGGGTGCCTTGACCCGGAGTAAAATGTCCCGTGACTGGCCGTATTGGAGGTTTCCAAGTGAGATCGAGAGCTGTTTTGGTTCACCATCCTCATCTGGAAGAGTAAGCACTTTCTGCTTAGCAACAGAATCACCCATGGTCTCCTCGATGTCGATCAATGAGGAGTAAGTAAGACGTACGGTAGCATTGATGGCGTATGTTGCTTGTAGGTTGGCGACAGCATGGACAAATACGGTTCCCTAGTCACAACTTGAGTCATTGTAAGTAGGACCCGATTGCGGATGAACTTACAATCATGCTCGCATCTGGGATGAAGGCGTAGTTCCCACCTCCTATTTCGGCAATTGACTTCAACAGACCAGACCTCAAGGAGTACCCAAATCCGAACGTGTGGATCGAAGCTGGTAACTGCTCCTTTTCACGCAGCTTTGGCACGTATCCTTTGGCAGGGCACCTTAACGGGTATTAGTCCCAAGACTTCTCCTCAACATGTGTGCGTAGGTGAAAGACTTTGACTCACATATGGTTCGGCATACCATCCGTCAACACCATCATAGCCGGGACCCTCCCCGTGTTCATCTCCGACCCCTGACTGAACAGTTTGACAGCCTCCACCAAGCCTTGCCACAAGTTGGTTTGACCGGCGGGCACCATCATGCTGATATTCTGTTCAGCAAGAGCCTTGTTCTCCTTGTTCATCGGCATCAACTCCTGAACGACCCTGGCCCGGGATGCAAAGGTGACGATACCGAGCCGGTCACCGTCGTCCATGGTCTCCAAGATGGCGCGGGCAGCGTGTTTGACCAAGTCCAGGATCGAAAAGCCATAATTTTTGGCCTCATCACCCGAGTTGGCCGGGATTGGAGCGTTGCTGCTCATGCTGTCCGAAACATCGATGACGAGGACGATGTCGCAGGGGACGTGGACGGTGGGCTTCTCAGGTTGTTTAGGCGGGGTGATCTTTGCGATGAGGCCATCTTGCGAAGCGAACGCGTGGAGGGACAACGCCACTTCGTCCACGGGTCCGTCTGCCGTCATTGTGGCGGTTGGGTCAGAGCATGTTGACCATTCTGACTTGATGTCTTCGTCTTTGACATCCGTGTCCTCGCTGCTGTTGAAGGCGCCTTGAAGGGACCACGTTTTGACCTAAGAAATACTGTTAGCTGATGGTGATTAAGGAAATTGCGCAGTATAGACAACCATGGTGGAATCGTATAAGTCTTGTTGACAGATGTGCTTCAAAAAGGTTTAGCCACGCGAATAGTCTAAGATGCGAGTTCGAGTATAGGTCTTTCAAGTCTTAGGTTTCACGAGGTAAAGATATAGCTGCAGGTCGACAGGTTTCATAGGGCAGATATATAGCTGTAGGTCGACAGCTTTGGCAAGAAATTGGCCTCATCGCCGGATGACTGGATCCTTTGAGGGGTCGATGCGGTGAGACTCAGGCAGATACCAAACATTGGATCCGGCATCAACGATCTGGCCTTGCTGGGACGCCAGCTCGAGACTCTCTCTCACTTGAGCGCATGCTAATTATCCAATGACAGCGAGCGCCATGCCTCATCTTTCCATTATCCGACGAAAGTTAGCCGCTTCTGCCTAAAGCTAAGTGGGATCATCCTTCTGTAAAAAAGGAGAACTGTGTCAGCCTGTCCAGAAAACTCTGTGTGTTGGATGGCAGTGTTCACGAAATAGTGTTTGAACAAGTTTGAACAAAGGGGCTGGTCTTGTCCTCCCCGGTTTGGGTGGAGAGTCTGAGCTCCGAAGCCAGGCCGAGCCGGCCCTTCGGTGCCGGACCCTCGGACGTGGGCGCAAGGGCAGTCTGCAAGGCACTCCAGGACTCCAACGTGCAATTGTCTCCGGCTTTGGGGCAATACCGCAAGTTTGTGGAAATTTGCTAGGCGGGGCGGTTTGCTTCGCCTCGCTGAACTACCCACACCAGGCCGATAAACTCCTCGAGGGCGAGGCCTTTTTGCAAATAGGAGGCTTGCCGGTTGAACAAGCATACGAGATGCACAGACAAAGAGTGCCGTTCATTTCTCCAACGAACAACGAACATATAGTGTATATTTTAGGGGGTACCAAAATCCGGCTTCATGCTGGGCTCTGCCTCTTCCTGTGCCGCATTTCCAATTTCCCTCTTAGTCTTAGACCTTGGATATTCTGCCTAGCCTATTCTAGTTGCCCTTAGACGTACTACGGTAGGCTGAAGCGCTGACAGGTGAGTGACTCAGACGCCGCTCATGTCAGACGCACACGGCCAACGCAGGTCCTTTTCAGGCCTCAGCTTACACTTATCGTCTCAAGTCGATCCGGCTCACAGACGTTGAAAAGGCCATACTAACTCTCCACAGGAAGTCAAAAGTCGAAAATGGTGGTGGAGATTTTTCACGCACAGATTCTTGGCCTGCCTAGAAAATGTCACATTTTTGTACACTGCGACACAGCGTCCTGCCACATGAAGGAGAAGAGGGGGGGGGTGTCGTCTTCCGTCCCCGTCTTTGCCAGGATGGACTAGGCAAAGGTGAATTATGCCTCGCAACAGCCGAGAATAATCCGCTCCCAGCTCATTACACTAGTACTGGCTGCGCCGCACAGCAGTTGGATCCAGCAGAGTGTCTCTGGTGTGTTGCATTGAGAAACCCCAAGTCAAAGACGGGGATGGTCGCTGTTCCGGCAGTCTGCAAACGCAACTTTGTCCCCACAGGGGTCCCTGCTGCCCCCTTTTTTGAGTTTCACGTGTGTTCAACTTTTAGCAGAAACATTTGCGTCATAGCTAAACTTGGGGGATAAGGCGCATGTTTCTGGATCAAAGGGGGGAAGGGGGGTTTATTAGAAAGGCGAGAGTTGGGCCGGAGCAGCGAATACTGGGCGCCGCTTAGTCACTTTTGGAGATGGTTCACCTCCCTGCCAGGGCTCGCTAGAGGCACAAACGGGGAACCACTAGCTGCCTTCACCTCGAGTGTGGTTGGATTATAGGTGTATCCGTACTTCGCGACGATGGCATGGGAGACGAAAAGAAGTATGGACACGGCAGTTGAGACACTCGCGCTACCCAACCACGTCTGGCAGCGCTTTGGCATCGTCATCCGGCTGTGCTACGACACTCCACTGCCTGGTGCCAAGACGTCCCTTGACCAAGGATTAACTCAGAACATGCGAGAGAAGAAAATACGAAAGTCAACTTTGGCATGCATTCAGGACGTTCAACTCATCCGATCGTGGGGAAGAAAAGAAGCACGAAAACAGACCGCCGTTGAGAGAAGAAAAATATCGGCGCAATACCACGCAATGAGGATCGTGTGTCTTTCATCATCTTGGCGCTCGCAAAAATCCCGAGGGGGCTTGGTCTCGAATAGCCGCGCGAATGCCTCATTTTCATGCTTGAACGGGGCGTGGGACGTTTGACGACGGAAGAGCAGATCTGAAAAGGTGCCTCCGGTTGACGGACATTGCTGGGTGGCTCCTCATCAGGGTCAGACAGTCGGGCGAAAATCATGTTCTTTTTCTGGTGTGAGCCGATGCAAGCCGCATTAAAGGGCCTTGTTCTTTTTGTCCTTATTTTTGTCGTTCTCATGTTGAGAGGCGCCTTGTTTTTGGGGACTTTTCCACTCTGTTAATTTTCCACTCTGTTAATGTCTCAAAGTCCATTTTGGTGTCTTTCGCCTATTTGATTCTTCCCCGGATTGATTGTTGGCTAGGCTTCGCTATTGTACTACCACCCTTCTTCTGTGTCATGCGAGGTGGCGTTTGCTCGTTACCCGCCGTCCTTGGACCTTGAGAGAGCCTTGGACAAAGTCACCCCGAGAGCTACCCCAGATAATCGAGGTACCTTGCCGTCTGTGGTTCAGTGGCGCGGGAACTGATGCGACTGCTTGGCCTCCCAGAGGCTGCCATTCTTGCCCCAGATTTTCCACTTTCACCCCCTCCCCCCAAAGCGTCTGACCGTTTCGCTTCGAGAGATCTCACTTCAGTCGATCTCGCTCATCTTGCGGGGTAGAAGAGAGATACGCCGTCAGGGCCCTCAGGTGGCCGGGAAGAAGGTTGGGCAAGAGTCGATCGTCATCGTGGCTAACAAGCCAAGATTATTGACTATCGTGTCCATCTCTGGAGCCCGGACAGAATGGAAGCTGGCCGGTCAGGTAGTTGGACCGTCAGACCGACAAGCTCAAGCCGCGGGTCGAGGAGTGAGGACCCCTCCCGCACCATCCTTCTCATTCCCATCGCCGGCATTCAACCCGAGTAACCCGGCGGCTGTTGGCTGCATCGTTGCGGTCCCCCGCTCCTCTACGGAGAGCATTCCCCCCCAAAGTTCCCCCTCCATCTTCCATGTCTTCTCCCCACATTGTAATCGGGGGCCTCCCATTAGCTCGGTTTCCATTTCCATTTCCCCAGCATTCGCATAATCATCCTCCTCATCCAATGAACAGGAGGCCCGCGATGCCTAGGTCCAACCAACTGCCAGTTGAAAGTCCCCCCTCCCCCCCCTTGACCGGCTTACCTAGGTGCCCTTGGCCGCGTCGAGCTGCCTGCAGCCTTCATGCAGCGAAGCGCAACTTGCAGCCCATGCGACGTGGGGTGGGAAATTGTGTACCCGGAGACGCGCTGCAAGAAAGCTTGTGAGACGAACTGCAGAGTACTTTGCGCGCTACTTGATCTCCCGCGCCTCATGCATGTAAATGACAAAAAACGTAGTGGATGCTCACGTTGCCAACCTCCATCCAGAGGTCAGGGTCTTCGGAGCTAGGCCAGCTAGCTGGCAGCTGTCTCGAGCTTTCTCAAGCTCTGGTGTCTTTGGATATTGGTAGCTCCAAGGCTTGCTGCCGGCTAGAACTCCGTCGGACGTCGTGCCACGCCTCACTTGTGCAGCTCTGGCAGATGTGACTGCTATTCTATCTAGTGAGAGGTGGGATGGATATCCGAATGGAAAGCCGATGAGAGAGTTTTGCCGGATGGAGGGCGTGGCAAGGTTGTGCGTGCCATCCCACCACCTAGGACAGACAATTTCATCTGTGCATCTCCAAGCGTTGTGTTTCACCCGCCGAACCCCGGAGCCTGCCGAAGGGGGGGGAAAGGATAAGGGCTGGGAAGAGTTCTTGGCAGAAAGTGGAAGCTGAATGAGGGCAAACGTGTGGTGGTCGTAACGTTCAAAAAGTGTTACTCGATGGCTGAGAGTAACAGAATCACAGAAATCCCGCCGAAGTCGCACTCCACCCCCTACGCCCAACTTTGTTCCCCTTGGCGCTCGCACGCACGTTCCTTACACCTACGTCAGGCCCTCTCCTCAGTGCTAGGGTGTGTGCGGCCTCCTCGGGCTGTCATTCGCCCGCAAGAAGGAGATGAGAAGGTTGAGAGACACAAGAAGCGCTCTCAGCATCCTTTTCACCCTTTCGGTGTCTTTCTTTCTGGCACTGGAGTTCTCGAGTTGTAATAAGGCCCTGTCAACTTTTGACCTAAACCCCGCATTCGACTCGATCGGCATGCCGATTTGCTGGGCCCCGGCCGTGTGTCTGCGCGGCGGCGGCCAACCCATCTCAGGGTCCAACCAACCATGAACCTGGCATGGAACTTCCCTTGACCTCTTCGACGCCTGCTTGCTCTGTCCGTCCTACCCTGTGTTGGGTTGTCCGATGTTGCCTTACTTTGCCTTGCCATTGCCTTGCCTCCATGTCCTCGGGCTACTCTGGACACCCGACTAAGCCGTGCACACCACCATCACTACTTACACCTACTTACCGAACCACGACCATTACGGACAGACCAGGGGTCCAAGGCTCCGAAAGGCTTGGCTGGGTCGAGGTAGAGTTCCGCCGCAAATGAGTGAGGGTTGAGGTTTGAGGAGGTGGGCATTGTGAATGTCTATAAGTGCGAGCTTCTCCTCCGTCTTTTTTCCTCCCATTCTCCTTCCCTCCCTCACTATCATCCCCTCATCTCGACGACAAAAAAGACAATACTCTTCTCACACAAGTTTGCACAAGTTACCGCAGCTTTTGAACACTCGCAACCCAACAATACCACCAACCACAGCAACCGCCAACATGCCCGTCGCTCCCTCCTGCTGCAAGTGCGGAAGCATGATCGTCATCAGCAACTCGTGCCCGTCCTGCGGCCACCACGAGTGCCGAACCTGCCTCTAAATGAGCAATTCTCCACGTCTCCACGATGTAGACGCCGTCGAGGTTGACCCGAAAAAGTCTTCAATACGACTGTGACTACATTCCACCGAGAATGGCTCCGAAGCTCGACACCAAAGAGGGAAAAAAAGAAAAAAATAACCTTCCACCACACATCCACATCAACCAGGCTGGCCAATGGGCCCCCCACACTACCACCCAAGCCGATGAATTCCGAGTCTTCGCTTTTGGCCCCAACCTGACAGCCTTGAGGCTCCAACGAAAACTTTTCGGCGCTACATCAGCAAACGACCTACGCGGCCTCTCCGTGTGACTCTACTCCCCTGATGGAAAGGTGGCGACAAGGAACGGGCTGACTTTTTTGGCGTCTGGATCTTATCACCTATTACGAACGACCAATACCCCCCCTCATACCCATGTTTTGATTGTATCAATATTTGTGTCAGCACTGGCGTTGGTATATGAGAGGCGGCAGATTCCGGAGACGGAATGCTCGGAGGAGAAAATGTCCAACTCTGCTCGGGGATCCTGTCTTCTAAGAATACTTGTCTCTATGTTCTCAGTAAAGAAAACCAAAATTCACTCGGAAAAAAAGAATAAAAATACTGCAATTCAAAGAATGCGTACATACACATGCATGTGGTGTAAAATAAGCCGATCATTCCTCAGTCCGCTCAGCATACCACGCGTGGGCCAGACGATCGATGCCGGGGGAAATGGCCATAGCACAGGAGTACTAACCCCGGATATTTTCCCTCACAACATCCACACGGAATTACGGACCATAACGGCCCATCGTGGAGGGTAAATCGCATGTTGTACTCACCGAACCACCACAATTTAAATGTCGGCCCATCATGAAACCCCGTGGCACGTTGCCGCTGGCCGTGTCTAGTCTGGCGCTTGCTGCGAGAGACGGGATGGGGTGTGCGGAGCATGCACGGAGCCGCCCCCCGTCCGATGAACGTGCATATGTCCATGTACTGTCGTCCTACCAAGGCTTTCGTACATACTGGGCAGTTGGTCAACGACATGGATATATAAGCGAAAGTTGGGACAAGGTTATTCAAATTGAGATCAATCATCTAAGCAGTTAGCATACTTGGAATTTGATCTCTAGGTGCAGCCAGAGGTTACGCTTTGGTGGCTGACAGTGTGATTTTTACTCTGCCCACGTGCAGGTCTAGAGAGCTAGCTGAGGGGGCACCGCCGCGCTTTAGTCCTTCTCGAGATCTACGAGAGAATCAGAACAGCCCAATCCGTAGAGTAATAATTGTACTAAAAAGACCCTCCCAAATTGCCTTTGTGTTCGCAGTGAACTCGCCTACCTTCATTAGTCTACATGTAAGTAGGTATCGGTTGAAATGGCGCTACCGTCTATAGTTTGTCGACGCTGAACATAGTTGGGACAGCTATGAACAGACAGGTTCATGAAAATGTGCGCAATGTCAGAAGCCAAGGGCGCTTCAGAAAGGTCTATGAAATTGTTACATCGGCCCAATTGGTCTTTCCATTGATGATAAGGATTTGATTAAGACTAGAAGTTACTTTGGTTGCTGTCCTTCTCACACCAAGGCATCGCCACCTCCCTCAAATTTTTCAAGATGTGATCTACCAGATGCATGAGATCGCTCGAAGAAAAGTGCGGGCTGCTAGCTCATTCCACGCCCTAAATCCAACGCTGATGTTATGCTGAATATTGCCTGGCTAAGTTATCGATGAAAGCGTTGGATACTTTGGGCAACATGTAGACTTTGGAATGCCACGACGGACATCTGGAGACTGTACGTCTACTTCCAGCGCAAAGCATGATTTGCTTCAAGACCTGCCCCCGCCAGTTGAACCAAAGCCATTGAGCTCTAGATGAGAAATGTAGCGATTCCGGTGGCCACAGCAAGAGCCAAGATGATGCCGGGGAAGAGATCGCTGCCATTGCTAATCGGAACGGGCACTGGCTGGCTAGACGTTGTGGCAGTGGCAGTTGGCGTAGAAGTAGCGACGGCAGCAACTGTCTGAAGTAAAGATGGCGTCGCTGTAAATGCCATCATATCCGTTGCGAAAGAGACGCTTGTGAAAGGCAAGCTCGAGACCGAGCTTGCGCCAGGGAAAGCGAGGCGTTCAGATGCTGGTGCTGCAGGCTTCAAAGAAGATCGATCAAAGTTTCCGGGGCTCAAAACGCTAAGGATAGATTAGATCATTGCTCATCTTGCGTATAGGTTGCAATCCACTGACCCATCAATAACATGGGCGACACCATTGAACAGAATCGTGTTGGGAAATGTGATTCTTGCGTTGTTGACCCAGGCTGACCCGTCCGGCAAGACTGTGAAAGTAAGGTTGGTCCCTTGAAGAGAGGGAACCGTGACATTCCCCAAGGACGGCGAGAAGATGACATTATTGGGAATGATGTGGTAGCGAAGAACCTCCTGGAGCGTTTCTATGTTCGCCGATTCCAGCACGGAACCAATCGACTCGAAGGCCTCGTCGGTAGGCACAAAGATTGTGAAGTCTGAGATGTTGAGGCCTTGCTCGTCGGCTCCGGTCTCGCCGAAAGCGAAATTCAGGTGGGCAGCCTCCAGCGCAGCGTTCATGGCGAGATAGCCGGCTCGGAATGTGAATAGCTGGAATGGGGCGCCGAATGAGAGGACCGTGTCAATTTTGTGGATTGTGATTCCATCTCCAAGTTTAATATCCTGTTTTATTTGTCAGTACACTTTGTAATATCTCAGATCAGGTAAATACAGACAGCTTGGGTAACGGTGGAAATGGTCTGCTCTCCCGACAAGATGCAAACATCATTTCCGTTCTTCACGAGTCCATTGTAAGCGCCGCCTGTGAAGTTGGAGAATGGCTGCCTGTAATTGACGTATGAAATGTCGAGCAGGGTCTGGGCAAAGGTGGGAACGTTAGTGATGACGTTTGATGGGTAAACCCCTTTGAAGACGTGGTTTGCGAGGAGTGCTCCGATGGCAATGGTATCGTTGCGAAGCTCGATGGCCTCACCCTCCGGGATATCCCGCGGCACGTTGGCAAATGCTTGGTTCGTCGGAGCCACGATGGTAATATTGGAAGCTGAGGACAGGGTATCTGCGAGGCCATCCACCAGACTGACAAGCTCAAGCAGCGTGCTGAGGTCGGGCTGGGACGCGAGAAGCGCAGCGAGGTCGCCCTGAGCCACGCAGACTCCAGCCATCAGCAAAGTAGGCAAGATGGATAGACGCATGATGAAGATATTAAGTAGAGCAGCGGCGAGTGCTAAGATTGAGGTTGGACCGGTTTTGAAGTTTGTGTTTTGGTAATGAGTTGATGTGAAAGGTGTTGATGCAGATGGTCTCTCAAACCAGTCTATGAGTTCGCGGCATGTTCTCTTATATCACAAAACAGAATCAATTCCGTGCAAAATAGTCCCGGTCTATTCTAGATCAAAGCCTCAGTACTGAAAATCATGACGTGCTGACGATGTCGTCGAATCGATCGAAGACCGACTGATCGGTCGTTCAATCTACGAATTATGTTGAATCTTGCGAAATCTCACGAGCTATAGTGCCAAGAACTGCACAGCCTTTGCCCGAGACTGAGGAGACCAATCGCCAGAGGTAAACGAAGAAGCGAAGACAGACGATATTGATTGACCGCACATCTACAGAGGTTCAATTTAGCCCGGCTTTGCCCAGCATTGGGGCAACGACAACGTGGTGGGGGTACGACGGCTTGTTTGAGCCTAGTTCTCTTCAAGGTTGCAGGGCAGCGTCGGATCCGGCTCCGGATTCGGGCCAGTCCAAGGGCTGAGCCTCATGCAAGGTGTCGCCTCCCATTCCTACGACTTAGAGTCACGCTCATCATGCCTCCCAGTCTCATCCCTAGATGATACGGGAAATTTCATACAACAGCTTTTGTTGAACAGTGTCATTCAGCACCAAGGTTGTGTTTGGATTAGATAAGAGCCGATTCGCTCCCAAAGCAGCGTGGGCATGATTGAGGATTTGTGGCTTGCTCCTGAGCTTTTCTCCAGAAAGGCTTTTATTGTTTTATCTTTGTAAAAGAGCTGGCTCAGTTGGTCGTGCCATCGTATGGTTCTGCTAGATCCTCAAGATTGAGTACCTCATGTGGCTGACATTTAGCAAGTCACTTTACCTTTCAAAAATCTCTTTGCTTAGTCTAGTACATAGAGTAATGAAACTCATCACCTAATGAAGCATACGGATCTAGCTGAAGAAATGCAGAAAAAACAATTCAACCGAAACGCCTAATGATTTCTGTCAAGGTCTACCGTCTTCTGGACGGCAAAAGTGATGCGGGCCCTGGCCAGGATTCGAACCTGGGGCCTCTTCCAAGATGGTGTGTGATTTCTCAGTAACCCTAAGGAAGAATCATACCGCTAGACCACCAGGGCTGGTGACGATTGTCACGATGTTGTGTCATTCGGATAGGAGCCGGGGAGAATTTTGCGCATTATGGATCCGGTTAGTTGACATGTGGAGTCACGAAGCCCTCATCTCGGTTGAGCCAGTCATGATAAGCCATTGGGTAAACCAGCTATTGTCTTAGTTATCCACGCATAATCAAAACCGCTGCTTCAATGCTCTCTCTAGTAGACGACAGGAAACTTCAAAGAGAAGCCGACATTTGGCATGAATGTGCTGACAGGCCCTCCCGAGTTACGACACCCATCCAACTTCTTGCCTTCGCCTTTAAACCCTCAGGTGAGATTTCCACGGTAGTCTTGGGTGAGAGCCCATCTCTCTGGGTACTCACCAGAAACTTTCCGATGCTGATTCCGTTGTTCGCTGTCCTTCCAAAGAAGCTAACTAGCTTCCACTTCGTCTCCGAGTTAAACCCTTCTTCGAACGAATTCAGGTAAACAAGAGCCATGCCAATTGGCAACGGCGCTGATTGTATCCCAAAAGTCCCCGCAGATGGATGGAAAAAGATGTCGACAATGTTGGCGATCTTGGTGCAGTAGAGGCGGGGATCCATCCGCTCAGGCAGCTCCGATGATTTTGGACCGATAGCGAGACGGAGGGTGCTGTACGTGAGGATGCAAATCGTCCAGTGCAATGTGATGATAGAAGCGACGGCAACATCGCAGGCTGTCGGACTATTGGGACCTCGAGTCGCAAGTTCCTCAAGTTCTTGCTTGGGGCTCAAATTATCGAGCCACCAATTCAGCTCTTCGTCAACTCGCCAACATTCTTTGATGAGAGCGTTGCGCCTGAATTCCTTCTCCTCGGTGTCTTTGCATTTATTCATTTGGTCTAGATCTTCCAGAAGCCCAGGAATGTCGACGAATACGTCGATCAGAATGTCCTTTGGGGTCTTGGGATTATTCTGCCAAGGAATGGTTTTCCAAGCAGGGTGACTCAACGGAAATCTTCGTCTGCGCTTGACGTGAGATATGACCTGTAGAGTTGCGATTAGCAAGACTTGTCTGGACAGATTTAAGTTTAGGCAGCAAGTTGAGTATAAACGAACCAGGTGAAGCCGCCCAGAAGCATACAAGTGGTGTCCATGGCCGTCGATATGGGCCTTCGGAGTCCGTTGCATCACAAGGGCCAGTTCCCCCAAAGAATGGCCCTCCCAGCTTTCGGCCTGTGAGATACCGTGTCGCTCTCGATCATCCGCACCATACAGTAACTTTGGATGGAATTTAGTCAGCGACGATACGTTTATCGACTAAGTGGTAGTGACTTACCTCATAAAAGCCGAGGATTCTCGAAGTCACCATTAATGCATCTGACTTCCATCTCTTTGGGTGTCGAAGCGCAACGTTCATCTCGGTCAAGGCATTGCAGTAAAACTTGAGGCCATCGTCGATCATCCACTGCTGCTTGTCCCGCCGGCCTATCGTACCCAGGCTCAGTGCCAGTAAGCTTAGACGCAAGGCGGCGTCGGTGCGATAGAGATCTCGCACAGTCGTCGCCCAGTCTGCGTTGGAGTACCTCATGATGGGGCTTCTGGGACTACATATCGGAGCGTCGGGCATGTAGCCATCCCAGAATAGGTCGAAAATCCTTTCCTCAAAGGCAGACTGAGATAACGAGCGCGTTTGAATGAGCGCGGGTGATATGGGCACCAAGGTCGTCGTCACCATGAAGTCTTTGCCTATTGGCGGCTTGGTCACATTGACGAAAATGCGCTTCCTTTCGTATCCTGCACATTCTAAGCCTGCCTTCAGGCACTGCCCACATGAGGGTCGTTGCAAGTCGCACTGAGACCAACTTTGTCAGCAGTTGAACGCGTCCGCGCTGTAACGTCATAACGGACGAACAGATCATCCCATCTTGGCAAACTTACGCCCTTCTTCCGCTTTCTACACGTGTTGCAGCCTTTGGAGCGCCCGGGAACCCCGACCATGTTGTGAAAAGTGTCAAGGATCTTGGGGAGAGTGGATTCACGGCGCGAGATGCTTCTTAATCAGGTAAGGTGAAAGCGCGGGATGTGGCCCGTTTTTGACTGCAGAAGAACTCTGTAGCCTGTCTCGGGCAAACAGTTTAATCCAATGTATCCCGGACACGCGGCGGGAGCGGCCGATGAGCTTGCAGCCTCCGAGCTGCTGTGGGCGCGGCAAGATACCAAGATCCTTAGTGTTGGATGCGCCAGACTCCAGATGGCTGGGCAACTGTGAAGGAGTCAGAGGCTGGAGCAAATGACGAGCCTTGTAGAGTAAGCATTCACAATAGAGCTCAATGACGACGACATTCTCTTCCAAGACACGGGGGAAGGATGCGCCGTCGCTCCAGCATCGGCACGAAGGATTGGCCCAAGCCCAGCCCTGTTCAACGCCCGCATGCTTACGTGAACCCACTCAATGGTTGCGAATGCGGAACGAGGCTAACCTCCTTTGGGAATCATTGTGCGCGCTGTGCAAGGTGAAGTGTTGGTCGAGCTCTAGAGATCTTCCTAGTGGTCAGAGCTAGGCTCAACTTTCGACGCCAAGATGGCATTTGGCGGTTGAATTTAACGTCAGTTTTATACCACTGAGCCACGGTAAGCTCCGCATGCTTCACAGTCGCGCATTCTCTTTCCCAAATCGTCCAGGCGCCTCTCAGACCTTGTAAAGAAGTGCGTGTCGATCCAAGTCACATCGACTCCAAGAGTGCGTTAGCATTGGTTTTGATGAGAACGAGATCGCGATGAGAAAACAATGGAATGTCCCAATTGCAATTTATAAAAGATGGGATCCTCTACTTGGAAAGAGAACCCATCAGAAGCTTAAAAACCTCATCACAGCAACTTCCAACTATACCACCAGTCAGTGTCTTGATCACAGAAAAGCATCGATCTCCTCAACTCTCACATTGAATATACCAAACCCGTCAAAGCAAGGTCCCAAATAAGAGGCGCTATGGCTCAACCAACTCGCCCACCTGCCAACGGCTTCGTTGCCACAACTCGAAAAGTCTACAACCCCCTTGGATTCTCCAAAGGTTACAACTTCGTTCTTTTCTTTATTTTCTTCGGTGCCCTTATGGGTTTCACGCTCGCACGATTCGAATACCTCAATTTCAACACCTTCTGCAAGGGAACAGCGCCAGGCGAATGCTTCTACTACCAAAAAGGCCATGAGAAAGCCGGCATCATACTTCACCTCGCTGGGATCCTTCCCGCTGGCTTTTTGGCATGTTTCCAATTCGTACCAGTTCTTCGCCACAAAGTCCTTCTGTTCCATCGCATCAACGGCTACGTCGTTATCCTGCTCGCGCTTGTTGGAATCGCTGGCGCCTTGATGATTGCGAGAAACGCATTCGGTGGCACGCTTGATACCCAAGCTGGCGTTGGTGTCATGTCCATCATGTTTGTTACCGCTCTCACGCTGGCGTTTGTCAACATCAAGCGACTTCAAATCGAGCAACACCGAGCCTGGATGCTGCGAGCATGGTTCTACGTAAGTTTCCAGCATCAAAACATGAGGACACTCAGACAGCTGACCTAATACCCCATCTAGGCTGGCTCCATCATCACTCTTCGTCTTATCCAGGTCGCGGCTGCTGCTGCGATTAGTAGTATTGGAACCTACTACGCTGCGCGTCCCTGCGATCAAGTTGCCTTTATGATCGGCAAGATGAGTCGTACTCTTCATCTCTATCCCGACTGTGCGACGTATTTCTCGGGCGAGAATTCTGGTCAACAGACAATCGTCCATGCGGACTTCCTCAATCCAACATCCGCTGCTGAAGCCGCCGTGGCCGTAGGCATGCCATTCGGAATGGCGCTGTGGTTAGCACTGGCTTTGCACGCAGTTGGTATTGAAATATACGTAAGCTCCTCGCATGACACGCAGATACTCGGGACATTTACTTACGGATCTTCTTTTAGTTGAAACTTACACCAGCTGAAGCCGAGAGGCTACGTAATGTTTCCTACAAAAGGCAACTAGAGGCTGGCTTGAGCCCAGCCGGCCGGGCTGGTGTCACAGCGGACAGGATCGGAGATTCTGAGCAGTGGCAACCCCAGCAGAAGCCATCTCAAGCCAGCTCAACGTCGGACCTGCCAACCCCAAAATAAGAACTCAATCTGGTGCGGACAATGTTTCGGAGTAAGGTGGCATAAACATGCATTTTTGCACGGCTTATACGTACTTTATAATGGACGCGTGGAATTCGGAATTGCATAAATACATTCTTCAACATTGACTTTGAAATGCCCATCAAACACACCAATCACTGCAGACAATACTATCAGAACCAAACTCCCATCTTGCAACAAGAGAATGACAAATGAAGTTATCTCCGTGACTGTCTACTTACGAGATAGCCGTGAAGCCTTACAGTGCCCTGCGCTGAGATTTACCAACTACAATGTCCACCCGGAACAGCCAGGGCGATCGGGGGCATTTTATATGCACTTGAGGAAGCAGAATTGATCCACAGCTGGCCCAGAAAACTTTTGTCTTCGCAATGATGCAATCTGCCGATTAATGGACCAATAGCAGCGGTGGTCTTGTCGGTATGATAGATGAGGATTGTTCTAATACTATCGTCACGTCAACAAGTAAAGTCATGTTTTTTTTTAGTAGGCACGAGGCCCGTCTCGAGGTAAGCACTTACGGAAACAAGTTATGAACCACACGTCTGTCAAAGATGAGATGGAGAAAGTGTCTCAATGACTGCAAAGTCTCAATCGATTGTTTTGAGGGCTGCTTTCTTAAACGTCTATCAATCATCGTTGTAGTGGGGGACTTCCGGATGGTAATGCTGTAGGTAATTAGGTGATAGCTAACACTTCTCCGTAAGCTGCCATTGCCACGCAACGTTTCTGTACCTTGAGGAAACAGGAGCTCTTTCTTACCGAGGTAATGATTAACCCGTAAACAAGAAAGGAAGTATATCAGGATGATCGTGGTTGGCCCGGTTATCATGCTACACCAGGACAAGAAGCATATCATGAGACCGAGACCGCCATCCAAGGCCAAGACATGCCATGCTACACACTCCCTGGATATCGAACTACAAGGGTCAAAATGACTGACTCTCAGCCAACGCGCATTTCCAGATATTTCTCGCAACAAACTGTCTTGACCTACTGACAGATTGGAGAAAACGTAGAGGGGCCAGCCGAATAGCAGTTGCTCTAGCCGCGAGATTGCTTCTACTATAAGAATATCTGGAACTCCCATGAACGTCGAAGAGAAGAACACGTCTCTGTCAAAGTCGACTGGTTTCGTTGCTGGAACGAAGGCGAGATCTTTGGTCGCGTGCCTGGTAAACCATTGATGGCGCCCGTGAGTGTACTTCCAGAGAAGGTACGGCACGGTGCATCATCAGAAAGGAATCAAGTTTAAATCCATAGGTATCGTTCAGTCTTGTTGAAGAGAAGAGTGACCTATGACCACATTCATGAGCCAGTGACCATATAGCGGTAAAAATCAGTCCCTGCAGAAACGAGTACGCCGCCCAAGCCAGGAAGTATGCTAGCAGCCCAAGTTGGGATTCTTTGATGTAGCTGGAGGCGAGATGCGCAGGTACTGTTGAGGCTCCGACGTCTATTCTGATATAATAGAGGGAGGCATGTGTGTGAGTGCAAAAGAAACCAGGTAGTATAGCACGTCGGAGGTCCTGAATATCCAGTCAGGATAGTTAGATGTCGTATTGACAACTTCCAAACTTACGAAAAGAGGTGCTGCAGTTCCGTGTTTTCAGTGATGATATCAATGGAATCACGCTCGTTCCTGATTGTGAGGAGAGTCCTTCAAAATCGACTTTTACCTCATGAAGAGTCGTTCTTCGATGTTTCAGTTGCAGGATTCTGCAGTGGGCACTGGGCTGTCGTATACGAGCCAGCCTGAGTCATGTAACGATTTCAAAATATCGCTGTTTTCCTCCGTATGACCGAAGTCGGACAGTTTGCCCCTTCCAGTGGAAATGATCTTTGCGATTCATAACTAAAATTCTGACTCGCGTAATAAGGGGCTAGCAAACTCTGTTATGAGCGGTCGAGAGCTCCTACATTAGATCTTGCCATTCTCAGCTTTGGGTTTCCTGGAAGGAAGCTGTGGGTGGCCCAAAGCCAAGAATGAGGAGATGATATGTCGGCACACGCGTCGCAATCACAAGAGCAGCAGGTATGGATGAGAAACCACCCTCTGGTTGCTCATGTGTAGCTTTTACTTGTGCTACTGCCACCACTCGCTCGGCTCGGCTCTATTATTATTGCTTACTCTACTGAGTACTGCAGGAAGTGGCAGAAGAGGAAAGGCAGCAACGGGTGAACAGGTACGACGAGACCTATGGCATGGCAAAAGGGAGAGAAGCAAGATGCGTTGTATTCAGGTTTGTTAGACAGCCACATAAGTATCCGCTAAATAGAACTCTGTGATGCCTCTTGAAGATCTTGGAGGGGGCAGTGCAATTGACTTCTTGGCACACATGTCCAATCACTTTTGTCAAAATCACCTACTAAATCCGGGCTGCTCGCGTTTCTCGTGATTAACGATTCAATGAGCTCCGACTATCCGAGCCTCCAATGTCTCAGGAGACACTTTTCTTCCACGTTCTATGGCCGCAACCGGCGGGCTTGTTCCCGCCTCTTTAGTTGAAACCACCTGCTGATGCAGCTAGGTGAAATTGCGACCATGAAGTTTCCGTTATGAGATAGGCATATCACTGGACATATCAGAACAACTAGGCTCAACGTGTCTATTAGTGGATGTTAGTGCAAGGGCTAAGCCTCTAAGGCAACCAGGTCGCGGCACTCAAGATCGCACTGTCTCTTAGTAGGGGCCATCATTCTATCACTCACCAAATTTGTCGACAAATATGGACCGGCGATTTGAACTTGGCTGCGTTAGGCGTTGAATGACTCGCTGCTTAGAGTCTCGAGCAGTGTCTCAAATCTAGCGTTGGTGTAGAAAATACCACTTTGAGCCATGAGTCTCCATTGCTCCCGGGATGGTATCGGCGCCGGTGAAATTTTGAATGCAGACTTTGTGAAGAACTACGGCTTTCGGCCGGGGAAAGTTCCGGCGCTTTTCATTTCTCACGGAATAGAACTGGCGGCACTAACTTGCTTACAGATACGTCATTCCCGTTCTTCAGCATGGAGGGGTTGGACTATTAGTTGCACTAAAGCGTCTAGTCTATGAACATGGCTATCTTATCTTAAGGTGGCCACGATCGGAATGTCGGCCATCTGCTCCTTGAGTCCTTTTCTGGTTATCGCGAATCTGCAACCTATTGACTGCAGTAGTCACCTGTCCATCAAACTCAATCAAGACAGCCATGTGCAGCTAAAGTCTAGCTAGGAGGGGGGATAAGAACTTGGATAAAGTTTGAGTGGCGGCAATTTGTCGTTTTTCATCGGAATGGAGGTGTTCTTTTTGCCGCGGGCAAAACCTTTATCAAGTCTTTCCTCTTGGGCAATCTTTGCTTGAACGCTACGATGCAGGTACTTTGGACTTCTGGGATCGTCGAATCTGATTGTCCGAATCCAACTACGATTTATTAATAAAGCTTGTAGGGCCAGCTTGGCCCCAGCCGGTGATTACACTCGGATAGCAACACAAACATCTTGGTCGCTAAAATTTAGATAATCCGTATTCGTCTCCCCCATGATGGCGCAATATGAGAATGCTCCTGATCGATTTCTCATGGTCAAGCAATCGAGGATAGCGTATCGTTGGCTGGGACCAAAACGCGGGATTCCCGTGATTCACCTCGTATCATTCAGGTAGGATCAGCCGTCTTCCGACCGAGAAATATAATCTCACAGAAAACAGGGCCACAATGAGCCAAATCGACCCTACTTCGGTCAACAAGATAGCTGAGAAGAGGCCAGTGATTCTTTTTGATAACGCCGGCGTTGGGCGATCTGGGGGGCAGGTACCTACATCATACTCAGGTTGGGCGGATTACTGTGCAGAACTCATCACACAGCTCGGATTTGGTCAAGTCGACGTCTTAGCCTTTTCGATGGGAGGATGCGCAGCCCAGATGCTGGCTTTGAATAACCCGACCTTGGTTCGTCGTCTCATCCTCATTGGATCTCTACCAAGCATCGGGCCGGGAGTCATTCTCCCGCCTCCCGAGCCCTTTCAGGAAATTCGCAAGGCGCATGATCGTGAATCACAAGAGGCTGCCATGCTGAACTTTTGCTTCCACTCTTCGGAGGGCAGCCAAGCAGCAGGCAGAGCAACGTTCCGGAGGATGCTTGAGGCACGAGATGATTGGTCTGATCTGATTGATATCGATGGCACTCAACGTCAAATTCAGGCGTTTGCCAAGTTTATGAACCCGGAATTGGCATCGGAAGGCTCCTACAAACGATTCAACGAACTCAGGATCCCGATTTTGATAATCAGAGGTAAGCTGACTAATCTAGCATACAATGTGCAGTCTTGAGATCCCAGAGGAACACGTACTAATCGATTTCGGAATGCTCAGGATTTCACGATTTTGTGTTTGAGAGGCAAACATGCCAAGCTATGGCGAAGCAAATGTGCAACGCTGCCGTCAGCGTTTATGAATTTCCAGGTGCAGGCCACGCTCCTCATTGGCAATACCCCGAAGAGTTTGCCGAACTCGTCGACTGCTTTCTATGTGCTACAGATACCACAAAGATCCCAGAGCTGCCCGTCCATTGGGTACGCTGGATCAATGGCACAGATTTGATTAGTAAAATTTGAGCTGGTACTCTATACTTGAGGAAAAGGCCGATGACAACGTGGTTAGGCCAGGTTCTGAAAGCAGACTTTATCAAGACGTAATTAATTTCTTTCCGCAAATTCTTTTCCGACTGTGCTTCGTTGCGTGTCAGCCTGAACCGGATCTCATTCTAAGTTGTGTAGTGTACCGGCCTTGCCCCCACATACACCTTGGTCTGCGAGGCAACGAAGCCAGTCTCACATACCTGCTATAAGTACATGTAGGTTGATATATAGTGCTTTCAAATGGAATGCGAAGAATGCGTTGAAATTGCTATTATCGCCGATTTCAAAGTCCAATCGTGTGTTCCTGGATGTTCACCGATGTAGTACATGAAGCTTGAGATGGTGATACGGGCCGGAACATGACCGGCGAACATAGCTCAGTTGGGAGAGCGTCAGACTGAAGTATGGGTCTTGATGACCCATTGAAAACTTCATTCAATCAATCTGAAGGTCGTGTGTTCAATCCACACTGGTCGCATCTTCCCTTTTTGGGCCGTTTGGTGAAATTAAGATAGAGTTGGCGCCATATTTTTGATCATGTATCTGAAGTATAAAGTATGTACTTCTGATGCGACAGTCGAATTACAGAAATATTTTTGATTATTTAACGATTTCCCTATACATACATAATAAGCAGTTCAATCATCCTGGTTTCTAAGTGAGTGAGTATTTGTCTTCTTGGAAGTCTCAGTGTTCTTCTCTCTGTACGGCTCACTGACATGTTGGCAGTTGCTCTTCTGTTACTACTAATTACGGCTGAAACCTCGTTGCCTCCTACTGACTGAATTGAATATTCTGCTTCCGATGCGCTATTATACACATTTGCATCATCGGAGGCAGGGAATGCCAAGGTAGGTAGGTGAACGAGAATTATCACGATACACAGGCAACGCAAGGCGCATGCAAAGCAACCAATGATGATAGGCTAGCTGTCTGGCCAACTAACACATGTCTTACTCAATGATTAGCTAGGGAGGACCGCTTGGCAGATCTTCGGAATCCCTGCCCCATCTGGAGGTATTTTGCTCCGTGAAACTTAAGACAGATCAGAGACATGGATAGGCTGATTACCGCGATCTGCAATTAGAGTAAACCCGCACGTCCCACGGATGTGTGCCGACCACCTACTTACACCACGACTTTCTGTCTGAAGGTAGCTCCATGTCTGGACATAAACTCTGATGAACTGCACATAATGACGGGTATGACACCCTGTAGACTCCCCGCTGAGGTGCAACGGCGAGGCGCAATCAGCACTCGTCCAGCAAGGTGTCTGACGTTGTGAGACATGATTATCTTAAATGGACGAAAACAGCCAGACACCAACACAGGACGATCCAATGACAGCGACCGCGTTGTAAAATCGGGCCGTCGCGCCTGGGAGATGCCGTGACCCGGTGAGACAGGTAAGAGATAGTTCAAGACCAGTGACGCGAAGGGGTAACAAAGGGGATTCCACATCTCAGACCTAGGGCTTGGGAGACGCTGGTCATTTCATTTTAAGGCTGGAGGTCGAGCAGCTTTTGCAGCACTTTGCCCTCCCCGACAGTTACCGCTTTCTTCCAATTTCCATTCTATTGCTGCATCCATATTAACCGTAGTCCACACCATGGCGACCCCGATCCCGCAACCCCCTGGAGTACCGATCTTGGGCAACATCTTTGACATCGACCCCAAGAATACCTGGTCGTCCTTGAAGAAGCTCTCTGAGAAGTACGGCGAAATCTTTCAAGTCAAGGTTCTCGGCCACACCATCGTATTTGTCGCGGGCGCCGCCCTCGCAGAGGAACTCTGTGACGAGAAACGCTTCCGAAAGTATGTCGGCGGTCCCATCGTCGAGATCCGATACGCAGTCCACGATGCTCTTTTCACGGCCTACGACCACGAGGAGAACTGGGGCATTGCCCACCGCATCATCGCGCCCAAACTGACATCGGCGTCCGTCTCGGAGCGCTTCAGTGACATGCTCAGCACAACAAACGAGCTTATCGAGAAATGGAAGGGCCTCGGTGTCAACGCCGAGGTGTCTGCCATTGGCGAGCTGAACAGATTGAACCTGGAAGCTACGACGTTGTCGCTCTTTGGCAAAAAGCTCAACTGCCTCTCTGGACCGGAACACCCGATGCTCCGAGGAATGGAGGACTCGACCTCGGAGGCGATGCAGAGACCGAACCGCCCTGGGGTTTTGAACTGGCTCTTCTACAGGAGCAAGTTCAAGAAGGGAAAGAATGTGATGCGGACATACGCGGCAGACTTGGTTCAGCACCGAAAGACCAACCCATCGGACCGGAAAGACCTTCTCGCTGCACTCCTCACCGCCGAGGATTCAGAGTCGGGAAAGGCTCTGACCCATTCTCAGGTCCTGGATGAGATCGTCTCTATGCCCATCGGCAGCAGCACCGCGCCGGGCATGGTCAGCACAGCCATCTACCTCTTGCTGAAGAACCCGCACGTCATCACCACCGCGCGCGATGAGCTCGATCGCGTCGTCGGCAGCGGCGAATTGACCTATGCGCACCTCTCTCAGCTCAAGTACATTGAGGGTATTGTCCGCGAGTCTCTACGTCTTTCCTTTGCAGCGCCGGGTTTTAACATTGAACCGATTCCAAAGGATGGCGACAAGAGGCCCGTGTTGCTCGCGGGAGGCCAATATCAGGTAGCACACAACCAAGCCATGATCATCGTCCTTGCTGGCGTGAATCGGGATCCTTCAGTTTTCGAAGACCCCCTGGCGTTCAAGCCTGAGCGTATGATGGGCGAGAAGTACGAACAGCTGCCTTTGAGTGTAAGGAGATCCTATGGCAATGGCAAGCGAGAGTGCATCGGGAAGCACTATGCATGGTTGTGGAACATGGTCGTGCTAGCGAAGTTGATCAGGGAGGTCGACTTCACCATGGCGGATCCTTCCTATGAGCTAAAGCAGGACGGTTGGTTCAACTTGAGGCCGGTGGACTTTCACGTCAGGGTCAAGACGAGAGTAGACCGTAAGGCGCCGGTACTGTGAGCTGGGTTTCGGCTTTGTATCGTAACGTGTTGTTACTCAGCGGGTCTATGAGCGGTATCACATTGATTACTGATTGAATTCGATATTTCTTCTTGCAAAGAGTATTGCTTGCACGTTTTTGAGACTTTATTAATGATTATTGATGAATTGTCCGCGCGAACAACCCTAGCTCAAGGGATCGTCAGAGACAGAGAGGCATCATCCGCCTTGCTCCCTGTCTTTGAAATCCCACCCTGCGCCAGAGCAATCTCGCCCTTGGCGTCATCAGCAGCGAAGAAGGCAGCTGTGGCGAAGGGAGCACCAAGCATGCAGGCGCCAGTATCGATGTTCAGTACGCATAATCCAGCCTCGGCGTCCGCGTTATTCCGGATGTAGTTGCGGAGAGGAGTCTTGATGGTGACGCTCTTGCCATCGACGCCTGCAAACTCGAGATCGATGGTGAAGTCCTTGGGTACGGAGTCGCAGGTGCCATTCCAAGAGACATGGCCAAAGGAGTCATGGGTGAGACCGGCAGCGGCAAAGAAGGCCGCGAGAGCAGCATCGCCAATAGGCAAGTCGCTGGTCTGGGTGCCGGAGTCGATCATGCAGGACTTCGTGCTGACGCCCGAGTGGTCGAACGTGACGTTCTTGACCTTGACGGTGGGAGGGGCGACGAAGTATCCGACGGTGGCACCCAGTCCGTCATTCTGGACGAGTGGTACCCGGACGAGGTCACCTGTAAACTTGGACAGGTCGATGGCGCCGAAGAGGGCGTTGCCGGTGAAGGTGCCCTTCCAGTCGGCAGGGGCCTCGTCGAACCAGATGCTCTGGACGGGGGCGCTGATGATTCCCTTCTCGAGGAGATCCTGACGGACGTGAGGGCCGGTGGTGTTCCAATCCGCAGTGCGGTAGAAGGGCGCCGCACCGAGGATGCCGTGATCATACGGGGCCGGCTTGCACTGACCGTCATCCGGTAGGCGCTGTTGCATATAAGTCGCGATGGCAACGCGGGCGTCAAACTTTGACGTGAGACCGGCATCGCCAGCAAAGAGGAACGTGTCGTTGACGCTCTCCTGGCCCCGGACAACCTTGGTGTAGCTGCCGTACGCGTACTGCGTGACAAACGGCTCGGGCTTCTTGGCCGTTGGGCTGTCAGGGTAGTCGTAGAACGGCTCGACCGTGGCGTTGCACTGGCCCTGGCAGAAGAGGCTGGTGCAGCCCCAGTTGTCGATGGCGTCCGGGCCGAAGACCCAGAAGTTCTCGGAGCCCTGGTCGAAGACAACCTCGACCGAGGTGTTTGCAGCCGAGTTGATCAGGTTCGTCGCGATTTTGTATCCGCCGCCGTAGTAGTAGTGCAGAGGGATGCTGACGGCGGGGATGGCCGCGAGTGCGCTGTCGGCCAGGGCCGTAATGAAGAGGGACTGGGCGAGCATCTTACCGATCGGGTGAGGGTGAGCGAGGGACTCAAATCCAGAGGAAGAGAGGCTCAATCCCGGCGTGAGGACTCCTGTCCTCTTATCATCGTATGGTGGTGTGGCCGTGGCCCTTGTAGGATCATGGCGGGGAAAGGTCAAGACTGGGGCATGCCAAAGCTATTTTCGGATACTCAGAAAGGCTTCTGATTTATGATTTTATGATCCGCGGAAACCCGAGGGATAATCGGGCAGCTTTCTTTTTGTAAATGGGGCTACGGTGACGGTGAAGTTGAAGATCCGCCGCTGCAAACCGCAGATTCTGAAGAGATCGCTCCCGAACGATCCCTGAACCAACCCTGCCGCTTTAGCCGGGGGAAGATATTTTCGTATTATTAAGATTGTGACAGGCATCGAATAGAGTGCTGATATGGGGTTGCAGTGACTCAAGTGGTGGATAAAAACGACTCTCTTATTGTCCGGGATTCGGATACACCTCACCTTGCCGCCCCCATAACATCTCGGCCTGCCCCTATCCACCCACAACAACCTAATAAGTGAATCAGGGTATATTCATGTTCCTACTATATCCCTATCTTGATATAAAAATGTTCCTATTCTACGTAATTCTTAGCATCCTTAAAAAACAGCCAACATTATACTCCCAACTCCCTACCTAAATTAACATTAACCCAAGCCCAGATCCTAACCACTAACCCTAAGCGTTGTCAATCTTTGGTTATTTATGTTAGTATCGAGATTCTGACATGACTCAATTATACGCTATAAGGGCGGTGGGTACCTCGTGGTGGTGGTGGTGGG